CCTATATCCGAGCGGCCTCAGACGTTCGACATTTATTCTAAATTTCGACAAATTGACAATCTCAATGCTCTCGAGGCTTACAACTTCTCATTCACATAGCATGCCACCTACTTGCATGTTCTCCCTCGCATTTGTCTTCTTTGCCCTTGACGACACCTTCAGTCTGCATCTACGGTCTCAGCATGACGCTCGCCAGGGCTATTTGTGAAGCACTCAAATGCCAGCATCATTTGACTTATGATTCAATCTTTGCGTCCTGTGAGGCGCTTGAGCTGCACCGATAGACGCACGGTCTCGGATCTGCAATGCCGCTAATCGCCTGAAGCCGCTGATCTCTCAGAACACACGTCGGCCGTCCAATATCACATCAACGGCACGCTGCGCCAATGTAACCTGCCACAGCCGCCCAGGATCTGCGGTCGATATGCGGACAGATTGCATCGAGCAGCCACGCATCGGGTAAACCACTCTTGCTTGATGAGCTTTCTGACGGCAGGGAGAACGAGATACTGAACGACGATCTCGTCCGCGCCGTCACACAGTATGCAGCAATGGCACTTGTTGCTGTGGAAGCGATCTGTAGCCTGGAGCCACAGTAGCTTANAAGCGCTTGTGGTGGGGCCGGTTCACACTTGTCCCCTCTCTGGTCATCACCAAGCCGCCGAACACTAAGTCATACTAGCGACTAGCGTGCATGATTCTGCATCGTCTCGAGAACGCTGAATATACCCACTGAAGGTCCTGCTGAACTCTGCAAGCATATGCACGGATTCAATGGTCGACACGTGATCTTTGCCTTCGTGAGCAGACGCGTAATTCAGTGTGACATGTGACAGCAGGGCTTCTTAAGAGCTCAGGGCGCCCCGACATCGAGCATGCTCGTGTATGGCGGCCTCGACTGCAAAGCCCGCAGAGACATCGTCTAGTGCTCCTGCATTGCGATCGGCGCGAAAGCATGAGGATAAGGAGCGAGCCTCATACGCTAGACTGGCCTTCGTCAGATCTTGGGGACGTATCAGTTAACCTTCGGGTGACGCGTCCAAGCTTCCTCAGTCGTGGGCTGAGTGCACGAGTGCACAAGGCGAGACCATGTCGTCGAGCGAGATTTCGAGCATAGACTGTTATCAGTGTACCAAATGCAGCCGGTCAGGAAGCTCGACTGATCTTGTGCGAAACGGTTGCGTCATCGATTGACTTCATCGCGTCCATGCCAATCAGTGTCAAGCCAAATTCCCGATGGCCAAGCTGCAACGCTGACGGCCAGCATCTGGTACCCATGGCACGTGCGCAGTCATCGTCCCGGCTCAAGTTGCAGAGCACCTTGGGGTCTGTGCGCGTCGTTCATCTGTGTGGCACGAATTGTCCTCAAGTGCTCGAGCAAGAAAGGAGCGCATCAAATTGCAAGATCATGTCCAGCGTGATGAGCCGGCGAACACACTTATGGACGATCGTAGATGCAACTTGAAGTACAAGAGAAGTGCCGACGATACGCTGCGCGACAGAGCACCTGTGGCGGTCGCGCCTGCAGCTGTCGCATCCGAACGATCCGAACATTCGACGCGATCTTTGATGTACATGCTTGAGGAAGTCAGGCAAGTGGCGTGTACTCTTCGTGAATTTGCAAGTGCGTAGGAGAGGCGGGTGCGGAGTACTCGATGTGATCGGGAGCAAGGTGAACGTGGAGGAGACACGTACGGTCAACAATCTCGGTTGCTGGCCTTTGGCCTTTCGCGATCACCGACGTNAGTGCGTCAATCGCGCGCCTTCGGAGCAGGCGCAGACCGTCTTCGGTACAGTCAGCATGGATCATTCTAGATCACATCATCGGGTGCTTGTTCAGCGAGCCCTCTGCGTACACTTGCGCACCAAGCAACTCGAGTCATGCCGCACGAAAGGAGCTACACCGCTCCTGCTGGCGAGTGGAGCGACAAATCATCTCACTCGCAGACCTCTATCAACAACGATGATGACGAGTCACATCATGGCGCAAGCAATACTAAATCCAACGATCCCGTCAACCTCGCCTGGGAAAACGTAGAGAGCTGGACGGAGCGACATCGACTCGATAGACTGAAGGTCAAAGCGCTTGACAAGAGCATACGCAGCCGCGCAGAGCTACTTGCCGAAGCTGAGAACGATCGCACCGCTGCCCTGATCGACCAAACTCGGTCGGCCGAAGAGCTCGCGCAGGCCTGGGACAAGGTCAGATCACTGACAGCTGCGTCTTTAGCGGTGCGCCTTGGTATGTACTGAGCGACAGGGATGCTCAGTCGCTCATCATGCGCTTGCAGTTCCGCTTCCACGGAGAGGAGGTATCGAAGAAGCCGAGCATCTGGGCCAGAAGCGCGTAAGGTCTGAATCTGTGCAGGAACCGCTCGAAACTATTCCAGAACCGATACCGGGTGAGCAGAATCCCAGTCCGTCACTCGCAAAAGCTGATTTCTCTTTGTAGAATTGATCTCAGCCAGCACAAGTACTGCTGCGGTCGTGATCAAAGCCGTCGAGCCCAAAGAGAAGCATTCAAATGATCAGGGCCGCATACTTATCGAGAGATTACCCCTGCCGCCGCGCGATTACGCCGCGCTCGAAGGACAAGCTCGCACAACGCGCAGCAAGCCAGCAATTGCAACTCGTATCAATCTAGTTCCGGACCCAATTGCTCCAGAAGATCCAACAGATCAAGTTCCCGAAAGCAAGAGACTCAAGAGAAGTACGGCCGTCGCGAGCAGTGCCGTTGCCGCGCAAGAGCTCTCAAACGAGCAGTGGCAACAGATTCATTGCTTCTTCTGCGCTAAGGTGACAGCATGCCTCACGTACCCTTATGAAGATGGTAGCGAGGCGGCGATTTGCTTCAACTGCACCTACTCGAAAACAGACAGAGGCTTCGGCAATAGAGTCAAAGATGCAAGTCGAGTCGAGGCACAATGCGCTGCGCTTGCAGCGAAGCTTTCTGAGCTCACCCCTGGACAGCCGGCAAAGCCAGAGCAACTCATTCACGAGCTCCGTAAAGACGCGATGCAGAGGATCTTATCCCTCCATCACGTTTCGGCTATGCTGTACCAAATCGCCATTTGCGCACCTCGCAATTCTGTCACTGCTATGGCGACTGCAGAACTGAAAGCAATGGTCTTTGACTATGTCTTTGCCGATCCAAGTTTCACAACAACTCGCTTCGAAGCATTCAGGGCGATCAGAGGCTGTACCCTCTGGTGTCCAAGTAAGTCATACTCACCTTCATCGGATGCGAGCTGACGTTCTTACTTCTTCAGAGACTGCCACTGAGGCCAAGCTAAGACACCTAGTCAAAGCTGCAGAGCGTAAGTCGTCGAGCCCGTCATCGTCTTACGCTCATCTTCGTCGTCGCAGTTACACAGAGAGCGTACGAAGGCTTCATGATGCCCAAGCTGAAGACGCCCATCTCTGCTGCCACCAAAAGTCGCTACATCAAGTGGTGGGACACGATCCTGCTCGTGCATACAGTGCAACCAAATATTAGCTTCGACAAGCTCTACGACGCCTTTGTTGAGATCACGCACACGGATTAGTGATCAGTCCGCACTGGCAGAAATTGCTGTCAGGCGTATATACGGGTATCACAATGCAATCGGCGACACGACGTGGACAGATCCTTCGAGCAGCTGAACGAGCACTTCATCGTCAAACGAGCTTGGCGCCACAGTGCAGACACGTCAGTGCAGACAGCTCCTAGCTCCTCCCAACGTATGCGATCGCCGCTTTCGTCATAAGCACAAATCGGCTATACTGTATTGCTGTCGTAGAAACGGCAGACAGCTATGGCAGCAGGGCATGGCTTCTCTGCAGCCCTCATATGTGACAACACACAAATGTAACACTCTTCATTTCCCGAGAGTGATGCACGAAGCGTCGAGCCTCCTGATGCATTGTGCGGGCACCGCACGAGCACGGCGGTGAGCATACACGGTGCAGGCCGATACGCTCGACAAAGGGCGAGCGTCGATGGGCGCCCAACTCGCTTCTGATGAAGTCTTGCTCGCGCCTCTCGTGTTCATGGCTCTTCAGGAGATGCGTAGGCAGGAAAGGGCGGTGGCTCGGGCGGGGAAGCATTGGCGGGATTGATCATCTCTTCGTCTCCCTGAGCCTCGTCTTGCCTGTCATTGTCTTGACCATTTTGACCTTGCGGAAGCTGACCGTCTTGTCCCTCTTCGTTGACTGCACTAGCCGCGCCCGCAGGCTCTTCCGCTTCTTCGAACGGCATCAAGATCTCCAGCGCCTGTTCATTCCAGACGCGAGCTTGATAGCGTAGGTTGGGCCGAGTGAGCGCGGGCAGGTTGGTGGCGAGAGAGCGTGACTGGTGCAGCGTGCTTGGCGCTAGATGGGGCTGCAGCGTCGTCGAGAGACCTGCGCGCCCTACCGTGCGCGAGAGACTCGATCCATACGGGTTGCCATAGATGTACGAGGGATGACTGCTGGCAGGCAAGACGGCTGAGTTGACTCATCAGCCAAAGAGGCAGAAAGAGCGCGTTCGCGAGAGCGTACTGTCATCCTCCTCGTCTTGGTAGCGAAGCAGGAGGTCTAGCGGTACTTCGATATCTGTCCGACAAAGTCAGCAGGGCGTCTGAGCCAGTGAGAGCGAGCTTGCCTTCGTCCTGAGTGAGATCAATGTCGAATTCGTCCGATAGGCTCTCTCTGCATTGCTCTAGGTGTCTCGTGTGGATGTAGCAGAAGCGGTCGTCCTGCTTGACCGTACGTCAGTCATGCTAGGCCTGGTGGGCCGATGCGCTCACCGCCATCTCGTCATTGCCAGTCGCGAGCGAGTCAATAGATGGCGAGCGTCGCGCCTACGCTTCGGCCTCCTCACGAGATTGCGAGCACTTCCCATCGACTGATCAGCGTGCCCACAGCCAGCACATAGGCTTTCCACACGAGTACACCAGTCAGAAAACAGCATCCAACGATGTTCAAGTCCAGCAAGAACAAGTCGGTCATTCCGCCAGTCCAGGATGACAGACAAAGCTATGCACCTCGTCCCGGCCAAAGCAGCGCCAATGGCTACGGCAGCTCTCGAGGTCCGCAAGCACCAGTAGGCGCATCTCAGTACGCTCCAAGCGAGCGTGCACCAAGCTACCGCACCAACACCTCCTCGACTTATGGTGACCCACCGCGTTCGAATGGCTACGGCGCACCCGCTGCGACGGGCTATGGCGCACCTGCTGGCCCTTCTAGGACCGCAGGAGGCTATGGTGCTCCTGCCGGACGAGGCTATGGCCAACCTGCCGATCGTGATGAGTTGTTCAAGGGCGCCAAACCGCCAAGCGACCGCTACGCGCAACGTTCATTGGACAACATTCCCGGCGAGCAGCAACAAGTCACCCAAGAAGAAGAGGACGATGAAGTGTACGTCGTCCTTCACGAGCGCATGCCGGCTGAGCTGACGATACTTTTTGTACAGGGAAGCGATCAAGCAACAGATGAGATTCACAAAGCAAGAGAGTCTGGGCAGTACACGAAACGCGCTCAGGACGGCAAGGGAAGCAGAGGAGACCGCTCGCAGCACTCTCACTCGCCTCGGAGAACAAAGCGATCGACTGGCCAACACTGACCGCCATCTCGACATTGCCAAGGGCTACAACGATCGAGCAAAAGACGAAGCTGAGGAGATCCGTCGACTTAACCGGTCCATCTTTCGGCCTACTTGGTCGTTCAACAAGGAGAAGAAGCGAGACGCAGAAGACGCGAGGCAGCTTGCTCGTCACATGCGCGAGAAGGAAGAGCGAGAAGAGACCCGCTTACAAGCCATGCAATCACAACAGCGCATCGAGGGTGCTTTCCGCAAAGCCGGCAAAACATCATCATCGCTCGATCGTAATGGTCCACATGCTACCGCCCAGCGGTTGCAGCAGCGCTCGAGGTACCAATTCGAAAGCACGGCTTCCGACGATGAGCTCGAAGATGAACTCGATAGCAACCTGAACGAGATCGGCGATGTTGCTGCTAGACTCAAAGTCATGGCCATGGCTGCCGGTCAAGAGGTCGACTCGCAGAACCGCAAGCTGGACGGACTGTCGACCAAGACGGACACGCTCGATATGCGCATCTCATCGAACACCGAGTATCTCAAGCGCATCAAGTAATCTGACTTCACGTAGATCCGATAGTGCTCATCCGTGTAGACATGCATTGTGTACTGTACTACCTCTCACCTCTCCACACGACGTCAAGATGCATGTGCTCATGACACGGCAGGATTTGTATCTGGATCTGGATCGATAGACTTGCGCCATTCGTCCAAACGAGCCTCAAAGGCTTCGTTGTTCGCTTTGAGTGCATCGCCTTGATCACTTTGCTTCATATGCGCAGCACGCAGGCCTTCGGTCGATGGCATGCGCTCTCGCGCAGACTGTTGTCTTACCCCGCTGCGCCGACGCGATCGTAGGGATGCCTTTGAAGCTTTGGTGCTAATGGCAGAGGAAGCGCGACGATTGCCTGAGCCTATCGAGATGATCGTCGAAGTATTCTCTGGTCCGGACTCTTGTGGCATACTGTCGATAGCTCCAGCATCACGCAGTACAGCGTGAAGATCCATAGATACGCGCCTTAGCGTCTCTCGAATAGCCTGCATCATCTGTCAGCTGGCATCTCGCTAATCGTAGCAGCCTACGCCGTGCTTCTTTTTCAGAGAGACCGAGGTAGCGAGTCGACTACTGTTGCCGTCTGAAGCACCATCGGCGTCAGAGTCAATAGTGAGCTCAGCAGCACGAGGTCGACGAGATACTTCGCTTTCACTGCTTAGAATCGATGCAGTCTCGTCGCACAAACTGGCCACATTGTCGAAGATGTGAGATTGCTCTTTGGCCGACAAGATCTTCCGGACGCGTTGCAAGATGGCAGCATTGGCAGATTGGAGCTCTGCTTTAGCATTGGCTTCCACGGCAAGCTGACGCAAGGCTTCAAGACGAGCCAGTCGTTCTTCGTTGACCAGCTTCTGAGAGTGCTCGGCTTCTCGGTTGGCGCGGCGCTTGTCTTCCTTAGCAGCAGCGACGGCTGCTCGGCTTTCCTCTTGCAACCGCTGAATGTTCTGGTGCTCGTTTGTGTAGCGCGATGCGAGGCTCAGTACGGCACGTTGAGCTTGCTGAAGCTCTCGACAGTTGATCGTCAATACAGCAGCCATCTGAGCATCTTCTTGCGCGCTGAGAAAGGCCAGATCGCGTTCATCGATTGCTGCAGCCCCCAAAAGCCGACCGAGCTCGGTTTTCCGCTTGCCAATCTGACTGACACTATCGATTGTAGGGGCTTTGCTGAAGAGTGAGCGGACACGTGAAGGCACCATGGCTGCTTTCTGCTCGACCAGGCGTTCCAGCGCACCGATGATGATGTACTGTCGCGAGTACCAGACTTCTTTGCACGCCTGGCCTCGTCTTGTAGCATTGCGATCGCTCTGCTCTGAGGCAAGCTCGCGCGACAAAGAAGCTGGACCTCCGAGCTGTTGACATGTCTTATCGAGCTCGGCTATCTTGCGATCTCGTGCAATGCCGCGAGAGACGAGTGGCATGCACCCAGCAGAGCATTTAAGGACGCACGTGTCGAGCCAGACGATCAGACAATCGAGCTCGTCGATAAGTGCAACAGTCTGCGCCGTTCTTTCGTCGATAGCGTACAGCCAAGCTCCGGGGTCGAGCAAGTACTGCTGAAGATCGCGCGGATGGATGATGGAACAAGCTAGACCGTCCCAGTCTGCAACTGCTGTGATGCGCTGAAAGGTCAGGACGGCTAGGTCTCGGATTGCAGGATCTTTCGAAATGAAGAGTACGCGACCTTGCGCCGATGCAACTTCGGCAATTGTGATGAGCGCGTCAATCGAGAGCATGGAGAGCATCGAGCATGGTTGGAAGTCAAGTTCTGGCAGAGCCTTGTTGCCGCCTTTGAGACCCACAAGAGCTGGCATCTGGGCAGAAAACGCTTGGCCACGACCTGGCGGCGCGACGAGAAACTTTGTGCCTGGTAGTGGCACTGGTGTCTGCATGAGCTGCTGAGCGCTTTTGAGATCCTCTTCGAAGCTTGACTTTGCACACAGCACCAGAGTGTCGAAGATAGGATAATCACTGCAGTAAATGCATGCTCGAGGAAGCCACAGCTCGAGGACGCCAGACAGATGTGAAGCCTGCGGGCGAGACTTGTACGCTTGACCGGGCATGAGTGTGCCATGAGCAGTAGGTGGCGGTATTTGCGGATCATCAGAGTCATCACCAGCCATCAGCTCTCGAGATTGTTGCACGAGTCGCTGGCTGAGGTACTGCATTGTCTCTGCGTCCAGCTCGCCAGCTTGCAATGATGACTGGAAAGCCATCATCTCGTCGTTGGTCGCCCGTATCCAGCCGCGATAGACGCCAGCATAGATTGTCCGCCGCGCGGCACGCTTGTGTGAAGGTGTCGAGATGCTGGCACTCAGGATATGACTGACCGGCGAAGTCGGCATAGTCTCTTTAGGTATGTCAAACTGGAAGAGTCCGATCTCCCTGGGACGCATATCCGTCGCTTTGACGATGCTCGCGCCAGAAGGAAATGCAAGCTGCCAGAATGTGCGACTTCAGATCAAGCTCTCTGTGCAGCCCAGGACGCGCACCTTGGAAAGCCGTGCCTGGATATGTCTCTGTACTTCCGGCTCAAGCAAGTCGCGCTCTCGTATCTTCCCTGTGTAGAATTGCAGGAGCTCACCCTGCCATGCCTTGGGTGCAGTGCAATCGGCAGAATTGTATGCACGCCAGGCTGTCGGCGTTGAGGCAGATAGGCCGACCTTCAGCGCGCACGTGAAAAGACGACTTGATTCTTCAAGTTGACTGCGCCAGGCTTTTGGCTCTTCGATGGCTTGAGATGCACTGCCATCTGCCCAAGGTGCTCTTGGTGGCGTAGTTTTGGCACTGTCCTCTTGCTTTGACTTGTAAGTCAGACTTGCGGCAGGTCTAGCCTTTGGCTGCGTTGCGCTCCGTCTGATCGCACTTGTTTGCTTCGCTACACTGTTGCGTTTGCTGGCACTCATCGAGCGCGAGAGACTGGCCATCGACTGTGCCTTGCTGACGGCTGATTCGCATTCGGGAGAGAGGCTTGCCGTTGAGCCCGCAAAAGTGATAGTCCCTGCCGCCCGATCACCTGCGATGATGTCGAAGGCAGCTGCGGCCTGATAGACAGACTTTGTCGTAGCAGATCTACTGTCATTTGAAAAGTGTCCAAAGGGCAGCTTGTCGCTGCGCGCATATGCCAGCGAAGCGCTGCTCGAACTCTCGCGACGCGAGTGACGTGCTGTGCTCTCAAAGACTGAGGACGGAGGCGGCAGCTGTAGAGGGAGCGGTCGCTGAGGACTAGGTTTACGCGCGTTCGCCAATCTCTGCTTATTTTCAGCCGTACTGTCTGGCGAAGTAAGTGAGCTATGCAGCGAGATCTTACTGAGCGCTATGCTGGAGCGCAGGCTTGTGACTCGCTGTACAGCTGCATCCGACTCGGTCCTGAGCATATCGATGAGATCGCTCTCGTTCGTAGAAGGACTGTCGTGAATGGGACCGTCATCATTGAGCGCCTGAGAAGTCTCGGTCGAGTAGCCATGCGTCGATTCGCTTATCAAGCTATCGCGGCTTTCGAGCATAGGCATGTTGCTCAGTGGCGCAGGTCCCTCATCGTCTAGCTTCGGCGGTGGTACACGCTTGACTTTGCGCTCGCTAGCGGAGCGCTTGCTGCTTATACCGCTGGCTGACGAGACCGAGGTCATGGACGGCACGGCAGATACAGGCCGTACATCCGCCAGGTTTCCTTGAAAGCGAGGCTTCGAGATGCTCTCAAATTGATCGGTCTCGGAAGTGAGCGTCGAGCCTGTCGCAGAGCGTACAGGTGGCAGATCACCAATCAGCGGGGTACGTGACGAGCCGAACATGCTAAGCGTCGTCATCGTACGACGCTTAGTTGGTTTGGTCTCGCTCGTCGCTCGTTCGCTCTGGTCGCTATTGTCAACCGTCGCATTGGAATCGAGCTCAAGCCATCCGGTCTTGGGCGAGGGCGTGTGCATTGCACATTGTGTGGCTTGCATGAGCGAGGTCGGAGACGCACGTGTGCTGGATGCAGAGCTCTCTCGTGGCGAGGCGAGCGATCTCTCGGGAGCCGAAGCGGTGATGGTGATATCGATCTCGCGCGAGACGCGCTGCGCGTCTGCAGCTTTGGCCTTCGGCTGGGTAAATTGAGCTGCAATGAGACCTCGCTTCATGATGTCAGACATGTCTGCAGCTTGCAGTTGTTTCGCATCTTGGACGAGCGTCGGAGAGCCGATATTGAGCTCGGTCGCAGAGCTCGGACTGTTGAGCTGTACAGTCGGTATAGGCAAAGGTGGCGAAGGCATCCTCGAAAGACACTTTGGCCGTTCGATATGACGAGGCGGACTTGGCATCGGTGGCTCACTATCACCTGTGCATGAACAGTGAGTACAGCGCTTTTGACGTCATCGGCCCAAGCATACCTTTGACTTCCTTACCGTCAGTCTTGCGGATGCCGAGGAGATCACGCAGCGAGACACTCGTCGTTGTACGTGGCCGCTTCTGCGCTGAAGAGAGTGTGCGTAGCCTCACAGAGATGCGGGAGGCTGAGGCTCGCTTGCTGTGGCCCATACTCGCCTCGCAATCAGAAGCCGCTTTGACAGGCAGATTAGGCGGATCAAGACCAGGTTGATTCCATGATCTTGCAGACAGGAAGGAAGGACTGACAGACTTTGTATCAGCTGTGTCTACTGCGTCCGTTTGCAGCTCGACGCCGGGAATGGGAACGCCCTCTGCCTTTGTCAAGGCACTGAGCGAGAATTCGAGACCTGAGAATCTGCTCGTGAAGGAGTTCTTTCCTCGCGGTCTCGGTCTACGGGACGACGGTATGCTAACAGAAGTCGAATCGCCTGCAGACGACGGCACCGCGCTCGTCTCCGTCTGGTGAGAACGAGCGTCTGTGTCACCACCTCGACTCTTGATTGAGAAGCCCGAGGAGGCTTTGCGGGCCAGAGTGAGAAAGCCCATGGCCAACAGTGTAGCGCACTAGCGTTGTCAGGCTGAGCATGAGTTGTTGAGGAAGGAGGAAGGGATGTTTCAGCAGAGCCTCGTCGATGTGTTTCGCGGCCGCGCACAAACACAAACGCCCAAACCCGCGTCACTCGACGGACGCCATGTCCGGGTCTGGAGAAAGCGGCGGCGCATTGACATGCAATGATCTATACAAGTCGTTTGCCTGATTGTCCTGCTGACGCTCTAGAGCCAAAGCTAGAGAACAAGCCTCCCTTGCCATGACCCTTTTCTCCAGGCAAAGCGAGCTCTTGACTTGATGTCTCATTCTTGTCTGACTTTAGCTCGGGTTTGACCTGACCTTCCTCGAGATCGTGCTTCTTGCCCACTTGTACTGGTACTTCCGTGAAGCCAGACGTAGGCAAAGCACCTTGCGCGGGCGATTGTGAGCCCACAGGCGCGGTAGACAGAATGATCTCTGCAATCGCAGGTTGCTCGACCCTTTGCTTTGGTTTTCGGGGAATCTGAGGCGCATTTGCTGCACCAGACTGCGCCATATCGCTCAGAGCTGCCTCGACTTCTCTTCTGAGCGCGATGAGTTCTTCGTCGACTTCAGGCACGCCGGCGGGGACGTTTGTGCCAATAGACTGTCGCCAAGTCGTCCCTCTCTTCCTCAGCAGAGCCGTTAATTCATCTTTGATGATTCGTGGCAGTCCTACGCCCTGATAGCCGAGCGCAGTGTAAAGCTGGACGAATGAAGCGCCTGCTTGTGCATAGTCCAGAGCGTCCTGGCCAGTCGAGATACCGCCACAGCCTATCAATGGAACTTTGCCCTCGGTCTTGCGATACAGGGTCGCAAGGGCTTGTATTGCCAGTGACTTGAGAGGTGGCCCGGAAAGTCCTCCCACTTCGGCCAAGCGCGGATCTGACGTAGGTGATCAGCGCTGCTGTATCAATAAAGGACAAGAAGCTCACCTGTGCCTGCGCTGGGTGGTCGGGAGATGGTCGTGTTCGAAACGATGATGCCATTGATGCCCGAATCGAGGACTGCCTTTGCTACATCGCCCAGTTCCTGAGCCGAAAGATCTGGAGCAACCTTGACGAGCACGGGCGGTTTGACTTTACTTTTCAGATCGTTTCTCGCAAGGACGACGCTTTCTAGAAGTTCTTCGAGCATTCCCTTGCGCTGCAGGCCGCGTAATCCCGGCGTATTCGGCGAAGAGACATTGATCACGAGCACATCTGCATAGGGGCCAAGCGAGTGAACGCCTTCCAGAAAGTCCTCGACATCGTCCGGCTCGCTCGTCTTATTTTTGCCAAGGTTGATTGCGAGAACCTTGCCTTCGTGCAGAGAGCGTGGCATTCCGAGTGAATCAGTCAGTACAGCGTCTCTGCCGTTATCAGACGCAAGCAATCGTGATACAGCATCGACAGTGACTGTTCCTGCTGCCATTTCGTAAGGCGGCAGCAGATTGGTCGGCAGAGAGAGCGCATTGTGGTGAACAAAGTGGCGTATGCGAGCGCGTAATCGCGCAATGACAGCTGCATGACCATCCGAATTGAAGCCGTACCGATTGACACATGCTTGCGTCTCTGGTATTCTGAACATCCTAGGCTGCGGATTGCCAGGCTGCCTCGTGCGCATGAGCCCACGCGCGGTGTGCTGACCGCACAGGACTCACTTGAGCTTGGGGTGTCACCGAGCCAATCTCGACATAGCCGAAACCGATGCCAAAGAGGCCGTCTATCGCTTCTGCATGCTTGTCAAAGCCTGCAGCGATACCGACTGGATTCGAGAAGCGTTTCCCCCAGAGCTGCTCTCGGCTCAGCTCGCTCGCGTGGCGCTGGAGGGGAGCAGGCATACTTCTATTGCTAGCACGTCATCGTCTTGTACTTTGTCGACAGGCGCAAGGCCGCTGGCCAGTACTTTGACAGCAAGCTTGTGAGCTTTCTCAGGATCGTCGCTGGTCACAAAATTGATCACAGGCACTGCAAGCCATCTGCACATGGACAGTGGGCATGAGCACTTTGTCGGGGGAGCTCCAAGCCTGCTTGCCTGTGAATGCCAGCTCGCGAGTCGTGTGCATAGGCGATAAAGAGGCCACCGAGCAGTAAGCCTGTTGTCGTCCAGAAAACGGTTCGTGTCCGTTGGAAGGCAGGCTGAGGAGCTCTTCGCAAGCCGAACAGGGTCCGACTCTGTCCCTGCCGGACAGAAGCCACAAACCGTGGCCTGGCAGCCGCCCTCAGCGTAGCCATTGGTGTGCGGTGACAGCAGGCGCGTCGCATTAAGCTCACAGCGACTCGCGGCTCTGTGCTTCATAATGGGGCTGTCAGATCATGAGCACAGTCTGAGAAGTCTAGTGCGCGTGCAGAGGGTACAACAGAGTGCAAGAGAGCGAAGCCGGTGATTCGTCGCATGCCACACAGAGCTGAGGGTGACGGGCTCGAATAAAGTCATGACGGGATGATTACTTGGGCGGATAGCCTTGCTGCATCTGCGGTTGCATCTGCGGTTGCTGTAGAACAGTTGCATCAGCTGCATCTGCAGTGGGAGGGGCGCTGCTTACTTGTGGCGGGCCTCCAGCAAGGGGCGGTGCTGGCCCTTCACGCGAGCAGTTCCACTCTGTCAGTGGTATGAGCTCCTCGTTCGCATTTGAGCGTAGTGACGCACGGCAGATGCTGCACTGCCAGAGATGAGAGCTGCTGTCTGTACGCGAGCGGCAACGTCAGCCGGCAAGCAGATACTGAAGTCGATGCAACGGACAGGGAATCAGAGGTATGTAGCAGAACTCAAAGATGTCCGTCTGCTTCACGGCTGCGATAGATGGGTTGTGGCACCTGGGACAAACTCGCACGCTGCCGTCGTGCTCATCCTTGTACTTTGTCTGGCAGCCTGCCCTTAATGATGATAAGCCTCCTATCTAGCTCCTATGGAGTTTGTCGACGGACCGCAGGTGAAGATGAGTGGAATGAAATCCATGTCGGTCAGAGCAGGCTCAAAGGCTGTCTACGCTGCTAGTATAGATCGCAGGACGGGCTACGGTAGCTATTCCGGACTGAACTTCGCCTCTGCCTCTGCGACGCTGCCGATGATGCGCGGACACGATCGTCGAGCTACGGAGCCGGTCTACGCTCGCTAGGGCGGCTTCCGCACGAGTGTAGAAGTGACGGTGCAGTGCGCTCAAGAGCCAAGAATCGCAGTTGGCTGGGCGGACGATTTCGAGCCCAAAATCGGCCGACGCGGGTGATGTGGCGTCGTTGCGTCACCACGACGCTCCGAAACAGGCGAGGCACACAGAGCAACTCATCTCCCAGAGCAAGTCAACATGCCTTTCACCGTGCGTCCACACGCTCGCCAATCGAGCTCGCTTCGTCTACATGCGTCTTGCCGCGAAGAGAGCATGGAGACGAGGTCGACTTGCACAGCCGAGCGTCTCTATTTTCATATCGCCGTACTGACGCTGTTGCTCCTTACAGGCTTCAGACATCTGCAAGATCATCGTACGCTCTCCAACCTGATCGAATGACGTTCGGGCACTGACACGAGCGAGCGTACAGTTGGCCATCTTCGTGCCGCCTCGTTCGTGACGTCCGGGCCTTCACAGCCCAACGAGCTAACGCTGGCCTTGCAGTTGGTGTCTTCCTTGAGCGAGGCTGCAATGCCGATTGTGCGTCCTTCCTGCTCGTCGTGCTTGCCTCCGCTGACCGTTGCGCCTCGTCTCTCGCGTCTGTGCTGTGCAGTCTGTAAGTCCAGCCATCTCTCCCCTTGGAACGTTGCTCATTTCCCCTTGTCTCACAGGGATCAACGTGTGAGTTGCATCATAAGCAGCGGATGCTATGACATCGCAAAGCTAGGGCAAGACTGACGAAAGTGTCTTATAGCTTGTTGACCATTCTCGGTTACATTCCCGGCATCATTCACGCGCTCTACATGTCAGCTCAGATGCCCTCTGCGCATGCTTCAGCTGACCACGAGGTCATCATACAGTATCTTAAAGTATTAGTAGTGTGCACGATTGCCGCTCGCGCCTCGATAAGCAATTTAGAGTAAGTCGCTCAAGCCTATCGAGCACGAAAGGTAGCTTATGTGTGCGAGCAGATCGCATCGAAGCCAGCCCTCTTGCTCGTTCAGTCCGAAGAAGCCACATTTACCCTACGTGTAACATACACGAGCTCATTGACCTATCGATCGAGAGAACGAGTGATGAGTATAGTCTGCATGAATGAGCACAACAAGCAATATCGACAAATGAGATATCAGTTCAATGTGATGATCAGATCAACCATCTCGAGGTCATAAAAGTCCATGAGCAGCACGAGTCCGCGAGCTTTCTGACCCTTGTCTGTCGCTGCGATCAGGGTAGACTTGATGCGCTCGTTGACGCCGGCAAAGAGAGACAGGCAAGGTATCGAGAGTCCCTTTGCAACGACGACAGGATATGCGAACGGCGGAGAACCACCCGATGTAAAGTCAATGCGCCAAGCATTGTCGGACGCTTGTAATGGGATCATAGGCTTGCACGAGCTTGTCGACGATGCTCGCGAACGTGACTGGTCGAGGGGAAGCAAAGCATCCTCGATCAGCGCAGCGGACACGGCTGCTTTCTCAGGTATGTCAAGTACGCCGATCAAGTAACGATCTTGTACGATGACGTCTCGTCCGTCGAAGAACGTTCGCCAGGCTTGTGGTTGGTTATCGGGCCACGTTGGCAGCTGAATACCTCCTGGATCCTGGCCAAAGCGCGAGAAGAGCACCAACTTGCCTCTCGCTTCGCGGAGGGTGGGTATGCGTCGCTCGAGGAACCACCGCTTGCTGTTTGTGGCGATGAGGTTCATGACGGCTTGCTCGAATCCTGCCGCTCGGTTCTCCTGCTTGATGGACACAATGACGAATTCGCTCGGATGTTTCTCAACGAAATCGACGAGGAGGTTGAGCACATCGACTGCTTTGAGCCGCTGAGACTGTATGCCATGGTAGGCCAACAACTCTCGCGGCTGTGTATTCTTCTCGTCCAGGTGCACGTGGCGCCTCTTCTTCTTGACGTAAGCGAATCTCACATCGATGAAGCGAATGCCTTCTAGAAGCTGTTGCTCGAGCGCCTGGGTCTGGCAGACCGAGATAGGAAAGCCATAGAGTGCCAAAGTTTCCTTGACGATGATGTCAGCCTTTACATCTGCTCGCGAGCACGGATCGCTCACATGGGTGGCAGGTAGACATAGTTCTGCGATGCTGATCTCGTCACTGATGTGCTGCAGCCAGTCTGCTCGCTCATAGCCATCGCAAGGAATGGGCGGCATCTGGAACAATTGAATCTCGACGCGCGAAATGACGTCTCACCAACTTTGGGCCAGCGCAAGGCCGCACAGACCCTTTGAGCGGCACAGACGACCTCAGGAGGGGCGCTCACAGGTGATTTGGCTGCCGCTGAGGGCTTCGGCGGCACCATGACAGCTTGCGGGTTCATGTCGTCGATAGGAGCCAACTTATCGGAAATGACTTGCATTGAGATCCAGTCTGGCTAAGAAGCACAAGCTGGGCTCGTACAGAGCCAGCAGGACAAAGACGACATGGTCGTGGCTACAAAGTATCCTGATGAGCTTGGCGAGGCATAGACGCCATGCTTGGCGACCGCCTTGACCGAGCGCCCAGCGTTGACGCGACGCCACCCTTGCGACAGCCGGGATGCCGGCGATCGTCCGTCGAAGACAGTCGGGCGTAGATCCTCAGGCGACTCCATCGGACAATTGGAAAGTGCGCAGTTTGCAGCTTCTCGATCCGGAGAGGCGACACACGCAGTCTCTTGGTCGGACAACAAGTCCATTGCTGCAGCGAGAGCGCTCACTGTCGTAGACAGACACTAGAGATGGCGAGGCAAGTAGGCCGCCTGACATGTCTGGCAGCTTGTATTGCAAGAGCCATGGCGGCCCCTCAGTTCACTTTACCGCCGCTGACACCACTCAGCATCGCCGGTGACCCTGCTTCCTCGACCTCGATTTCGCTCGCCTCGCTCTCGACTGCTACCACATCGGCCCCGCCGACAACAACGAGCGCCGTAGCAATACCCACGTCGACAGGAGCGCTCTACGAACCTCCTGGGAATCAGGTCATCCTTGGCGCTTGGGTCGATCAGGCGATCAACTACAGCGATACACCTGCTCAAGTCAACGCCAGACTAGAACGCAATTTCGGCATGTTTCAGCAGACGCAAGAGATACCCTTGGTGCCTTATAACTTTACGCTTGGCGCTGGCGGACAGGGCAGTGAATTGCTTATTGCCGCCACAAACACTTCTGCCGCACTCTTCCTGACTGTATACCCTGTCAACATCACCGCAGTGCAACCCGTCGATCTAGAAGCATTAGGATACCAATGTCAATCGTATATTGAGCAGGGTCGGCCCACATTCATTCGATTCGCGCCGGAGATGCAAGGTCGTACGTGGCGCAACGACGTCCGTACAAGACTTCGCTGAGATGCAAAGCAGCTTGGATGCCTTATGGCGTACAGCCGACAGAATATATTGTGATGTGGCAGGCAATGTACCGAGCCGTCAAGGCGGTCTCGCCTAACTGTGCTCTTGTCTGGGGACCCAATATCGGCAGCGGATATCCCTATGGCGTCACACTCGGCGAGATACCCAACGTTGCAGACCAGCGGGCGCTAGATACAAACAACGACGGCGTGCTTGACAGCTCAGATGACCCATTCACACCGTACTACCCCGGCGATGACTACACCGATTGGCACGCTGTCTCGCTTTACTACAAAGGACCCAATGGTGGCATGAGCGTGAGCAGCATAACTTTGACCATAAAGGTCGCACGCTAATAGCTCCACCGCAGTACAACCAAGCTCAACCGGGCGGATTTGTGGCTTCACTGCTGGCCGGCAGTGACCCAACAACAGGAGCCGACTCAGGCTACAACTTTTATCAGACCTATTGCGCCAACAAGCCGAACAAGGCTTGCATGCTCGGCGAGAGTGGGGCTGCTTACCATGTCACTTCGGACGGCGATGCCTCTCAGCTACAGCTACAACAAGCTTGGTGGCAAGACTGCCTTACCAACGCCACTTTCTTCGATGCTCACCCCCGACTGAAAGGCATCATGATGTTCGAATTTCTCAAGGAGGAGTATGACACGGGAACTGCGGACTTGCGAGACTATCGTATCACGAACGCGACAAATATCCTTAGCGCTTTCCAATCGGACCTGTCTTCGGTCGCTACTCGCTATGCATGGTGCGTTCGATTGACCCTTTAGACCTGATTGTGCTGATCGTGCGTCGGCATGCTCAGGGCTTCAGCGACAACGATTCTCAATGCCTGCCCGTCGTCGGTCAATCTTTTGGGCGTCGTCACGACCATCTCGGGTACCGTCTTGACGGTATACGAGACACCTTGCGCGTCACTACCGCCCGTCACTTCTACAGCGACCACCTCCAGTGCTGCTCAGCCGAGTCTGACGGCATTGGACCCTGCAGCTGCAGCCAGGATGACATCCAGTACTACCTCGGGATCTTTCGCCACCTTTAGCGCTCTGGGCTCTGCACCATCAGTGCAGCACAGCAATAGCGCTCTCTTCATTACTGCTTCAGTCTTTCTTGCCAGCACGCTCGGCTTTAGTCTGTTTTGGGCATGACGAAGTCGCTTCGTTCATTCTGTCACAACACAAGCAAATCACACTTCGCAAACTCACTTCTGACTTCTATGGACACTATTAGCTTGTTGACATACATCTGTAGACTGTATTGCATCGGGATCACTTGCCTGTCGTGGCAGGACAGGTGCCAGGCTTAGCATGACCGAGACGCGTCGATTTTCCCACTTGGAGCCAGCAAGCCGGCGGCCAGCGAGCCCATGGCCTCGTCAGTGATGTCAGACGCTGGTTCTCTCAGCGACGTCGGCTCCAAAGATCCCTCCCTTGAGCCTGTCGAGTCAGTCGTCGCCGAATCCGCGCCTCCTGCGACCCGACGACCGACGAGAAGTCGACAGCGACCCGTCTCGTCCGCCGCATCGGCCGCATCTACTGCAGAGACCGTCAACCCACTCGTTGCAGCCCTCGATGCGCACAAAGAGAGAGATCCCTTGCTGACAGAGGAGCTCGCAGTCGGCTTTATAGAGATGACGCCGTCGGGCAAGCTCACGACCTCGCATGAGGACAGGCTACCGCCGCCACCCGCGGTCAAGGGTAGCGTGCAAAGCTATGTACAGTCAGCCGTAGCCCATAAGCGTGCTAGCATGGGATCTGGCAAGTCACACAATGATGCGCTCACGCTATCGAGAACGAAACCGACTACTGCGATTAAATTTAGGTAAACCCCATGCTTGGTCGACTATGCTTCCTCCTGACTGACTGGTTATCGTGTCCCAGTCCTCTCAAGGGTACTCGTCGAGCTCGTAGAGCTGAAGGCGAGCCAAAGTCGGACGATTTGTCGAGTGCAGACACTCCCGAGCCCGAGAATGGGATCGTGAGCGAGTGGTGTGGCTTGTATGCTTTGGCTGACCAGTCGGTGTCCTTCCGCCGCTTGCACAGATGAACAATGACTTCTGCGACGCTTGCAAGGGAAAGGGACACTTTCTATGCTGCGAGGCATGCCCGCGATCTTTTCACTTCAGCTGTCTGGACCCACCGCTCGAGCTGTCTGATCTGCCAGAGAACAGCTGGTATTGCTGCACCTGTCTCTTTTCTAGGGTATGCTGAGGGTTCACTGCGCGCATCAATAGCTGACTGCATATGCTTGCAGCGGAAGACAGTTGTGGCCATCCCCTCCGAAGCTGGGCCCTTCACGACGCTGATGACCAAAGTTGCCAAAAGCAACGTCACCGAATTCTCTTTACCGGCGAGCATACGCACATTCTGTAAAGATGGTGAGCGCCTCTGTCTGTCCGGTCGCGATACCTGCTCAAGGATGGTCTGGTGGTCGCAGTCGCAAGCAGAGAGAACGGCGATTTCATGGACCTCGTCGAGCATAAGCCAGCGAAGAAGTGAGCGAGATTTACTGTTCGAAATCGTGTCTCATCTGCAAGCAGAACCGGCGTCGAGGAGCGTGACCCGTATAAGCTCAAGTCAAAGTCAGGCGCATCTGTTCTTTGCTTCCGATGCAAAGGCGCAGCTTCTTCGCCCTCCAAGCCTATTCTATCCTGCGATTTTTGCGACCAACACTGGCACCTTGACTGTCTCGATCCTCCGATGGCATCTATGCCTGCGCCAACCAAGCGATGGATGTGTCCCACGCATCCTGCCCATGTCCAAGTAAGTCGCGCCACTGCTTCCGTTCAGCCGGCTACTGATGACTCCCGTCAGGCCAAGCGAAAGAGGGCGCGAAACACGCCGGTCGTCGCGATCAGCAAACCCGGTCAGCGCAACAACGGCGACATCGATATCGTACCCGGTCGATTCTCGCGTTATTTCGACCAAGAGGTTGACTACGATCGCATGAATGTCAACGGCGTGCGGTATCAAGTTCCGGAAGACGCCATCATCCTCGATTTCTGGACCAAGGCCAAAGACGCGCGCAGGTAAGTCTATGATTTGTTCAGTTGTCAGCGATCGCGCTGACAGATGGCATAGTTTCCGGCGGGTACGCGGCAATACCAATCAGGGCGCCCTCAGTCAATTGGCTGAGCTACAGTCGACATTCCAGCGGCAGCGCGAGGAAGATTCCGAGTCACTCTCAACGCTATCCGATCTGTCGGACTTTGTGCTCAACAACTTCCCAACCGCGCCACATCTGGCGGCGCCCGTTTCGGATGGAGGACCGCCTAGCGCGGATATGGACGCGGAGCCCGATCAGGCTAGCATCTCACCAATCCTCGCGCAAGCCGTCCTACAGCGGGTCCAAAGCCCCGCCGAAGCCTTGCCGACGCCTGACAATAGCTCTGAGAGTTCCGATGAGACCGCTGGCGTCAAGGTCAACGGACAGCCGAAGAGCCCTTTTGACGGTCGCCGTGTAGTAGGTCGGACAATCTATGGCGCGACGACGCCCAATAGCATCACGAGCGGCAGTCCAACGCGACGAGCTCAGAGCAGCAAGCCCGACTCGGCGACTGTTAGCAATGGCAAGCCACATCCGAGCGAGACCATTGATAGGGCGCCTTCGGCCGAATCAGCTCTACCAGCACCGGAAGATGGCATTTTGGGAATAGACAATGCGCAAGACGCGCGCCCGCAAAGCAACGCCAAGAAGCCAAGGCATCCGCTCAAGATCAGGTTATCGCTGAAAAGCAAAGGCAGCGCAAGAGCAAGTCCAGAGTTCGAGGAGCACCCCGTCGTGCAGGACACGCCTGTCGCGTCGACCTCGAGCTCTACAGATGCCGTGCCTGAAGGGAGACCACGACGCGTGACAAAGCGTACTCGGCTGAGCCCGCCGGCGGTCATTCAGCCCCCTAGGAGGAAGCGGCCGTCAAAGCCACGCTTCAGCAAGCCAGCAGCAAGCTCTGCTCCAGCACCTGTGCCCATGACCACTGATAGCACGCCACCACCGATGACTTCCTTACGAATAGACGACGTTTTGCCTTCGTCTGGACCGCATTTGACCGCCGAGCGATCTCCTGCAGCGGCCAGACGCTCCAGGGCCGGCAAAGAGCCAAGCGCGGGTCTGTCTACTGGCTCGAATAGACCTACAGCATCACAAGCATCGGGCTCACCGTCTGGATTGCCTGCAAACGAGAGCGGTTCCCAGGGGCGCTCGCAGTCGCCCATCGCTCTCACGGACGAAACTGGGGTCATGGCTCCGCATTCAGGCACCACGATGCGCAGTGCTACGCTAGACGACGAGCCGCACAATCTAGGTATGGATTCAAAGGCGGCTCTAGCGCAAGTGACCGGCCTGCTTCAAGATGAAGATTATGCCATGCAAGAGGATGACACCCTCAAGTATCTAGCGGCGCCGGCATATGTCGATGGGGCTACGAATTGAGGCCCCTGGGATATTACGATCGTCGTAGCGGACGCGCACAATGGATTTCTCGAGCGTAGCATGGCGCAAAGGTCGGGTCTGCTCGCGAGCAAGTCGTCGGAAGATGGTGTACACATTACATTGAGGGTGTGCCGAGAGCCTCACAACAGAATGAAGACGTCTATCGCTTGCCAGCCTTGCCAGTGGCCATCGCAGTACTGAGCGTGTCGCATTAGCTTGCATATGCTGCAGTAAATAAACCGCTTACTCTTGTGGCGCCTTCTGTGTAGGTGCAGCTTGAGATCAGCTCAGCTCTTAGCAGCGAAGCAATACTCACATCTCTTCGGAACAGCAAAATATGCGGCTCTGGCGCTGCACGGCAGGGTAAGATGTCAGATACGCGACCTCGTCATACGGCGTAAAGCTTGCCATGAACCTCGACTGTATTTTCGGATGTCAGCCTATCAAACCAATGCTGTGAATGGGCTCACAGTGCTCCCAGCCTAAGCTCTGCGTTATGCCAATTCCCCTCCACTCTTGCTCGGTCAGTATCCTTAGCACGCCCGAATCTTCACTTGAGAACATATGCTTCGGTAGCATCTGCAATACGGCCCTTTGATGAGCTCTGCGTAGTGTCATAGCTGATTTGGTCACCTTCAGGAGTCCTTCTGCTCGTTGGCGTTGGCAGCCTAAGTGAGCCCCTATGCCCACTGGAGCACTCGCGTGACGCACTTGGCAAGATGACATGTCTGTCTCGTCCGCGATCAGCACAGCAATGATCTAGCTGCGATGCGACTCGCCTGTATTCGTGCGTGTCGTCGCTATATCGTCTGCAAAGCAAAATCATTCAGACATAAAGAAGCGTAGGCCCACGTTGCGCACTCGGAGTAATGTATGAGATCGATGTAGTCGGACAGCGTCTTGCCCTGCTTGCTCTCGTCCGGCATCTTCGGCTGTCTTTTTCACTCGCAGGGGACGGACGTCAAGTCGCGCGAGCAAGACGCGTCGCGACGTATGCTAAGCCCCAATATGCAATGTACGTACAGACACCAAAACACTACAGGCTGAAATCCGGATGAACGAGCAGAAGCGATTGCGGCACTTCCAGAGACGCTTCGGTGCCGTCAGTAGAGGCAAGCCCTTGCCCAAGCAGCTCCAATAGCTTCTTTTCCTTGACAAGTTTGGAGATGACCTTTTCGATGAGAGTTTGCTCTTGCTGGAGTTCCTCTGTGTCGTTGATCTCGTCCTCTTTCTGCTCGAGATACCACTGTACGACGTCCGGCCGCGGCAGACCCTCGCCAGTCTCTCGCTCGTGCTCAGAGAGATGCAGGATGATCAGGTTCATGATTGACATGTATCGCTCATACGTGATCGTGATCTTCTTCTTTGGCGCTGGTTCGGTATCTGCACGTAGCCCACGTCCACCCGTAGGGCTCGAGGGCGCCGGCTGAGCTTGAGACGATTCGGCCTCGGGCGGATCTTCCTGCATCTGCTCATCTGCTGGCTGCTCTGTCTCTTCATCCTCTTCTTCGATGGCAACGTCGTCTTGTTCAACATGGATGATCGACTGTTTGAGCAAATTGTATGCTTCTCGCACAAAGTTGGGTGTGATCTGCATTTCCGATCAGCGCCAGCCAATCATCTGGAACGGCGACAAACCTCGTCCATGCAATTGGCACGCGCGATAGCTTCGCTCAGACGGATCATGCTCTCCAGCTGACGCACAGTGATGCGATAAGAGTTTTTGCCAAACCCTTGCGAGTCATCTTGACGCAAGATGCGATACTTTTCGACGAGTACAGCGGAGGCTGCTGGAGTAAGCTTTGGATTGAACGTTCGACTGTAGCGAATGTAGCGTTGCAGAGCATCTGTAGAGAACTCTGGCTCGATGGCAGCGTCTTGATAGCGGTGCACATTGACGATATGGTTGGCGATCTTGAGATCGGTGTCCTCATTGCACTCGTCTAGGACGACGAAGAAGAGATCAAATCGAGACATGATGGGCGCGCTCATTTGCACATTCGCACGCAAAGAGATCTTGCGGTTATACCGGCCTTGGACTGGGTTCGCAGCAGCGAGGATCGATGTGCGCGCATTGAGGGTAGCTTGGATGCCTGCCTTTGCTATAGAAATGGTCTGTTGCTCCATCGCTTCGTGAATGGCGACTTGATCAGACAGGTCCATCTTGTCAAACTCGTCGACCGCGCAGATGCCATTATCTGCCAGCATGAGCGCGCCTGCTTCGATGGTGAATTCGCCGCTCTCCTCGTCCTTGACGACAGCAGCCGTCAGACCAGCGGCAGATGACGCTTTCCCAGACGTGTAGACAGCACGAGGCAGAAAGCCGCAGACGTACTTCAGGAATTGCGATTTGGATGTACTCGGGTCACCAACGATGCAGACATTGAGATCGCCACGAAGGTGCGTGCCTTCTGCCGTCTGCTTATGTACTCCGCCCATGAGCTGCAGCAAGATGCCCTTCTTGATCATCTCGTGGCCAAAGACGGTCGGCGCGATGGAGTTGACGAGGCGAGCGTAGATATGCTCGGAGCTGACCATCGACTCGAGTTCGGCGACTTCTGCTGTCGTCAGCGTGGACAAGAAAGCCTCTCGAGCGAGCTCCGGGCTCTCTTGGGAATCCGAGCGCACGTCAGTCGACGACGCATTGGCTCGTGCATCTGCCGATTGTGACATGCAGGCCAGGAAAGCGGTCTTGTATGTCAAGTCCTTGACACCGAGCGAGCGCAAGCCTGTGACGCCCATACCAGCTCCACCGAGCGAGCCGGAGCCGCTGCGAGCGGCTTCGCGAGTCATCTCTGCATTCACGCCAGGCAGGCCGAGCTGTGCCACGTCGGGCACGACGATGAAGGTGCCTGTAAAGACGCACTTGTCGCCAGCCTTTGCTTTTTCGCAGATCTCGCCGCGCAGCACGACATCAAGGCTGCCATATGTGTTAGCCTGGCCTGTGGTGAAAGCGAGGATGCGTACGATCTAGGCATAGAGCCCGTAGGGATCTCATTCGCGTTCTCCTGGATGCGAACCTTTTGCCAGTCCATGAACTTTGATTGCTCGATACTGAGCGTCCATCTAGCCTGATTCTGGCATTGTATATTCGGGCACATGTTAGGCTGCGTGCGCGGATCAGTATCGGCTGGAAGCTGAAAGAGATAGGCACACTTCGGTATATTTGAATTGCTGCTCGACATCTGTGACGATTGTCTTGCATTCGGCACAGACAAATGTGCCATATATCAGCTCCGGTCTAACTTCGCTGGTCCGTGTGACGGTGCCTGAGATGGACAGCAGGTGACCAATTTTGTCAGTTCGCAAGTCGCGGATACCGGACACGAGTGGCAAGTTGTAAAAGGCAATCTGAAATTCTCGCGTCGCTAGACCTGATGCAACGGTGCTAGCCTGATGATTGTTGAGGTAGAGATAGTCGGGTATCCACTTTTTGACTAGCTCTTGCAGTGACAACCTCAGAAAAGGCAGAAACCTGTGGAATTGCGTCACTCGAAGCTACATGGAGCTTGCTTGGGGCTCACCGGTAGTATTGCTCTGCTACAGCGCGTGCAAGGACCTCCTCCGCAGTAAGGACGTGCGAAAAGTCGACGTAGAGCGTCGTGAGGTCGAACTCGCGCAAGGCCTGGATCTGATCGATGTAGATGGCTCGAGCTCCCTGGTGTATCTCATCCGTCCGGAGCTGCTGCTCGGTGTCGTCAAGAGTGAAACTGAGCTTTCATCATCAGCTTCAAGGAAAGCATGAGGAAGAGGAGTCTCACGTCTCAAGGAATCTGATGAAAGTCTCTTGCACTTTCTGACCCGTCTCGTCCTTGACTCGCTCTACGCCGTCCCCTCCTCGACGATTGGCAGGCCCGCGAGGTCTCGGGCGTCGGCCTGCTTCGTCTGCTTCATCTTCGCCGATGGGATCGTCGCGCTCTGCTCGGCGTGCAGCACCATTACGACCAGCCTGCGAAGGCGCTGATGAGGGCTGTAGCTCCATTCTGGCCACACCATTGGCCAGGCCGGCATTGTCGACATCGCTCCTTTGACTCATGACTTTGCAGCGTAGATGGAGGAGACGCGAGCAGCACGCGACGCGTAAAGTAGCTAGCTGATAGTGTCAGATGAATGATCGATGTGCCACATCTGTCGCTCACTGTCGATCTCTCAGACGATTCTCGCAGGGCGTTCTGGCCGTCAAGATGCCGGGCGAGGTCAGGCTCGTTCGCGCCACAGCTGCGCAGTCCATCGAGGCCAACAAGCGATCGCATGTCGAATGGGCAAAAGGCCTCTCCGTCGACGAGTACCTATCTCGAGAAGAGACGCTGGGACGATGCAAAGTAGCCCAGGGTCTTCTCGCATGGGTCCTGATTCCACGCTCGGCGCCGACCGACACACTAGACTTCTTTTGCGCTTGCGAGACATACAGACGGCGGCTGTTTGCACACGCGCCTCGGCTTGGCCAACCTGGACAAAGTCTTGAAGGTATTGGCTATGGTATCTGCTCTGTCTTTACGCCTCAACGATACCGAGGCAAAGGGTATGCGGGCCAGATGATGAAGCTGCTGCATGCAAAGCTGGCAAAGCCCGGCACTTCGCCATTTGCTTCAGATGCTCAGGATGGCGACGACGAAGATGGGCCCAGGGATGCCACGCTCTCGGTGCTTTACTCGGACGCAGGCACTTTCTACCAAGCTCACGGCTGGACTATTATCGGCGCGCTCCATACGATTTGGCCAGTGCAATCAGTAGCGCTCGAAGTGAAGCCACAGCTGTCTACAGAGCGTCTTGATGATGGCATGATCAACTCTTGCGCAAAACAAGACGTAGCCGCGACGCAGAGACAAGTGTACACATCGGCCGACACTGCTTTCGCATTCGTCCCGACGGGAGATGAACAGCAATGGCTTGTAACACGATCGAAGTTTTACCATGAACACTTACCGGCGCGGCGCGGGCACTCGCCGCCAACCACTTTCGGCGCTAGGGTCATCACTGATCATGCAGACTCATTGGAGAGTCACTCCGCGAGCGAGTATGCGGTGTGGAACTACGACTATAGCGGCTCCGAGCTCAACATCCTACGTCTGCGGGTCAATTCGCCAGGTAAATTCGTCGTCACGTTCTAGCCCGCACAACTCACTCGCGACACAGAGGCATTAGAGGCGCTTATGGTGGTCGCAGTAGAATGTGCAAGGGAGCAAGAATGCCAGACAATCACCGCCTGGAATGTCGACACGGGTTTGCTCAAGTCAGCCGGTCTAGTAAGTCAAACGAAAAAGTCGAGTCTGCCGGCACTGGCGATCTACGACGACCATCTGAGAGGCGCTGATTGGCTGGTCAATGAGAACCTCTTCTGGTGTTAGAAACAGCACAACATCTGCATTCACGCACTGACAACATTGCATCGCATGCTAATTTGTGGACGGTCCGAAATCCTCGAGATTGAGATATGCAGGAAACGATGCGTCCAGAGAGTTCGTGTTGGTCTTGAAGGCACTGGTGAGTGGACCGGTGGCAATGATCTGGGCTTCGACGATGTAGCGCATGCGACTTGAGTGATCCGAGCTCGTTTGCTCGCTCGGATTAGAAGTTGACTGTGCAAGCGTAGCAGGCTCGCTCGCGCTCGACATCGACGTCGTCGAGGACACGAGCGAGGGTGAAGGCAAAGGAGAGGAATGGCCCGAGCCTTGCGAATTGTCAGTATCGGACTGTCTGCTTGAAGACGGTAGAGCAGGCTGCGTGTCTTCTGATGGCAAGCTCCGGGCAAGCGCAGCCTTTGCAGACCGGCTCTTCTCCCGTCTCACTTCACGTCGTCTCCACTTCTCTGCCGCTGTCAGACTCGGCGGTCGAGGTGATGGCGTTGGGCGATCGGGAGGCCTGCACGTCAACGCCTCGAGCGGCTTGACGATCTCCAGGTCGCCTTCCTCGTCGTCGCTCGTATATACGTCATCAGCCACGCTGAAGCAATTGCTGGGCGATCGTCGCCACCTCGTGGTGTTGCTAGGCTTGATCGTTGCTTCGGCAGCGATGGGGGGCTCTGGCTCAGACAAGCTCACGTCCGGCCAATCGAAGCCCGGCTCTATGGTGATTAGCTGCTCATCTGGAATGAGGACCGTCGCAGTAGTGACAGGCAGTCTCTGACTGCTGGAATCTGAGTCCTCGTCGTCTGTGTCTTGAAAGATACCGTTTGCGCGCCTCAAGAGCACACGGTCACGCTTCTGCCGCCTTGCTTGACGCTCGAGCATCTTGATCGTCCTTGGATGTAAGCCCTGCACGGTCTGCTGGCGTAGGTATTGCGGCGGCTCACGCCGGTAGCCTGCTTCGATGAGATCTCGCTTCATCTTGGCATTGGGATCGTCGCCCATCTCATCAATGGCTTCTTGTCTTGCAATCTTGAGTGCCAGCGCGTCCTCTGTCTCTGGATCAGAAGACGGCGAGATCTCAATCTTGCGCAGAATGTCGACTTTGGCGCTTAATTGATCGGCCATGGTGCGCAAGGTACGCAGAGAGATCTCGAGATCTTGCGCGTCGAGACCAATGAGTGTTCCATCGTCGAGGATGCCGATCTCGTAGATAGCCAAGCCACCGCCTTCGATGAGTCGCCATTTGAGCTGGGTGACCAGACGTCCTAGACGATCGCCCGTTGCCGTTTGCAACCTATACTTGTACTCAATCTGTCACGACGCGCTTCAGCTCGACTTGACTCAGACCGGAGGACAGACGTACGTGGCCACTGTCATCCGACTCGGGAGCAATGCCGAACGATTGGGATAGTTTGCGATCGATGTGAAGCGCCTGAAGCGGCAGATCGAGCTCATCCGACGCGGTAGCGTGCGATGTGGTCGAGCAGGACAGCAAGCTGCTCGAGGCACGCCGTAGCATCTTCTGGTAAGATCCATCTCGCTGTACGACTGACGCTGCTCCGCTTGTTTGACCTGAATCGACGACCGTGCTTGCTAGCACGCTCGAGAGCGATTGGAAAGGCGAGTCGAGCCGAGGCGACTCGCTGATCTCCTCGCCGAACATGTTGTGTTGATGATTGATCGAGGGGGCTCAGTAGGCTCCTAACCTTACTATCATGGCTTCAGTTAATGAGGTGACTCGACGCTATGCCTGGCCTGATCCTGATCTGCCGTCGCGGCTCCACGTCACTCAAACTTCCTTGCAGAAGTCGTCCTTACAGCTTCCAGGAGCCGGGCACCAGTGCCATGTCGCAGTTTGACAGCCCGCCGGAAGCGAGCACGAGCTCTGGTCAGCCCAAAGGTCAGTATGCGCAGGCTCCCGTGGTCACAGAAGACAGTCTGCGCTGGAGGCCAAAATACGTCTTTCGGCCGCCCCCGTTGGGCCCTGGCTTAGGTCCCGGCGTTCGTCAGCTGCGAGTGCCAGCCAAGCCGAAGAACATAGTCCATACTATCACAGGTTGGGATCCATACGCTTTCAAACTCCCCAGCTATCGGCCAGGACGGAAAATGATCACTTTTATCGTCGTGACGACTTCACTCTACGCTGGCGTACGATACGATCGCAAGGAAGCCAAGCGTATGGCTGCAGAATATCTCGAGCAAGTCAAGGAGATGGGCCGGCAGCCTATTGCAGGCATGGAAGAAGTGCCACGGTGTATCAATGTGCTCACAACGACCCTGCCTGAGGATACCGAACGCGACAGAAGCGCAATCTACTTCAAGAAATATATCAAAGTGAGCGTCGCTTGAGTGGCTGTCTCTGCTCGGCTGATGATTGTAGCCTATGCTGCATGCCGCGGGAGTAGATTATGAGATTCACACAGGCAAGATGCCCGGCAATCTTGCGCGCAAGCTCATAGATGAGATACGGACGCGCCGACTCGAGGAAGAAGCGAAACGACCGATCGAACAGCCTGTACCCGGCACAGCAGATTATGTTCGTACTGTCCGACGATTGCAAGAGATCCAAGGCGGCACGCTCATCATCGGCCATAACACGCTCAAAGAGTATCTTTATGCCTTGCGCAAGGGCTGGCTGTCTGAGCTGGATCTCGTGCAAGCTGCACGCGACAATGACGAACCAGATGCTGCACTTTCCGCTAGACTGGCCAAGCTCCACGTATTCGATGATCCTGCCGACCAATTGAATTCAGATGGTCCCAATGTGGGCAACATTGACGACGAGCCTGCGCCGCCTGTCTTGACTCGGCTACAGCCGCAGTCAGCCGCACCAGAAGCAGGGTCAGTGTCGAGATGGTCAAGCTGGCTCAAACCAGCAGTGCAACCACCGCCCTTGCCGGCCTTCGAGCTCAATCCTCCCTTTGAGGTCGACGCGCCCGAGCCAACTCCTCGCATCTTGCCCGCACCAGCCCAGCTACCTACTCAGCCGCCGATAGCTATCGTAGCATACGATCATCCACTGGGTAGTATGCGTTGGTGGCCTCTCAAATCCTGGCGATTGCTATTCGGCGAGCGCGAACGCGTGCGACGAGGGGCAGAGACCGCTCTTGCCATCTTGAACTGCCATACACGCCCACTCCGAGGACCAAGCGATCAGAGATACATTCTTGCAAGGACCGGTAGTGAGCTAGGCGCCGTAGGAGAGCTAGAAGCGCCACAAGACAATTTCTTGACTGAAGAGGGCAAGATGAAGGATTATGACTATACCCCTCTTGAATCTGGCACGGATCTCGACATCGGCTCTGATGCTGAGCTACACTACATCAGGGTGAGTTCTCTGCTGAATTGATCAGCATTTCGCTCATCGATTTCAGGCATTCCGCAAATGGCCAGAGACGATTGCCAGCTCTCGCAAGGAGTGGTACACCCAGCTGCCAAAGAAGTTGGCACTCGCACGAGAGCTTGCCCGAGGCGATCGAGAGCCCACAAAGGAAGAAGTCAAGTATCCTCCTATCACCGAGACAGAGTTACGACAGCAGCAGCTCGACAAGGAGCGTAGATGGCAGAACGAAGAAGAGGGCTGGAAGGTGACACGAGCGGGAAGCAAAGTTGCATGGGACGAACGCATGGAAGAAGCACTGTACTTGTTCGTCAAGAGCAGCGAGGAAGAATGAAGCATGCTTGTTGTCAGAATATGAATGCATCGCAAGTGCGCAGCTGACCATCGCAAAGTGGTAGCAAAGACTGCGCAGTCAAGGGTAGAAATGCATTGCTGAATGCCATCATCGCGATGCATCTCCGGGCGAGTACAGTCGAAGCCGCGATAGGATCAAGATCGGAGAGCAGACGTGATCGGAGAGCAGACGTGGGGCGCGATCAGGCCGGCGAATACGCGGTCTTTGCGAAGCCGATACGCTTCTTGTCACCGTCGAGAATGACGGCGAAGCGCTCAAGGAAGAAGCAGCCGAAGATGTTGAGAGTTGGCAAGACCGTTTCGGCAACGTAGCTGGCAAGCGATCAGCTGCTTGCCCCTCGAACAGCTTGAGAAAGACTTACGAATAGGTGTACTTTGTATCGAGCATGAGTTCGTTGACATAGCTTGCGGGCAAAAGCAGCTCGCTTGCAGGTAAATTGAATGTAACACCATCGACGACGAAGTCGAGGGCAGGCACGTGAGCGAGTGAGCTGTTGGGGAAAGCTACGATTCCAAAGGTCGCGTCCTTGAAGACGCCTGGAATTTGGTTGTACCATCTGTGAGCCGCCATTAGCGGGAGATTCACCGACTTTGGCAGACTGACTTGGAAAAGGCAGATTTTTGAAGCATCAGCTGAGTAGAGCCGGTGTCAATTATGGTGAATGAAGCGACTGGATCTGACGCTTCGATTCCAACTGAAGGGATGGCCACCGTGCATGCCCAGTACTGGATATTAGAGTCAGTGGCAGAGTTATGCCATTCACCGAGCATATCTGCATAAGCAATGTCGGACTTGTGCAGCGCATAATTGATCGCGCCGAGCTCGAGGGCGCCGGCGTCTGTGCCGAGCGTCCTTGACGTGTCCCTTGGTTGAAAGTACATCGAAATGATGTCCGCAGCAATGTGCTTGTCTGCTTTGAGTTGCGCCATAAGGTTGAGGTATGTGCCTGGTTTGATGCCATTTGTCTGCGAGAAGAAGTTGTCTTGTTCAATTTGTGGACTGAGGCCAATGATGCCATTGACGCTGTCGGCCACTGGTCCGCCTGGATAGACTGCTCCCGCGAACTTGAAATCGAATGTCAAGCCGCTGCCGGCGAGCGTAACCTCGTCCTCGTACATGTAGCCAAAGAAACTGTTGGACGTCAACCCCTGCAGACTTGTCAAGCTCGCCGAAAGCTCACACTGAGAAGTCCGCGTAGACCTGTGCGTAAGGTGTAGTCAGGTTCTTTGCGTTGCGACCGAAATGATATTTTCTGATGACCGTTGTGGGGGATCCAGTATCGAGGGAGCAGTAGCTATAAACATCCGATCCGATTGAAATGTTAGCGTAAAACGTCGAGCCACCGAGAATAGGAACAGGCCAGCGATAATGCTGCCCAGATACATGGTGATGTATACGGCGCTTGTCGAGCTTTGTGATCGCTACGTCGCGTCGATGGACGGGTATCTTGATCGCATCACACAGCGTCAGAGCCGCCGCAACAGCAGTCAAGAGGATGAAGCGCATGTTGTATGCAGATGATCCTTCTTGAAAGGTCAGCTGCAAGACGAGCGATGGAAGCAACTGGCAGCGGAGTACATGAGATAAGCGAAAGGTGACTCGGAAACATTGCAGCCAGATAGTCGCGCTGCCGACTGTTGAGGACCCGAGTTGCTCTTGTATTTGATTGCACTATCTGCGCAGGATGCGGCAAGATCGGGACGATACGCACAGACCCTCGAAGACTTCAGGATATACGTGCTGGCTTGTGGCCATCAAGCCAGCACCTGTTCCTTCCGGTAGGCTGAAAAACCAGAAGATTGCATCAAGAGACCTATCGGTACAATCGGAGCTTAGCATGATCGAGCGTTCGAAAGACTGAGGATGAGTGACATATGTGTTGCGCCCTGTGCCACCGATGAGCTCTACTGTGACGAGGGTGGGTGTACATGTGGACGAAACGAGCGCGCAATTGCAAGCTTTTTGGGAGTGATGCACGAAATTTGCAGGCCAAATCAAAAAAAGAAATCGAAGCTGATCAGCTGTATGCGTGGGCCGTCATCTCGACAGAGCAGCGACGGTGATCGCATTCAAGCCTGTCCCTTGGAGTGCTCACTTGTCAGACCACGACTTCTGTATTCGCTACAACAAATGCGAGTCTACAATCCGTAATGCAAGTTGACATTACGCTCGCTCGGCCGTAGCTTGACGATGGCTTGCGAGATGCGATGCGGCTGACGAATGGGTCGTGCTGCCGGCGGCGGTGACAAGAGCGCAGCGTATGACATGGCAGGCGTCTGCGAGCCTGGTGTTGCACGCGGTGTTTCGACCGTATCCTCTTCCTCGTCATCGTCTTGACTAGATGTCTGTGACATGGACTCGTCTGTCTCGCCTGCGTCCTCCATGAGAACGTCTAAGCCGCTTTTATGTGTGTCGAGTTCCAAGAGAGCTTGATCTATGAGCTCGATGTTGAAACCTTGCGGCGACTCGGAGCTTTCAATGTGCTCGACAAGCCCGTCAAAGCATGCCTCGTCATGCGCATCGAATTCTTCTGCGCGTGGACGGTCTTGCCAAATGCAAGCTTGTGCATCATGGACGTATGCGTTCGGACTGTCGGCTCGCCTTTCGTCCAGATCTTCCTCAGAGTCGACAGACATGTAGCTGCTATCCGAGTCGGAGTCGGAATCTGTCTGTAGAGCGGACGAGCGACGTTGCGTACGGTGAGAGGGTCTCAAACGGATTGCCGGCTTATGAGCTCGTTGTCGATTGTTACGCCGATGGCTTTGCGTCGATGGGCGAGATGAGCCAGCAGCGCGACGCTGTCTTGCACGATCAGCATAGGCCGGACAGTGACTGACTGCACTCACACTAGGTCGTGATCTCATATCGCCCCGATCAAAATCCGGTCGCCTCCTCAATGTGCTGCTCTGAGCGGTAGATCCGAAATGGTCCATATAGCTGAGCTTGGAATTGAGCGCAGCTTCTCTTTGCTCCTTCTGCTTCTGCAGCTGCTCTCGAAGTACTCGGCCTCTCGCAGCTAGACCGATCGGCAGTGTGGATTTCCGAGGCTGTGTTCGCGGCGGTAGCATTGGCAGGGGGGCAAAAGCGATGGAAGTAGCTTTTGGTAGTGGCGCTGACGCTTGGCCGGGAGGACTAAGCGCGCTGAGGGGTATAGCATGCGGAGGAGCAAGAGGCGCGACTGGCGCTGGCTTTGAGGTGACTTGCGCGACAAGCCCTAGCGAGTTGACTACCGCGGGCTCGCTGTCGACCGAGCTATGTCCATCACTGCCCGGTGAGGTAGGCAAGTAATCTGAGTGCGGGTCAAGGGCGCTCGCAGGCAGGGAAGAGCGGTACATGGCTGCCTCGAGCGCAGCAGGAGTCAAACGTGCTGTTTGCGCTGTGGCATAGAGATTCTCGTCTGACGATGTAGACGAGCTGAACGAAGAAGGTACGGACGAGGTGGTCGAATCTGATTCTGCATCCGAGCTGTCATTCTGATCGTCCTCGTCATCATCGGTTTCGATCGATCGCAAAGATGGATCACGACCCAGAATGACATCCGAAGGCATGAGCAGCTCAAGTGCGGGAATGGGTCTGTTCGTCTTGGCTCTTGCCAATCGTTGTGCAGTGAGATCGCTGGCAACGCTTCCCGCTTTTCTGTGATAGGTCATCGCGAGCTCGTCAGGCAACCCATCGTCTAGATCATGCTGGTCGATGCTCGGATCCGGGTGCAGATCGTCTGTGTGCTCCGATGAGTGTACGCTCGGCTCGGGCTTTATGCTGATTGATTGCGACAGTTGATGATGTAAAGCATCTGCACTGACAGCACTCGCCTTGAGTGCGTCATGCGAAGCCTTGGCAGAAATGGTGCCTGATGGTGACGGCGGATCGTCCAGCTCATTCTCTGGCGTCTTTATCAAGATGGACTGCGTCGACTGGCTGCGCCATTTCAGGATATATGTTCCGACGTAGTCTGGATCCATCCAAGTACTCGATGGTCTCAATCTTGGCGAGGGCGCCGAAGAGATGGATGAAGCAGGTGAAACCGAACGAGACTTGTGCGGAGTAACATCTCGAAAGGGCGACACTGGCATGGCGTCACGACTCATTGGAATACCCCTGGCCAGGTTCGGACTGGGCATAGCGCCATTGTGGCCCACTCGAGCGTCCGTGTCGGCAATCTCGAGCCGAGCCAAGCCAGGCGTAAAGTACTCGGCCTGATCAGTCTTGACATCGTAAACGAACTGACGCTCTTCAAAGGGCCCTAATTGCACGCCTTTGCCGGGGCCGTCGCCTGCATCAGAAGCAGCCACACTCGTCGGTGGACTCAGATTGGATGCGGTGTCGAGCGCAGACAGTGAGACAACCGAGCCGGAGCGCGAAGATGAGGCCGAGGAGGAGCGTGACAGTGATCTCGCCCTCTTAGTCTCAATATACTTGCGCATCGTTTCTGATTGACGGCAGCGAGGCTGTATGCGCGCTGTGGCAGCGTTTTGCGGACCTGCCTACCTGTTCATGCTCCTGATAGATAGACTCTTTTGATAACGATCAGACGAGCAAATCTGAAAGAGACATTGATCTGAAATCGTGTACCGTCCTTGCCGCCGCGAGTGATCGAGAACTTCGGAGAACGCCGCGCGGAGTTCGCGGAGAGCGAGCGCGTGGCTATTTCGAGCGTGTGACGCACGATAGGATACTGCTCCGCCAGCTTTTATAGTCGACTCGCACCCAGACGAAGCTCGCGACATGTCCTATCTCTCGCCCGTCCACGCTACAGAGCATCCCGACAATTCGCACATCGCTACGTCGGTCTATGGCTCTTCGGCAGCTGGGAAATCCCTGCCGAAATGGGAGATGAACGAGGAGGGTCTAGAGCCTCGACAAGCTCAGCGATTCGTCCAAGATGAGATGTTGACCGACGCAAAGCCTGCTCTGAATCTAGCTTCCTTTGTTACGACTTATATGGACAAAGAGGTCGAAGAGCTTAGTCCGTGCTCTGCTCCGCTGTCTGCGCGGCACTGAGCTCAATCGTGCCATGTAGTGTTGCAAAACCTCAACATCAACGCCGTCGACGCAGAAGAGTATCCGGCCCAGGCAATCATGGAGTCACGCTGCGTCAACATGATCGGGCGCTTGTTCAACGCGCCAATCCATGATGCAGACAATGAGGTTATCGGCGTCAGCACAGTTGGCTCGAGTGAAGCCATCATGCTGGCCGTGCTCTCTGCCAAACGCCGTTGGAGAAACATGCGCGAGGCGGCAGGAAAGGACTTCAGCAAGCCCAATATCGTCATGAACGCAGCTGTACAAGTCTGCTGCAAGTCCTTCCTCCCGCTCTGCCCCTCGCCGGTGCTGACGCAGTCCGTGTTGCAGGGGACAAAGCCGCCAGATACTTTGAAGTCGAGCCCAAGTTCTGGTACTGCAGCAAAGATACCTTCCTTGCGGTGCCCCAGGAATTAGTCGACTTGGTGGACGAGAACACCATTTTGGTAGCTTGCTTGCTGGGCTCGACCTACACCGGTGGCTACGAAGATGTCAAGTCTGTCAATGATTTGCTCGAAAAGAAGAACAAAGAGCTCGGTACGGATGTGACCATCCATGTCGATGGCGCGTCCGGTGGATTCGTCGTACCGTTCGTGCAGCCTGACCGCGTCTGGGACTTCCGTCTGCCGCTCGTGTCGTCCATAAACACTTCTGGGCATAAGTACGGACTCTGCTACCCTGGTATCGGTTGGGCCATCTGGCGCTCGAAGAAGTACTTGCCCGAGGAGATTCTCTTCACGGTCAACTACCTCGGATCGCCGCAGATCTCTTTTACGCTCAATTTCAGCAAGAGTGCGCTCGGCGTCATCTCACAATACTATCAGCTCATCCAGCTTGGTAAATCAGTTCATGTCCGTCGATGCGGCGCTCTGACAGCGTCTGTGCAGGCAAGGCGGGCTATCGTGACATTATGATGAACTGCACAAATACGTCAGACTATCTGGCAGAGCAGATCATAAAGATGGGCGGCGGCAAGCTCTTTGAGCTCATGTGCGAAACTGGCGGCAATTCGCTGCCTCTCGTTGCATGGCGACTTGTCGGCGAGCACGCTTACGATGAGTTTGCCATCGCTCGAGAGCTCAGAAGCCAGGGATGGGTCGTACCGGCTTACACGCTTGCGCCCAGAGCAGAATCGGTCAAGATGCTGCGCGTGGTCTGTCGCGAAGACTTTTCACGATCGCGCTGCGAGACCTTTGTGCGAGATTGTGCGTGCCATCCCACTCGCTGACTTAGGGTGCTGACGGGGTAGCGGACTTGCAGTGCAAGCAGTCGTGGAATACCTCGACAAGACGCCGAAAGCGGTTCTGGACCATCTGGCCAAGCATCCCAAAGTCGGTGGCAACCACGATGAAGCCACTCATCACGGCAAGCACAAACACATGCAGCCCAAACACTCGCACAAGCCAGGGAAGACACACGCTGTCTGCTAAGTATAATATATTGTATAGACATACAAACCGATCTATGGTGATGCACAACGCAAATATGACGTCTTCTAGAGATGCGATGTATCCGCTAGGATTTCCCACCGGTTGCTCGGGCTGGTTTCGTGGCTTAATTGTGGCCCGAACTCAAGGTAGGCATGATGCAGTAGCGACTGGCAGAGCAGATACGAACCAGGCTGCCGGGATCGGTCGCATCAGCGCAGGTCAGCCGAAGAGAAAGACACTCACAAATTCGAGAGGATGTATCTCACCCAGCGAATAACCGCGGAGGATGTGGCCGTAGTCGAAGAACGGCAGTCCAGCTCGCTTGGCCAGATACCGCGTGACTGATATGATAGCATGCGAGCGCTTGTCGTCTCTCTGGTGAGGTGGCGCGGTCCCGACTCGGTGTAGTATCCGAACCCATACAGGCACGTTCGGCCAGAGTTCTTTCGTCTTTGCAAAGACGGACGCTACCCTCTTTTTGTAATGTGACAAGTCGTCAGGAAGCATAGGAAGATTGGTTTCGTTGCTGGCCTTGTCGACAAAACCATAGGATTGCCATGGCATGGCCACCAGATCCCACATGCCCGTGTGAAGCCTTATGAGGTCCGGACCGCGATTGTCGGTGTAGAGATCGATAAAAGGCTTCAACAGCTTCTCTGCCCGCTCTTCGTAGACAAGGGGCGGATGGACGTCATACGCGCTAGCGTGGAAGCCAGTGTCATCAGAACCATAGAAGAAGGCGGTGATGATGGTGAGATTGAGTTTATGAAAGTGCAAGATGCGCGGTGTGCCGTGAAAGGAGATGTTTGCCATCCTTGGATCATCTTGGACCTTGATGCTGGTCGAATAGTAGTTTGCCAACATCATAGGACGATATACAAAGTACGCAAAATGGTCGAGCATGTTCCTGTCGACGGAATCGCCCATGACAAAGATAGTTCGATTGGCTAGCCAACTGACTTTGGCGTAGGCTTCCTGCGCCTGCGCGTTCCTTTGCCACTCTTGATACTTGACAGCCGCAACTTCTTGCGTCCATGCTTCGTTGATTGGCGGGTCTGCTCTGGCTAGCAGAGCTACCCAGTCCGGTGCAGGCGGACACGCTTTACGGTGGGGTATCCAGCTCTGGGTGCGATTGTCGGGATAGTGAAGCAGATAGCCATCTTCCCTAAAGGGATCACACGCAGCGCCGGTCGGTCTGATTGCCTTGTGCTTGAATGCCTTGTGGCTTAGCGTATGCTCGGACGACCATTGTGAAGAGGCAGAAGTGTACTCGAGGTGATGAAACAGATTCTGCTTACGTGACTGCCAGAACCCGACGAGCACGACAAGCAATACTGCCGTCAGCGCAAGGCTCTTTGACTTCATCCCGACCTGTTAATGCCACTTGACAATCAATCCCGTCCCTTGATATTATTGGTCCCGACGCGAGATCTTGTGATAAGATCGGCTCAACTTGAGCATCTTGATTAATGACTTGATTCACTCGGGCGCTGCACGCATGCGAGACCGTTTGACCTTCATCAAGTTTCCGAATGGCAGCTACCGAACAGAGCGACACCAAAGTCGGCCCACGCGATGTCGGCCCGGATGGGTAAGCCGCTGCACCCGAGCGTAGACGACATGAGTTGACGCCAAGGCGTAGCGAGAAGATCGTGGACATGGAATTTTACGACCGACTGGGCGTGCCCGGCAATGCAACAGATCTAGATCTCAAAAAGGCTTACCGAAAGCTCGCCATCAAGTGGCATCCGGACAAAAACGCGGGCAACGCGGAAGCAGAAGTCAGTTCGGGCGCCTCTCGGCGAGCTGTGACTGAGGTGTTGCGCGACGACAGGTCAAGTTCAAAGAGATTGGAGAAGCATATCAGGTTCTGAGCGATAGCAACTTGAGAGCCGCTTACAACAAGAATGGCAAAAAAGGCAGCGGTCTCTCTCAGGACGAGGTCGTCGACCCTACGGCCATGTTCAGTCAGATGTTCGGCGGCGAGTCTTTCAAAGACTGGATAGGCGATATCTCGTCAGTCACAGGCCTCGGTCTCGCATGATCACACTGAAAACAAAGCGCAGATTGGTCAAAGACATGACGAAAGCGGGCGACATCCTCATGACTGACGAAGAGAAGGAGCAGATGAACGCCGAGCTCAAGAAATCAAATGGCGCTGCTCCTGCTTCTGTAGGTGCGACGCCTGTCTCTTCGGGCGCAACACCAGCTTCGCCAACCGCCGGTGCGTCGACGACCGCTTCGCCTGCGAACGCTGCTGCTCCAACCGCCACTGCGGGAACGACACTCACGAGTCCAGATTCGAGCATGACCACCGCTGTAACAGACGGGACTGCATCACCTGCCAAAGATTCTCCAAAGCTGACCCCCGAGCAAAAGAGAGAGGCGGCAGTGGCAAAGGCAGAGAAAGAGAAGGATCAGCGCAAGAAGATGGCCGCTTTCCACGAGCAGCGTCAGAAGGAGCAGACCGAGAGGATACAGACGCTCACGAGCAAGCTGAAAGATCGTGTACGACCCTATGTAGATGCTAGCTCTCACCCGAGCGAAACGACGGACCCAGAGACCGAAGCTTGGCTCAAGAGGATCAGGCAAGAAGCAGACGATATGAAGATGGAGTCTTTTGGCATTGAGCTCTGCCAGCTCATTGGCTCTGTCTATGTGCAGAAAGCGAGCACCTTCCTCAAGATCCACAAGAAGCCTTCATCGAATTTGCTAGGTATTCCCGGCTGGTGGTCGAGAGTGCAAGAGAAGGGCCGGACAATCAAAGAGGGCTTCAACCTCATCACTTCATCTATAGAGGTTCAGAATGCACTGGAAGATATGGCGAAGAGGACAGAGGCAGGCGAGCTGCCCGAGGAGGAGCAAGCCCAATTAGAGCAAGACATGACCGGCAAGGTCAGCCCATGGCTCTCTTTGCAATCTGCAACGTGCTGATGCACATGCAGATCTTGCTTGTATCATGGCGAGGAACCCGGTTCGAATGCCTCAACGTATTGCGACAGGTCGTCGACGGCGTTCTAGCTCGCGAGCAAGGCGTATCAGAAGCCACGAGGACTAGTCGCGCAAAGGCCATTCTGCTCATCGGGTCTGCACTCAAAGCGGTACAGCCAGACGAAACAGACGCAGATAGAAGAGAGCTAGAAAGGCTCGTTGCTCAAGCTGCTCAGAGCAAGAAACCGGCGAAGGCGAAAGCCAAGACAAAGCCGGACGCCTGAGCATCTGACCCGTCACAATTCATGTTGTCCTGCCCGTTGCACGTTCGGATTCTAGCTGCTAGCGTACATACATTATAAGCAACGAATAACAGACTGAGCGGAACTGATCCGTATGATAAGTCAGAGCCGCCAGTCGACTTTGCCTTGTGCAGCAAGCTCGCGATATCGGAGCTGGCGCGAGACGGCCATAAGGCACGTACCGAAGCATACCGTGGTCTGCAGACTCGGGGTCAGTCAAGTGTCATACAGAGGGGAAGGAACATACCCCAGAGAAGACGACCGGCTTCCAGAATGTATATTCTGTCGACCCTAGCAGGGCGCCAGTGATGGGCACGCCCGTCAATGCTGCAATAGATACAATGGCCCAACTGTACTCTCATCGTAAGCAATCGATCAATGTCAGATGGTGCAACAACTTACGCTAGACCCATTCTGACACCGATCTCTCCAGGATGGCGGGAGAGAGCCACGAATATGCTCGGCATCAGTGATACGAAAGCGCCAGCTACAGTGCGCGTCAGCTTGTGCTGACCCTGACGCAAGGAGGCTCACAGAATAGACCGAATAGGATGCAAAAGGCCACGATGCCGCCAGGACTGCCGCACGCGAGCAGCACGAAGATCATGATGCCCGTAATGCCGACGGAAGGTATCATCATGTTGTATGCACCAATCTTGTCCGCTGTGAAGTTGGGAAGCACTCGCCCAAAGGTGCTTGCGCTGTTTCTGTCTCACATGGCATTTAGTGCGGTCCATGTGCCAGATCAAGCAAAGCTTACAGGATCGCCAGAGTGTAGAATGAAAGATTTTGATCGATACCCTTGTCGAGACTGAAGATTTCGACGAAGAAGAAGGGAAAGAAGATGCCCCACATGACGAAGAAGGTGCCTGCGACCGCGACTTGCCAAGCAGGGTGGGTCAAGATCGCCTTGAAGTCAGGCGGAGGTAGCTGCAGTCCTGCTGGTCGGTGCTTCTTGCCGGGAAGTCTTGGCTTCATGAGCAGATTGGCAATAACGAGTAGTCCGAGGATAAGATAGGCATTCTCGCGCACAGCTGATCCAAAGTCGGTCCTGAGCAAGCGTATGAGCGCCCCCAGCAAGCACGCAGGCTGAGGAAGAGATACCTCTCGAGACGCTTGTTGAGGAAGATGGGCCAGCAAACACCGCCGATGGACGAACCGCTGACGACGACCCCGATCGCCAGAGCGCGTCGCTTTCTGAACCAGTGGGCGATCACGCTGACGCTTGGCAGGAAGAGGAGGCCGAGGCCCAGACCGGCTGCTACACCTTGCGCAAGGAAGACTTCGACGTATGACTTTGAGAGCGAGAGCATGAAAATACTGAATGTGTACAGCACCGAGCCGCAGATTGTAAGTGCGCGGAAGTATCCCTCATCGAACAATTTACCGACGACCATGCCTGCTCGTTACTGTGAGGATAGCAGAGAGTCGCGAAGGCAGATAATTTACCACAGCTGAACATGAAGAAGAGCTGGACTGTTCCCACCCAACTGATCGAGCTGTTGCTCTCGTGCAAGTAGCCTGCCGAGTAGAACTGTTGATAGACGCCAAACGCGTTGACTGCGACTGCGTGAGCGAGGTAGATTCTCGAAGTAGGGCAGCGCACCATATCCGAATGTGCAGAACAGTACGACCCAGGCTCCTCCGACTGTGGCCCACCCTCGCCAGCCCTAGAAATGATGCAAAGTCAACAAAACGCGAGCATTTCGCGTCGAAAGGCTGACCTTGTCATAGCCGGCCGCGAAGATTGCTGCTTCGTCTCTTTCTGGTGCTGCGCCTGCCTTGCCTTCTTCCGCGAGCTTCTCGCTCGGCACAGGCTCAAAATCAGGCACGCCGGTGTCGTGCTCGTTCAAGCTGGCGGTATGCGAAGATGTCTTCTCATCATGAGCGTCTGCTGAGCTCGCCGACATTGTGCTGGTCTGTACGTAGAGAGAAAGTCGGATACCAGATCTGCCGGCTTATTATAGCAGCAAGGAGTCATGTAGTAAGCAAGCGAGGTTTGTCTATTCATTAGCGTTATCTGCGCACGCGTTCCCGATTAAACCCGACAATGTTCGGCCGAGTAACGTAAGGGCGCAAGGTTAACGGCGCTCCGTCCGTATTCGCGTGCCTTCGAGCTCGCAGATGGGGTCGCTGCGAAAATCTGTGAACACAGAAGCCGCGGCTGCATATGATAACAACAGCGGCAGAGATCAGATCCAAGATGGGTTCACAGTGCCAAAGACCGCCTGCTGCACTTTTCGTCGGCTTCTCATGGCGGCAGGGCGTGTGAAGCGCTAATCCACCTTGAGGCGGCGAGCTTCGATGTTGATCTCAAAGATAGGCGTAGGTCTGTCCTGAGCGCGACAGACTCGGAAAGCTTCCTCCTTGATGTCCATGACCGTGCCATTGATCATCGAGATGATAGAGATAGACGGGCTGAAGATCGTGAGATTGTATTTGGGCAGTTCGACGGGACCCTTGCGTATTGCTGCCAGCGCTTCCAGGATGCCTTCGAGCTCGACGAGGTGCTCGAATTGTTTCGGAGAGGCGAGCCATTCCATGAGGTACCAGCGAGGCTGGCCATAAGATCCGGCGCGGACGCAAGACAGATGGCCACTCTTGGACCTGGGATGCACGCCGACGAAGACACTGACATCCAGACCGCCCTGGGAATTGATCACACTGCAGGCCGCCTCGACAAAGAACGGCGTCGCGACACTCTTTTGTTGAGGCGCAGCCTTCTTGGCTGCTAGCTCCTGACGCAGACGAGCTCTGCACGGCATTGTTAGGTCAGTGAGTATGTGTCAAGCAGGCTGGGCAACTGACTCGAGATGGGCAATGAATTCGGCGGCGAACATGGTGGCGTGCTCTGGTGAGTATTGGTCTTGTGCGAAGATGGCTTTAAAGAGTGTGCGAGTACTTGCACGTCGACTTGTGAGCGAGCGAGTAGGAAACGGTTTTGAAGTGGAGGAGAGATGGCAGCAACACATATAAGCAGAATTGTGCAGACGCGTCGAAGGCATCCTGACGGTTTTGGCGACATCGGGTAAGCATAAAGGTACGGTCAGTTACTGTTAATGATGATGGCGCGGGGACTATTGAGACGGTTCACGGAAGGCTCGTCTGGCCATCTAGCCCTTACCCTCACACGCGTTGTGCGACAGCCCAAGCTGTCGCAGGCTGTCGTCATCGCCTATGATTACGTGCAATACTTGCCCATAGCGCGCGATCGACTGACATGCGATAATTGCATGTAGCGCGTGATTCAGCCAGACCTGATGCGAGTGATTCCGCGTCTGTGCATTCGCATGACGGCACGCGCTGGCGCGAGTAGACAGCGGTAAATGACATTGTCGCGAGCCTTACGATCTGGGTAGCGTAGATGGCATGGATAGATGCAAGGAACATCTGGATACCCCAACTGCTTGAATAACGAGCGACGTGGGTCGTACCAATCAGGCTGTCAAAGCGTCAGTAAAGGACGGCGCCATGCCCAGAGCGACATGTATTTGTACCATGAACTCATCCAACCGATCAAGGTACTCGGATCTGAGCAAAGGAGTCAATACGATCAGCGTCGCATGCGAGTCACTGGCGGTGTCAGCTTTGTGTCAGCAGGACCGATGCGCAGCGACTACCCGAATGGAACGGTGCCCCGGGTAGCAGGAGAGTTCATGTCCGTATGTGGCATATGATGTAGACGCAACATCCCTGCCTCGGGCTCTTTAGAGGAATTGTACACTATGCCGATCTCGACATGGCTCGGCTCCCTCGCGATGCATTGCACGTGCGCGTGCACACGGATACGGCGGCACATTGAGACGAGCGCTTGCAGTTCTCGAAACATGAATACAGACGTGCTGAGCTTGGCGGAATTAAGACGGTCCTCTTCAGCAGAGGCTCTGCGATCGCGTAGAAATGCTTCGAGTAGAGACTGAAACGCAGTATGTCTGAACAGGTTCGGAGCGCAATGAACACGCAGATGTACAGCCCGAGCGGCCATCGTTGAATTGCTGCAAGTCCGTCCGCGAGTAAGGGCAAGCGTCTATCGAAATACGTGCTCAGTCTGAAATGCACGGGACTGGCGCCTATCACCGGCTTATTGACGCGATTGTGGGGGTTCGGCGTTTCAACCAAGGTCGCCGACGGACCGGGGTAGCACGACAAGAACTTTTGTCTGACGACGCAAGAGAGACGTCGACGATCTCAGCCAGACAGCATGAGCAAGGTGAATAGCTTCTGAAGACAAATGTCTTCTTTCCTATCGTCATCCCCCTGCCATCCGAGCGGCCTCAGCATGCTCGTGCCCAAGCGATCGAGCCCTTCTCAAGCTACTAGCAGCGACCATCGCGCAGTCACAAGCATCCAACCTTGCAGTACGTTGAATTTAGCAGCTATGCACCGAACAAAACGGCAATGCCATTCGGTACGACAACATATAAGCTTTCGGCGACTTTCGAGACGCCTTTCAGCCTCAACAACGCAGCGCGCGCTATGCGAGAGCTACGTCCTCCTCGCCTGTCTCGTTTCCTGACCGACTTCTGAAATACCTCGTCGCCGAATGGACCGGCGCAGCTGCGCGTATTGAGAGCACAGAGCTGACAATCTTGTTGCGCGATCAGACATTTGAAGCCAACGAGGTTGCAAAGCACACGTCCGAGAAGGATGCCTGGATCATCGTAGATGGAGGTTCGTGTACCTCTTCGCTAGACACTTGCTGAGCTGACAAGCGCACGCAGGTGTCTATGGTAATTGCGATCGGTCTGATTGGTTCATTGTGCTAAGCTCGCGGGATAGATGTAACCAGCTTTCTCGACAAGCATCCAGTACGTCTTGTGTGCTTGTCGATGAAGCCTATGCTCACAGCTGGTACAGGGCGGCAAGAAGATCCTGTTGAAGCATGCGGGTACAGACTCGAGCGAGCAGTTCTGGAAATTTCACAACAAGGCCATTCTCGAGAAGTCTGGCGGCAAGCTCAAGATCGGCACAGGTGCGTACTTTCCATCTGCAAGTCCTTGATCCTGGCTGAGAAGCGATGCAGTCGGCGGAGGCGATGTCGTTGATGTTGGCGGTGGTGGTCAAAGTGACACCGCTGCACTGAATTACGATGAAGACACAACCTACTTTGGGTATGTAGACTCTCTTGTGTGCCGAAGCGTCACTAACAGCGGTGACACACAGAGACATGGTACCCTTTGGTGATCCTCAATGGTACCAGGATTGGGCATCGCCATATTACAATGACTCTCACCGTCGCGTGCGAACGTACATGCGCGACTTTACAGAGCGCGAGCTCATGCCCAACTGCCACGAATGGGAGGAAGCGAAGGAGATCCCTCCTGCCATGATCGAAAAATGCGCCAAGGCAGGCATTCTCGCTGCCGTCGTCTCGCACCACTGGCCGACCGACTACGCCAAGGGCATCCCGGTGCCCGGCGGCGTCGATCCCGCAGAATGGGATGGATTCCACAGTATGTCCTTTGCCCTTGAAGAGACCATCGGAGCTGACGAAGATCATAGGCTACATCGTGTGTGACGAGCTATGCCGAACAGGTTCGGGTGGTGTCATGTGGGCATTGATCGGCGGCCGTAAGTCGTTCGTGCGTGCACCAGCTCATTCTGACCTCCAGTACAGTTGGCATCGGTCTTCCGCCCATTCTCCGTTTTGGCTCGCAGGAAATGAAGGATCGTGTTGCACCTGCCTGCCTCTCAGGCACAAAGCGAATCTGCCTGGCAATCACTGAACCCTCTGGAGGTTCTGATGTCGCCAATCTCACGACGACGGCAGAGAAGACGGCGGATGGCAAGCACTACATCGTCAACGGTGAAAAGAAGTGGATCACCAACGGCATCTACTGCGAGTACTTCACTGTCGCAGTCCGCACAGGCGGCAAAGGCTACGGCGGTATCTCTCTCCTGCTCGTCGAGCGCTCTTTCGGCGGCGTCAACACTCGCAAGATGGACTGCTCAGGTGCATGGTCCTCAGGTACATCTTACGTCACGTTCGAAGACGTCAAGGTGCCCGTCGAGAACTTGCTCGGCGAAGAGGGCAAGGGCTTCCAGCTCGTCATGGCCAACTTCAACGCAGAAAGACTGGGTATCGCGATGCAGGCCACGCGTTTCGCTCGCGTCTGCTACGAAGAAGCGATGAAGTACGCCTCGAAGCGGAAGACTTTCGGCGTTCTCTTGAGGGATCACCCTGTCATCCGCAACAAGTTCGGTCACATGGCGGGACAGATCGAGGCTTGCCAGAGCTGGCTAGAAGCCATGATCTACCAATCCAAGCACTATGACGACGATGACCTCATGCTCCGTGGCGGTGGTCCGATTGCCTTGCTGTATGTCTGCCTGAACAGCTCTTCGCATGTGCTGATCGCGTCTGGCAATATAGAAAAGCACGAAGCACGCAGACATTCGAATACTGCGCGCGCGAAGCTGCTCAGATCTTCGGCGGTCTCGCGTACACGCGTGGCGGTCAGGCCGAGAAAGTCGAGCGACTATACCGCGAAGTAAGCAGATCGCTTTCGCTTTCTTGCTCTTTGGCTTATCGATGGGCAGGTGAGAGCATACGCCATCCCTGGTGGTTCGGAAGAGATTATGTTGGACCTTGGTATCCGTCAGGCAGTCAAGATTGCCGAGATCCAGGGTGCAAAGCTCTAGACGACTTTGGGATATTCGAGAACAGCAAACATACACAGGTTCTTGTCACAATGTATGCAGTCGTACACGCCAGTCTCATCGGGCAATCTCAAATCCTGAGCTGTTGATTTTATACTCGAGCGCCGTGCGCCGACGCGTAAAAGAAAGTGAGGAAGTGACGTGACCGGTTGACCAGCCAAGCCGACAGCATGGTCAAGCACTCGCGCAACAGCACAGCTCGACAGTACCTCTCGCAAGTCTCGAGCATGTCAATGTGATCGCGATAGTCTGATCAGCAGGCATTGACAGAAACCATGAGCGGAACATCAAGCACTATGGCACTCAGACCGAAAGACTCGGCGCCGACTCGATGCGCAACTTTGACGCCTGTGCGCTGTGTCTCCAACGAGCAAGAGATCCACGATCGTGCACACAGGGCCATCTCTTCTGCCACGAATGTATCGTCAACTCGCTCCTGACCCAGAAGAAAGAGGCCAAACGACAACAGCTAGTCGTCCAACGAGTGCGAGAGCAAGAAGAGCAAGAACAAGCGGAAGCAAGATCAAAGGCCAGAGCGAGAGTCTTGGCCGAATTCGAACAATCGCAGAGTACACGAGGGATAGGCAAATCTAGTTCTGCGACCTCAACGCCCGCCCCTAGTACTTCGACTAGTCTCGCGATCGAGGCACCGCCGGCTGATGAAAAGAGTACAAAGAGGAAATTCAAGGTCGAGCAGGGAGACATAGACCAACTACAGCGCGAAGCGGAGGATCAGGCTCTTGCGCAGATCGCAATCGAACAGAATAATCGCAGAAAGGACAAGCTGCCGTCATTCTGGCTCGTATGTCTGCCCCAATCTAGCGCCTCACTATACTGACGAGCGCATGTAGCCTTCTCTGACGCCTGCAGCCAAGCCGACACGATTGCCTGATGTACCTCAGCAGACAGTCTGTCATTGTACCAAGCCGCCTCATCCCCTCAGTCTGAAAGACCTGTTCGAAGTCAGGTTCACTGCTGCGAACGACAACGGCGAGACGTCAGGCAGTGCAACGACCGCCAGCGAGTCGTCTTTCATCTGCGGACCATGTCGACGGACGATAACGCAAAATACAAAAGTGTTTGCACACAGACCTTGCGGACATGTGATATGGTAGGACAGCAAATGGGTTGCGTATAGACTGCTCATCCTTGTGCTGCTGCTACAGCCAAACGTGCACTGTTACGCTCTCACGCCCATCAGGCCAATGCCCACAATGCGACACGCCGTTGATCATCGAGTCCAAATCATCGAAATCGAAGAAGAGTTCTGAAAAAGTGGATCAGCCTTTGCCTGCGACCATACTGGAGCTCTCTAGGGAAGGGACAGGATATGCAGCTGGCGGCGTAGCAGAAGTAAGCTCGACACTTTGCATTGCTCTGTGCTTATTGCTGCTCTCAGGCGAAGCGCTTCGATCTGCCATTTCAAGGCTAGCTGTGCAACCAGAGAATGCATAGATTCATGCTTGCATAGATGTCGAGTCATTCAATATTGACCTCGATCGAGTAAATGCAAACGATAGAGACACAAATGACAAAAGACTCTGCGCATTTGACGGTGCGCCGCCGGTTCTCGACCTCTGTGAACAGAAGGAGCTCCGACGTGTCATTCTTGGCCAATACCAGGACACGAATCTATGAGAATTGGAGATCCAATGTCAGAAAGAGGCCGTCTTGTAGGAACTTCGCGTCTGCGCATGTGACGGCTTGTTCGCCTTGCGGACGTCACCGGAGATGCACTTGGACTCTTCGGTAGCGTTCGCTAGCCCGGCCAAGACGTCAGCTGATCAGCAGCAAAGGGATATCGTCTCGACTACTATCTATCGACGGTCAAGGCTTTCGCTCGTGCTGATAGCGAAAGTCGGACTTTTCGAGTCTTTGCCGTTTTAATGAGCGCAAGATCTGTAAGGTATGTAGATCCCAGCTGATAAGACGGCATGCTTCCAAGCTGTGTGTCGTCCTGCAGAATGAGCTGACAGGAGTGAGGCGAAGTCGTGCAGGCTAGTGCTGAGCGCAGGACGTCCACTGCTGTTCACGCGCCCACAGGACGATAGACAGGCTCGAGATTTTGATGATTGTGAGTCAATCGGGTAATGCATGCCATACCATTGCTCGTGCGGTAAGACAGCGACCTTTGGAGAGACCTTTGGCATTTGTCTTGGCCATTTATAATATCATTTTGACCCCTTGCAGCCATGGATTGACTCAATTCTGCAGAGCAGAAGAGACGGGTGGGCAGAAGAGGCTTCGAATGGGCCTTGGATATTGTTCATCGCTCGAGCGCAGACAGTGTTTGGGAGACGTCGATGCATTGTTCACTAAGGAGGCGTGTGGCCGATGAGAGTAAGCCAGTCTTTCGCTATGGGTGCATAAGGCTCTTCGAGCGTCGAAGCGCGGAGAAAGCTTCGCGTAGCTGTGTTGATGAGTGCATACTGACCAGCTTGGAGCAAGTGCTCCATCAGGGATGGTGCGGCTTCGCTATCTTCGTCCATGTCGTCGGAATCATCGACACGGTCCGCTGCTTGTTGGGCCAGGTAGAGGCTGATATATCCCGCGTAGAGATGGAGCAGACCCGAGTCGATGAAAGGCTCAGAGGGCAGATACAGTTCTAGTTCGGCAAGCGCATCATCGAAGCGCTCGATGCCGGGCATGATGAGCACTTGTATCCTTTCGCATAGGAACGAGATTCGCTGCGCGCTGTATGTTAGGCGAGCCTTGCTGCAGGAGCGTACGTGTATGACGCACTTCCTCCGGCTTCTTTGATTGAGCAAACAGCTCTTTGAGAAGACGAACTTGCTGCTCGCCCTGTGCGACGTTGAGTGAGGCGCTGTTGTGAGAGACAAGGAGCAAGCTGATCTGCCACATTGCACGCAGATCGACCTCGTCACAGCCGACTAAGACCGTCCAGACCCTGCTAGCTCGAGCAAGATCGCCTCTTTGGATGAGCATGTGACAAATGTCATACATTCGCCTTATATGAGCCTAAACCAGCTCGAGTCAGCTTGAAATCAAATTTTTGCAAAATCAGGAGCTCTGACCAGTCGAAGTGATTTTTCGGGGTCTATAGACACTTGATCTTTGCTGTACTGTTTGTACGTGCTAGGAACAAAGGTGTGCTGGATCGCGTGACCCTTTGGCTGGGCATTCGAAGCGAGCAATAGCACTTTCTCATCTTGGCCTCGTTCATGCTCGCCAAGGTACTCGTTCGGCTGCGGCGGTCTGCTAGCAGGCCAATGACTTGGACGAGTGGGTAGAGGCGCCTCACCCTTGACGCCAGGCTCAGGCATAAGCCATCAGCGTCTGGGGTGATCGAAGACAGGTAGCGAGAGCAATTTTGAGACTTTGGTGTCGACGTGTCAACTTGTCGTCCAATGCGTCTGCGCGCGTCTGCCGGCCTCCTATCTACCCAGCTTCAGCAAGTCTTTTGCTCAGTACTTTGTCATCACCATACGTTTGGATCCACACCTGCGGGCACTCTGTCTTCGCTAAATCACGCGACACGCTTCCTTCATCGATCAGACAGCCAGAGCTCACGGTACCTTGCTCGCTTTCGCGCTTTCTGTTGACAAGATGGCCGAGAAGCCATCGTAAGCATGGCCTCTCGAGACCTGGCTTGATGTCACCGAATACATGGGCAAGATCGAACTCCGTCAGCTTGCACAATGCTCTCAATGAATGCATGCCATCGCTTGAACGCGGCTCCTCTCATATGCCGAAATCAGCTTCAGCGGTCAGCCCGAGCATGTACATTTCTTGGCACACAGCGCAGGATTGTGCTTGAAGCTGCGTAGACTCACTCTGCGACTGTGCGTACCTGCACACCTTATCGACGCTCGCAGTCAGTGATTCACCAAATGCACAGTGTCGCTCAGACTGTGCACCGACAGACCGACCATGAACGTCAGAAGAATCGGAAATTTGGGCGATGAGGATACGCCCGATGCGATGATAGACTTACTGCACGATCTGCCACATCATATGCCCGAGCTCACTGGCTGGCCTTTCGGCATTCGATCGGTACGCGCTCTATGCCTGGGACACGCAATCACCCAGCTTCACTTATCCTGCGCCACGCATGCGACGCTCAAGGCTTTGAATGCGCTCATAGAGAACGAAGCCTCTCTCTCGTCAGCCTGTACATATTCGCACTCAGCTTGATTGACTCGAGTGCCGATAAGGTTGAAGAAAGTTAGTGCTTACTCATAGCCGCCATTCCCAATTCGTCCATGAGGCCCAAATCTCTACGCGTCAGCGGCAGCAAACATGGTGATGGCGGGCAGGTCGGTCGTGAGCGCCCAGAAGACTATATGCACGACTACATAGTGGCAAGATGCCTCTAGAATTGATGATCGGCTGTCCTTGGAGTCGTTAGCGCTCAGCAGACACACGGGCTCTCGCCATATTATGTTCCACGTGAATTCGCTGCGCAACTTCCAGCGAGTCTGCCTCGAGCTCGCACTCAATGACAAGCACACCACAGATACAAGCCATCACAAGTCTCGAGGCAGCAATCACGGCCATGCTGAACAGCCAAAGCCCTCTGCGCCTCCTGAGCACTGGTCACCATGCATGCTCGCGGCCTGACTGACTCAGCCACTGTATGGTCATTGGAAAGTCCATTGTCTTTCATCTTCACGAGCTCCTCTGCCAGCGTCTCAGATCACGCCTCCCGCAGTACTGGTCACAAAGGAAGAGGGTCGTCGGGCTCCCCTAGCGTAACTTTGTCAGACGTCGGTCCTCGACGCGTCTGGCATTGGCTCGGGCAATCGCACTAGCGTCAATTTTCTGATCACTGGCCGACCTTCAAGCCACCCACTCATCGATCCAAGAGGGCAAAATAACAGGCTCATCCCGCGCGTTTGCTGAAGATGTCTGCTGCCGAATTTCTCGCTCATCTAGAGTACGTCAACGTCGAAGCTCGCCAAGTCTACGGCGCTTAGCTCGACCTGATTTGGACTCGAACCTACGTGCTCTCTGTACCACACGCAGTCTGTGGCTACCTGCCATTCCGCGCGACAAAGTGTGCAATGGCCTTAGGGTCTGACATGACTTGAGTACTGAGCGGAGCCAGACCAGCTGCCTCCCGGCGCGACTCGAATAGTCTCAAAGACCGTGCCGGGCTCGAGCGCGACGAATCGGTTCCTGGGTCAATGTCAATCTTGAGGCTCGCAGACGTGTGAGAGACGTACCAAGTATCATGACCAAAGTCTTCAATTCGTGCGTCTCTGCCTGGTTGCCAGACGAGGAAATTGGCCAATCCGGGTGCCGAGACATCGATAGCTGTTGCGCCTTGACGCAGCGATGCGGACTTGGGCGTAGAGACATATTTGTAGATGTTGTTGACCGGAAGCCCATCGGGGAAGGTCAGTGCTCCTTTCTGAACACGTTCGACGTTGTTCGCCGTCTGATCAAGATAATGCAAACCTTCCACGCCAGAAACGACGGCATCCGTTGCGTTGTCCACTGCTACGTATGCATGAAGAGCGGGCGTGATATGCAGAGCAGGAGCTTGGGGATCCCGTGCAGGATTGGTAGCGGTCAAGGTCAGGTTGATCGTGTTTGGAGAAGTGACATTGACGGTGTATCGCAGCTTGAAGTCTGGCGTGTACATGATTCTGCTGTACTCGTTGCTCTCCAGTTCGAAAGCGAGCGAATCAGTTGGCACTGCATCCGGCACATACTTCCATGTCATGTTGAAGGCCGGCCCATGAGAAGTATACTTCTTTGTGTATTGCTCATCATCGATTGTGATCTGCGCCGAGATTGTCAGCATGACTCACTTAGTACCGTTTGCACACGAACGTCGTGACTCCAGGCAGGGAAGCAAATGGGGATTCCGCCACGCGCGGGGGTGTGAGGCCTCGCTACTTTGGCGTTGAACAGATGGTTGCTTGCAGTTGCTTGTGTGATGTCGCTAGTCCATTCTCGTACGTTCGCGCCCAGCAGGTCAACCACGACTCTCGTGCCGTATCGAGACGACGTAAGCGTGACTTGTTTGTCTGTCACTTTGATGCTCGGCGCAGCAAGCACGGCGTCTGCACGACCGCGATGCGAATGACGAGCTGATGTCAAGCTGAGGGCACCCAGTACGACCACCATAAGCCAGACCATGATGTTTGGGTTGGCCGAAGGGAGCGTACGAGCGCAGGCCTAGTCTCACACGGAGCCTGCGGCGTTCCGCGATCGCACATGAATGTCACGCAGATACTCTGAGCGATGCAGCAGTTTGATTTGGCTTCGACCCTTGCACAAACGCAGGACTCGATGGTGACGCTGGCAGGAGCAAAGGCCTTCAGATGCAGCTGTCGACGTTGCAGAGAAGCACTCTGTTTGATTGCTCAAAGGGGTTCAGATGGAGGCTATTGAGCTTGTCTGAGTTTGTGTGTCTAGACATCGCAAACTTGTTGAAGTACAATGAGATCTGTCGGTTGCAACCTTTTGACTTGCGCCGACTTGTGCATAGCCCGAACGCGAGTAGCCATTCGACAGGCTCAAGAAACTTGGCGGTCACGACAGAGCGGCGGGCAGACAAGGCCCCAAAATGTGGCGGACACTGCATCGATAGACCATGGCCGGTGATGCCGACGAACAGACTGAGACTCAGAAGGAAGTCGATGAGGAAGGGAGGATCTGTCCAGCGTCCACATGACGTCTGCGCTATCGAACAAGAGCTGTCGCGTTCGATTGCCACTCGTCGAATCGCTTGACAATGAGAGTGCTCTCGAGGGATGAAGCGCAGGTACTGCCCGTGAGCACGGTCACCACGAGTGCGCCGCTCAGGCGATCAGCGAATCCGTGGAAACGACGAGCAGCCGGCATCGCCAGCGAGTCGCCATCCGAAAGGATTCGACGCCAGAGCTGTCTTTTGCTCAACAAGCTAGCTTCTCAGAACTTTGGGAGCATCTCAACCCACATCATCGATCTCTCAGCCGAGTGTCTGGCTCAAGTGCTCGATTTGGTACTCGACAAAGCATGCGATGAGCATCAGTATAGCGCCTTGTTCGCGCGACTCGTTCGGCGCCTTGCAGATCGGCATCCGGCCATCACGTGCCCCGATGAGGTCCTCAGCATAGAGCGTATATGTACTCGTCGGCTCCACGAAAGTCAGAACACGCTCGAGAGTATGCGAAAGTGGAAGCCGATCATGTTCTCAGACGCCTACTACTCACTGCAGAAAGCAAGGCGACACTACTTTGGTCTGATCATCTTCATCGTCGAGCTCTACAAGACCGAGCTTGTAGATAAAAGCTTTTTGTATGATTGCGCCGTCCGCATGCGGCCCGCACAGCAAGATCTGGCTGAATACAGAGTCGAGGCTACGTGTCGATTTTTGACGCACCTACTGGCTCTGAAGCTGCCCATCGAGGACCTCCTGGTCCCACTGCAATCACACTCCTCTACCATTCTACCTGTCAGACTAAAATGCATGATTGAGGTAGGCCCGCTTTCAATCGTCAGAGTACAGGCTAAGCTCATCACGCTATTCAGGACATTTGCGATGCCGCCACACAACCATGATCTAATACTCTACAAGACCCCTTCACAAGCATAGAAACAATGTCACCCTCAGTGTCTTCTCGTCATCACATTCTGGCCGTCGGCGCCTGCCCGGCATGTGCTGTCGAAGTAGTCACTGGCCAGATGATGTGTCGCGATCTCGAGCGACTTTGCCATGGCCAGCGATTGTTGGGAATCGATCTTGGCAATTCGTGCAGAGTAGGGATGAGGATCCAGCCAATGTCGGCGAACCCCATGACGACGCGCGCCTAGCCCCTTGCATCAGTAGAGTCTCCAAAGGTCAGAGCATGTTGTACATACTGTATTACGCGTATCAGCACGGCCAGAGTGTTGACGACCTTCGAAAGGCGGCAGGCCGAGCGCGTCGAGCAGACTCGGAACATCCATACGATCCGGCTTGCGGTGAGGTATACGCAGCGCTCTGGCGCTGTCTAGCTTGGGCTGGATCTTGAAGTACGTTGCTGCACAAAGGCGCAGATCGATGTAGCGCTCGGTCATCATGGGCGGTACTGAAACGCCATTGATCCAGCAAGTCTTTGGAACAAAATCGCGCAGATCCCTGCTGAAAGTTCAGCACGGAACACAGCACCGGGTCCGGGAAGAACGCACCAAGGGCCGTCAGTGATGAAGCAGCTTTTGAGCTTGCCCTTGCCCTGGATGCCATGTGCAAGCACCCAGTCGCTCAGCAGTTTGAGCGCCTCGCGCCAAGATGGAGCCCGATCGACTTGGGCTTGACTGATCCCCGTCAGATCCTCGCAGTACTTGCTCAGCGTCTTGTTCCACGTTGGCTGCACGTACGTATGGAACTCTGCATGTACATAGAGCTCCCACTCGTTCAGGATCTTTTTGAGCGTTCGACGCGGTTCGCACTTGCGCCAGCGCAGCATCGTTATTGGAAGCTCGATGATCTCGTTGGGGAACGTGTAGCCTGCACCGTCTTCGCACGTTGCCTCGACATCGCAGACGAGGTAGGCATCATAGTCCACGCATTCAGGACGCGTTACACCGGGCATAGGCTCCATGATCTTGTTCTTCCGGCGCTCGTCTCGGGCAGCCAGGGATAGATTTGCAAAGGTTCTGATTATGTGCGGTTCGGTGCTTTGCTGGTCCTCAGGCAGCAACTTTCCGCGACTACGATAGGCAACGTCTTTGTCGTCGCCTAGCACGATCTTGAGAGCGGGCGTATCTTGTCCTTCCATAACGATGCTAGTGCCCATGTGGATCTCGGTCGTCGGGAACTGACGCAGCTGTCGTCTCCGTTCGCCCCACACGCGCCATCTACTGATCTGATTGATAAGGCGATGACTCCACGTCAGCGCGCCAATCGATTCAATCGCGTGCCACGACACCAAGTGCACCAAGGCCGATATCCCTGTCACATTGCAGCATTCCGCAGCTCGACGACGGATTGACCATCAAAATCAGATTGCACCCAAGAGCGGACGTTGCCAATTAGACATCCAAGTATGGACGCACCATGGGTGAGTCGTGCCTACCTTGACGACGCCTATTGCTGACCTCGTGCTCATGTGCATAGCTCAAATGGATCACAGACCATGAGACTGAGCTCGTTGGTAAGCTCGCCGAAGCGGTCGCAATCCCATCCATCTCTGGCGATGCAAAGTTCAGACCGGAAGTGCATCGAATGATGAAATGGGTCGCTGATGAGCTCGAATCGCTCTCGGCTTCCGTCGAGATGCGCCCGCTCGGCGAGCATACAATGAACGGCGCAAAGCTTGAGCTTCCACCGATTGTGTTGGCGACAGTAGGCACGGATCCCCGCAAGAAGACAATATTACTCTACGCGCACGCGGATGTACAGCCGGCCAGCTCGAAGGATAGCGGCTGGTCGGGCGAAGATCCGTTCGAGCTGAGACACGACAAAGCCACAGGAAGATTGTATGGCCGAGGATCGACAGACGACAAGGGACCGCTCGTAGGCTGGCTCAATGTCCTCAAAGCGCATGCCGAGACCAAGACTGAGCTGCCAGTCAATTTGAAGTTTTGTATCGAGGGTATGGAAGAAAGTGGTTCAGAAGGGCTTGATGAGCTTGTCGAGAAGGAAGCCAAGAAGTACTTTGCAGGCACAGACGCAGTATGCATCTCGGACAACGTACGCTTGCAGCTTGCCATCATGCTTGGGTCTGATCGGACTACAGTACTGGCTCAATACAACAAAACCAGCGCTGACATACGGCTTGCGAGGCATCGCATACTTTTTCTTGCATATCAATGGACCAGGATCTGATCTACACTCTGGTCTATTCGGCGCAATGGCATCAGAGCCCATGGTCGATGTGGTTGCGCTGATGTCGAAGTTGGTTGATTCTTCCGGCAAGATCCTCGTGCCCGGATTGTTGGATCAAGTCGCAAAGCTCACGCCAGAAGAACGTAAACGCTACGAAGACCTAGACTTCTCAGCGAACGACATTTACGATGCTATTGGCTCAAAGACGACACTTTCAGACGACAAGGTCACTCTGCTTATGGCACGCATGCGTAACCCTTCGCTATCTCTGCACGGTATCGAAGGAGCTTTTGCAGAGCCAGGCAGCAAGACGGTCATTCCTTGCAAGGTCACGGGCAAGTTCTCAATTCGTCTCGTTCCGGACATGCAGCCCGAAAAGGTTGTCAGCCTCGTACGCGACCACCTCGAGACGGAGTTTGCCAAGCTCAACAGCAAGAATACAATGTCTGTCGAATGTGGACATGCAGCGAAAGCTTGGGTGGCCGACCCGACAGATGCAAACTTCACCGCAGCAGCAAAGGCCATCAAGACAGTCTGGGGCGTCGACCCGCAGCTCACGCGAGAGGGCGGATCGATCCCTGTGACGCTAACGTTTGCTGATAACGTTGCGCCAACAATGCTCTTGCCGATGGGCCGATCTGATGACGGCGCTCATTCTGCGCCGGAAAAGCTAGACATATCCAACTACATCAAAGGAACGCAAGTACTCGGTCTGTACTTGCACGAAGCCGCAAAGCTGTTGTAGCGCCCGCCTGTTGTTGCCATCCGACGTAAGTGCAACCAGCTGCGGTCCGAGCTGTCCTTTGCGTTCACGTTTGCGATCTACAGCATACAACATCTCTCACACATGCTTTACAAACTTGCTTTCTCCTCTACACTTAGCCCTGACCCACTGGATTCACTTGATGACTGATCCTTGCCGTTCTGGAGTGTTCTTGCATCTCGTGCTGCGTGAGGATTTGCAAACGAGATACCTGTAGCAGGAACGCTCTGCTGTCGCTGTCTCTGTGTCTTCTCATCCTCGACAATGCCGCCCTGATCAGAGAATGTCGGCGGATACACATGTTCACCGGGCATGCTGTCTTGGCGTGTGCGCGAATCGCTCGTGAGCTCAGGCACGAGCGATGCACGCCTCCATGACTTTGTTCGGTGGAGACTAGCGCCTTCTGCATCTGATTTGGCTTGCATGTCGAGCGCATTGGGCAGCATGATCGAACGATCTATCGCGATCGGCAGGCCTCGGTGTCTGCCACGAATGATGACCATGCAGATGATGATCTTAGATAGCTGACTGAATGAACCTGCATAGTACGTCTAAGCGACGCAACTCGTGAGAACTCAAAAGGGCGTACCCGAGAGCGATGTGCCTAGCACGGGCGATCCGAGTGATAGACCGACAGTACCGTATGCAGAGACAATCTCGAAGATGATCGAGAAGATAGAGAACCAAGGCAGGTCTACATTCTGAATGTTGTGTTTCTCGATGATGCAGATAAGCCAAGCTGCCAGTACAACGTACCACAGATCGAAAGCAAGCTGACGTCGGGCGTGATAAGCGAGATAGCCTTTGGTGTCCTTCTTCTGCTCGAACTCTGCATCGACCTCAGACTCGTCATCGTCGTCGTCGTAGATGCCCAGAGCCTTGTCTTCATAGACGTTCGTGGCTCGGATCGACAACGCAATCGGGTACACAGCGACGTACATCATGATCACATAGAGAAGCTGGACAGCTGGCGCTGTTGCGGCTAGATTGACAACCTGAAAGCCTGCCGCTCTGACCGCAGCAGATTGGAGCAGACCATCGATAACACGCGTATGCAGTGGGATGGCGCCGAGATAGTCATTACCAATGTCGAGCACGAGGAAAGACAGCCAGTCGATGCAGGTGAGCAGCAATACGACGACGGCGAGGTAAATAGTTTGGTACGTCGGAAATAGATAGATATAGCACCGTCGAGGGTGATCGAGGATAAAGTCGAGCGTCTCTCTGTAACGTGATTGCCTTGGCGAGCACTTTGCGAGTATCCAGATCGTTAATCGGAGAAACACAGGGAAAGCAGTGTTGCCTGCCAGGATGAGGAAGATCGTGACAATTAGCAATAGATAGGCTAAAGAGTGACATCAGCGTGACACAAGAGGGGAGAGCGCTCGGACTCACCATCCTGGAAGAGTGTGAGACTGGAATCGAGGAGTGACATGCCCGTATTGCTGAAGGCAGACCATACGTTGAAAAAGATGTACCAAACAGGTGAGGTATAGCCGCCGGTCTGAGTGAAATTTGAGGCGTACTGAGGCGCGCCATAAGTGAGATAAGGTGCCAGGATAAGGCATGCTATCAAGTGAACACCGAGATAGTAGCCAATGACGATTTTAAGCAGTACAGAAAGAGCTCGATATTCGACTCCGCCGAGTTCTTCTTCTTGCGCTGCAGTCAACTTGACAAAGTGAGAGTTTCGCCTGACTTGTGGATCAAACGACAGATAGTTGCGATTGGTCGTAGCTGCAGATATCGCACCGGTCGAATGCGCCGATTGTACAGTGCCGGTGCGCGAATACGTTTGCGGCATCGTCATGGTCTTTCTGATCGCTTGATCTGCCGCCCTGCGCAATACTCGCACACCTTCTGCTAGGGGATTTGGGAAGCCACCGAAACCTTGTGTCATCGTAGCTTGACGTGTCACAGACCGTGGCATCGTCTCGTGGCGAGCCAGAGAGCGCCTCGTCATTGTGCGTTCGAGATTGAGATTATGGCTCGCAGCGGTCGGGTGACGCTGCCGTATCGTTTGCTCGGGCTCATAGACGCTCTGCCGCCGGCCGTAAGCCTCTTGGCTTGGTTCCGCAAAGTTCAGGGTATGATGCGGCGGATGAGGCGATTCAGCAAAGTGAGCGATCGTGTTAGTGCGCGGCACTTCGAGGTTCGGCGTTCTAGAAGCTGTAGCCGGATCACTATTGCGCCGCCTCTGCTTGTTCGCGCCGGACGAAGGCGACGATGGATCGAATGGAGACGCCTGACCACTTCTGTCGCGTGAGCCAAAGTCTGCGGAATTCAACGCCGGAGAAGCTGCCCGGCTGATGTTGGCCGAGTTGTCGGCGGTTACGGGCTGGGAAGGCACATGCCCATTACCAGTCTGCGATGTTTCTCGTGCAAGCGCTTGCGCGTCTTGAATCTCCCCTGCGGGCCCTTCGGCCGTTGGATGATCCGACAGCCATCCACCTACAGACATCATGTTGACTTTGGGTGGCTCGTCAGTACGCTTGATCATGCCAACGGTGACAGGTCCGGTCTTCTTCTTCTTGCGCTTCTCTTGCTCGCGACGTTCCTTATCAGCCTGCGCTTGCTGCATCCGCTCCTGTTCGCGCAACCGCAATTTCTCAACAATATCGTCGTGAGTTTTCTTCGCTCGCGCTCGATCTGTACTCGGTGACTTCTCGAGCGTTTCACTGTCGCCAGGCGGTGACAGGCTCGATGATGGCGAAGCTCTGAGGGGCTTGTCCATCATGATAGGTTCTTCTGGACTTGGATGATGGCCTGGGTGGAGGACGCGATGCAGAAAGGTGCCTTGGCGTCGCTTTTGCGCTTGCTCGACGTCCTCTACTCGTCTGCAGCTCTTCTCGTCCAATTTGATGAGCTCTTTGAAGGCTTTGCGGAAGAAATGCCGCCTGATCATGATGGTCACGATCGAGACCGTGACGATAGAGCCTTCGATCATCTGTATGAACAAGATGACTTGCTGCCAGCCTGTCATGACGCCCAAGAGACTCGAATTGAGACCGCATACACATGTCGCCGATACACAATCTGCGAAGCGTAGCGCAGTGGTCAGCCCAAGCACGGTGGATCAGATGGCATGGACGGACTGAACAGACAGTCGATATATCTGATATGGTTCGGCCCGTTCGATGCATACATGATGAGTGACCACATCAGAGGATTGAGGACGAAGAAGACAAAATGGACCCGATAGAAGTTGAGGTGACTGTGGCATGAGTAGCACTGCATCAGCCGGGTGGCCAATTTAGCGGAAATGGTCCATGACTCGCCTCGCAGCTGCTTCCATCCATGATGCGCCTGGTTCTTTGGCATCTGACCAAGCTGACGAGATCGTCTGCGTCGCTCTCGATGCAAGCTTGCTCATCTTGTCCGCTCAGACTGGGACGGAGAGGCAGTCGGGCGCGCCAAGCTAGGCGGCGTCGATAATCTCTTTCCTGTGGCGAGTGACTCTGCCGAAGGAGACTCAATCGGACGCAGCGTATACCGGGCGAAAGCTATCGTCAGCCCGACGACATGGTGTGCACGAAGGAGTGAGTAGCAAGCTCGAGCATCAGTCTGCCCTGGCTCGAGCGATCGCGCGAAAACAATGTGGGGCCGAAAGGATAGACCTCCTGTCGGCCAAGTCAGTTGAACGGCTCGCGAAAGGTCGCTGATAAGCACTACAGGTCAGTCTTTGGCCATCCCGAGCCACACAGAGCTGACGTGAACTCATGCTTGTGCGTCCTGCTTGATATGCAATCCCACATCGACTTCTATGATCCGATGCTGTGCCGTCCAGACTCGGGCTTGGCGATCAAGACAACGAATGGTGAAAGCTCCCAAAGGGAATCAAGACTATGCGCTCTTCGACAATGCGCCTCGACGACTTCAGCACAAGCAGCTGCACACCCGTAACAAGCTCAACGAATCCGAGCTTATCAATCTCAGGCAAGATGGATCTCTTGGCGGATCAGGTGATCACCAGAAGGCATCCGCGGTCGTTCTTCCATCAGGCGGTAGCTTGACGACGATCGTTCCAGATGGTCCAGAGGTAGCCGAAGCTGACGAACCGCCTATATGTGGTTACAAGTCTGCTCACTACCGTCCTCACAAACATAACGCGTCATCGCGCTTTTTCGCTAGTTTCCTCATCGCCATCGTCTTCTTGACCTCGAGCGTATCGGCACAGGCCGCGACAAGCTCTCTGCCGACATGTCAGCCGGTGGAGAAGAAACGCAATGAAGCCCTTTTTGGCGTCGAAGCCGCACTCATTCCGTTCCTCGTCATCCTCTCCGGCGTACTCGCCGGTTTGACGCTGGGATACATGTCGCTGGATTTTACACAGCTACAGATCCTGGCAAAGACGGGCTCGGAGAAGGAGAAGGAGTATGCTCGCAAGATCATCCCGATTCGTAAGAACGGACATCTCTTGCTCGTCACTCTTCTTCTCGCCAATATGATCGTCAATGAAACCTTGCCCGTCATTGCCGACAATGTCCTCGGCGGTGGCGTACAGGCCGTCGTGATTTCGACGGCTTTGATCGTCATCTTCAGTGAGATCATCCCTCAAAGTGTCTGTTCACGGTTCGGTCTTGCCATTGGCGCACGCATGGTCTGGCCGGTCCAGATTCTCATCTACATTTTCGGCATCGTTGCATGGCCTGTTGCATGGCTCCTCGGACGTATTCTCGGTCAACATTCTGGCATCGTCTATCGCCGCGCTGAGCTCAAAGAGCTCATCTCGATGCACCAGGAAGCCAGCGGCCACGGTGGCGATCTCGAAAAAGACACGATCACAATCGTAGGTGCTACCCTGGATCTTCAGGAGAAGAAGGCGCTTGACGCAATGACGAGCATCAAAGACGTCTTCATGCTTAACCGTCACACGACCAGACTTGACTATGCTACATTGGGTGACATCATCAAATCCGGTCATTCTCGCGTTCCGGTCTACGAAGAGATGGAAGTCCCCTCGCCTGTCTCTACGCCACCTCCCCTGCCGTCATATCATCAGGCGTTCTCGCTCCGCAAAGACTTTGCCGCACCAGGCTCTCCTGCCAGCGTACAAGTTCAAACGCCTGTCAAGCGACGCAAGATAGTCGGCGTTCTGCTGACAAAGCAGCTGATCCTACTCGACCCGGAAGACGCAACGCCCCTGTCAGAGATTCCCATCCATCCTCTGCCGGTCGTCGCTGCCGATCTCGCTCTCTTTGCGATGCTCAACCAGTTTCAGGAGGGCAAGAGTCATATGGCAATTGTCGCGCCCCGCCTCAAGCCTGAGGACGCTCTGCGCTCACCTACCAGCATGCTCTCGGAGTCCAAGGCGAGCTCTACAGGGCATGAAGAGCGATCGATCCTTCGTCAGCTCTTTGGTCGCGATGATGGAAAGCACAAGGCGGAGGAGAGCACTGCCGAGAAGGGTCTCATGGTGCAGCAATTGACATGGTTTGCTGGCAGCAAGAGCTCGCTCTCTGGTGTGGGCCTTGACATCGATCGACCTTTGGGTATCATCACCCTTGAGGATGGTAAGCATGCGCTGCAGCTATCTCGATCAATACGCTGACCTAGGATATCTTACAGTCATCGAAGAGCTCATTGGAGAGATCTATGACGAGACCGATCGTAATATCGTCACGGGAGAAACTTCTCTCAAGACTTACATTCCGCCCGAAGCCCACGAGCGCATCGATGCAGTACAAGCACAAGCTGCAGCTCTACCGCAGAAGTCGACATTGCCAATGGAGTCTGCGGCCAAGTCAAGTCTTCTGACCCGTACTGCCGCTTCCATCTCACGATCCAACACACCCCAGACTGTCGAGAGTACCGGTCCGCCGGCTGCCAAGAATGCTCTGCGTCGCATGACAATTGGCATGGCCCGATCGCGCTCGGCGCCCAGCCGTCGGCGTAGCTCTGTGGACACAGCCGCTACCGCGCCGGCAGATGAGGCAACGTTGACGGGTACACCCATTGTCAAGGAACCGGAAAGCGCGCTCGAGCTCATCAGAGAACGAACCCATACCGGCAGCGATACGAGTGGCGACAAAACTGCACATAGCGATACCGAGGCAAACCAAGACCTTCCCAAGCCAATCGTTGCACGCCGTCGTTCGCTAGATGCGCTCGATCGCTCCGCCCGAGTGGACGGTCGCACGAGCTCAGTGCCGGCAAGCCCTCGACCTATAGTACAAGCCTTGCCGTCCTTAGCGGAGGCGATACTGCTCGAGCGCGGCCGTCGTCAGCTCGCATCTCAAGGCACCGATCTATCCAACGTCAATCTGCGCGTGGCTACACCTGCCTCGCTCGGGGATGCATCGACCATCTTTGTTCCCTCGCCCGGGGAATCTGGCCTATCCTCTGCCAATACTTCAAAGGGCAAATCGTTCAAGACTCCTCTCGTACCTATATCGACTCCGCCCGCTAGCAGGCAGTAGTGTTGCACTTCAGTCTGTATTGGGAATGCACATCGAGTGAATGAACGCGAATTCATCTCCAGCATGGCTAGCGGTGCATACGCCGGCGAACGTGATGCTGACGTAATATTAAAGACGAAATCGCGAGTCTGGCCGCGCTTGGCCAATCCAAATTTTGTCAATCGGTCTGCCAGCTATTGGCTGAGAATCAACGATGGTGGGCGCAACGGCGAGTGTTGCACAGCGGATCGAGCCATTGGCTTCTCATCTCGTTATCGATCCGCCAGCGGTGTTAGATGCGTCAAAGCTGTCGATCCCAACAACTCGACTTGGCTCTGGTGGCATCGAAGCCGGCGTCGTGCTCACACGGTTGGGCAAGGCCAGCAAGTCTTCTGGCAGCTCACAGCTACCTGTCACGCTTGTCTCGAGAGCAACGGCACAGTCTACAGGGCGATTGCTCTCCCATCTGACGGCTCTCTCCACCTTGCCTGTCGTCTTGCATCTCGTCGTGCCTGCAGGCGGCGATCATGCTTCTCTGGCATCGCTAGCTGCAAAGAAGGCAGTGCTGCTCTGCTCGAGCACAGCAAAGGAGATTGCCACTCATTTTGTCGTTGCTGCTCGATTGGCCAAAGAGCTGCAGCAGCCTATCATTCACTGGTTCGACGAGGCGCTACTCCAGGAGCTAGAGCTACTGCCGAGTCTACCTGCAGAAGACATTGCTAGCTTCTTGTCTACACAAGTCTCAAATGGCCATGCGGATGGCAACGGACATGCTCCCGATGCAAATGGCGATGTTGAGATGTCTGATGGCAGCGATACATCAAACGAGCCCAAGACCGCTCTCGAAGTCATCAGTAGCTTAGATCTGCCAGCGAGCTTGGGCAAATTCGAGCCGATAAGCTTGCGAGAGGGTAAGGGCGAGCGTGTCGTTGTCGCCTTAGGCTCAGTATCGTCTCCACTGCTCGCCTCCCTTGCCGATCAAGCCAATACAGTCGTTGGCATATCCGTCTGGCGGCCCCTAGATGCGAGCAAGCTCGCCAGCCTGCTGCCAGTCTCAACGTCTTCAGTGGCAGTAGTAGAGCGAGCCCAGCGCAAGTCGGGCAAATGGAGCTCCTTCTACCTAGACATCGTCAGCGCATTGAATAGCACTCCCCGCGCTAGCTCGCCCCGCATCGTCAGCGTACAGGCTGGTGCTCTGACTTCGTCGGATATCAAGCAAGCCGTCACTACCATCACGAAGGCGCTCACATCCACCAAGTCAGACTCGGTGACCGTGGGGAAGTTTGACCGCGACGCTACAAAGCCGGAGCTGCCTCGTATACCAAAGTGGGAGCAGCAAAATTACCTATCACTGCTTGCTTCTACCTTTACCGATCGGTTTGAGCTCGTCAACTCGCCCGAATCTGCCGCTTCGGCTGTGCTGGCACAATCTCCCATCTCGCCTACATCTCCCGAATATGCGCTAGGTCGACTGTTGCGATCTGCCGCTGCTCGATCAACATTGCGCAAGACAGTCGAGCAGCTCTTGTCGTCTACAGAGATCTCGAGTGCCCCTGCGCTCGCAAAGGCGCTGACATCCTGGCTCAAGGCGCCCAAATCCGCAAAGGCCATTTCAGACGCCTTGGAAGCCGTCAACGCTGCTACTCTCGACTCGCCTTTGCTCAAGTCGATCACCTCGCAGAAGAATGCTTTCGAGCGTCGTTCGCAGTGGATCATAGGCTCGGACGCTTGGGCGTACGATCTTGGTGCATCTGGTATTCATCATGCGCTAGCGACTGATGTCGACGTCAATATCCTCATCATCGATTCCCAGCCTTACTCATCAGACTTGACAAAGAGCACAGCAGAAGCTGCAGAGCAGAGGAAGAAGGATATCGGTCTATATGCGATGAACTACGGCAATGCCTATACTGCCTCAATTGCTGTGTATGGCGACTATAGTCAGTCCGTACGAGCGTTGAACGAAGCAGACAAGTTCAACGGACCAAGCATTGTGCTCGCCTATCTGCCAGGTGGCCACGAGGACAGTGTCTCGGCACTCGATGTACTCAAGCAGACAAAGCTTGCCATCGATTCGGGATACTGGCCGCTCTATCGCTGGGAGCCATCGATCGCTACTTCAGACGAGCGATTCGATCTAGACTCGGAGCGTATCAAGGCAGATCTCAAGGCATTCCTCGATCGTCAGAATCACCTTACGATGCTGTCAAAGCGCGTGCCACAGTTCTCAGAAACACTCTCATCGTCCTATGGCACCCTTGTCAAGGATGCTGCCGAACGCCGCGCAAAGGCTGCATTCGAGCAACTGACAGGCGCAGTCGATGGTCCGCCTCTGCTCGTTCTGTATGCGTCTGACGGTGGCAATGCTGAAAAGCTAGCGAAAAAGTTCACTGCTCGAGCTCGCGCACGTGGCCTCGGCGCTCGTGTGCTCGTTATGGACAGCTTCAGCATCGAGGATCTAGCACTCGAGCCCAATGTTGTTCTGATCACGTCCACTGCAGGCCAGGGTGAATTCCCGCAAAATGGTCGTCAGTTCTGGAAGAGTCTCGCTGCGGCAAACACTTCATCGAACGGCCCTCAAGGCGGCGACGGACGAAGTCTCGATCAGATCAAGTTCTCCGTCTTTGCGCTTGGCGATTCCCATTATTGGCCTAGACCAGAAGACGCCCATTACTTTAACAAATCAGGCAAGGATCTTGACAAGAAGTTGCATGAGCTAGGCGCAGAGCCACTCGCCGATATCGGTCTGGGCGACGATCAAGATGCAGATGGTCCACAGACGGCCTACAAGCAGTGGGAGCCAAAGATCTGGAAGTCGCTGGGCGTTGCCGATGCAGAAGTCACAGAAGCAGAGCCTGAGCCAATTACCAATGAGCACATCAAGATCGCAAGCAACTATTTGCGTGGTACGATTCCAGAGGGCCTGGTCGATACCTCGACCGGTGCGCTGGCCGAGGCAGATGGACAGCTGACCAAGTTCCATGGTCCGTTTCAGCCTATGTCACGTGAAGCCAACTAATTCTCCTTCGCAGGCATCTACCAACAGGATGATCGCGACATCAGAGAGCAGCGTCAAGAGCAAGGTCTCGAGCCGGCTTACTCCTTCATGGTCCGAGTCCGAATGCCTGCTGGCGTTTGTATGCCTTCGCAATGGCTCCAGATCGACAACATTTCAGAGCAGAGAGGCAATTCAACATTCAAGCTCACCACACGTCAGACATTCCAATTCCATGGCATCGTCAAGCACAACCTCAAGCCTGCAATCCAGGAGATCAACAAGGCACTGCTCGATACCATCGCAGCTTGTGGCGATGTGAACAGAAACGTCATGTGCTCTGCCAACCCCAATCTCGGTCCTTTGCATCATCAGGTGCATCAATTCGCCGTGCATCTCAGCGAGCACCTCATGCCTCACACATCTGCATACGCTGAGATTTGGCTCGACAAGAAGCTCGTCAAAGGTGATGCTGTTAAGGACAACGAGCCTTTGTACGGCCCGTACTATTTGCCGAGGGTGAGCCAGAATGCTTCAGTGCTGTCTCTTGCGCTGAGTCATTTGTGGGCCTGCAGAAATTCAAGATCGCTATCGCTGTGCCGCCGAACAACGATGTCGATCTATTCGCAAACGACGTTGGCTTTATCGCCATCACGAGTTCATCTGGCCAGCTTGAGGGCTTCAACTTGACTATTGGCGGAGGTATGGGTGTGACGCATTCGAACAAGAACACATATCCTCGTCTGGCCGACGTCATTGGCTTTGTGACGCCAGAAGAGGCCGTCATTGCTGCCGAGAAGGTCATGCTCGTGCAACGCGATAATGGCGATCGCACTAACCGCAAGCGTAAGCTAGTTGCTCTCATGTCCCCGTCCCATCTGATGAATCTGCAGATGCTCGACTAAAATACACCGTCGATACGATGGGCGTCGATCGGTTCAAGGCAGAAGTCGAGAAGCTACTTGGCTACGAGCTCAAGCCCGTCAGACCGTACCATTTCGATAGAAACATCGACTTCTTTGGCTGGCAAGATGCACCTGACGGTCGCAAAGCCTTCACTTGCTTCATCGAGAATGGCAGAGTTGAAGACCGACCTGGCCAGCCCTTCAAGACCGGTCTGCGCGAAATTGCTAAGGTCCACAAGGGCGTCTTCAGGCTGACCGGCAACCAGCATCTCATCATTGCCGACATACCTGCCGATCAGGCTGACACTATCCAAGGACTGCTCAAGAAGTACCATCTCGATAACGTCGACTTTACCGGCTTGCGATTGAGTAGCAGTTCTTGCGTCGCGCTACCGACATGCGGTCTCAGTATGGCCGAAGCAGAGCGATGGATCCCCAAACTCATCGATCGGCTTGACACCATTGTCGAAGGCGAAGGGTTACGAAGTGACTCGATCGTGCTAAGAGTGACTGGATGTCCCAATGGTGTGTCATGACCATCATGCGAAGCAGCACACGGGCTGATTCTGCCTAACTATAGGTTGCGCGCGTCCTTGGCTCGGCGAGGTCGGTTTGGTCGGCAAGGCACCTGGTGCTTACATGATGATGCTTGGCGGAGGCTACGCTGGTGATCGTCTCAACAAGCCTTACAAGGAGTCTGTCACCGAAGACGAGATTGTCGAGATCCTGACGCCTATGATCAAGCGGTACGCCAAGGAACGCTTCGAAGGCGAGCACTTTGGCGATTGGACCATTCGTGCTGGTTATATCAAGCCGACGACATCTGGCAAGTCCTTCTACGAGGACTCTCCGCTTGCGTGAGCGCAAAGTAGATCTGTACAATATGCATCTTGCTGCATGGGTTTCTGGCCTTGATCGACTTTGTCGCGTCGCGTGTCTCGTAGCTTCACCGATTGACAATCAGTCGACCACATGCCCCAGACATCCTCCCGACAGCCGCAATGACCAGCAAGCCATCTACATGGCTAAGCAGTGCAGAGAAAGACTTGCTCATCGTCTCGACAGCCCTCAAGTTGCTGCTCTTCCCGTCATAGTCAGCACTTCTTTTGCAAGTTGCTCAAAGGGCTGATCGTCGCGCAGCCGCTCGACCGACTTTGAAGTGCACAGAAATTGGCTCGCCATCACGGGCAGTCTACCTCTACGGCGATGGTATCAAGACGTACGCTCTCGTGTTCCAGGTAGCTGGGTTGGGCTCTTAACAAAATTACAGACGACATCAGAATGGACGCTAGACTATGCAAGTTCGACAGCTTGCTAAGCCTCCTGATTAGCGCTCACGCGTACGACGGTGTAGCCACCGTTTTTTGCTTATTTCGAATGGCTGCTCGCCCAAGCTGCGTTTGTCGTTGACCCGAAGATCATCGACGTGCACAACCTAAAGTATTCAGCATGGTCGGTCATTGCCTTTCAGCGCTCGACCGTGATCCTATCAGAACTCGTGCTCGGCATGGCCTTGTTGATGTGCGTCATCCGCTTTCCCGATGCTTTGTGCCGCCTCATAGAGTCGTCAGATTTGCTCGAAACAACAAGTCAGACTCCAATAGCGCGTTCATCGTTGCCGCGTCTCTTCTGCTTCACCCGGGTCTGATCATCATTGACCACATCCACTTCCAGTACAATAGCTTCTTGTTAGGCATACTTCTACTGGCCATCCTAGCAGCAAAACTTGTGAGGGTCACGATTGGGAGCGCAGCAGAATTGACGTGCTGTCAGGAGAGATATGCGCTGTGTACTTTCCTTTTCGCCTCGCTGCTCAATCTCAAGCATATCTTCGTTTATCTCGCTCCTCCATTCTTCGTCTATGTCGCACGAGTGCATTGCTTCACAGCAAACGGCGAGTCGCATTATCTCAGCATTTCACCACTGCTGAGCGGCATATGCCTTGCAGGTTTCCGCACAGATCGGCTACTGCAGCTCGGTACGATAACCGCACTGGTCTGTGCTGCCTCATTCGGACCTTTCCTTGCGGTGGGCGGTCTGGAAGCTGTTCGAGAGATCATTGCTCGCCTCTTTCCGTTCCAGCGCGGACTCAATCACGCATACTGGGCGCCGAACGCTTGGGCGCTGGCGAGTGCAGCAGATCGAGTGCTGGTCAAATGTGCGCAAGCTTCTTCCGAGCAAAGTATCCCTTAGTGATCCAGGGCGTCACAGATTACATGCAAACGGGCCGAGCTGTCAACCTCGAAGCACTCGCATCCACTTCGCGCGGTCTCGTTGGTGACACTTCTTTCGGCGTCCTCCCAAATGTCACGCCCCAGCATTGTTTCGCAATAACAGCTAGCTTCATGCTCGTCTTCTTGACCAAGTTGTGGTTCCGGCCGACATACGATCGCTTCGTCAGCGCCATCATCCTGTGCGCCATGTCCAGCTTTCTCTTCGGATGGCATGTGCACGAGAAAGCGTCAATGCTATTCCTGGTGCCTCTGAGGTGAGTGAAAGCCTGCTAAGCAAGCATTCAGCTAATAGCGAGCAGTCTGGTGGCAACGCGCGATCACGACCACTATCGCATCTTTGTGCTCGCCTCGATGTCTAGCATCATCGCGCTGTTCCCGTTGCTCATCAATCGAGACGAAACGCTCATCAAGTTTGCTTACACTGCCTTGTGGGCGCTACTTGTCTTTCCGGCACTACAGCAATCCGTCCACAAGTACGTTTCATGCACTGGCTATGATCTCGCTGATCGCCATAGCAGACCCGCGCCATCGCTATTCTCGTACATGACATGGCGAGCAGAGTTGCTGTATCTTGCAGGCTTTGTCGCTCTGCAAGCCTATGTGTCTGTTCTTCACCCCATCGTTTTCCCTGCGGGCGCGGACAGCCTACCGATACCGGCGGAAGGACTCGTCGATGCGGTGAGCAAAGTGGCAAGCGAGCTTTCAACGAGTATGACAGCAATGCTCGCAACTGCGTCAAGCCCGGTCGCAACAACGGCGCGTATTGCCAGCGGCACAGCAGCTGTCACCGCGCCGACGGGCTTCACAGCTTCCGCAGGTTTGCTCCAGCCTGACCAGCCAATGGTAGAAGCGGTCATCAACGCAACAGCGAATGCAAGCGATGCCATCAAGAGCAGCTCAGAAGCAGTCGCAAGCAATCTAGAGTTCTTGCCGCTCATGCTCACGAGCGTCTATTGTGCGCTGGGCATCTCGTGGTCGTTCGTGAGACTGGGCGCGTTGTATTTGCAGAGCTGAATGCAATCACTTGCGCCGACTCGTGCCTCTACCTCTCCCGCGTGCTTTTGGCCAGGATTTGTAGGCTTTCGGCTTGGCCATTCTGGTCTTGCCACGGGACGCTTGCGACTTGGGAACGGGCGGCTCATCTTCGCTGTCCTCCCCTCGTTCTGCTTGGCCCCTCGGCTTGAACATCGCTCGATCTGCTCGCGGCTCAACCAAAGCCGCGTAATCTGAGCAATGTGCTTACACCTGTCTCGTTTCCTTGGGCTGAGATTGGAGAGAGCGGGAACGCCGGACAGAGGAGACTCCAGAGCTGAGCGCATGAAGTCTTCGGCAGATTGACCAGGAGCAATTGCAGCATTGGACTTGTTCGATCTTTGCATAGGACGAGGCGGGGTCAAAGGTGCCTCATCGTTGTCCGAGAACTGGAGATCGCGCAGGAGCGTATCATCTGTCGTGACTTTTGTAATCTGCCGCCTGACTGCTCTAGATGCTGGCAATTTGGCTACGCTGGTGCCTTTGGCCGGCGAGATCGCCACGTTAGTCGGCTTGAAAGCTAGGCGATCATTAGCTATTGCGAGTTGACTCTGCTTGACGAGTTTCGGCGGTGGGGCAGCCTGTGCAGAGGTTCCGGTCCCATACTCATCCTCCGATGAGAGGGCAGCGCTCATCGCTAGCTCTGCCTCTGTATGTGCCTGAAGCTGTGATACCGGAAAGCAGTCGTTACAAACGGGGCATTGACCTCTGGCTTCCGCGCCTTGATTCTCTTTGCCCTTTGCTACAGCATCACTGGGTTTGAGGCGTCTGGGCGACAGACTGGGGCCAGGTGAGAGCACCATTACACTGGCCTGGCTTGATTGGCTGAGATCAACCAGAGGAGATCTGCTGTGAGCGTGTTTGCCTTTCTTGGTGGGCGTAGCTATGGCAAGACGAGTCTGAGGCAATGGCGGCGGCAGGGTGATATCAGGCGATAGGAGCGGATACAGGTCAATGGTCGAGTCGACATACGGCGTGGTCTTCTGTGAGGTAGCAGTAGGTGTACTCGACTGAGCAGCGACACTGGCGCGACGTCGTGCACGAGACACAGAGGGCCGCCAGTCGTCACGTTCCATCTGTGGCGATAGAGTTGTCGTCCTCTGCGTTCCTTTGCTTGACCTCTGGCTAGATTGAACCGGAGATGACGAAGTGATGGTTGTCGTGTGCGAGTCGGCTGGCTGCGCAGATACAGCAGGACGAGCAGACGACTTGAGATCACGAGAAAATGCCGGCGGAGGAGTGATTTCTGCCGGTCTAATCCTCTTCGGCGTCGTCTTCAGAGGCACGACATCGTCTCCTGAGCTGTCTTCCTCATCCGTGCTCATCAACCGATGAGATTTGCCGCGAATGGGCTCGACGGGCTTGCTCAGGAGAGCAGCGCGGGCCAATTTGAGGGCGGTCGACCGTTCCGATTGAGATTGAAGCATGAATATCCTCGTTGCACCGTCGATGTCGTCGTATACATCCTGAGTAGGTACAGACAGACGAGGTCGCTTAGTAGCACGCCTGTTCTGGCGGGAATGAGCAGAATGAGAGCTGCCCTTACTGCTGCCCTCGTCGGTCGATCCCGTCGATGTACTGGGCACAGGCATGCTCGAACGCGTGCCATCAGCTAGCTCGAGCTCACCTGAGTCGCGTGAGCTGGCGGCCGCTGCCATCTGGTGAGCTGTGTGCGAGGGAGGAGCAATACCAATCCACCGATCGGGTCACAAAAGCAAACGAGCAACGAGCAAGACGCGCCGCGACTGGCTGACTGACCGGCAGGAGCGTGACGACGGCGGACTTGCTGGCGACAAAGGGGCCGTCATGGCTCAATCAGAGTACAACGTCGAACTTGTAGAGACATATGGTCAGTCGAGCAGGCCAGACGCCGCACTGATGACGCTCTGACGGGGCAAGGCAGATTACCTGTTGAAGTGTATCCTCATCGGCGAGTCCGGCACGGGCAAGAGCTGCCTGCTCAATCAGTTCATCAACAACGCCTTCCGCAATGACTCCCGTCACACCATTGGGGTCTCCTTTGCGTCGTCGCTCATCAGACTCCCTTCAACGACGGCCAGTGCCGCCTCGCCGGTGAAGTCTAGCCAGACAAAGGCAGGCGATCAGATGGGCCTAGGCAAGAGATGGAAGCGCTCCGGATCCGCTTCTTCCTCTCATTTCGCGCTGCGGCCATCGCCCGAACGGACACTGAAGCTACAAATATGGGACACCGCCGGTCAAGAGCGGTTTCGGTCGGTGACGAGGAATTACTACAGAGGCTCGGCGGGCTGTCTGCTCTGTTATGACATCACCAGGTCCGCGAATGCTCCTCATGCGCCTTGCTCGTCATGCTCACTGCAATACCCTGTTGACAGGCGGAGTACGTTCACGAATCTGGCCATATGGCTAGCAGACGCGCGTGCACTGGCCTCGCCCGAGCTCGTCACGGTACTCGTCGGCAACAAGCTAGACCGAGAGGAAGAACGGGAAGTCGACTACCTCGAAGCGAGTCGGTGGGCCAAAGAGAACGATCTCATCTTTGTCGAAGTCTCATCACTCACAGGTATGCATGCCACGTCCAACGTCCCCTTGCAACGCTGATAACGTCATACGGCGGGCAGGTGAGAACGTAAGAGAGCCTTTTGTACTACTGGCGAGATCTATCCTGTTTGCGATCGAGTCGGGCCGAATCGATCCAGAAGCTTCGAATGCGGGCGTATCCTACGGCGAACGTGCGATCAGACGCGTCTCAAGCACGTATATGAACAGCACCAGCGGCTTCGGCGGCTTCACTCTCGCGGGCAGCTCCAGCTCGCCAGGCATGCTGTCGACTGTCTCGAACGCGCTCGGTCTCAGCCGTAATAACGCGAGCTCGAGCTCGAGCGGCTGCTGTTGATTTGCGATTTGTAAGGAAACATGTCACCTCCTACACTGTGTCTTTCGTGCGTGCTTGTATCTATTGCGCATCAGCGTTTCCTACTACCTGTCATCGTGCATTATGTACATCGTGTCTGCAGATTGCAATCATTCGGTGTATGTCTTCCGCTGGGAGTTGTAATTTCGAACGACTGTGTGTAAATGTCAGTACCTGCAGATACGGCCAGTGCGCGCAGAACCAACCTCTTTCGATATGCTTGAAGAACCATAGTCGAGCGCTCTGATCTGGCAGATTGAGGAAAGGACCCGTTGCTCCTCTCCGCAGAGTCAGTGCGATACCTTTTGGCTCGAGACTAATCGTTTGCAAATCGCTGAGAGGGACTGCCCATCCGACTTTGAGCTTCAGCGCACGGACAAGCAGTATCTGAGTTTCGGTCAAGACGACGAGCAGGTCGTCGCCGTCATTGGGAATGTCGACATGGGCGACATATCGTTCGGAAAAGTATGCTCCATTGTCGAGCGACTTGAGCCAGCTTTGTCCAAGCGCTTCACGTTCTTGGAACGGCCGTAGAACGTCATCGCTCGCAACATATCGAGGCAAGCGCACTCTGTCAATCGCAGAATCGTCAAAAACTGTAGTCGTATTGCGAATGCCTTCGGTGAAGTTGTTGGCCGCGTCGAAGACGCCCACGACGGGCTTGGTCACTGCGCCCACTAGGCCCTTGCCTACACCCTTGAAAAAGCCCGCGGCGCCGCCTGCGTCCGCTCCTTCGATAGGCTTCATAGCGAGTCCTTCTATACCGCTTGCGACACTCGTGAAGAACGAGTTGCCTGCCGCCGTGAATCCATAGAGAGCATGCTTGGGCTTGTTTCTGAATTGGCGCATGCGACGCTTAGATTGCCACTCCTTGTCAAGCGTGGCAGCAGACAGGCCTTTGCCAATACTGCCTGTCACCTTGGCCATGCTGTCTGTCACGCCAAAGACAGTCTTCTTGACGAAACTGCCAGCTCCGCGCGCGATTCCGAGACCAATATCGCGGTTGCCGTGCATGACCAGACCTTCGTAGGGCTGATAGAAGATGTCTTTGACGCCGGAGCTGACGTTGTTGAAGAGTCCGATAGGATTGCCCAAAAAGTCTGCAGAACCGAGCACGCGGTACAGCTGACCGAAGAAGTCTTGCGAATAGTGCAAGACAACTCTGTTGGCCAGCTCAGGATATGATATTCGGACATTCTCGATCATAAGCGCGTTGAGACGGATTGGGGCATCGTTGACATTCCCAAGTGCCATCGTTAGCGCATTCAAGAAGAAAGTGACGGGATTGCGATTGCTGGCAAAGACCTTCTGCTCGCTGTTGACTGTCTCTGTCCGCATGAAGCTGATGTCGAGTTGCATCGGTTGAAGATGAAGCGACTCAAAGTAGACGTCGCCAGCACCCGCGACCTCTGCGGGCTCGGCCAATGTGCCAGACTCGTCTGTCAAGATTCTGTGACATGCTGAACGTGAGCGCATGCAGTGCATCGAGAGATGCTGCTTACGAAGGAGGATCCTTCTGCCAAGACGCGCCTTCGAGCTTCGAAAAGTCAAGCAAAGCAAACAGGAAGTCTTCATCCACTTCGATTGACATCTCTTGCAGCAGCAGCGAGGCGTATTTGAAGTATGTGACACCGTGCTCGGAGTCCTTGAGAAGGATGACAGAGGCCTGAAAGCTGGGCCGCAATTCCAGCTCTCGACCATCCTTGGGTATGACCGCCGGATAGAGCAGGATGGGGAAGACGCCGCCGAAGAGCTGATTGTCTATCTGTATCCATTTGACCGACAAATTGACTGCCTGATTCGTGCTTGAGTCGCTATAATTGAGCTCAAAACCACGGAAGGAGGCATAGAGCAGCTCTGACATGCTGCGATTGACCAGTGAGATGCCTAAGCCTTCCATCTGGATCTTGACAGTGAGTGTCGTTCTAACTTGCACGTCGCGAGCTTCGAAGTCGACTTGATTCACGCTCGTGGTCGAATTCTGTCGTGACAGTGAACCAGGTCGAACTTGCTGCGTGTACACGCTGTCCTGCTCTGCGTAGTCACTGATGATGAGCGCTTGCGTTGGGCCTTCAGCTTTGACATCGAGCGAAACTACAGCATGCGATCGATTCGATATCTGCAGAGATGGTCAGTGATTATTAGGGCCACGATAATGAGCTTACCGGGAAGCGGAACGGAAGTAATGCACCGATCTCCATGATATTGAGCAGTCGGTCCTTGCCGCTGATCTCGAGTCGTAGAAGCTTATCAGAAGCCGACGGCACGTCCCATGCATACTGCAAAGTCTGACCGGGCTCGACTCGATAAGATTTGGCTGGTGGTAGTTTGCGAGCTTCTTGACGATCACGGAAGTCTTCTTGCGATTGCGAAACGGAGAAAGGATATTTTGAGCTGTTGCGCACTACAAAAGGCCACTTGTCCTTCTCTTCAGCCACACGTATAAAGATCTTGGATCCTTCGAGCAGAATCTCTGCGCGCAGGAGACTCTCCTGACCGCTTTGTGTTTTCATACGTGAATGCACTCGACCAATGTCCTTGACTTTGAAGGGAGAGCACCTGTGATGCAAGCCGAGTGAGATCGAGTGGCTCGTGAACGGACGAGACTTGCCATGCGCTCGACGTCTCGTCGTATGCGACGGACAGCAGCGGTTCTTGATTGGTTCGCCACCACTTCAAGGGGCACATCACATCCGGTTGGACAAGGATTGAATTCGTTGAGCCGGCTTCGCGGACGCGTATGGATCGACGATAATTGTTCTTCAGAATGAAGCGAGGATAGACGATGACGACCTTGGTGAGCTTGTACTGCACGACAATATGAGCCCGCTGATTGGGGTGTCCTTGAAACTCACGCTGCCTGTGCCCTCCGTGACCTTAAGACCGATGCGCATTTCCTCCTTGCCGTCATGAGACGGGACAGAGACTTCGCTTTCTGTGCCGATTGCCTCGAAAGAGAGAGGCTTGGACCATGCTGAATGCCCGAAGCGCAACAGGGCACGGTTCCGACGGTCGACGGTAGCGTAAGAAAAGAGCAAAGGTTTCTCTACTGTGCCCGAAGTACCGGGAGAGCCTTCTCCGTTGCCAACGACGCCCTTAGCAGTACCCATAAGCGACTTGGTAGCGATCGTGAAGTCAGAGCCGGTGTTGTTGATAAAGATGTAAGGGCTGTAGACCTGTACCTTAAAGGCGCCTCCAGAATCCGGATGACGTTCGTAATTGACGCGTAGATTGAGCTTGAGGCCTGCGGAGTCTTCAAGTTGCAGCACCTCTTCAATTGGCAGATCATCTGGATTGTCTGTATTTATGATGGCAAACTCGCTACGCTTGAAGTCAGTGTCCTGGAGCTCAACGCTGAGCAATAGCAGATGCGACAGCTCGGCGATATGCATCGGACTGACGCCGCCCTTGCGCAAGAAGCTCGTCCAATTATGCTCGCGCGCTTTGTCGTACACACGATAGCGAATGTCGTACGGCAGGAGATTCTCAATCTCGATCGGTGCGCGCAATTTGAGAGTAAGACGCGGATAGACACGAATCAACGGGTCGTTTCTGTCATATTCCGTGAAGCATTGGAACCGGAAGGACGCTTCCTTTTCTTGTGACTTGCACACGATAGCACGGGAAGGTCGCTTGACTAAATCTTGCCAGTCAAATGATTCGCTCGACCAAAGATAGCCAAAGCCAGGATCCGGTCTAATGCGGAGCTTCTGATTGTAGGCTGCTTCAATAGGCACTGGACAATACTCGCCTGGAGGGATTTTGTACACCGAAGAGGCCTTCTTCCCCGTGCTATCAACGATCACCATCTCGACAGGAACCAGTGTCATGTTCTGGATCCGGAAGGCGGAACGGAAGGTAACGATCTTGACATTGTCTTGTAGCTTGATGTCGCACATGACGCGATGCGTGGTATTATCGACCTTTGGTCGCAGTGCGTGAATCTGCTCACCTTCTCGATCTACATTTATATGTCGTAAACGTTCCCAGGCTGTGCCTTCGATCTGTACAGAAAGCGAGTTGTGACTCGACGAATTCACGTTCTGCGCTATGCATCAGCTTCATGCCATCATGCCAACCGAAGGCCTACCTCGCGCATAACGCGCCAATCGTCGAATCGCCAGGGCATACTTGCCCCATCTTCCAGACGTTGTGCAGGCTTGCGGCGCTGTTTGTGGTCAGACTCCGCAGCAAGCATGATAGGATAGCCGGTGCGATTACGGATTTCGAATGGCGCGTTTTGACCTCGCTTCATGCGCATCACCGATTCTCCTTGTTGCTCCAGAATAGCCATTGTGGTCAAGCCAAGCTCAATGAAAGTCGCGGTGATGTTTACTTCTGCTCGCTTCTTTGACGTCAGCGCAAGAGCCGTGCTCTCTTGCGCCTGCGAACGTGACACGCTGATTGTGAACTCCCAGGGATCGAGCAGAGGCTCCCAATGAGAATTGCGCAGATTATAGTAGTTGATAAAGGTGTCAATCGTCAAGGACGCTTTGAGATCTGCCGACCAGTCACTTGCTTTGGCCGAGAATTTACCTGCCTTAACATCGAGCATAGGCAGCTCGTGCATGTCACCGATGAGCACTAGCTGGAATCCTTCGCAAGTTGCACGCAATGTTTCTTTGGACATGACCAGACCGGCTTTGACCGCCCTTTCGCTGGTAGCCCGCTTAGGCAGCCCAGGTCGTGCCTCCGTGACGGAAGCGCGCCGTTCGGTGCTGCGATCTTTCGCAGGCATCTCGACAGCGTCTGCCGGGGCCGGTGATGCTTCGCCGGATAGCTCGATCGCCCGATTGACGATGAGCATGATGATCTTGACATCGCGGAAAGACAGCCTAAAGGTAAGCGGTTGAACGCGCATCTCGATGTTGGTTAGCTGCCGACCGGCATCTTCTCTTGTATCGAGGGACAGACTAAGATCGAAGCTGTCCAGAAATCGCAGAGTATTTGACTGCGCGTCCATCTTGCACAAGAACATGCCTAGCTGGTCGATGGTTAATACCAAGGTGCCCTGCTGAGCCATTTGCAGTCGGTCGATAGTCAAGACTACAGCCTCTGAATCGTGTCGATTCGGATCAGCAAGCAGCATGATCTTCGGCTGGACCAGGTTGACGCGATACGATAGTGCAGACACGGACTGTGCAGGCTGGATTTCTTCGTTTTCTTCTTCTGCCTCATCGGCTTTGGTCTCTGCAGACTTTACCGCGGGCGCGGCAGAATCAAATGCCGAAGTGAAATAATTCAGCAGCGCAAAGAGGGGATCCACCGAGAAGACCAAAGTTGGACTGTCGATGGTGATGTTCGCTATCGCAATAGGGTCCTTGCCACCAGCCGCAGAGTATGCAACCATAAATTGCGCGCTTTCATGCTTGCTGGCCGGGATGATCTCTCGCCACTTTGTCTGAACCGCGGTCCGCGTGTCGTGCAGCGTGAACTTGCTCAGGCTTAGCTCGGCTTCGCTCGATCCATTGTTCAGCGATTTGAAGCTCAGCTTAGTGCCTGTCAGGGCGAAGCGCGCCAGACTGGCGCTGTCAAGAGTTGCCGGATCGATAGCAGCTGCAGTGTAAAGCTCGAGACCGACGGATTGGACAGCAAAGGAGAGCTCAAGCGAAATCCATAAGCGCACGATCTCGCCGTTTTGTCCATGCGCAATTGAGGATAACTCTGGCAGTAGATCCACCGTTTCCTTGTTCTCATCGGGCGAAGTTTCGCCATTCGTGATCGGAGGTGCAGGCATGGGATGCGCTGCCTCTTCTTCCGCATCCTCGTCCAGCTCTTCCTGTGTAGAAGCCAGCGCGCGTGGTATTGACTGTGACAAGCTCATTGCAAATCCATATTGCGCCTGTGTGAGGCCAATCTTGACGTCCGACATCCGTGCGTTAATGCGAGTATCCGGTTCGATTGTTTGTTGCGTATGGTCGATCCCCGAGGCTTGCTGAATGCTGACGCTCAGATCGAGCTTCTCGAGAATTGGCAATGTGTTCAGCTGGCCATCGTGCTGGATCTCGGATGTCAGGGCAACCGACTTCAGCGCGGCTCTGATCTTAGTGATGAGCTTGCCGTCCGTGGAAGTGGAGAATTCGTTGGTAGCTTCGATTGTACCAAGCTGTGCGATGATCCGATCCTTCGAGTGTGAGCTCCGAGGAAAGACAATGATCGGCGACGCAATACTAATGTCATAATGCAGCCTGCTTTCGAGCTCAGTCGCCGCCTGTTGCGCGGCAGCTTGTGTCGCGCGGTCATACAGCGACTTCATTCGCGCAAACTTGGTCAGGAAGCGTAGCACGCGATGGACGGGAACTTCGAGAAATGTGAAGCGAAGTGAACCTGTCTTCAGCCGGATGAGCGTGTCGTATGGTCGCTCATCGTCAGCAGGATCGAGTGTCTCGTATTGCAAGTCGGCCAATTCCTCGCCATCGATAGTGAGCATCTTGCGCGCCGGTGAGTTAAGTGGCACGCCAGCATGCTCAAGATCGTCGACAAAGTCAAGACTGCCGAGCCTGGCAGCAACGCGTATTGTAGCTCCACGTAAGAGTACCATGACATCTGCTGCTGAAAGCGACAGGGTAGCCAGACGGACACCGTCATCATTGAGGATGAGAACGACCGAGGTCAGCTTGACTTTGACACGAAGTTTCTCGACGATAGGTTCGCCAACTTGCACGAGCGTGGCTTCCTCCGTGGATGGCGTGTCCGGATCTGAAGCCGACTCGTCGCCGGAGGCAAAAGTAGACATCACAAAGTCGAATAGAAGCAGCTAGACCAACATCAGTAAGTTTATGCATGACCTGTAGAGGGCGTACGATGCTCGCTCGGGTCACAATAACGTTGATAGTCGCAAATTGGATCTCTACACTCTTGTTGAAGGCTTCGTGCACTGTCATGAACTCGGGTGAATCGGGCTGAACCTGGCTGTACTTGATGTGAACCAAGTCTTCGCTGGCCGATTGTCCATTTTGCCCCGGTCGCTCGGAAGTAATGAGATGCTGAAATACGGTGCCCTCCTCGACCATCGCATCGTCTACGTGTAGAGCGCGCAAGGTGATGTCGACCTCCATGTCGTACGGCCGCAAAGAGAACATCAGGTCAAAGCCTTCGAGGACAGTCTTGACGAGTAGCTTGTCACTCTCCACTTGCTTCGGATCTGACTTGTAGATAGCCGCTTGAAGCTTATCGACGACAAAGCTGAGCTCGAATGTCTTCTGCTTGTACGATGCGCCGCCTTCGCCAGTGTCCTGCGTATCGTAAAAGACATCGTCCTTGCCGGCATCCTCCTTCTGCTCTTCTTCTTGCTCGTGGTGCTCGCCATCGAGATGCAGCTCATGATCGACCTCCTTGTTGGAGAAGTACATTGGCGCAGATATAAAGGTTTGCGTCGGCTTACGGGGGCCAATATTAGGTTTGACATGTTCTGGCTCTGGCTCGTCTTCGCCGAACTTGGGCACTGCGACGTCGATCATGCGCATCAGGATCTTGTATTTCCTGTCGCTGAAATTGACAGTGAGATCTGGCAAATGGCCTGATACCTTGAAGCGGGTCAAGTTGGGCGCTTTGGACAGTATAGAGTTCTCCGCTGTGAATGAGAGGTTGATGCGCTCAAGCACATGCAGCTCCGGACCAGCATGGCCTTCGAGGGCACCAAGACAGGCCTCCAGGGTATCGCCCATCAAGAGCTGTGATCGTTCATCAGGTCAGATTCAAGAAGCATGTTGACAGGACAAACCTGAGCAGAATCGAGCTTGATAAAGAATTTGTCGTACATGAGTGATTCGAGCTTGTGGAAGTCATCATCCGTATAGACCTCTTTCTGCTTGGATCTGATGTCTTCGATGGCAGATTTGTCCGCCAGACCGCTTTCGATAGAGATGTGACCAGCATCGAGTACGATGTGCTGACAGATCTCCTTCGTTACATCCTCGGGCACGACAATAATGGGCGCGTTCATATCGAGACGTATATCGACTGTAGAATGAGTTTGGAGAGCGTATTCGAGTCCCGCTCGCGATTCTTTGCGGATGCCATCTAGCGTTTCGCTTGCCACATCAACAAGAGCGCTAACAGATTCAAGTTGAGACGCGGGGGGCTTGAAGAAGGCAACGATGCGCTCGACGTAGCCTCGATGATAGATGATCTCCATGTACCGCATTCGAACAGTCAAGCCCATGTCGGCTCGTTCATCAAGCGGGTTCTTCTCAAACTTGACATAGAAGAACGGATTGTCTGGATCGGACTCCTGCTTAACAGACGCAAGAGCAGTTCCAAGCTTGTCCTGACTATTGCTACGATGCGCAATGGCCGTCTTCTCTTGCTTGACGCGCACGATCTGAGGATGAAGGGTGTTCGGCTGGGTGCCATCGTAGACTCGCATTCCGCCCAAAGCAAGAATGGCTTCTAGACTGTCTGGCCTTTGCAAGACGTCCGCTGAAAAAGCATCGAAGACCATCGAGATGATGTCCGTGTTCTTCCCATGCGGGTCTTCTCTGAGTGCGAACGAACCTGTGTCGAGTTTGGCTTTCAATCTCAGCTGTAGGGTATCGCGAGGTAAATCGACAGAAGCAGCCACAGCGTCCTTCTCGTCCCAGTCTATCGCAGCGTAGAGTTCTTTTCGTTGTTGCGTGTTCAACAGATCTTGTGGCTGGTCATCACTTCCATTCGATTTGCCGCCGCCCCAGATCCAGCCCACCCAGCCTCGATTGACTGGACCAGCTTGCAGCCGTTCTTGCTCTGCCGTTTTGCGCGCTGTGGCTTGTTCTTTGCGCATCTCTGAGCGAGCGATAGAGCGATAGAACCGGATGTCTTTGTAGCCAAGCTTTCGCTCGAGCTCGCCTATCCTGGCTTTAGCAGTGACATCGTTGGCATCTTTTGCAACGAGCTTGAAGAGCTGGATGTATTCCTTGCGATCGTCTCTCCGCTCGGCAAAGTATGACCACGACCACACTCTGTTCTTCTCGTGTACCTCATTTAGGATGGCGCTGCCTGCAAAGCGGAGCAGAGCGCGCGATTTGCTCTTCTCGAACTCGATCTCGGGCGGTCTGAACTTGCGATACTGGTGCTGTCGCGTATAGAAGTGGAACAAGTCGACCATCGAGAGAGCATCGCGGTACTGATCGCCATCGAGCACGAAACCGAGCTCATTGAAGAATAGCTCAGCATCGATTTTGGGCGTCTGACCGTCCATGTGCTTGTTCATGATGAGTCTGCCTGCGCCGGAGACGGGTTTGAGGATGAATTGATGCGAAGATGTGCTCGTCTCAGTCGCGATCAGACTAACGAAAGTCTTCATCGCGTCGGCTTGAGATTGACCTCCGAGAGAGGTCGAGTCTGTGTCAAAGTAGATGGCGAGAGAGTCTAGCTTGGCGAGCTTATGAATGCCCTTGTCCGAGTTGTGCAAGAACGTGGGCTGCCAGTGCTCATCTGTAGAGACGGCTGAGAAACCAGCGAGGGTCAAGCCGACAGAGAAGGGATGGCCAGGCACAGATAGCCTGTCCTCGTACCGCACATGAATGTTCTTGACGGTGATCTGTAAGTTGTCGAGGATTCTGGCGACCAAGCTGGACACGAACGACTGGTTCTTCTGTTCCTCTTCAGCCGACATGCCCGCGCTCGGCTGAGTCGTCAGTAGCTCAGCGTTCTCCAGCTTCTCCATCTTGACCTGCTGCGCTCTCCTCTCATCCTCTTCCAAGTCAAAGTTGGTCTCACCGGCAGGCTCTGCGAGCAAGTAGACATTGTCAATCACGACCCTCACTGGCTTTCCCTTGAGATTCGTCCAAGGGATGTTGAGCGTCAGCTCGCCCAAGTAGCCTTCGGTGACATTGATAGGCAGTCTGAACTTGTCGAGCGCTTCCTTCTTGAGCCGCAAGTTGCGCAGCTTGACATCGCCAGACCATATCCCGAGGTTGAGCTGGCTCGTGTCGAGATTGTCGACGTAGGCGCTCAGCGTCCTGTTGAGCACGCCGGCTACCACGCCCTCGCTGTATTGGCATGTCAGTGATGCCCACCCAGGCACTGAAGCAGGCTCACAGCATGATGAGAGGACTTCCTCTGAGTTGTGTGATGACCTCACCGACCTGGCGCGTCGACTGCTCGCTCTCTGTCTCTCTCTCGCTCTCTCTTTCGCGGTTGATGCTGCCTTGTCATCATGGCCATGCTCGTATGTGCAGAGTGCTCTCATCAGATCCAGATGCTGATGCTACAGCGATGCGTGTACAGACTTTGAGCGATCTGAACGACTATCTGGGGCCATCACAGATTTGCATCAAGCCCGTCAATGAAATCATCGATCCCACGCCCGATCCTGCTCAGATAAGCTCAGAATCCAAAGCATGGGCAGCCACGGAGATCAGGCTAGACGAGCCCACCGGTCATTACTACGAAATCGAAAGTCGGGGAAAGGACAAAGGGGGTGATCAGTCAGCAGGAGCGCTTGGCGTGACAGGACTGCAGCAGCAGGGCAACAAGCTCAAGAAGGCAGAGATCACACTCAACGATTGCTTGGCATGCTCGGGATGTATCACCTCTGCCGAATCTGTCCTCGTCAATCTGCAATCTCACACAGAGGTCTATACCGTTTTGCAAGAGCAAGCCGTACGTCTATCTGATCCAAGCTCTGACGGCAGAGCTGATGAGGGCAGGCACAGGACGACATTGTACCAGTCTTGTCGATCTCGCCACAGTCGATCGCATCGCTCTCGGTGCTCTACAGCGTCTCGCCACAAAGGACTTTCAACGCCCTCGCGCGATTCTTCAAGCGCACATTGGGCTTTGCTCTGGTCTTTGACACCGATTATGCACGAGAGTTATCTCTGGCGCAAGGCAGACGTGAAGTCCTCGAACGTTGGCAATCAAATGCTCAAGCAGACACAGGCGCGCACCTGCCTCTGCCTTTGCTTGCGAGCGCTTGCCCTGGCTGGATATGCTACGCCGAAAAGACACACGGCGAGCTGTTACCATTCATCTCGGCTGTTAAGTCGCCACAGCAAATAGCAGGCTCGCTCATCAAGCAATATCTGGTCACACGACCACATGTAGAGGCTCTGCTCAATACGACAAGTGCAAGCGAGGAAAGGCCAAGAGGAAGACGGAGGATCTACCACGTCTCGGTGATGCCATGCTTTGATAAGAAGCTGGAAGCAAGTCGACCTGATTTTGCCGATCCCATTACCGGCGAACGAGATGTCGATTGCGTTTTGACCACGGGCGAAGTACATAAGATGCTACAGGATCACAATGTCGATCTATCCTCTGGCGATGCTGAACGTAATGCCATGCAAATGGACGGCGATGCATCCTCGACCTCCGAGATCGAAGACGAGCTTCTGCCTAGATTCACTTCTTCTGCTCTCGGCACTTCGAGCGGCGGCTACCTCTTCAATGCGCTTCGGGCAGTCGCTGCATCACTACCCTCAGATCAGCAAAGCATGCTACACCTCGAGTCTCGCGCAGTACGCGGCGAAGACTACATCGAGTATCGCCTTTTGTTCAACGGAGCGCTCATCTTCCGCGCTGCGAAATGCTACGGCTTCCGGAACCTGCAGAATGTCGTTCGCAAAGTCGGTAAGGACAAGGGGCTCGCCATAGGGCATGGAGCTGCTAGAGGATCTATGGAAGGTCCTAGAGCGCGCAGCAAAGGTTTGGCTGCAGTCAGGCGAGCTCGCAGAAACGATCGCGCTGGCGCCCGCGAGGTTGTCGTAGATGCGGCCGAAAGGTCGTACGACTTTATCGAGGTCATGGCTTGTCCTTCTGGATGCGTCAACGGGGGAGGGCAGCTTCCGCCTAGCTCGGCAAGAGACCACATGCAACTCGACACAGAAGGAATGCCCCAAATCAACCTTTCCGATGTCTCCGCTGTATCTGGCAAAGACTGGGTTGCACGGGTCGAAGCTGCCTACTGGGACTACACTGCTCAGTCGCAAAGTGATACGCTGGATGACCTGTTCAGGAACGACGATAAACAAATAGAGGCAGCTTTAGATGAAATGATCGACAGCACGCGAGCCCGGCAAGCTGAGCTTGGCAAAATCCAAAGCGCAGCTCAGGTGAGGCAGGAGATGCTCACAACGCAATACCGAGCCGTTGAAATTGAAGAGATAAACGGACTTGCGGTCAAGTGGTGATGACTCTCTGCAGAGTATTCTTTCTTTAAAGTTCCGCCAGCGCTGTCTCGCCGCATGTCTTGGCACGCTGCAGATCTTCTTCACTGTCTTGCCGGGACAAATTCGTCCCTTGGGGCGTTAGATCTTCGGATCTACTGCGGAGCGAAGAAGAAGAACAATGCCTATAGAACATCTAGATGCATATGCTCTCCTCTCTCTCGTAGCCAGTCCTTCGAGAGCGAAGACTGGCTCTTTGGCAATGCGTCATCGCGTACCAAGCGTGAGAAATCGCGGGGTGGCGTTTGATAGCCGGTGACGGGCCATTCGCTCGAAAAGGAGATCTGCGGCGGCACTTTCGGTCCTGCTGATCTCAGATCATCCAGCGAGGAGGCGAGCGCTCGGAGGGCCAGATGTCTTTCGTCGAGCGTTGTAGGCCATCACCGAGTTCGCGTGCCTAACATCAACACTGGCCGTCAACACTGGCACAGGGCACGCATCAACGGGATCACTGCCAGAGCTGAGCTCGGCAAAGCTCCAGCGTCGGCTTGACTGGTAATGTCCCAGCTGGAACGCTACCACAGCAGTCAGTCGCTCTCTAGCCCGCCAATTGTGGCACAAAGAGCTCATCGCATCGACGGGTTTGCAGGTCCAGTCGCAGTCCATCCAGGCACGAATGCAGCTGGCAATCCACCATCAGCAGGTAGCAGTCCAGTCTCACCCCATGTGGCAAGGTTCAGCACCGTGCCACAGCATATGCGAACAGAACTCTACAAGTCTGCCACCGCGCCCAACTCGCCAGTCCACTATACCCCTTTGGCCAAGTCAATGAGCAGCGCTTATCCTCCCAGTGCAGCTCAGAGCTCGCCTGTACAACACGCAGATATACCCTTGCGATCAGCCATGCTACCTAGTGATATCCTCAGCTTGACAGAAAACAACGCACACACTTCGCCTTTCGTCGATCATCGACCTGTTCACCCGCCCGCGCCAATACACTATCTGCCTGGCGAGCCAGCCGGACTCGGTATACAACCCCCTAGGCCTCTTGAGTCTGGCGGTGCAGACTACAGCACCCCACTAGGCAGCCCAGTGCATGCCTCTGCGCCAATGTACAATCCCGAGTCGTCATTGCGCGTGCTGGGCATGAGCCGACTCGTGGGGAGAGCGGGCGTAGAGATCTCTGTCGCACTGGGCTTCAAGCCATCGCATCCAATCTTGCTAGATGGTCTTCCGATCAACACCTTTCGCATTCTTGTCGGCGATATACCCGTCATGACGCGCTTGTCTTCGAGCCTAGGCGAGCAGCCAGGCGAAGAGCATATCACCTTGCTCGCTCTCGCACCCCAGCAAGCGAGCGAACTTCATCAAATCGTCCCAGTCATCGCTCAGGGGCTGGACAAGCAGGGTAATATACGAGACGGCGCCCAGATTGGCTACTTCACTTACATACCCGAGCATCCACCTCTGGCGCCTCTGTCTTTGTTGAGTGACAACCTCTCGCAAAATAAGCGACCTCGCAAACGGACAGCTTCTGCGCTAGAGACCAGTCAGAGCCAGCCGGGTGAGCCTGTCGCAAGCACGAGCAGATCTACCAGAATGATTGCAAGCGCCTCTACGCCTGGTATGCACGTCCGCAAGGCTCGACCTGGCATACCCCCATCGTTGCCCGGCGCAACACAAAGCGGTCAGACCTTGAGACATCCGCCTTTTCCAATTCAAGATGGCAGTCAGCCCTTGATTATTCGCACGACGCAGATCACATTGACGATGGCAAACGCTGCACGAGCAACAGGACAGCACGTGACTGCCGATCGAGTGCCAACCAACAAAGCAGAGCTTGTCATCCACGGTGATCTCAATTCAATGGCCTCTGGATGGGATCAAGAAGAATGGGCAGCCAAGCGGCGACTGGTACTCTTCGAAAGAGACCAACAAGGCAACACGATCAACCTTTCGTTCCGGCCCATCACAATGGCAGAATATGCGTCTGACAAGATCATACTCTCCTGCATCTTTCGAGAGGACGACGATCAATGCTACGTGACATCCGTCGATTCAATCTACTTGCTAGAAGCTCTGGTCGGGATCCGTTTCACCGTCGAGGAAAAGAACCGTATCCGTCGTAATCTCGAAGGCTTCAAGCCGATAACGGTCTCCAAGAACAAGCCCGATAGCGAAGACTTCTTTAAGCTCATCATGGGCTTCCCTAACCCAAAGCCTCGCAACATTGAGAAGGACGTTAAAGTCTTTTATTGGAAGACCCTTCAGCAAGCAGCGTCCAAGATCCTAGCAAAGTACAGGTCAGATTGTCCTCCGATCTGGTTTCGATGCTGCTGACGGTGAAACTGCAGCGCTGCATACACGGGCGTGCTTGGTCAAAGGGCCATCAATGCTTCCAATGCAGCCGAAGACGGACAGAGTCCAGAACCCGTCTTTGAGCTTTCCGCCAATCCGATACCTTATACATCCGCGCCAGAGCCACCGCAAGATACGATGGGTCCTTCGACGGCGCCAAGTACATCCGGAGGCGTCAGCAAGCAGAGCTCACATTCGTCAGAACCGTCAGTCCGGGGTGGCTCGAACAGGCCTGTCGCAGGCAGCTCGGAACCCGTCAGTGCATCGGAAGATCAACACTTCGATTTCGTGCATATGTTACACGATGACTTTCACAATTCTGAGCATCGACAACGGCCACCAGCACCTCCATCGTGGCAACCCACTCACGCTCGCAGCGTCTCAGAAGCAACTGGTTCGATGCAGCCCAGCACCGACAGCGGCAAAGAGTCTTACAAATCTAGACAGAGACTCGCAACAGCAATACCCACCTTCCATCAGCCGCAAATATCCCAGTCTGTGCCCGGCAGTCCTTTCCATACCTATGCAGTCGAGCCAATGCTCGCGTCTGCCCCTCCGACATCTGTCGCCTTTTTCCCCGGGCCTCAAGCCCATTTTGAGCAAGCAGAGCAAGCGCCGCCCGAAGGCGAATATGGACCTTTCCACTCAGACGAGCTCTGATCGCGCAAAGCGGTTGCTCCTGAGCTGTATAGTGCTGTTGTAAGCCCTAGTGTTGACTGTATTGCCCTTCTTTCGAACATTCATCTCTTTACGCGTCATAACGGTCCCAGTGACTCTAAACAGTGCAGTACAAGATGCGTACAATCACTCGTGCTTTGACGTGCGTCGAAAGCCTAATGTTGACAAAATGCGTGACTTTGGCTTCTTACGCTTGGTCGTGCTCAGCGAGCCATCGGTCGGACTCCACTGTTCGCGATCGCCAATCTCGACATAATCATCTGGAATATCGGGCAGGCTTTTCATCTGTGCTTTCCGTATCGAAGTAAGACTGTCGTACGAAGGATCAGACATGAGGGCATCCGTGCTCGGCATGCCCGTCTCTGACATGGCCAGAGACTGCGGCGTAAGCGGAAAGTCGAGCGTCGTGTCCGCGGAAGACTGCTGCCCGCCAGAGTTCCGCGAGCTGTGGGCGGGCATGGGTCGACTGAGCTGACTTTCGGAGAGGACACCAGACATGAATAGCGAGGTCGGACGAGAGCTCAACGCTTCGCTAGGAGACTGTGGCGCCTGCGAAGATGCAGCGGATGCCACAGAAGCTCTCCGTCTACTCGACTGACCCGTCAGGAATGACAGTGGCGGCGGCGGTGTCAAGGGTTCGGCTAGATCGAAGTAAGTCTGCCTGCCACCGCTCTCGTCATGCAGCAAGATCGGCGGGCTCGCCACTGATCTGACCCTTTGCTTCTTGCCGTCACTGCTACGAATGCGCTGAAAGAGCCCCTTGAAGCCTTTCGAAGCTGACTTTGGCAATGATTGCTGCGTAGGGTGATCCATAAGCTCACCCATAGAGTCGAGTTGGGCGCGAGAGGTGGTGTGTGCCAGATGCGGCATCGGCTGCATACTGCGATGGCGATCATACGATAGGCCGAGGTGCATGTCTACCATTGATCCGCTCGGCACGAGTGATAACATGGAGTTGGTGGCACTGCGTGCTGTCCGTGACCATAGCGAGAGGGGTCTCGCTTCTGCACGACCGTTGGCCGGGCGTGCCGGGCTGAGCAAATCAGAAGAGCTCTTTGCAGCATAGTGCAAGCCTATCCTACTCGCGCTGCCACTACCCAGAGGCGACGAGAACCGACGAGCAGAAGCATCGTCTGTGAGATCTGATAACACTGCCTTCGGGTTGAGCGGCGCTGTATCACGAGAACCTGCTCGAGAGAAACGCCAGGCGTCTTTGACGTGGGGACGCGAGCGAGCGCGAGTCTCTGGTCTCGGCTCGGAAGTCGCGGAAATGGTACGTGACAGCACGGCCGAATCCACGCGGCTAGGAATAACACTCGTCCGATTTCGCCAGGCATCCCGCTCAGAGGACAGACTCGGCTGTCGCAGGGACTCGGCGGGCGCAGCAGCTTCCGGCGGTAGATACTGAGCCTGATCTGCTAGATAGGTCTGCAACGTCTTCCACCGGTGATTAGATGCGGGGATATTCTATGCATGAAATCAGCTTTGAGGTTGACGTGCGCGGAGGACTGACCATGCTCGTCCAAAGCTTGAGAGCAGGTTGTGTGAGCATATGGCCTCTGCCAATACGCATGCTCTTCGAACGGGCGCGTTCTTCGGCATGGCTGGGGCTGCCAAGAGCCTCTCGGGAAGTCGGAGCAGAAGTCGGCTTCTCACGGCCATTCGGCGAAGTCGATGGAAAATCGTGACTATTCGGGGCGTCAGAGTGATGACTGCTTCCAGCTATACTCGATTGCTCGTCTGCCTCTTCTCGTCGGAGCGCTTCTTCATAGGCTGCATCGCTAGCTCTTGCCCATATGCCAGGCGAGGTGACATCGGTGTCAGCTAGATCACGGTCACGCATCATACACTCTATGCAAACTTCAGGTCCGTTTGCGGGCTTGCCTGCCGCTGTCGGACTGTCCATATCGAGCGGAAAAGGTTTCGGCAAAAGTGGTAGAGATGGCGGCATTGGCGCACTGGCCGATGGCTTGGCATCTCTTGCCGAAGGTCGCATCTCTGGCAGGTAGGGATGAGTGATCTGCTCTTGGGGTCGATAGAGACCGAATGCGCCGTCGTAAAGAACAGACTTGATTGCGCTTCTCGAAGAGATGGAAGCTGGGTAGGGTCCCGTATTGTTGTCAAGGATGGGAACGCCTGAATAGCTGGAGTAGGGTCTCGAGTTTCTTTGGTCCATAGAGGCAATATAAGACCCTGTCGAGTGCCTCGCAGTGTCTGCCGTCACTGCTCGCTCTCGGAGACTGCTAGCGCTGCTCGTCTGCTTGTGAATGGCGTTGCTGTACAGCGCAGCAGAAGAATGTCGACCTGCACTGCCATTGGCAGCAGCAAGAGGTGCACTCACGTTTCGCATAGCCCCACGAGCAGCGCTCGTCGGCGAATCTGAGCGTACCGCTTTCTGCTGCTGCAAGTCGGACGAACGACCCTGATATGACGAATCAGCTGTCGATTTTCTGCTCATTGGCGCCGATTCTGGTTCTTGCCCTGGTTTCGTCTGTGCGGGCGAGTTGGAGGCAGATTGTCCAGATGATCGTCTGGATTGGCTGGCGCTTGGCGGCCTGCGACTGTTGGGCGAGCTAGCGCGCGACTCGGTAGCGTTAGGTGATGCCAGGGCGACGAGATCAGCTCGAGAGACGGTTTTGCTTGATTTGTGCGAAGAGGAGGCAGGCTCGGCGTGTCCATTCGTATGCGCATTCGTCTGGTTGCTCTGGCTTGGCGCTCGCGACATTGCCGCTAGCTCGTGGGAGCCAGAAATGATAGGGCTCAGACCGCCCGGTAGTGGAGGCATGGGCGCGTCAAGTGAGATCTGCTTGACGTTCTGCTCTAGCTGACCAGGTAGGGGCAGGCTGAGGTCCTTGGTACTCGCTAGCTTTTCGTCGCTCGTGTACTCGAACAGAGTACTCGACTGATACGGTCTCGCGCTCGAGTCGTCATCATTGCGCGCATACTCGTCATCAGACGAGTCCTGTCGGCTGCCTTGCTGTTGCCGAGCGGCTGAATGTACGCCGCTTGTTATATCAGTAGGCGAGCCCTCTGGTGAGGCGCATTGAGCTGCCAGCATGGTGCCTTTGCGTCGGCTTCGAGTCGACGCCTAGTCAGATGACGTGCATTCTCCTGCAGTGAGAGCTGCAATGAGCACGAGGACGATGCAAAAGCGTGCTGAGCTTGCCTGTCTGCTGCTGCAGGCCGCCTGACTGGCCAGGCCTTGCCGTCCTGTCGCCTTGGGAACACACAGCACGCGGTCAGAGAGGGGTCGTGCACGATGTGGCACTCTATCTGCTATCTACGCGAGCGTCAGGGGTCAGTGCTCGCTTCGTGTCGCCAAGCGTGTGACCTCGCTGTCCTCGTCGTCGTGCCGCCGCCGATCCTTTCTGGCTGATTGATTTTCGGCGCCCGGCGCGTAGCGGCCCACTAATAAAGTGCGCTAGGCCGGGCACGCCCACCAACGCTAGCATGTCTCACTTGTCTCTCGATAACACTGCACGCGCAAACTCTTCAAAAACGGCTCCGAATCAAGCACAATGCATCCTCTGCATCCCTAAGCGACACCATGACGACCCTGGACAATCGGCACGCCGCTGCCATCGAGCAAAGTGAAGAGGAATCTGCCCGAATCATTGTACTCAAATTCATGGTCTGTGATGTCGTCAGCCAAATTCGCAAACGAGCCGCGACCTACCGTCGTAGAGTGCTTGACACTGCTGGCTAATCGGCAGAAAACGCGCTTGTGTTGCCTCACAGACGAGCGATATGTCCAGAGGCTCGACTTGTTGCTCTCCAGGAGGGTTCAACTGGCTTGTACGAGGGTCAAAGATTGCGCTGCGATTGCAAGCTACATCAGCTCGCTTTCTCGTGCACTCGCCACCCCCCTAGACCCGCCTTGCCACGAACCGAACGGAGCAACAGTCTCGATAGATAGACACTGTTACCGCTCTGAGATCAATTTGCTCGCCAAGCAGACACAAGCCAGACTCACTAATTTCCACATCCGGCTCAGTGTAGCCCTTTGTGACGATGCGCATTCGCCATCGCAGCGTGATCTTGAATCTCGAGCCATTCTCATTAGCCACTTCCTCCGCATGCGCTTGCAGTCCGTTCGTCAGGTCGAAGTCGATTCGATACTTCGTTTTAGACTTGGGCTTGATCCAACTGGGCCAGCGACCGTTAACCGGGATGACGGAGAATTTTTGGGTGGCAAGGCCGTTAAAAATAATGATGGAAGACCATCTGTTCGTTGCGAGATTGTGCAGGAGAGCAGGTCGCTACATTTGCGCAGATCAGCGTATCATATTGAGTGTCGACGAGACGGCACTCACTCGTGCTTCCACCGTGATCCCGAATCGATCGACATCACGCTGCACAAGGGTCTTCGCAACCTCGCTCGATGAAAAGTTGAGAGGTGTGCAGCTGACCCCAAGCAGGGCAGCCAGATAGATCAGTGCAATCATAGCGACAGTCATGTTGCGCAATAACTCAGCTCGGGTTGACAGAAATGAACTAGTCACGCGGATCGTTGCAAAAGAGTGGCTGTGACAGAGTGAAACACACGGAAAGCCTTCCACAAGCGATCACGGTCGGCTTGCAACTGGTCGACAGGCACATTCTTCGTGTCTCCTCGGACGCTACTAGTCCAGCGGAAAGAATACTTTCCACTGATAGTCCTGATAGAAATCGTAAACCCATTCTTGTGATCGTGCGTCAGTCGGGATCGGAAGATGTGATGATGCACGACATACTCTGGTACAGCTTGGTACAGCGGTCAGGGACAGGATGAAACTCGACTTCGCTGGGGCTGCAGACGAGCTTCATGAACGTCGGTTCGTCATTGATGCGGACTGCCCTGAGCTTGACCTCCCAGGGGTTGACGACGACTCTGCGGCGAACATCAGCTGTTGGGCTCTTACGGGGAGTCCTTGCTTTCACCCACGTCATAGCGTAGTGGATTTTGCAGCAGTCTGCATATGTTTCGATGAGCTCGCGATTGACGCCACGGTAATCATCTGTCTTGATGGTGTCTTGCCATTGCAGCGTCATATCGTAAAAGCCGGTCCATTGCGCCGCTTTCATGTTGTTTTTGACCCGGGCGCTCACTCCGTCGATTGGGGCAAAGTCGAAAACGTATTCGGGCAAGTTTGGTATGACCCAGTGATACCACTTGTCTCCCCCGCTGATCGTGAACGGCTGGCGAATCTCTGAAGAGACGAGAAGGAGCGATGTCCAGCGGTTGTCTGTGGGTGACTGCACGCGGAGATGGTTCTTCGTCCATTTGAGCCGTGGACGCTGATCGAGCCTCGTGGGCACTGACCCACATTTTCACGACAAAGGCCGTCTCGCGGACGTCGCGCTTCTGCAGACCAGCCTGCATCGGTACAGCGATGCCGAAAGGCAGCACGGCGAAGAAGATTGAGAAGAGGCTGAGCAACATGATGATCTCAGGCGCTGTGATGGTCGCCGCTGCAAAGACAGATCAGATGAGCTATCGGATAGGTGCACAGGGGATGAAACGTCGCAAAGTCCTTGGAGATCCTCGACCGAGCAGATATTTGCACGAGTGCTGCAATGAGCAGGTTTCGACGGGTGCTAGGACAGAGGCTTCGCAGAGATGCTTCATCGTGGGATGCAGATTGCTGATGATTCGCGTCACGGTGCATTGAGGACATGTAGACATTGCACGAATGACGTCGCACAGGAGTCGTAGCAACCCAGCAGATTGCATTCCGCAGAAGACCATCCGTGGGAAGACTGCGTTCGGTGTGCGCCATGTGAAGGTCTTCATGAGCTCTCACTTCGATGGGACGATGGGCGGGTCATCTGCAGCAGAGATCACAGATCCTGCACGGAGGTCGTTGAGGTAAATCGGAGGTTTATCTGCGCGCTGCATTTTAGCGAGTTGCGCCCGGCAAGCCGGTAACGTACGATTTGCCCAAAAGTTGATGCATCGCTGATCGTAAGGTTCCGGCACATCGGCGTCCGCATGCTCGCAGCTGATCTTGACAGTCGTCTTCCAGCCATTTTCCTTCTTGATCTCTGCACGCACTTTGTCAGCTTGTCAGCATTGCGTCGATGACTGTGCTATTACTAAGCGGTCTTGCGTCAGGGTTGACTAAGAGCGAGGTCGTGAAGACAGTCCGACAGCAATCTCGCCAGAGATTGACAGCCCATCGCTCATCGGTATAATCATAGCGGCGGGGAATGCGACCGTACCATGCAAGAGAGATGTTGTAATTGAAATACCAATCGCTAGAGGTCTTGATCCATACATCATCTTGGACTGTACGCAGTGAGACAAATGTCATCCAAACGAAGTCCTCGGCTGTCTCGACTGACCTTGATAGCGAAAATAATATTGGTTGTGCCTCCCTTGATCACCAGGTCCCTTGAGTTTTTTGAAGGGCGTGGTGAAAGGCAATTCAAGCGTGCCGTCCATAAGAATGACATCAGAGTAACGGTCGTCCGGCCCATACTGGATTTGCATGCTGCGCTGTTGTGCCAAAGATCAATGTTATGAAAGGCATATGCCAAGCAGACTCGAGAGCTCACAGCGATGTCGACCCTGAGAACATAGCTGAAGGTGTCCGATGGTCCGAGGGGATCATCTCCATCATCGGCTTGTACGCATTTGAAAAAGTTGAGCAAAGCCAAGGAGGCCACGAGGGCGAGAACGAGTTTGTGCATCGCTTTTGCGCTTTTGCGAGTTCGTAGAAGATCGAGGAAGGCTCAAGCCTTGTCGATGCCAGTCGAGCGGCTCTGTGCGGAGCTGAACGATGTAGAAAGATGGCGCACTGGCGATAAGGAGTAAAGAGGAGACAGGTCACCGGTCACGCGGGCTTTGGCAACGAAAGGTGCTGACACGCGTGGCATCGTCCTAGAGTGACACGTGGAAGCATGCGGCCTGCTCGAGCACTTGGCGGGCTCTCATCTTCGTCATGCATTCTACTGGTCGGTCCGATGTTTACTACAGTCATGCAGCAGGTGTGAAGCCTACATCCCACTGAGGGTCTTGGTAGAATTTGAAAGTGAAATCTGCTCTCGCGTGTCAACGTACACGCAAGGCAAGGCGCGCGTGAGATGCTCTTGTATAGCTCGGTACAGCGAGCGGGATTGTAACGGTAAAAGGCTTCGTCTGGCTCGCAGATAAGCGACATGAAGCTCGGATATTGATCGGTTTTGAGCACGCGAAGGTTTACTGTCCAGGGGTTCACCACGACATTGCCGTGACAGAGAGCATCAGTCCGACGCATCCCTGGCTGTGTCCAATGATAGCGTCATTGCATAGTAATTCGGCAACAGTCTGAGTACGTCTCGATGAGTTGCCGGTCTTCGCCACGATTATCGTCCGTCTTGATCGTGTCTTGCCATCGAATCGTTAATTCGTAGAGGCCTGAATGTGCAGGCCGATTCAGGAGGTTCTTGCAGGGCTGACCCGATGAGCAGCGACACAGTCAGGAGACGAGGAAGACCTAGACGACAGGTCAGAGGAGCTTAGAAAAGTCATGCGTGCTTCGTCGAGGCCCTCATGGGGGCGAGAAAGCTATCGATTTCAATAATTGACGCGCTTCACTAACACGTGCACTTGCCGGTACCTGCCATGCATGACTTGCCTCCATCTCTGCTTCCTGACCTTTGTGCCTTTGTACAACATCGCGCAAACCGAGCTTCGCATTCTGCGACTACATTGGTTGCTCGGCGATGTGATTGGTTCCTCAATGGTCTTGTGAGGAGAGCGTTCAAACTGTGAGCTAAAGATCGCAAGAGCTATCATGCATCCAGGTCAAGTGAGCTGCCTTGTGGATCATCGACCCCAGCAAGCGAACCGACGTCATAGCTCTCTTCTGAACGCTCCCGGTCAGGCACGCATTCGATCAGATACGATGAGCAAAACCCCCCAAGCTGGTGGATGTTCCATCTGCGGCTTCAACCTCGCCGGCTCCGAACAGGAACCTGTCATACCCACATGCTTTCTCGTCGGCGGGAATATGCGGTTGTCAAGAGTTAAGAGGGGCTCTAAACGGGGCTCCCTAGAGGGTAGTGATACAGCCCTGGTCGTTAGCGCGCCTGCCCCATACGGCCCCATACGCCCTCGCTTTCAACCCGACGACTCTTGGCTAGACGGTCGATTGTCTAGCTAGCTCAACATGCTGGGCTCACACCCTTTGAGCACGATGGGTTTGCTTGCCCTGGGATGCCTGCTCGGTTTGGCCATCTTCGTTCAAGGTGTGCCCACTGACGGCAGCCCCCAACGCGACCACGATCAGTCCCTCGATTCGACTATCGCTCCCTCTCTGAATACATCGAAGCTGTCCCTGCCGGGGGATATGTCATCCTACGGCTTCGAAGTCACAATGGCGCGATCTTTCCGTTTCTTTTCTTACGAGCGTGATGCTTGGACCCGCAGCGTACCCGTCTCGAGTCGCAGAACGCAATACGTTACAGTCGAGACGGTCACCCACTGGTTCAAAGCAACAGAATATCTTGTCGAGATGATCATTCAGGATGGCGTTGAGACTCAGATCACCGAAGATACCCTGGACGACCATAACCCCGGCGAGGCCAAGAAGACGGGCTACAAACGTGTCAGTATGAGCTGGAACGAGAGAATCGCATTGGACGGTAGTCCTGCCGATCTCGAAACGCTGACGAAGATTCGCGAGTGTTGCGAGTTCAACTTCGTGACCACGTGTGTTCAGATTTGCAGTGACGAGCGATTGCTGAGACGGTGGCCAGGTTTGCGGCTGATCCTGCAGTAACGCCGATGATAATGAAGAGAGAGAAGTTGGAGCCGACGCATGTCACTCTCCACTGCTCACCTGGGACCGCGATGAAGATTCCCGTCACAAGAGAGTGCTCGACGCTCTTCCGAAGTAAGTTCATGGTGTCGAAGCAGTCCGTAAACAAGCCTCACGGATCTCCTCAGGCTGGGAGAAAGAGGTCGAGGCACACGAAACGATCGATGCCTATGTCAAGGTCGTCTCGCCGTATGCGAACCAGTAGACGATCAATGCATGACGCGGCGCGCTGTGAGGTCCAGAGTCTATTCGCACAGCGCACAGGCATACATGGATTGACAACGCCTGCCCTGATCAAACCCGAGGACTTGCCTGCTCCCATGAATCGCTGTGACGTTTGCCACCGCGATGAATTGCAGTGACCCGCGCGCTAGGCGCAGCCGCAGACTTTGCAGGAGCTTGAACGCACTGTCGTCGCGCTGATGTGTACACTTTGCCGACCTGTGCGACTTTGTCTTCGCGTTTTTGGCAAGGATAAACCTGCCTAGATCCTAGCTTTGACCCACTGCTCCAGTCCGCCAGCGACAGAGACTTCCTGTACGCTCTTGCCAATCGGACTGGACCTGTACACCGTACGCTGAGGTTGCGATGCCGATTGGTTCGACAGCGTAATCTCAATCTTACCATCTGCGCTGCCAACACTGATTTGCCAGCCCGTCTGAGCGGTCAAGTGTCCGTCGGCAGTACCCGACCCTCGCTTGCCGTCTTTGCCGAAGAGCGTAGTGAGATCATCGACGAGATCGGGGCACTCCAAGCAGATGAGTGCGTTGTTGATCGCGTTTCGTTTGAAGATATCACCGAAGGAGCCTGCGATGACGAGTGGAATGCCTGCATTGCGCAGAGCAGTAGCAGCTTGCTCGCGAGAAGAGCCTGTGCCGAAGTTGTAGCCAGACGCAAAGAGGACTCCCTTGCCATCTCGTGTCGTGTGTGCGGGGCCGGCGGGCTTAGCCGAGCCCTGTGATCGGATCGATGCAACGAGTGATGCAAAGCTGGGATCGTAGTTCTCCATGAGAACCTCTGCCTGTCGATCTGGCGTGATGTCGTCTTGATACGTATACTTGCCAGGGTAGAGCGCATCTGTGTTGAGATTGTCCTGAGGAGCGAACAGCAATGGACCAGAAAAGATTTCTGGGAACAAGGGCAAAACTGCGTCGGTCGTGCTAGACGACACAGAGGCATCTGCTGCATCTTCGCTCGAAACGGCACGAGACAGTGTGATGGTAGGAGATTGAGACTGTCTCGGTTCGATATGATCCTTAGGCGCACAGATCTTGCCAGCTATCGCACTCGCAGCAACGACTTCTGGACTGGCGAGGTATGCTTGTGCATTCGGGCTTCCCATCCTGCCTTTGTAATTACGATTGGTCGCAGAGATGCCCACCTGGCCATCTTCGAGCAAGCCGGTGCCGAGACCGATGCAGGGACCGCAACCTGCAGGCAAGACACGAGCGCCTGCATCGACGATTGCACCCCAATCTCCCGATTCCTCTGCTTCTCGTTGAACGACGCTGCTCGCTGCAGCGACATAAAACTCGACGCCAGATGCGACCCTCTGTCCTCGTAGTACACGAGCTGCGGCTGCCAGGTCCGACGCCCGAGAATTTGTGCAAGACACTAGATACGCCTTGTGGATCTTGATATCTCTCGCTTCGAGCTCCGGCAAAGGCGTAGAGATCTTTACCGAGTTCGGCCCAGACACGTGAGACACGAGAGAGCTCAGGTCGAGTGTGAGTCGTTTCGCATAGTGCGCATCGGGATCAGCTCTCAAGGGATTGGTCTCGATATCTTGCAATCTTTGCGTGGACAAGCGAGGATGTGTCGTGAACTCTGAACGGAATTTATGAAAGTCGAGCTTGCGTATCCGATCATGGTACCAGTCGAGCAGAGTCGAATCGACTGGGAAGACGCCCGCTAGTGCGCCCCATTCTGTGGTCATATTGGCTATGGCGAGTCTCTCGTCCACCGAGAGCGTAGATACACCGGCACCGACGAACTCGATGGCGCAATTGAGTACCTCATCGCGGTTGAAATTGCCACATAGCGCGACGATAACATCTTTGCCCGTCACGCCAGGCGCAAGTCTGCCTGTCAACTCGACCTGAACGACCGTCGGGACTTGCCACCATGTCCGCTGAGTCGCCCATATCGCTCTGCGAGCCAACGCTGATGATCAGCGAACAAGATGGCTTGAGCAGGAAAGAGCTCACGCTGCATCTGTGCGGACGATGGGCGTGCCGACACAGCCTACACCACCATACATATTGCTGTGAGAGTCTGAGGCGACGCAAAGGGTGTGAGGAAACGCGTAGCCTTCCTCTATCATGACTTGATGTCCAATTCCTCGCCCGGCAGGGTAGAAATCGATGTCTCGTTCCATGGCAAACGCTTCTATCTTTGCATACTTTTCTAGATTCTTTGCGGACTTGTTCTGTACGTCGTGGTCAAGAGTGAACACAGGCTGACGGGGATTCGAGATAGCCTTGGCGCCAATCGACTTGAACTGTGCTCGCAAGGCTATCTTCAGATTGGTTAGATCCGAAGAGAAGATGAGCGCACCTTTGATATCACCGGACCGGTGTTGTCATGCGTCATGACGTGTTGAGGTCTGAGCATGACGAAGTCGCCTGCCCTGACTTGGCGACCCTCTGGCCAATCAACGACGTGCCTTTGCACCACTTTCTCGATGTAGCTCTGTCCGGGAACCGCGACGTGACTTGCAAAACTGCGCCGGTCCAGTCGAGTGTGCCGTCTTGCATGTCGCAAGCTTGCAGATCTGACAGGGCAAAGCATCGGAGCGCTCTCTGTGTCAATTCGGCAACTTCAGAATTTCCAGGCACACAACTTCGCGATCAGCTGATTCGCTAGCTGAAAACAAGATGCCACAACGCGCGTCAATAACAATCTACGCACAACGAACGGTCAGAGAAACGCAGCGATAGCGAGCAGGTCATGGTCCGCGAGAGGGCGCCCAAGCCAGCAAAGCAAGAGTGGACAGACACAGAGAACCATGGAAGGTAAATCACGCGTTAGCTGGACTTCGGCGTTGCGTTGATCAACGACTTTTGCAGACGAACAGGCATACCCGTGCCCAAGCATGTACCCCGGGACAGTCATGGCTTCGAAGATGTGTCTGCTTTCTTCAATGCCATGGTACCAGACGATCACGAGACTGGTCTGCCACCCGTAGTCAAGTCGGTAGAAACTGCAAGGTCAAATCGGGCTCCTTTGGCAGATGTCACTGTCGAGTCAAACAACTTGCATGTGCGAGGATCTTTCGTGCCAAAGTATGTCGACTATACAGCGCCGACAAAGGGAACGAGTGCAAGTGTGATGGCACCCGCGAGGGAGAAGCGAGCGCCCAGGCCAGATCTGTACGATACCCAAGGCGGCATGATCGGCCCAAAGACGGGTCGCTACTTTCCTCGCGTGTCTGTAGATTCTCAAGGGTTCGAAGATGTGGACAAGTTCTTCGACCAGTCTGGCATCCTCCCGCCATCACAGGCACCTTTTGTGCATGTCTACCCCCAGCCTAAACCGCCGCCGCCGCCCACTGCAACGGAGAGCACACTTGGCAAACGAGATCGAGGAGATAGACCTATCCTGTTTCCCGAGGGCCAACATGAGCTATATGGACAGGTCGGCAGGAGGACAGGCAAGGTTATGCGGCGCGTTTCTGTCGATTCGAACGGATTTGAGGATGTTTCAAAGTTCTTTGAGGCTAATGTGACGACGGCTTCTACCAAATTTGTCGATTTCAAGACGGGCAAGCTCATCACTGCCGGAGAACGCGATGCCAAGCGAAGACCACAACAATCAGCTGCCTTTGTTGCGGCTGATGTATCGACATTACTTGATGACTCGGTCGAACAGCTCTTTGACGACGATGGGCCGAGTGAATCTGGTTCCAGGCGCGGGTCCCTCCTTGACGACAGACCGAGTATAGACCAGTATGCCATAGACGATAACGAATACGGTCAGGGAGGCTACAGCGACGCGCAACAACGGTCCACAAGTCCTAGCTCGTCCGACGATGACGTGACCATCTCTCGCAAGATCAGCAGGAGTCAATCACCAGCTGAGCGACGTCACTATTCTTCCTCTGCTTCGCCATCTCCCTCGCCTCCTCGCAAGCAGTTTGTACTACCTTCCAAACGGAGAGCAATCCTTCCGGCGCCTGATCTGTCGATCGTACAAGAAGAATCAGAACCTGAGCAAGGCGACGAGACGTTCATTGCGACGCTTCGGAAAGAACGAGCGAGCAGTGCACCCCTCCAGACAACAACCCGCTCGGGCAGAAACTCTGTACGACCTGGCAAGTGGTGGGCGGGCGATAGATCCGAATACAAACGGGGCGACTCTCAAGGTCTCGTCCTGTCCAATGTCGTGCGAAAGCCAGACGATGAGCCTGCGAGACCCAAACGTAGAGCCCTCACTGCCGCGCCTTCACAGCGATCTGTGGAATCAGAACCAACGCCGACGGGTATTGGACGGTTCGACGGCTGGGACGACGACACATCGAGCACAGTCGAGGTGCTCGATCGCTCTGGTAATGTGGTGACGGAAAGTAGGTATCTCTGCATTGCTCTGCGGCTCATAGCTGATACGCTGTGTAGCACTTGTCTGCACCAGCAGTATGCGAGATCTTCGGCCGATCAGGGATGGCAAGATACGGATCGAGCCACTCTTTGACTTTGCGAGCACAAGCGGGGCTCTTGTCTTGACGATCCCGCCCACCGCGTCCAGGAAGAATCGCATGACAGTCGATAACAGGTACTTCTTCTATGTCACCGTCGGATGCCTGCGCGTCACAATCCACAACAAGAGCATGACCGTCTCTGAAGCAGGATTGTTCGTCGTGCCTCCCAGTAAGCTCGCCTTGCTTGCCTCTCGCGCTCGTTCGGCTGACAAGATCAACAGACAATGTCTACAGTATCGAGAACACCTGCGACGTTGAAGCGAAGCTGATGTGCGTGCAAGTTCGCGAAGACGCAGAGCCTGTTGTATGATTCATGTCACGGCAGTCTTCCAATCTTTTGAACGCGTTCGATTTGTCACCAGCGAGCCAAAATGTTCGAAGAGCCTACTGCTGGGCCGAGCAGGCTGCCCATCGAGTTCCAGATCGTCATACTATCCGGGCCTGGAAACGATCTCTATCCGCTCGTCGATCCCGACAACGCCCATTCGCTACCAAAGTGCTTGCTACCTGTCGCCAACCGACCATTGCTCGAAGGTCCTCTTGAGCTGGCCGAAGAGGCAGGCTTCTACGGCAAGCCAGTCATGTCATTTTGTGACCGTACGCTCACAGCCTGCAGATAGATGTGATTGTTCTGGCACCCCAAGCTCAACAAGCGCAACTAAGCTCTTACTTGCGCTCGAGGCGGAGTCATGCAGACACGAGCTCGACGAAGCTCAGAATAGACTTGCATTGCTTCCCTGATGGATCGAATGATGAAGAGCAACATGAGGAGCTAGAGACGGCAGGTGTGCTCGCATGGGCGACTCGACAGCACCTCATAAAGGCGCGCATGCTCATAATCTGTTGATACTACGAGCTTAAGTCGTCCAGCAGACGGACTTTCTTGTGCTTCCTTGCGATCTCAGACTTGCTCCTGACAGCGGGCTAGCACCTTCGCTGGGCTCGCTAGTCGACCGACATCGCGTGGACGACAATTATATCACGACTTTGTACTACGAACGTAGAGCGGGCGGCGAAGAGAGGCTCAAGGATGGTCAGTCAAGCGATATACAACAGACCTCGTCGCTGAAGCATCGAAGCAGGATTACCGCCCGTTTTAGTCACTCTGGACCCCGCAACATCTACCTTGCTCGACCAGAAGGAGCTGGCCGACTTTGACGAAGAGATTGTCATCCGCGCGTCGTTGCTGAAAAGGTCTGCAAGGCGTCCCGTCATCACTATCAGTCCTGACTCGAGCTTTCCGGTTCAGGTTCCCATCGCCGCTCTATCTGACTACCCTCGCCACGACGCATATCTACATCTGCTCGAAGCGCGTTCTTGAGATCCTGCCCGACTTCCCGGCCAGGTCTAGCTTTCGCGACGATGTCGTGCCTTGGATCTGCAAAGCGCAATGGCAGCCGAAACTGGCAGGCAAAGCAGGCATTGGTGAGCTGTTTGGCGCTTGCTCAGAGACTGACTGACGTCCGGCAAAAGGCAATGCGCTCACGACACCGAAGGATCTGACAAATGGAGGGCTCGCTCGCTCGTCTACCCTCCCACCGCCTGGTCACATTCCGTTGCGAACAGAGGCCGCGCCCGAGAAGCCTCGTCAGCCTATACGGCCACCTGTGTCACGGCTTCATTCAGTCTATGCCGCTCAACGCCACACTTCAGCTTTACACCGTCAGCCAATGGAACAAGATACGCCCGACATCACTCGTGCGCCTTCGCTCGAGTCCACGCCAGCAATGACGAAGCAGAACAAGGTAGCCATCTACGTATGGCGTAAATCGCATGGGTTCTGCATCCGAGGCAATACTGTAAAGAGCTACATCGAGCTCAATCGGTATGCGCTCAGGTCGCCCTCGACGCATGCAGCAGGTCATCAAGGCGCTTCGAGTACTGTCTCGGCAGACTCGCTCGTTGCGCAGAACACGACGATGGGCGAAAAGTCAATGGTCAGACGGAGCATTGTCGGAAAGCTATGCACGCTCTCGTCTGGCTGCAAAGTCCTCAATTCTGTCTTGATGGATTCAGTCGTAGTAGGAGAGAACGTCAAATTGGAGAATTGCGTGGTGGGCAAAGGTGCAAGGATTGGCGATCGCAGCGTGCTGAAAGATTGTCAAGTGGGCGCCATGCACGAGATAGCGCCCGAGACAGAAGCGACGGGGGACCAAATGGTCGCTGAGACAGAAGTCTAGTATGCATTGCATTTCAGACTTTGATGTTTGCTCCACCTGACTTGATGAGCTGAAGGAAAGTATCTTTCGACAGATTTGCAAGAGCATCTTCTCTACCCCTACTGCCGAGCAGGTTCGCTCTACGGTGATCTGTGTCGATCGCAGGCGTGGCTGTTGCAGCTGTGGCTGCGATGCGCGGTGTGGCTGCAGGCGCGCCCAGGCCAGGTTTCGGCTTATGAGCTTGATCGACTCCCTGAGCTGCTCTGACAGCATTGAACAACCTGACGACACCCTTTTGAGCTAATCGTCGCAGAGCTTTCTCTTGTTCGGCAGAAGAGACGCCTAGCTCTTCCTGCTCGAGATCGCCTTCAGTTTTCTTTGTCCATTGGGAGAACGGTCTCTGCGGCCTGGGACGCCAATCTGCTATCAGATCCGAAACATGTCCTCGTTCTGCGACTTGGTGTCGAGTCTGCTGTACTTGCTTGAGCGCTTTGCGAGCTTGGTTTGTCTCGGCTTGGGATTCGTGGATTGGCTTGAGGGAAGTGAAGACTCTGTTGGATTTGGTGGATGACAAGGGGGCAGCAGACAGCAGAGCTTGCAGTGAGGCCCCAAACTCTTCTGGATCGAGCACCTTGCGCTTCTCTGTACGTGGCAAGCCTGAGCATTGTAGCCATCAAGTCACCGACAGGGAAAACGTACTTTTCTTGCTGCTGCCTGACTGCGTCTGGGCCCGTCGCTTGGCGAGTGCTTTGCCGATCTCTTCCTCATCGTCCACATCGCTCGCAGGTGCAGCGCCATGCTCCCCGTCCTCAGACAAGTCGTCGCTGTCGCCCTCGCTCAAATTTGACATTGCATCCTCTTGAGGGACAACTTCGATTGCTTTGCCCTTGCCTTTGTGTAGCTTCGGCTGAGTCGGCCTTTGGACAACTTGCGATAGTGTCACTGATCCTTTCTTTGCCATGGCTCGATCAGCAAGAGACTCGTTGGCCGCTTCACTTTCCTCGTCAGGTCGCGCTTTCAAGGCGTCGTCGGCTCGATGACGTCGTCCATCCACTGGGACAGACTCCTCCCTAGCTCGAATCCAGAGTACGAGCACTATCGGTTCGCAAGCAGACGCTCAGTCGTCTTTGGCTCGCGAGGTATCGTTGCCTGTACCCAACCTGCAGCAACTCAAGCCGGTCTCGACATCCTCTCAAAGGGAGGCAATGCAGTCGATGCTGCCATTGCTTGCGCAGCCGCGCTCAATGTGACAGAACCATGCAATAATGGCATTGGCGGGGACGTCTTTGCGTTGTACTGGGATCCTCAAAAGCGCAAAGTGCTCGCGCTCAATGGCTCGGGACGTTCGCCCGCTGCACTCTCACTTACCAAAGCCCGTGAGCTGGGTATAAAGCAGCGAGAGATACCTCTGGGCAATATCAATGCGTCAGTCTCGCGTATCGGCATTGCTACCCGAGCACATGGTCTGATTAGCGAGAAGACAGCGTGACGGTGCCGGGCGCTGCCGCTGCTTGGACGGATGCCCATCGCGAATGGGGAAGCGGCAAGGTCAGTATGAGTGACATACTCTCGCCGGCCATCCAGCTAGCAGAGAACGGATTCCCCGTTGCCGAGCTCACTTCTGCAATGTGGCAAAAATCACAAAAGCTATTGCTTAAGGCGAGCGCCAACGGTGGCGAGCTGCTCATGCCAGACAAGACCGCGCCTCGGCCCGGACAGGTCTTTCGGAACCCTACGCTTGCACGTACATTTCGCACGTTGGCAGAAGAAGGACGGGATGGGTTCTACAAGGGCAGGATCGCCCAAGGCATTGTTGATGTGATCTCAGCCAATGGCGGCGTGATGACACTCGACGATCTAGCGAGACACGAGTCTACCTTTATCGAGCCTATTGGCTATACTTATGGGGAGAAGTACCGACTACACGAGTGCCCACCGAACGGACAAGGGCTCACCGCCCTCATTGCGCTCGGTATTCTGGATGCAATGCACGAAGCTGGCAAGATCGACCTCAGCTCGGTCGAACACAACTCTACAGAGTATTTACACGCCATTCTCGAAGCTATGCGGTATGCCTTTGCAGACACGAGGGCTTATCTGGGCGACCCAGAACATTCTCGCATACCTGTGCAGGAGTTGCTCGATCCAGCGTACTTGCGCTCGAGAGCAGCCATGTTTGATCCACGCAGAGCGAAAGCAGATGTCAAGAAGGGCTCGCCGCCCAATGCAAGTCACACTGTCTACCTATCAGTATCAGACTCGTTTGGCGGCGCATGCTCTTTCATCCAATCGAATTATGCCGGGTTCGGTCAAGGCGCCGTACCTGCAGGCTGTGGATTCAGTCTGCAGAACCGTGGCTCTGGCTTTGTGCTCGACGAGTCCCATCCCAACTGTCTTGCAGGCAATAAGAGGCCGTATCATACCATCATGCCCTCGATGCTCACTGTGGATGACGAGCTCATGCTATCCTTTGGCGTCATGGGCGGTTTTGCGCAACCGCAATGCACAGTACAAGTCATGCTCAACATGCTCCATCACGGTCTGCATCCCCAATCTGCTCTAGACGCTCCCAGGGCGGTCATCTCGCCTTCCATGCCAGACGCAACGGACAACCAGGAAGATTCGGGTAACTTCAATGGTCAGATCTTCCTCGAAGACGGTATTTCGGCAGACACCGTCAAAGGGCTCAGGAAGAAAGGTCACGATGTCCAGGTTGTCTCGGGGGCCAATCGAGGCATGTTCGGAAGAGGACAGATCGTGCAGAAGCTACCCGGGAAGGAGCTCATATGGGCTGCCGGCTCTGACCCTCGCGGTGATGGCCATGCTGCGCCTGCTCTGTAGCTTGCATGCATCTGCTGGAATGCAGTCTCGACGCGCGTGGCTAGCTGAAGTGCTGGCTGGCTCCCGCGTTCGCGCACAGTAATCGTCGTAAGTGGGAAATGTGGCTCGAAGCTCGTGCGAGCAATCATTGAGAGCTTGCAATGGCAGGCTTCAGTGCGAATCGGTTCAGCCTATTAGGCGGTGAGTGCAGTGATCTATCTGTGCCCTTTGGCAGCTCCCCAGCGCAGGAGGACGCAAGCTGACGTTGTGCTCTGATTTTCCTCTGTCGCTCTTCCGCCCTCTTGTCGACGAACCGCTTGCTCTTGCTGGACAGACACCGATGGAGACGATGTTCCCACACCGTCGCAGTCATCGGTACCTGCAGCCACGTCAGCACCGGAGACGAAGCACAAGGCAGGCAAGACGGCAGGCACCACTGGCACTTCTGCCGTAGGAGGAGCCGCAAAATCTGCTGCTGAACCCCGCCGTATTCCTGGCATCGGCGCAAAGACACCCAACGCTCAATCTGGCAAGGGTCCACGGAGGACGGCTGCAGAGGAATCTGGCAATGCTGCCGGAGACTCTCTCGATGCAAAAGACGAGCGTGGTGGGTTTCGTTCTGCATTCGGTCGTCATACCGGCTCATGCGATCCAACACATCGCAGCTGCATCTCGAGCAAAGAGCGAACGCGGTGGTCGTGGTCGCGGCGGACGAGGCCGAGGTGGTCGTGGCAAGCCCTTTGACCGTCACTCCAACACTGGCATAACGTGAGTCTATCGTGCCCGTGCGATGGACTTCATGCTGATGCTCGCTGCTACAGAGATAGCGCTAAGCAAGAGCACCAGGGTTGGGGAGGCGATGACGGCAAACGTGAGCTCGAGGCAGAGAACGCCGGCGCGCTCGATGCAGTCAATGCGGCAGACGGCGCGAATGCCCAGCCCAATGCCGAGGATCACTCTCAGCGAGAGACGCTCATCGATCAGTCCAACGTTGCTGATCCCAAGGGCCCCGTCAGCGCGGATGCTGCGCCCAAGGTAGAAGAGGAAGTGGACAACTCGAAGACGTACGACGAATACCTCGCCGAAAAGGCCGGCAAGACGCTCGGATTCGAACTGCCAAAGGCTAGACAGGCAAACGAAGGATCAGATGACTCTCAATGGAAAGACGCAAAGGTTGCCGAACGCAAGGCATTGATTGATGACCATGAATACTTTGGCGCAAAGGTCCGTTGCTTGGCGTTTCAGTTGGCCTTCGGCTGATACACTTGGTCCCATCGACAGGAGCAGAAAGCGAGACAGCGCAAGCAAAAAGAAGGCAAGACCTTCCTCGACGTCGATCTCAGACACGCTCCCGTCGATTCTGGCAATCGTGGTGGAGATCGTGGCCGTGGTGCTCGTGGCGGCCGTGGGAGAGGTGCCCGTGGCGCGCCAAGAGGACGTGGAGCAGAGAATGGTACCTCGTCTCGTGGAGGACGTGGCGGTGCTCGTTCAGTCAACACCGAAGACGCTACAGCTTTCCCCTCTCTGGGAGCGAGCTCATAGCGCATATCCGCTGCAATAGCACCAGCGCCTGCTAGCCAAGACTAGCTCATCTGTACATGCATGCTTTCATGCACGTAGACAGCGTACAACATGCTCTGTCCTTCCTTTCACTTGAGTATGCTGCACATAGTAGAGCATGCGATCCGTTAGACAAAGCAGCGAATGACTCTTCCTCTTCGAAGATGTCAGTGTAGTGACAGGCCAGCCGACCTGAGCCAGGTCAACCGCAGAGACGGCTGCACTCACGCGCACCAAAAGCAAGGAGCCATCTGCGCGGAACAGCGGGCAATCACGTGCTTCTTCACCTTGCCGCCTTTGCCACCTGACAGGCGATGCAAGGATGGCCTTGCCACATTCGTCGATCAGGATTGTACTACAGCTTGTCGTGAGCACCAGGACCGGCGGATGAGAAGCCAGGAGCAGATTGATGGGCGAGAGTAAGTCTGGCGCAGGCGGCTCCGTACGGCGAAGCGCGCTCGCATACGTCGGCGGGATAGCGTATGACCTGGACAGCTGGGAAGATGGCAAGGAAGGCATGCGCGGTACAGGAACGAGGTTCTGAAATGGCACGACTGCGTTTTGTTGAGATATGCCGAGCCGGCGGGCGCGCATGGTCAAAGGATCGAGCAGAAAGACAGCATGAGGGTAAAGCAGCGCGATCTCGAGGCAGCCCACTGCGTGCGAAAGCAACTTGATTGTGATAGGTTTCTCGGGCAGAGCGAAGCCTCGTCTCAATGCAAGAGGGTTGCGTGGAGTGCCCTGTGGCGAGTATGAGCTCACTTGCTACCTCGACGCTATGCACTTACCTCGAAGGTGTGCAAGATCCGACCGAGCTGTCCGCCAAGCGTAAGAATGAAACAGCGAGACTCGTCTTCGTGTGCGACGATGTCGCACACCTTGTAGCAGTCTTGCAGAACGACGAACGGTGGCTCGCGTCCAAAAGAGAGACCGCGATGCGACTGGCTACCGAACAGTACTTTTGAGAGTGTGTCATCCACAAGAGGCAATTCGAAAGAAGGTCTCTGTTCTTGAGTCTTGCTCTCCAAGGCACTGGGAGTAGGCGCTATTGCGGTGTCTGGTACCGCTGGCAAAGGTCGACGTGCTCTGTCCGTCACTGTCGCAGCCGGTATGGACGTAGTTGGCGTGGCATTGAGCATCGAGAGGAGCGCCTCGTGATCCAGTACATCTGAAGCGCGGGTCGATTCTCGCGCAGTCCTTCTAGCTGGAGGCGTCGCGATGCGTGGAGGATCTAGATGCAGAGGCAGTCCGCCCAGCCAGCTTCTTCGCCATGAATTACGCCAAGATGCCCGCTGTACCGATCTTTGGTTGCCAGGGTCATCAGACTCTCCGAATGCGGTACGACACAAGTCGTTGGCCCAAGCGATCAGGGAGTGCGTATCATCCGCCGTGACAAGGGCAGACGCGGCCATTCTCGCAACTTCGCGTTCGTGCACTTGTTGCGCAATACTAGGTTGGCGGTCCCGCACTGGTCCGGCCACGGGAGGAAGCGCTTGAACGTCTTGCACAGGTACTGCGACCGGTTTCGATCGGGGTTGAGAGCGGTCTGGGTTGAGGAGTTGCGCGGTATAGCGACGCAGATGTGGCGAGAGCTTGTGCTCGATCCGAGCGCGTATCTCTGCGAGATTGTATACACGCACTCTGACGTCGGTTGGGCGCCCAACGGCAAGTAGCAAAATCGAAGCTCGAGGCAGGATGACGATTCTGCTTACACGGATATGTCTAAGGATTGCAACAGGCTTGCAAGGAATTGGCGAATCCAACGCTATAAAGGATAGGCCAAGCGTCGAGCCGAGTAAAAGGTATCGCTCGTCGAGCACTGCAGCAGACGCGAATGTTGCATGAGAGGCAGATGAAAGCGAAGGAGTCAGTATTGTATCTTTCACGACCGATTGAGTGTCGATGTTGACGCTTGCAGCATCAGTAGCGGGCTGCTCGACGTGCGCAGAGTCACGGTTCTGCTCCGTCACCGGCGAATCGCCACTCTGTTCTGTGGCCAAGCGACGCGCGCGAAGCAGCTTTGGCGACTTCAGTGATGCTCGTCGCACGAGTGTTCCTGATGATAATGGCCGTGCGATCTTCTTCCACAGAGGTCTCGGGTTCAAAGTAGCGAGACATCGTTTCGCAAAGTTTTGTCTTAGTGGGACTAGATTGACGTCCGAGGCAATGTGGATGACCTCTTCTGCGTATGTCGCATAGTCGTTGCGAGGCGGTGGATCCTGTTCGATCACATCGTCGGCATTCACAAGCGCTGCAATCGTGGGCGCAATTGGCTCGGCGGCAACGCGCGCGGTGATAAAAGTCAATATCGAGTCTTCTGAGCGTTCTTTGCTGTGCTCCATTGCATGAACGTATCACAGGATGGGACGGAAGCGAACCAGCTCTGCTCGGGGCAACGATGGGCATGTTCGGCAAAGAGCGTTGCCAATGATTGAAGTGCGTGAAATGAAGATGGCTACCAGCTGACAACAACCATAACGACCATCGTCGACGCAAGCGCTAGCGAAGCGATCATCGCGTCGAAACCAAAGCGTGAAGCGGCGCTCTGTGCCGCTTGAGACGAAGCTCCGTTGCTCGGATTTGGCGTGGCAGTGGGCTGGCTGGTTTCTCCCCACGAATATGTCACGCCACTACCTGGATTTTAGCGAGCATCCTACGCAAACGTACGAGCTCACGATGGAGCTGGCGTGGGTGAGATGATACAATTGCTGGACGCAGGTGCAGATACAGCAGTGGGTGTGGGCGACATGCCTTGCTTAAAAGTGTAGCTTGCGTTGTAGACGCCCACGGGCAAATTGAGATCTGCTTGACAGTCTTCGAAGCCTGACTCTGTGTAGACGCCCGGGGCAACCCATTCTGCGCCCATGAGATCGTACGTATTACGGCAATAAGCGTAAGATGTATCATAATCGCCGTGACATGCACGGATGACAAAGATGCCCTTTCCTTGAGCTTGCAGGTCAGGCTCATCCGTCATGCCAGCAAATTGAAACCAGCTTTGGATCGGTGAGCCTCACTTCGAAGGTCTCGAAAGCAAGACCTACTTGTTGGCGCCGTCCACCTCTGCGCCTACTGGATTCCCCACACCTAGCGCACCGTGGTTACTGCGCAGTACATCAGTCAACGCGCACAGCAGCTCAGGTCTATAACGCACTCGTACTCGCCACCTGCTTCTGCCGGCGCAACGTTCATCGGCCTCGCTCGAAAGACACCGGACACCTGCGAGTAGACCGATGTGTTGCGATAGTGAGCAGACAAGATGAATCCGTCTGGAAAGGGTCTCGTATCGTTTGCCGGATTGAGACAATAAGCCACGGCATCCGCTTCGGCCATCACAAAGTCTGCTCCCAACATCAGAGTCGGTTGCACGTGCTTGGGGATTGACTTGCTTTCGTGAACGGGATCTTTGGGGAGAAAGAGGCAGAAATCCGTACTGCTCCTGACGTGCGCTTGTCTGCCTATCCCGGTGAGTGAGGCCGGAGGCAGACCGTTGCTCGGAGGGCGCGGTGTCCATGTGCCGGCTGGGGCGCTTGCTGTGAGTGTTGGAGGTAGCGGACCCGTGCCCGGCGTTTGCGCAAATGCTGACCCGTAGAATGCTAGTAGAATCGCTGCGTACATTGTGTGTGACGGCTAGACCGAGGATGGGACGATCGGGAGGAGGTCAACATGGTCGAAGGAGAGATGGAATTGCAAGGCCCTCGGGCGTGTGAAGGAGGGAGCGTGCCTTGGAAGGTCTGAGCTTACCGAGACGACGCGTCAACGCCACTGACTCATTCTTTCAAGATGCGAATAGAGCCCAGTGTGGCAAGGGGACATGTTCTTTATGCCAGCGAGAACATCATTTGACCGGGCCAGACTGTAGAAACCGAGACGTCATGCAATCAAAGACAGGACTTGGCGACCCGTTCAGTGAGTACGAGGCATGGGTGGAGGGCTGTAGACCAGCTTCCTGGTCTTGATCGGTGCCCACTTGAATCGCTTGACCCAGACGGAGAGCGCGGTGAGCGTCGAGAGCACCAAGACTGTCTGTAAACCCATCTTCTTTCGCTCGTCGGTCTCTGGCTCTGCTGCCCATCTGTACCCATGCATGTGAGATAAGTCACGTCGCACGCAATGTCAAACGTACGAGAGGAAAGAGACGACGTCCTTTGCCATTTGAGATGTCGTTGAGGGCGTTCCGTCTTCAAATTCGACGAGGCCATCGTACAGCACGCGCGCCATTGCGATTTGTGTGCCGGGGAAATAACTGTTACACTCAGTCAGTCAGATCCATCTCCCCTGATTGACTTGGACACGCACGGATTGAAGTTCATCGTGCCTGGGATAGTCAGACCGGCAGGGGCGTCGACGTAGCCCGTGATAAGAGAGTAGACATAATCAGCGCCGCCGTGGCGAGCCTTGATGATGAGCGAGAGATCCGGTGGCAGCGCGCCTGCGTTGCCCGCTCGCGCAGCCTCATCGTTGGCGTACGGTCTCGGCATGTAGTCTGCCAGCTTGCCCGGTCGTTGGAACATATCGCCCGTATCGCTTGGACCATCCTCGTACTCTATCTCCTCTGCCATGGCCTTCACTTCATCTACTGTGTGTGAGACGCCGACGAGGTTGCGCCAGGCGATACGATCGAGCGAGTGACATGACGAGCAGACCTCTCTGTAGACCTGATAGCCTCGTCGGATGCTGCAAACGCTCTGTCAGACCATGGCGTGGCAACGGAGCGGGGGAGAGGGTACTGACGCAGCGTGATCGAAAGCCTCGAAGGGTCCCTTGTGTGCCCAGGGGTAGCTAGGCGGGTGCAAGCCCTCCTCTGCCGGGGTCATCGCCTTCACTTCCGGCAAGAGCGATGGCAGCCCGAACACATTGGCGTACACGGCCATCGTGCCCGCCGACAGAAGCGTGAAGGACCAAGCGGAGGTGCGCGAGAAGAAGAGTGACTGTCGTCTGTGGCCTTAGCGTAGCTCTCGTGAAGCTGTCAATCAGGGCAGCATACCTGTGCCGTCGATCCGCTGGCATGAGCGGAGCTTGCAGTCGAGGCGAATCGGAGTGTCTTGGGCGCCAGAGAGGCAGCCGACAAGGAGCCATAGCTCGGCTGGCTTGCTCTCAAGCCTATCCGGCCTGCCCGAATCAACGACATATTTGTGCCTGTCCACGATCTCTGGGCCAACGGCTTGCCTGTACGCCAAAATTCATCGCGAAATTTGATTGGCCAGCCGAGCGCGTCCCTACAGCCCGCTGGCGGCCGCGACGAGAGCAGCATCTCACCATGGATAGCGAACGAGCACCACTACACATTCATGCACGACTGTCACAGTGCATGCATACAATCCCCGCCTCGAGGGCGGACTCAGCCAGGCTCAGCTTCATGAGGGCGAGCACGAGAATACGTCTGTGATCTTAGGTCGGGCTTAGTAAAACCGCGCGAGCTAGCATAGGCGGTCTCTCGTCGAACGATAGGCCTGACACCATGGACCTTCCAGATGCACCAGGCTCGTTGCAGTGCTCTGATGTGCGCTTTGCTGTACGCCTAGGGTGACTGTTCTCTTGAGAGCATGGCGTGACATCTTTGCAGTCATCATGTACGACTGAGTACAGTCTGGCCCACACCAGTCGCTTGATGTTGACGCCGGGCCATTCGAGCTTCGCTGTAAATCGAATGCCAAGCTGTTGCTCGCGTGACATTGTAGTCGAAGCATTACTGCAAGCTTTCGAAGAACAAGCCCTCAAGAGCTTGTCAAGCCCGGAAACCAAAAGTTGGACGTTTATCGGGCATGCCGTATTGACAGTGTGCCCTGACGATGATACAGAGGATGAGCCTGGGCGAGGCAGAGGGGGTTTGCCATGTTGGCAGCCCGCCAACGCGTCAATCTAAACGTCGTCATCACCGATTCATCGACAGGCCTACAGAGCTGCATCGGATTGAAGACACAAGTGTGGCATCTGTAAGCAGAGTTCGAGCTGCTGCTGCACGGCGTTACGTACACAGCACCTCGGCTCCCAAGCAGCCAAGTACAAGCATGGCTCGCAAGACGATCGACCAATTGCCACTTGGCAAATCGCTGCCCCAGTTCCTCAAACCCGACCCTCTCACGCCTTCCGTCGAGGCAGTGCTCTCGCTGCATCAGTATGACGAGTCTAGTCAAGCGCAACCGCCTTCCATGCTCAGGCGATCACGTCAGATCACAAAGGGCGCCCATTTCTCATTCGTTACGCCCTTGCCCATTGTATTTCCGTACAACGTTCAGGATGAGCCCGAAGAAGCCAGCACAGACGATTCATCTGTGCAGGTCGATGGGTCTGCTACTGTTGGGGCTAGCGCGAGCAACGTAGCGTCGCCGCCCGTAGCAAAGGGCAAGCAGAAAGAGCTTACCGTCGAGGATTGGCTGGCAAGGCTCGAGCCAGACTTTTCGAACCCCGTCGCTGGCGACGCTAGCCAGCTAGCTGTATATTCGTCTCGAGCTCGCAACAAAGACATAGGTCGTACAGAGCTTCTTGGGCTCTCCCAAACGTGCCGCGACGATATCTTGCCAGAGCTTGACATTGAGAGCTCGGAGTCCAGACAAATGCTTGCCGACGTTCTGGGTGCCAAGACAGTCCTTGCCAAGCCCGACGCATTTGCGCCTCACTCGCTATGTTATGCAGGCTACCAATTCGGTAGCAACGCCGGCCAGCTGGGCGATGGGCGCGCCATCAGCATACTTACATCGCAAGCCTCCACTCAGTCACAAACGCGGCAACACGGCTTCTACTACCCGCCCTTAGCAGAGCTGCAGCTCAAAGGAGCCGGCAGAACGCCCTACTCTCGCTTTGCAGACGGTCTGGCCGTCTTACGGAGCAGCGTGCGAGAGTACCTGGGTAGTGAAGCAATGGCTGCACTCGGTGTACCCACTTCTCGCGCACTATCGCTCGTACACCTGCCCGATGTTCACGTCGAGCGAGAGAAGGTCGAAACAGCTGCTGTTGTTTGTCGAGTCGCGCCGAGCTGGCTACGCGTGGGCAGCTTTCATGCGATGTTCCAGCGACAGGAATGGGATAGCTTGCTCCAGCTTGCCGAGTATGCCGGCACAGAGGTGCTCGGCTTCGGCAAGCCAGACGGTCCTCCCAGTGCCGGCCAGGTCATCAGAGCCGAAGATGGCAGAGAACTGAGAGAAGGACTAGCAACACGTATCTTGCGAGATGTCAGCAAGCGCACGGCTTATCTGACGGCCAAGTGGCAAGCTGTGGGCTTTATGCACGGCGTGCTCAACACCGACAACATCTCGCTGCTGGGACTAACGATCGACTACGGTCCTTACGCGTTCATGGACAAGTTCGATGCAAGTACGATCTGCAACCATAGTGATGACGGAGGTCGATACAGCTACAAGAACCAGCCGAGCATTGGCGTGTACAACATCCGCAAGCTCGGCGAAGGCTTGAGCGTTCTCATAGGGTACGAGAGCGAGCATGGCGCTGCCAAGCCAGGATGGGCAGAACACGTACCGATCAAGCAGCTTCAAGCATGGGTCGAAAAGTCTGAGCCTATCATCGACGACGTAGCGCAAGAGTTCACGCTCGTCTTCATGCGCGAATATAAGCTCCAGATGGTCAAAGTCAGTCCTCGTGCATACCTGTCGATATTGACTAATGGCCTGTTGCAGCGATTGGGATTGCTGAGCTTGCAGGAGGATGACTTTGCTGGCCTCATCACACCTCTACTCGATATGATGGAAGCACACGAGCTTGACTATGCCATCACACTTCGAATGCTATGTCAATTCGAATCGGTCGACTCGCCACGCTTCGATACATATCTCAACAAGCTAGTTCCCAAATCGATCGTGCCTACATACCTACGCGATAACGCTCATTCTCAGTGGCGAACATGGTTAGGCAAGTGGCAAGAACGTCTCGAGCAAGACGAAGCGAGTCATTCCAGCTTGCCCAGCCGCACCGAACGAATGAGACTGGTCAACCCACGCTTCGTGTTGCGGCAGTGGATCCTTGAAGAAACCATCAAGCGACTTGAGCAAGATAAAGACACTGCATTCCTCGAACGTGTGCTGGCCATGTCCGTCTCGCCCTTTGATGCCTACGGCGAGGAAGACCTGACCGCACAAGCTTGTGCACCGGAGACGGATGATCTCAAAGAGCAAAGAAGGCTGTGTAGCCAAGGACCGAAAGAGCTACTCGGATTTCAATGCTCATGCAGTTCGTAATGTGGCAGTGTGTCGTACATACAACATTCATTTTTGTACACTGTGTCTAGTTTTGCTGAAGTATGGACGGGTGAGGTGACCTTGTCGATCGCTGAGCTTGCCAGACCTGCAGAGACAGGCAGACAATCATGAGTGTCAGGCCGGTGACGAGTAAGATCCAGGCGAAGATGCGCAGGATCCTATCTTTGGCGGATAGGTCATTTCTGAAGAGCGCCAGGAAGAATAAGCCAGGCAGGATGAAGCTCACTGTCGTTGAGCCTGTCGCGCCGACAATACCAAGAACCACGGAGAGGTTCTGAACGTTCATGGCAATTGTGTATGTCGCAACGAGGATGCCGACGGTCATCGCGATGAATTTGCCTTGAGGGATCTCGTGTGGCGTGGGCTCCTCTTGTTGCGTTCCTTCTACAGCGGCTTTGGCTACCGCTTGCTGACCAGCGAGGACCTTGTCGAGCGAAGCACGGCAGGGATGCAGCTGGAGAGGATAGCTAAAGAGGACGAAAAGGGTGACGCCTATCCGGACAATGCTGGCCAGAACAGAATTATGATAGTCGAGCATGATGTTACTGCTCACTGCTGCGCCGAAGCTGATATAGCCCAGACAACCGACGAGCTGATAGATGATGGCCGCAGCACCGATCGAGGAGAAGCTTGCGATGTTCATCCGGCTTTGCGTATTTGATTGAAGCTCGTTGTAGACGGAGCAGAGGTTCTGAGCGCAGGTGAATGCGAATACGTAGATGGGCAGACTCGTCAGGAGGCCAGCAGACCATCTGAACAAGTGTATCTCGCCCCGTTGAGGTAAGTGGGAAGGGTCTGCTATGTTGACCACGACAAGGAGACACTGTCGACGATGTCTGCGAATCAGCGATAACCGCTGGTTCATACGCGTGGACTGACCAAGCTCGCGACCGCTAGGAGAGCCAAATAGCTGGTGAATCGCAAGGAATGTAGCCGTCTGAGGAAGCCCAGAGGGGTGAGAATGATCATCGAAAGTGAGATCCATAGCCGTCTGTCGAGCAGAACCGGGTGCGGCTCGATGCCTTTGGGCGTCAAGCTGTCGACCACTTGTGCTGCTCCTCGCATGATCAGCGAAGCTCCCCACATAAGCGAAATGATCAGAGCTCACGAGTGAGGCTGCCCATGATGATCAGATAAGAGATGGAGACGCCAAAGCATTTGAGTGCGATAGCGGCATCGAAGAAAGTCGAAGCGGCGGGATAAGTCAGACTGGCGAGCGCAGTAAAGGAAGCCTGACGGCTGCCCAGTCTTGCGCAGCATCTCGAGAGGAGGTACAAGCCCAGCGCGGAGGCTGCGCCTGCCAGACTGATCAACATGAAGCCAGTGACCAGTCCACCTTGGGCTATCGCATGAGGCAGAGCAAGCATGCCAGTGCCCAGGATGGTGTTGGACAAGTTGGCGACCGAGCTGAACAGTGTCGCCTGTCCTGCGTCTTCCTCTGCATGGCTGTCGAGGAGAGACTGAGACTCGGATGCGGCTGCATTGCTCGGCTTGAGGGGACTGCTGCCGCTGCCTTGTTGGGTGACCGACGAGGTGATGGACGAGTCGTTGAGCGTGCCATCATCGTCTGCCGATGTTCGCAAGGGTCTGAATGCCATGCCTCCTATGCGGCCACTGACTGCAGCGTCATAGCTCACTGGGGCTTGCTGCTCGCAGTGGCAACCTCGTCTGCTCGCGCGCCTTGGCTGACCAGCCGACGAACGCATGTCAGCTCTCGACGCACTCCTCAGCGACAAGCCCGTCCGAGCACTCGAGACTGCACGGTACTTGGACTCACTCGACCCGCTCCAGGATTGTCGACAGCACTATGCGATCCCCTCCAAAGACACGATCACGGGCTCCTCCGACAAGGATCCATCAGACTGTGTCTATCTCTGCGGCAATTCGCTCGGTCTGATGCCCAAGAATGTCAGCAAGGTCGTCTCTGAGGAGCTTGAGATCTGGTCATCGAGGTGCAGCACGACCGACATGAACTCGCGCGACGGAGCTCATGTCTCGCTCGTCACTCGCACAGAGCCGTCCTAGGGCACTTTGATCATCCGCTCGATAGACCATGGATGTACATTGGCGACAAGACGTCCGAAGCACTCGGCGAGATCGTCGGTACGCTCACCCGGCGTCAGGATATAGGGTCAAGTGCTCACGGTCACGCACGCGACAGGTGCAAAGCCCAGCGAGGTCATTGCGATGGGTACACTGACAAGCAACTTGCATCTGCTGCTCTCTTCCTTCTACACACCAACAGCGACGCGATACAAGATCTTGTACGAAGAGAAAGCGTTTGGATCGGACCAGGTCAGCAAGCAGCCAACTTGAGCGCGTCCCACGATGAGCTGGTGGCGGAGACAGTATGCATTCGCTTCACAGGTCATCCATCATGGTCTCGATCCAGCAGAAGCGCTACGTGCACTCGTGCCCCGAACAGGCGAGTATACCCTGAGGATAGAAGACATACTCAAAGTCATCGAACAAGAGGGCGACACCATCGCCGTCTCAATGCTGGCAGGCGTGCAATACTACACCGGCCAATGCTTCCAGATGGAACCGATCACTCGAGCGGCGCAAGCAAAGGCGAGCCCGCCAAGCGTTCATCATCACGCATTGCCGTACTGATGATCGTCCGGAGGTCGCAGGGCTGTCTAGTCGGTTGGGATCTTGCACATGCAGTCGGCAACGTACCGCTACGGCTGCACAAGTGGAACGTCGACTTTGCAGCCTGGTGCTCCTACAAATATCTCAACGCCGGTCCTGGCGCAATAGCGGGTCTGTACGTCCACGAAAGACACGCTGACCCAGCAACCAGACCTAGGTAAAGCAAGCCATTCTTCGTAGTCTGCGCGTAGACTCAGCCATATGGGTCTGCAGACTCTCCGGTTGGTGGGGCCACGATGCGTCGTCACGCTTCAAAATGCTACCTTGGTCGCAATTTTCCGCCATGCCAGGTGCAGCTGGATTCCAACTCTCGAATCCTTCGGTGCTAGACATGGCAGCACTCATAGCAGCACTAGACGCTCGCCAGACTGCAGCTAGAGATGGTCAGACAGCTTCTGCCATCTTGCAACAGAAGTCGAGATTACTGACGGCCTACTTGGCAAAGACGGCCAGAGCGAGCTCATGGTACCTTGAGGATGAAGCGCAAGACCGCATCGGTTTCTCCATCATCACGCCCGACGATCCTGAACAGCGCGGTGCTCAGCTCAGCTTCATCTTCCTTCCGTCCGCCAGGGGCGTCATGGAGCACGTTATGCACAGTCTCGTGAAGCAATATGGCATCATTGGCGATGAGCGCAGACCCGATGTCATTCGGCTCAGCCCCGTACCGTCTTACAACACGTATCGAGATGTCCTCCAGACGGTGATGGCCATAGACGCCATATTGGCAGACTACGCCCGTTCGCAAGCAAACGTTTAGAGCGATGACCGCAAATGTTGTAGGCAAATAGCAGCTGTTGATTGCAATACAAACGTACAAACATAGTGATTTACAATCCTCAGGGTTCTCAGTTGTAAGGCGAAAACGTCTGCTCGGCCGCATAGCCATGGCCGAGCGTCGCGTTCTCGTCGATCGTCTCGAAAGCGACTGGAGCAAAACTTGCCGTATTGGTCATTGGCAAGCTAGGCCGTCTATTTGGCAGACTTGGCGCAGTCATCGGACGATAATAGGAGTTCTCGATGATGCCATTGCGACCGCTTGCTTCCATGTCATGCCCCTGATGCCCTCCGGCTTTTTGCCGTTGCTTGCTGCGCGACTCTTCCGCTTTCTTCCTCGCTCGCCATTCTTTCCTGATATCTTTAAACTCTACAAGGTTGAGTGCTGTCAGCACCAGTGTTTCCAACACGCGAGACATGCACACCTTGGGGACCTCTCTTCGGACCATGCTTTTGCATGCTGATGTGAGCATTGAGATGGTTGAGTGTGCCGTATGCCTTGGTGCAGCCCGGGTAGTTGCAATCATAGAGTCGTTCGATCTCATCAAAACGCCTGCGAGCACGTTTGCGATGAGCGCCCAAGATCTGTCCGAAGCCGAAGTGCTGTTGTCGGTCGTATGGCATCTGCGGGTTGTGGAAGGGCGAGAAGCTTTGCATGCCGCCAAAGGGCGAAAAGGTGTCCATGCCCGTGTTGGGCCTCGAGCTGTCTGCTTCGCTCATGTAGGTTGTCGCTGTATCTGGTCTAGGATATTCTGTGCGATACAGGATTGCTCGGCTCGGCGTGCCGACAAGTGAAGACGGGTGATGCGCGAATGAAGACTCTGACAAGTCAGGCACAGAGAATTTCCTGAACCGAAGTTGATCCATTCGATCATCTGCTTCCTGGAGGGCGAAGCTGTCGATGTTGTGTTGAAAGAGCGATGAAGGGTCCTCTGCTTGGCCACTGCTCACTAAGGTATAACCCGCCATTGACGTTGAGGGGTGCTGCGCGTGAGAGATATTGTATGGCTGATGATGCGCGCCAAACGGAGGAGCACCAAATGTCTCGTATGAGCCTAGCTGCTCTGATTCGTAGCCGGGTGCGCCGAAATAAGGAGCTGAAGCATACGATGGGGCTGTCATTGGCCTCGTGTTTCTGACATTCATGCCGAGTGGCAGCTGATGGGCAGCCCAGAGCGGCATATTGGGAACGACAGTCGGGTGCTGAGGCGAGACGAAAGCCTGTTGGGCGGAGCTCGCTGTTGTAGGATCGCCTCCCTCTTGCGCAGGGCTACGGTACGCTTCCTCAAGTCCAGATGCGACGTCATCATTTGGCGAGACTGCGAGAGGTGAATGCAGCAGATCCGACGAATGGTTGACCAGAATTTGTTGCGGGCTACCTTGCAGATCTGTCGCCGAGGTCGGCGTGTTGGACAATGCAGGTGAGAATGTGTGCTCCTCCTCGTTGATGAGCGACGGCATTGCCGTTCTGCGCGGCGGGTCGAAGCTAGCTTGACTGCCCCAAGGTCTAGTCTGAGGCGCAGTCGATGGTCTATGAGAGGATGATGGAGTGTGAGCGAGCTTCTGCTGATGTGAAGGCGGCGTGAGCAGCGAGTGCCTCGAGGTTGAAAGCGATGAGGCCGTGAGAGGCCGATGATCCAGGAACGCGGACGATTCCGGATAAGCAGCTAGCACTTCAGAGGACCGATAAAAGCTCATTGCAAGCACCTATATCAAGCTGTTGTCACACCCTTTTTCAGCTCTTTGTCACATCTGTCCTCGGCCAGTGACCGACGTGTTTGTCCTGCACGAGCGAGCCAGTCGAGCAGCGCGCACGAGCCGGAGCTGGAGCTGGTGCAAGCGAGCGCAGCAGCCTCGCCAGCTGAGGTGTCGACAGCCAGTCCTGGAGCACGAAGCCTCGCCAGGCGGTCGAATGGAATTCTGAGGAGCGGGTTGACTTTGTTCGCTTCCCAAATCGGGTCGACCGAGTCGCCGGCGTCGGGCAGGCAGGCAGGCGTTCGCTGACCAACCTACAAGGCTAGATGTGCTGACTGGATGCTGCTGCTGTCGAGTCGACAGACTGCCCTGCTGAGATCCTGCAGCGTCGCTAGATGAAGAGAGACCCTGGGATGAGGATAGAGCCGAGGCCAGACTTGGAGACAATTCCAACACACGTGGCAAGAGCGAACTAGCGAGCTGCCGTTCATAGATTGCAGGCCGAGGCTCTCATCTCTATTCGGAGCTTTTGCAGTGACCGAGCGTACACTCATGAACCTGAAGGTCCGTGCATTGTCAATAGATAAGACTCTTGCAATACATATCTACAATTCGACTCGATTGTAATTTCTTCGGATAGCTTGGGCAGCTTGTTCGGCTGCTTGTGCTGCTGCAGACGAGGCAGACGCAAGGGCATCCTCTGCTGCTGCAAGGACTGAGGTAGCGTGCTCTTGTATGTTCTCTGGCGTGGGCGTCGCGCCGACCGCGCGAGAGGCAGCCCTAGTGGCTTCGTGGATTGCTTGTGCAGCATCGGCAGACGGGACAGCTTCGTATGCAGAAGAGGCGACCGATTTGACAGACTCGACGATACCTTGTGGACTCGGCTTGATACCGACAACTTTCTGGGCTTCGCGATATACATTCTGCGCATCTATTGATGGCAGGGACGAAGAAGCGGCCGAGGCGGCGGACACGACGGATGCCGAGGCCGCACTATAGACGCTCGAGGCTGACTTGGCGACGTCGACAGAAGGTAGGGAAGGTGCGCTCTTGCTCAGGGAAGATGCGGCAGAGACAGCTGATGCTGACGCGACAGACGCGGCACTGCTGATCGAGGCTGATGCGACAGAAGCCGCGCTGACACCCGAGGACTGTGCAGCTGCGGCCAGAGAAGCGCCCGATGCTTGTGCGACCGACACAACGGAGGAGACCGAAGCTTGCGCAGAATTGACGTCCGGCACGCCCGGCAGGGACTTGCTCAGCGACGAAGCGATGGAAACCAGTGTAGCTTGAGCATCTCCAGCAGCCGATCCTGCAGCTGAGCTAGCGGCTTTGTAAGCGCTCGTCGCATGCTCGACAATGCCTTCGGGCGAAGGCTCGATTCCAGCGGCTCTCTGAGCCGATCGAATGGCTTCATGAGCTTGCGAAGATACCGCTGCAACGTAGCCTTGCTGCGGGATGACGCGCGACGTGATGGCGGCTGATGCAGCGGAAGCAGCTGATGAAGCCGAGGCAGAGGCCAGCGATGCGATCGATGCGGCAGACACTGACGCGACCGATACTGCGGATGCGCCAGAAGCTGACAAGACTGAAGCCGCGGAAGCAGCAGAAGCCTGTCCATAGTTGGCAACGGACGACAGCGAAGCAGAAGCGACGGAAGCTACGCTCGCAGCCGAGCCTTGAACATCCGTCGGGATAATGGCAGCAGCTGCTGAAGCAGCAGCATTGTAAACGCTCGATGCGTGCTCTGTCAGACCTTCGGGGGACGGCTCAAGGCCAACTGCACTTTGCACTGATCTGTACGCTTGATGCGCTTGCGAAGAGGCCGAGGCGACGTAACCTTGATTGGGATAGACTTGCGAAGAAGCTGCTGCCGTGCCTGCCACGAGCACAGACGAAGCAGACTCGTAGATGTCTGCAACGACGCCTGCGACCACAGCGGTCGGCGCAGCATCCGCTACTTTCGAGAGGAGAGATGTCGCCGTATCAGCCAGATCGGAGTAAACGCTTTCGGCCGAGGCAGAATAGCCACTTGCGGCAGGCGTGGTGATTGCGCCTCCTGCTGCCGAGACGACTGCTGCTGTGGCCTCCGCGTACACGCTCGAGACCGCTGCTGCTGCGCCCTTGGCGCGATTGACGACGCCTTCGCCCTTGATGGCAGAAATGCCGACCGATCTCGAAGCCTTGAGACGAGTCTCAAAGGTCTCAACGATCGTGTCTAGCTCGCTCTGAAGTTCTGCCAGGGTAGAGATTGTATTGGGTGCTTTTGACAGAGCGGGATCTGACTTCTGACCGGATTGTAGCGCACGGAAGTCGGCAGCCCATTTCTTCTCACTTTCTCCAAGCGCGTGGTAGCGAGTCCAATCGACCGCAGTCACATCCTCGAGCCACGTGAGACTGTGACCCGCCTCTTCCTGAGCAGTAGCCACTAGCGTCTGAATACCTTTGAAGGCTTTGTCGACCGCAGAGACTTCTAGCTGGGTCTGAGTGCGACGATACTCGTCGATCTCCTCTGCAATACTATCGGATCTTCTAGAGATCTTAGAAAGCGCCTTGGTGACGATCGTCTGTGCATCTGCCACGGCGCTGTCGACGTCTTCCTTTGCGGCTGCATCCGTCAGCTTTGAGAAGTACTTTGCCAACTTTGACAGGTAGCCCGTAGCGTCGTCTTGGATCTCGCGCAAGCGGGGCTCGAAGCGAGCAGGGATGTCGCTCGAAGCTGAATTGCGAAGAGCAGTCAAGCGTTGGATGAGCAGATTTCTTTCACGTAGTGCGAGCTGATCGATCTCCTTCTCGTACGTCGCCAAAGCAGACTCGACTTTGTGTCGCTTTTCTGACACTGCTGGATCTTGTGCCGGTACCGGCGTCGCGGTGTCAGGGATGATTGCATCGGCATCGACCGCGCCATCTGCTAGTCCTTCGGCATCGTGCGACACATCCTGCTTTAGCTCAAGAAGCACAGCTGTGTGGATTCAGCACCACATCAGTCGGAAGGAAAGATGAGCTCACTCTCTTCGTCCTCATCAGAATCCGAGACTTCCTCGAACAGTTTGATCTCCTCTTCAGCATCGGCAGCGACATCCGAAGCCACTTTCGCGGTCTTGTACTCGAAAACTTTTGCGTAGATCTTGTCCGTTTGCGGTTTGATGTAGAGCGAGTGGAATCTCCTGAGCCATGGCAAGATCTTAGATTGCAAGAACGATCCAGAATGACGACTGAGGTCGATGACGAGCGGGTGGACGTGGGTAGTGTATGTATCGCGCGTGGTCTCATACGTTTTGACAATGTGTGGCTGTGCGGCAGAGACATACTGCTGAGCGACAGGTACACTCTTCCTCACGACATTTGTGGCCGAAGTATATGCGGGCGAAACGACGCTATAAGCTTGATCGGAGTACTGCTTGGCCATCGAGGAAGCAGTGTTGACGTGTGGATCGATATTGAGTTCATATACTTCGGCTGCCAGTTTCTGATATTTGCTGACCGTGGGGTGAAGATTAGACTTGTACTGTTTGTGCGCATGGTTGAACCAAGGTCGGGCAGTCTGGTGAGTGTGACTGAAGAGTTTGAGAACGCGAGGATGGACGTGCGTCTCGTAAGCATCATTGATGGGCTTGACGAATTGCTCGGCCCGATCGGTGTAAGGCTGTAGCCTATCCAGATAAGGGTCCGCATGCGCCAGATAGGGCGACAAGTGAGGCTTGAGCTTCTTCAGGGCAGCAGAGGCATGATGTTCCGCGCCATTGAAGCCGCGACAGACGCTATGAGTCGAGTTGGGGTCATTCGAGCAGACGAGCGCGTAGGCTGCCAGCAGATAGAGCGCTGTGCCCTTTGCTAACCAGCCCGACAGCCATCCGTTCCTCCTCTTCGACCGCACATCTGGACCCGAGCGGCTAGGCTTTGCGCTCGACTTGCCCCGCTGGAGCTTCTTGTACTCTTCATCCTGAACAGAACAGAATCATGATCAGCGTTCCACACGAGAGGGCGTAGACGGGCAAGACGAACGTAGAACTTGATCTCCGTCGAGCCGGGCGTGAAGCTGGCCTGCGTAGCACGTGGCGCATCGTCGACCGAGTTGACCTGGTTCTGCCTGGTGTGAGTGGATTCTACAGGATTCGGCCTTGCCGTGTTGACTGGCTGCGTCATACCAGGCTTCTCCTCCTCTTCCTCCTGCGGTGCCTCTTGAGCATCAGCTATATGATCACGACCTTCAAGGCGGTCAGACTGACAGGATAGAGTACTGAGCCTGCCCTGGAAAGCGAAGCTTGTCTGCGTGTGACAACCATCCAAACAGAAAAAGAGCTCGCTACGGCTTAGCTGCGATGACGAGACGGGCGCCACTCAGAGGAGATCTACGCGGCGACTCGGCCGCTGATCACGAAAAATTATGTTGAGATGCGTACGTATGAATGAATGCATGCATGCATGGCTGTGCTTCTTGCACTTTTGGAGGAGGTCTAGCTCAGTATTCGCCAAACCCGTTCGTATGGCCGTTTGTGCGATGATGATCAGATGCTGCGGCGTGGCCGTTGGTTGGTTTTACATTGTTCTGCTCTGCTGTCTGCTGCTCTTGCTTTAATTCGAGAATGTGCTCGTTGATGAAGTCCCTGTCAGCCATCGAGTACTATATCAGTCTGGTGCCTGATATGTGCTTGCTGACCAACCTTGTGAGGGTGTTCATCGGGATGTAACGCGCTCCTTGTATGCGTCCCAGGCATTTCGAAGTGCCGCAGATGCAATCGAAAGGTTGCGCCATATCCCATTCGGTCGAATAGTAGGCGAACGTCAATGCCTGCCTCTGATACTCTTCAGTGGGGAGTCTGAGCACAGAAGCGTCCGAGTGACCTCTCCTTGGGGTATATCTGTGAGCGCTCTGACGAGCCAGCGCGAGCGATCTTTGGGTAGCTCAAAGGCCACATTGGGGTCACAGCTGTGATTGACGTAGACGAGATCTGATTCGAGCTCGATGTGATCCTGAGATCCCTTGCCGACTTGTACGGACGAATAGGCCTTGACAGGAGCAGGAATCGTCTTGACCAAGGGACATATCACCTGGCCTTTGCTGAAGCTCTGTTTGGTATACCTCAGCTCTGCTCGCGTATGACCGCGATCAAAGCAACCTTTTCTGTGCGCAGACAAGAGCTATACTCGCCCGACTCGCCGCTAAATTCGACATGGAACAAGCCTGGATGGGTTGGCTGTCAGAAAGCAATGCACTGAGCTTTCTCGCTTCTGGTGGCTCAGAGAAGGATCTCACTGACCTTGTACGCTTGCCGCGTGGGTATATTGACCATCTGCGAGCCAAAGTCGCCGTCCCACTGCTCGCTCCGGTGACCGGTGACTTTCGGAGCGCGCGAAAGCAGCAAAGACCGCGACTTGTGCGCGCCTGCGTCGGTGTCGAGGTGAATGAGCCCAAGCTGATCGGTCATGACGAGTGCGCTCGCACCGTCTGCTGCAACGGCAGTAGCAGAGGTTCGTACAGCTACTAGCAGATACAGCCGCAAGAGCTGACAAGCAGTAGCAGTTTCTCAAATCACCAGATGATTTGGTCAAGACAGCCGCCTTTCGGGTCAAGCTAGAGAAAGAGAAAGCGTCCATCGAGGCCAAACTCAAGTCGGGCGCAAAGGAACAGCTTGATGCCACACGGGACGGACTTGCCAAACTTCGAGATTCGAGAACGTCGGTCGGACAGATCAGAGAGGAGATGGTCAGCATCGAACGCGTCTCCACCGATCCTACTGCAGTCGTCCAGGGCTTTCCCCTCATCCAAGAGATCTCTCAGGTGCATCGCAATCTCACTCGGACGATAGAGACCGTCAACAAGCTGCGAGGGATGTATGACAAGATTGATCAGATAGAGGCCATGCTCGCGCGAGAGCGATCAGATCCACTGGGCCCCTCGCCGAATTTGCTGCCCATACACCATCATCTGTCCGAACTGGAAGCGTTTCGTAACGAGACAGTGCTACAAGCCAGTCGGTCGTCTCCAGAAACGACAAAGACGCTCAATAGGTACTTTGAACGGCTTGGCATGGTCATCGAGGCTTTCGAATCGCATTACCTGCACCTGGCCGGATCGCTCGTCGAGCTAGCAAAAGCAGACAACTCCGGCGTAGCTGTCAAGCTGGTCAAGATAGCTCAGGTCGAAGGGCTACGGGATGAGAAAGCGATTGCTGTCAGACTCGTCAAAAAGAACAACGCCGAACTGGCAGCACGGTTCAACAGTATCCAGGCAGACAGCAGAGTCATCAAGCACTATCGAGCAAAAGTGATGACGGCCATCAAAGACAGCGCAAAAGGTGTCGTGCAACGTCAGCAGTCCAAGTCGGTCGCGGCAACAGGAGATCCACTAGGATTTCTGGATTCACTAGATTTCTTCATGCAAGATCTGCTCGTCGTCGAGGACAGACTGGTCGAAGCTTTCCCACCGGATTGGAAGATCTACACCGTTTTCGTCAAAGCCTACCACACAGCACTGTACGAGTTCCTGAAAGGCTTTGTCAAATCAGACCCAGATGCAGGCGCCTTGCTGCGTGTCGCCCAATTCGCAAAGACATACGAAAAGACGTTGACGAAAGAGCTATCCATCCCGCCGGAGCTACTCCAACCGAAGCTGCTAGACGGCAGCGAGCAGACACTCGTAGACGATTATCTCAAGCTGATTGTTAAGAAGATGGAGGAATGGGCAGCCAACCTCTTCAAGACGGAGAGCGCGGAATACATCAAAAGAGAAGCTCCGCCAGAGGAAGCGGCGGATGGTCAATACAGTATGCAAGGAGCGGTCATCATGTTCCAGATGATCAACCAGCAAGTCGATCTCGCTGCCGACTCGGGTCAGGGATCCGTACTCTCTCGCGTAGTCGACGAGAGTAATCGCGTCTTGAGGGAGAATCAAGCCCAATGGATCCGATTGGTCGATAGCGAGTACCGCAAGCAGATCGATAAGCCTGATGAAGCTGGTGATGGCTTGGTGGAATACACTATTGCTCTTGCGAATGATCAGATCAAGAGCGCCGATTTTACAGAGGCTCTGCTCTTGCGTATCGAGCCGCTCGTGTCGGAAAAGTACAAGCTCAACATTGTCGACAAGCTCAATGAGGCGATGGATGGCTATCTTGACGTGTCCAAACGTTGCGTACAGCTCTTGATCGACATCATCTTCAGCGACCTTCGTCCTGCTGTCAAGACGCTCTTTGGCAGCTCGTGGTATAGCGATGATCCGATGACGCAGATCATCGAGACCGTCAAGGATTACTTGCAAGACTATCGTCAGCATCTCAATCCGAATCTGTTTGATCTCTTCATCGAAGACGTGCTCGATACTTTCGTCATCACTTACCTGACCTCGCTCAAGAAAGCAAGCAAGTTGAAGATGCCCAAAGCGGCAGATCGCGTTCGAGAAGACATCCGATCGGCATACAACTACTTTGCTACGATCAAATCGACAAAGGAACTGGCGCCTTACTTTGACGTCCTGGACGCCGTTCTCAAGCTCATCACGGCATCAAAGATGATGTTCTTCCTCGACTACTTCCCTTTTGCCAAACAGTTTGGGCCGCAATTCGCCTTTGTCGAAGCAGTCTTGCGAGCGAGAGAGGATCTCGATCGCAAGCAAGTAAATGAGATGGTGCGTTCTCTGTCCGCCCACTTGCGCTGTTCTGACGAGGCTGCGCAGATGGAAAGCATCCGCAAAAAGGCAGCAGACGAGCAGATTGAGGATCCGCTCAACTCGGTCTTTCGTCGCTTGCCCAAGTGACCATGCCGCGTTCCTGTATTATGTTGTACCAATTCTTGCATGGTCATGTTGTCGCTGCACTGACGCTTTGCCGTCTCGTCTTGATGATCTGTCGGCATTCCTCGAGTATCTCATCTACGCCCTGTACTCCACTGATCTGCCATTCACGCAGGATAGGCTCCCATTCTCCCCACAAGCCAGCACGAGCATTGGTAGCTCGCAATCTGTCGGGTAGATCAACGATAGGTTGCAAGTGCTTGATCGGATCCAATGCCCTCATCGAGGGACCCGTGACCACTGCAGGCGGGAATGCGGTGGACAGCGAATCTGTCAGCTGCGCGATCGCCTCGAAGGCTGTGCCAAGTTGCTCGAGCGAGCTATCGAGAGACTCTGCGCGAGTCTTCATCTGTCTTGCGCGCGTCAGAAACCCCATGCGCGCTGATCGCCGATCTGCATCTTGCCTTCTGTATCAACGTCGAAGCTTCGATGAGCTCATGATGATGGTTATAGACGAGCGACTGTCGCTCTGCATCAAGCTCGCGGATGTCTGCATCATCGGCTCAGCGCTTGTCGAGTGACGACGCGTGCATCCGTACCGACGAGCAAGTCATTCTCTTTCTTGATGAGGTCCGGAAGCGTCTGACTGTTCAGTAGATGTGTGTACAAAGCCCTCGGGTCGAATGCGGAGGAATCGACTGCGAGATGGTCGCCTTCTTTGCTCGGTGTTGGTGCATTGAGACCATAATAGTCCCTGAGTAGATTGCGAGCTCTTCGTCTGGGCGTGGTCTGATCTGACGTTGTGCCCGCTCGAGGCGTGGACGCGACCGAGCCTGTCGAGCGATGCGACGAGGTCCTCGGCAGCGGTGGGGCCATCGCATGCAAGCTGACCGCTGAGCCGGTGAGCCTGGTCAAGTCGAAGAAGCGCGCGGCAGTCGACATCGACAGTCGCTCGCTGCCGTCAGGATGAACATCGACCCCTCTCTGCTATCGTCACGGCCTGGCAATGCTGCGACAGGAGCGAGCACGTCTACAGATGCACCCACGCAAGCCCAACTGAGAGCGGAAGCCACGAGGAACGAACACAACGAGGACCTGACCGCGCAAGAAAGGTCCGTCCTGCAGTCAGAGCGCGAGCAGCTCTCCGAGACTGATGGGCTGGGCAGAGATCTAGCTCACTTCCTGACGCTGCTATCACAAGACGATGCAAAGCCGCTCATACCGGATGAAGTGACGGATTATTACCTCGCTCGCGCAGGATTCGAGTGCGACGATGTCAGAGTGTACGCAAGCAGGTACCACCCGACATCCGAGCTGACGATGACGCTTCCTGATCGTGTAGGAAGAGATTGGTAGCGTTGGCCACACAGAAATTTGTAGCCGATATAGCGACAGACGCCTACCAGTATGCACGGACGAGGACGCAGGCGACACCGGCTCTCGCTCGAGGCAAGGAAGCAGATGTACCGCGCAAGACAGACAAGAGCAAGACTGTCTTGACGATCGAAGACCTCAGTGCTGCCCTAGCAGAATACGGTGTCAACGCAACTAGAGCGCCTTATTATCTCTGATCATGCTACTTCTCAGCGTTCAAGCCAAGTCATTGTGTACCCCGTGTTGTAATGATGCGTTGACAACAATAGTCTACTGCATGCGTGTGCTATGCGTTGCCAGCTACTGATTCCCCATTAGGTGTTGCTTACACTTGATGCATGTCTGTGTGCTCGTGTTCCGAGGCGGAATGCTTCTCCATACTGTTCGGGCTGTCGACACCGCTCGAAGCGACTTGTGCTGCCTTGCGCGACTTGAAGAGCGTCGCGTTGCCGACGGCCACTTCGTTGTGGCCAGATCGGAGCATGTGGCGCGCAGCCAGAGAGACGAGGAGCCAAGACAAGCTCATGCAGGCAAAGTTGACCCATCTGCAAAGAATCAAAGGTCAGCTTATGACTCTGAAGAGCTGACGACGGAAGAAGCGTACCCTACGATCATGGCTACGCGAGGTGGCCAATTGGAGATGTAGGCTAGATTCTGGCCCGATGCGGCGACGAGTCGCGCTACGACAGCAGGTGAAGCGAGCGGTGTCGTAATCGTTGCACTCTTTGTGCTCGTGACGACCGTCATTGCGATGTTGGCGCCGAGCAAGAAGAGCGTCGCCAGGCCAAAGAGGAACTCCTTGATCATGATCGACCGCTTCGTCTCGATGGGATGGATCCGGAGAATCGTCATGAGGACGTAGACGGTGCACAGCAGAGACGCAAATCCAGAAGCTGCCGTAAGCGATCCATTGGTGTTGAGAATCTCCTGCGCGTGCAGTACTCCTTCGGGGATTTGCTCGGCCGTCATCTTCTTCTTATCGTTGAGGAACACCAGTCCATATGAGGAGATACCGACGACGACGATGGACGTTGCGCTCGTCTGCTCGATCGCCACATTGCTCAGCTTTGCTAAGGAGATTCCAAGGCAGCGAGACGTACAGCTTGGAAAGCGAGAGCTCGTGGGATATGGAGGTAGGCATGCTGATCGGTCGGCTTGCCAAAGTGTAGCTTGACCATCTTGTCTCCTTGCTCTGGGTACTGCAGCTCGTGCGCTTATATAGCCCCTCTCGTGCGGTCTTGGCAAGGAGTTGCAAGACAGCGAATGACCTCTTGAGCGAGTCTGAACAGGCGATGCTACCCCAGAGAAGATCCCTTGGCCTTTTTCTGCCACAAGACTGGCCAAGGTTCCCCAGACTGCGCCCGGAATTCGGGTTCTATCAATTCGCGAACCATGCTATGATCGAGCGAATTTGTCGAGTCGCGCGAGATCTGATCTAGCGCAGAGACATTCCCGTGCAGCCCATTAGCACGGCAAGTGTTCTTCCGTGGCTGTTGCTTGCTATTTGGAAGGAGAGGACAGCCAGGGCAAAAGTTGGCCAAAGTAGAAATGCTGCACGACGGGCGCCTTTTCGAGCACTTCGGCTGACCACATCTTGATCATACCGCTATTGACTTTGCTCCAACTGGCGACCGTCGTAGCGATCGAATAGAGCAGAGGTGAATGCTCACGGAATGCAGCTCTCTTTAGATCTGTGACGTGTGCTATGCACCGAAAGAAGATGAACGAGTCACACGCTTTCCGTACCACGATGGGCTGCAGTATCTCCGAAGGCGTGTGTTCAGGATGATCTGCAGACGGACAAAAGTCAAATGTATGCAGCTGCGAATAGCTACGATGACGCGCCTATGAGCTGGGAAGAGCCGAAGAGATAGGCCAAATGGAAGTGATCGTCGAGTCCCCAAGCGCCCTTGCTACCTGCAGGCTCAAGATTGTACTTCTTCTGGAGCGTCTGACAGATTGCAAGGTATTTCACAAAAAGCACAAAGACGGTATCGCGTTCGTCTGCAGGCTCGAGCAGGCGCAAGAGATGGAGTATGGTCAGGTAGGCCAAAAAGGACAGCTCGTGTCCTGTGCCAAAGTCCAGCCGAGACGCCGAGCCGAATGAGCCTTCGAAGTGATGCAATAGCTCGGGCAATGCAGTGTGATACTCTGCAGGCATCGCATCGACGTGAAGCTCTTTGCCTCGCTATTGCAGATATAGACAATGAGCATATTAGCAGCTCGATGTAGCATTGCACCGACCTCATGCAGACGCGCAGACCACTTGCGAAAGGCGGTATTGCCGAATCGCTGTGGACCTGTATCGAGTGGCATTTCATCTGCCCAGGTCGCTATCATGTCCAAGATCGCCGCGATCCTTTGCACAGTCTGCACGGCGTCTTAGCTATAGCTTGCAAGCGAAGTGGACCACAGCGCTGACCGGACTGAGAGAGGTAGTTTTGGGCAGTGGCTGACGGTAGACTGAAGCGTTGAGTCGTAGCATCATCAGGTATATACGTTTGTAAGCAGGCGAGCGTTTCCATGCCGCGATGTCTGAATCGGTGTGAATCTTCCGCACTGGTTCGCTGGGCTCAGAGGGTACATCAAGTCTCGGAAGGTCTGGTAAGCGTTCCATCTCGCGTGCTCATCGACAGCACAAAGCGGCGCGCGTGTAGTGCGAAGTATATAAGCAGCTGCCCCAGACGGGCCCAGACGCGCGACGCCTTCACGGGGCCGGAACCTGAATCTATGCTGCTTGCAATGGCCTGAAGCGTACAACAACTTCCTGTACGCCCTTGAAGTCATTCTTGAGTCTACGTGTGAGCTCCACCTCGAGCTGGTAGGCCTCGACGACTGAAAGCCCTTCTGGCACCAGCAGGAGCAGATCAACGAGCTTGAATCCGCCAGCCTTGTACAGTCTGGTCTCGCAGACGCACAGGATGGGCAGATCGGCCTGCCGATGGATAGCTGCACGTTCTTGGTGGTGTGCGTGATCGTGATCGTGTTGCTGCACAGAGGTAGCGGGTGAATCGAAACGATGCTGGTCATCTGCACATTGTACGGGCGCATGACGGTCTGCTTCTACCGCAGACGGTGGCACTTGTGGGGAGTCTGCTGCTGCACGGACAACGGTGGGATTGCGCTGGGCGAGCAGCCAGGTTTCGAGCTTGGTCGTAAAGCTTGGATCGTCAGACCGATCGACGAGCTCTTTGAGTGCTGCGAGGCCAACTCCAGCGCCTTGTCGTAAGATCAGTGCCGACACGAGCAGACCACCCAGTGGATCTAACAGCGGATAGCCCAAGGCAGATCCGCCCTGTCTCGGCTTTGAGTATAGATATGCATAGCGGCGCGAATACGTACAATGGCAACGAGAGCGACACCGCTCGTGTATGCGTCCACGCGATGGTGGATCGCATTCGCCATGAGCACATTGGACCTCTCCTGTATCGCTACTTTTGCCGTGGCCCGGTAGACCCATTCTTTGATACCGAGCGAGGCAGCAGCGAACCACATGGCATGAGGGTTCAGCAGAGAATCGCTCTGGTGGTGTGCATGTGAGTGACCAAACTCTAGCACGCTGGGCAGGAGGAAGCGACCCCAATCTGCCAGTGCAGCCTGATCTGATGCTTCGAGCGCGCAGACGAGCAAATGCCAAGAATGTGATCCGATGGCAAGTGCACCGCCGATGAGCAAGATGGAGATGCTCAGACTGCCTATAGATTCGAATTTGCCCATGCCGAAAGGGTACAGTCTCGAGGGCGGTCGACGGGAGATCCGCCAGGACGCGAGGACGACAAAGTCAGCAAGGAGATCAGAAAGGGAGTGGGCAGCATCAGCGATGAGCGCGGCGCTGTTGGTGAGATATCCGCCTACGCCCTTTGCGAGGACGAGACTGACATTGCTCGCCAAGCCAATGAGCGTGATGCGCGAGCCTGCATCCCCTTTGCCTTTGACTGCGGCCAGCAGCGCTTCCGCCGTTTCTTCCTGGTGCCCCTCGTGCGCATGACCGGCATGCCATCGCCGCTGAGACGGTACGAGCTGCCTCGAGTCGATCTGTCGGCGTACACGAGCTGAAGAGCGCGAGATTAAGACGGCTGAGCGGGTCACAGAGGGACTGTAATGTCGCTGGCTGAGGCGCACAGCTGTCCATGGGAGCGACTCGATCGCTCTGCAGGCTCGACAGCTCAGCATGCTGACCGAGCAAGGGTGATTGAGTCAAGGGCGTGTTGCTCTCTGGAACGTCTTTGGACGCGCGCGCTGTTCATCAAAGTGTTGCTTGCCCGGCCCACTGCTGCTTGCTTGACGACTGTAAGGCTGAGACGGCCGTCGCATGAGCTCGCTCTCACACCATCAGACTTGGACATCGATGACGCTATGACTCCCATCAACGATCACGAGAGGATCATCATCAATCTCGATCTCGACTGCTTCTACGTTGCTTGTGAGCGACTGGCAGACCCAAGTCTCATCGGACGGCCGCTCGGCATCCAGCAGAAGCAGATCTTGGCCACGACAAGCTATGAAGCTCGGGCGCAAGGTGTGGGCAAGCTCTGTCTGGTCACGGAAGCCAAGAAACGATGTCCAGATCTTATCATTCGCTCAGGCGAGGATCTCACCCGCTACCGAGCCCATTCGAGGCGTTCCTTCGCTCTCGTTCGCTTGGCCAATGCTCCCTATCCGACCGAACGACTGGGCATGGATGAGATCTTTTGCGATGTCACGCAAAAGATACGCGCACATCTTACAAGACTCGAGACCGCCCAAGAGACAGTTGCCACAGACGATAGAGGCAGGCGGTGGTTCGCCCTCCAGGAGAACGATCTCACGAGCAGAGAGGTCATCAACGGGTTCTGGTACGACCCTTTGCAGCTACAAGGCATCACACTGCCGCTGGAGTGTCCCGAGCCCTTGCAAGCTAGCCCGATGACGAGGATCGCTTCCCACTTTGCCGCTTACCTGCGCATGCGAATCCACAGCGAGCTAGGCTTCACAGTCAGCGCAGGCGTTGCGCCTTGCAAGGTCTTGTCAAAGCTAGCCAGCGACATGCACAAGCCAGATAAACAGAGCGTATGGCACGTCGATATTGCTCGACAGGACATCGAGGCCCAGCTGTTCCTTGCGCCTTTCAAAGTCGAGCGGTACGCATCCTTCACCATGCAATAGCGCTCCAGCTGATGAACAGGAGCAGACTACAAGGCTTTGGTTATCAGACAGGCAAAATGCTGAGACACAAGCTCCTGGGCGAGGGCACACCTGAGAAAGGCATCTGGGGCGACCCAGATCGACACAGTCATCCATACTCATCGACAGATCCACTCATCATGAACGAAGAGTCCCTCAACACTTATTACCAGACAACAGACGAAGCCGATGCCGGCCGAAGAGCTCACGCTGGCCCTCTCACCGTCGCTCAAGTCCGTCAAGCGGCCACGGAGGCAGACATGATTAGCTGGTTCGATGAGCGGATCGGCAAGAGATTATGGGGCCTGCTGCACGGCTACGACCCTGCGCCTGTGCTTGCTACGCCAGACTTTCCGAAACAGATATCTATCGAAGACTCGTATTTAAAGGTTGCGACTATGGAAGACGCAATGGCGAAAACGCTGCCACTCATCACTTCGCTCATCAGGCGACTTGAGCTAGAGCTCGGTGCAGATACGCAGGAGGCCGCGGGTAAGGAAGCCAGTGCTGTCGCAAAGACCGCCTGGCTACGCTATCCTACCAAGTTACGGTTCAGCATGAGAGCGACGGGCAGAGGAAGGATCTCCAAATCTGTGCTCATGCCTGTCGAGACTTTCGACACAACGCAGACAAAAGAGACACGAGCCGGCCTGCTCCTGCAAGGGCCGATCAAGCGAATGATGCAAGACATCTTCGGGATAATTGCATCTGACCCCGTCGCTACAAGGACGGCAAAGACGCTCGCGCTTGATGTGCATGTCATCAACGTTGCTGCTACCGATCTATCGCCCACCAGGCCCGTGGGAATCCGAGATGCCTTTTCTCGTGCGCCGATGGAGAGGCCTTCTCCAAAGCTAGACGAGTCCGTTCTTGCTTTCTTGCCCGCAGATCTGCGTCGCGAGGTCGAGCAGCAATACGGCGTCAAGCGAGCGCGCCCGGCCGAGGCCGAAAGCAAGCGCGGCAAGCCGAAGCGAGTTGCTGATGTCATCACCATCGACGATAGCGACGAAGAAGTTGTTGAGAGCACTTCGCCCAGTTTGACAATCTGTCCCCAGCCGAACTGCGGTCAGCGCGTTCTGGGCTTTGCGATGGCCGCGCACTTGAGATTCCACCAGATGGCGAAATAGCAGATTATAATATGTCGCGTTGTTGTTGCTACGCTTTTGCAGAGATCTGTCCGGCATCACTAGGATGTGCAGCGGCAGACTGGGCGGCCAGTCTTGCCCTGAGAAACGCTTTGGAGGCTCGTACGTCAGGATCCTGCACGATGGCACCATCCGCACTCTTGTCTGACGTCTCCTCCTCCAAGGAGCGCCAGAGAGCATAGAGCGATGTCATCTCCTGTATCGCTTCCAGCAGTATCGGCATTTGCACATTGAGCGATGCCAGGAACGTAACGGGCTCAGTTCCTCTTCTGTGTGTGGACGCGTTAGGGGCAGGGCTGCCAAGAGCAGGAGAGCTCGTGACAGCAGGCGAGCCAGCGAGTGACTTGAACGATTCCACGTGTACGGCTGATCGCATCAAGTCGTCACGAGCTGTCAGATTTCTGATGGACTCGGGCGGTGTGATCGTGAGACAGAGGTATATAGCTGCGACTGCGATGATGTACGGCGGATAGAGTAGACACAGGTCAGATCGGTAAGTGTCATTGATGATGTACCACGCCATCTGAAAATGCGATTCTTCGAGATCAATGCAGTCTGCTTCCTTCTCTTCGCTCTCGCTTGGATCTCTTCCGCAAAGCTTGACGAGACTCTGGTATGGATGGTATACGATCAGATGAAATTCCAGCTCTTCTAGCAAGTCTGTTCGAATCGTCAGCTTGCTGGTGTAGCTCGAGCACAACGACGTGCAGAATTCCATTTCGGCCACTTTGGTCGTGTCGGATGAGAAAGGTGGCATGCCGCACTCGGTACAAGTCGCTCTGCCCTCGGCAACGATTGCTTTGATGTGAACGGGCGTTTCTTCTGCCTTTGTGGCGACATACAAACACGTCGCAGCCACAAGACAAGGGTCCGTCTCTGCGGTCTCCAGATGTCAGCCTGCAATGCTAGCTGTACCGTTCGAGACGAGCCTAGATAGCTATTCTTGAGATAGAATCGTCTGAGAAAGACAATGGCGGTCGCAGTCACCTGCTGACGCAAATGAAGCCGTTTCGCGAGCTTTTGACAGACTGTCTGGCTTGTCTGAGCTCATGACAGTGAAAGAAGGGGAGCAAGGCGAACAGTTGGCGAGCCAGATGGCGAAAAAGCCCAGTTCTCGAGGAGTAGCATGGCGTAAGTCCTCCTGACGTGAGGCCGAGAGGAGGTGTCGGTCGACGAGCCAGTAGTTCCTTGGCAGTCGAGTCGAGATGAGTGCGTGATCCAAAGCGTGTGACGAGAGCTCACGCGTGTGTCGAGAGCCAGAAGTTGGCCGCCATCCAGAGGACGGCGACGACGCCTTGGGCCTTGCCTAGTTCTTTCGGCGCGCGACTCGCGACTGGACAGGCGACCTGGCTCGCCTGCGTACAAGGCTCTCTCTTTTGGCCTGGACAGTGGATGATAGGCAAAGGAAGCCCATCCAGGCTGTCTCAGACATCTCCATCGAGCAGTCGCCCGTCGTCAAAATCCGCCTCGACTCAGCAAATGACGATGGGTCCCAAGACGAGGAACTGGTCTTTCGCTGTTGCTCCGGACCTCGAGTGCTCCTTCTGTGAGGGCACGGCAGACTTCAACAAGGAGGGCAAGCCAGAGAAACTTCTGTCCTGCGTCGCCTGCGGTCGTTCGGGCGAGTTGTCGCTCTTCAAGGTACTAGCCAGAGCTCATGAGGGACATCGGCCGTCGCAGGACACTTCTCATGCTTGCAGATGATAGAGCAGCACATCATCAGTGCAGTACAGAAGTATCCCTGGCACTGTATCGAGTGCAAGGCCTGCGAAGTCTGCCGAGAGATTGACGTCGGTCTCAACGAATTCTAAGCCAAGTCCCAGCTGAGTGCATTGTCGCAACAGGAGCATCTCATACTGTGTGACTACTGTGATCGAGGTTGGCACAGAGAATGCGCCCAAGCTGACATCGAGGACGACGATTCGACCTGGCGGTGCCCCAAATGTGCGGGCACCTTCTCCTCTCTGCCGGCCATTGCTGCTTCAACAAAGGGCAAGCAGAGGGCAACTTCCTCTCCTGCTGCTCGTCTCAGTCTCAATGGATCTCACGTCGCGTCGCCGCCCCCTTCCAGGATCACCCCACGCGCTCCACAAGGAGGTGCGAGAATCAAAACGCCCTCTGGGATTTATCAAGATATTGGCGGCAGCTCTGGCGGGCTCAAAGTGAGACTGAAAGTCAACGCTGAGCCAGCATCCTCCAAAGCGAGACGGACGAGCAACGGCCGACCGAATTACCGCTTGCCAGACTTCACAGACGATGACAGCGATGCTTCTCTGCTCCCCTCCTCTGCTGCTAAGCTTCCTACCAAGAAGCGCAGGACGATAGTGCAAGAGATTGTACCTGACGAGCCTCCAGAAGAGGCGGAGGAAGAAGAACAGGAGGACTTGCCTTATGGTGGTATCTTGACCGGGCAGGATGCGGAGCCAGGCGACCGCAAGCCTGCTGCACCAGATAAGCAACGTTTCGATATGGCAAAGCTTGCGCAGGAGGTCCGCTGTGGTCGACTTAAGCAGCAGACAGTCATGCTGATTCTATTCTCCCTGCCAACAGAACATGCAAAGGCGCTTAGCGGCTGCAAATGCTGCAGCTCGGCTCCGAAACAATGCTTCCCCAATGTCTTATACCGGGGAGGAGCAAGACGCAGAGCCGTCCTCTCGAAGTACCGCTGTCGGTCTCCGCCAGCGCTCAGCACACAATCTGTCTGCCTCTCAGTCCTATGCTGACTCGAGGGACTCCACGCCGAGTACGCCGATGGGCGCAGCAGCAGTCAACTCGAACATACGCTGTATACGCTTTGGAGAGTTTGAAATCGATACATGGTACCAGGCACCGTATCCCGAAGAATATGCTCTCGTACCCGATGGCATGCTCTGGATTTGCGAATATTGCTTCAAGTATATGAAAGGGCGCTTTCAGACCTCGCGACATAGGGTTCGTCGAGGCACTCATTCAGCAGCAGCTGCTAAGCAGAGATTTTGCTGACAGCTCAAATGCAAGCTGCGGCATCCGCCTGGCGATGAAATCTACCGCGATGGCGAGGTATCAGTGTTTGAGGTAGACGGGCGGAAGAGCAAGGCAAGATTATCTCTGCACTCAACACATCCAAGCTGACCTGTCTCTGCAGATCTATTGCCAGAATTTGTGTCTGCTGGCAAAGATGTTCCTAGATCACAAGACGCTCTACTACGATGTCGATCCTTTCTTGTTTTACGTCATGACGGAAGCGGGCCCAGATGGTGCTCGATTTGTAGGCTATTTCTCAAAGGAGAAGCGGAGCAGCACAAATAATGTCAGCTGCATCATGACGTTACCTGTGCGTCAGCGAAGGGGATGGGGCAATATGCTCATTGACTTTAGTATGTCGCCTCTCTGGTCAGTAATCTGTCAGAGCTGACATGGCTGCAGGCTACTTGCTCTCAAAGGTCGAAAAGCGGTTCGGAACGCCAGAGAAGCCCCTTTCGGATCTCGGGCTCGTCACTTACAAAAGCTACTGGACAAACGCAATATTCGACTTTCTCGATACTGCTCGCGATACTCGAACGCTGGAGCAAATCAGCAATGCCACCCGCATCATGCTAGAAGAAGTCTATTATGTACTCAAGACCCAGAACATGATCAGAAACACAGCCCCGCCTATTGTCGCTATGCCAGACACGCCTCCCTCTGCCCAGTACTCGTCTCGATTCCACGGCAATCGACACGTCTCTCGTAAGAAAGCTCAGGGCGGTGCGGGCAAGACCTCGGCAGAGGACGAACCACACGAGATTCCGACCGAGTATAAGCTCGAACTCGACTTTGACAAGATATCTGCCCATCTTGCAAAGTGGAAGGGTAAAGGTCACATACAGCTTAATCCGGACAGATTGAGATGGACGCCCTATCTCGTCAGTCATGCTTTACCTGTCCAGAATGATCCTCAGCCGCTTCTCAACGGCGCCCTCGTCGATATTACTGCCCAGCGCGACGAGCCGATAGCGAACATACAGGCCGAGACAGATGCCGAGGAAGTCACCGGTATGAAGGTCGCAGATGGCGCGATCGAGGATGCTGTAAAAAGCGTCACAGAGCTTGCACCGGCGCCTGCACTCAAACAGAATGGCGATGCGCACTCGGACGAGCCTGCAGGACAAGCACCTCATGCTGCTTCCACCAGCCCATCTGTGGCCGAAACCAGACCCAAGGTTTCGCCGGTGACGCTCAAATTGAGAAACGGAAGTGCTGAGCGTTCGCAAGAGTCGCCAACGCAGCTCAGAGTGCCGTCTTCGCAGTCACAGCCCTCGCCGACGCATCTCAAAGCTGGTGGCCATGGTCTCTCTCCCAAAGTCAACGGCTCAACGCCAAAGCGTCGAGTCGGCTCGAGCGAGCTTAGCATGCTCGGCATCCAGGCAACGCCGATTACACCCGCACTGCCACGCCGCGCCCGTAACTCTGCAACACCGACAAGTCTGCCGAGCTTGAAGAAGCGAAGGAGCGAATTCACCCCTGCTCATCGCTCGTCGCGGCAGACGCCAGACAGCGCGAATCACATCAATGGAGTCGAATGGCAAGAGGAAGATGCGGATGGGGAAGTGGATCCGGACTACGTGTGATGTATGGGGCAATGGCATTGCAATCAATGACCTTCACGCTTTCGCGGAGCTGATCGAAGTACATTGTCTACTCTGACGATCATCTCCGCTGCTTCAGAGGCAGACAGGACGACTTGTCGTTTGAGCTTGTAGGATTCTGTTATGCCCAGATTCTTCATTGATCCGATTGTGCCTTGCTTCATATCGAGACCTGCGTCAGATTTGCCATCGTGATGGGCTGCGCGTAGCTGCGCGACAAGCTCGGCGGAATCGAAGCCAGCATTATCAGCCAAGATCGTGGGCATCTGTAACGAGATGGTTCAGCTAGGCTTGCTAGCTTGGGTAGTGGGGACACAGTACCTCTCTGAGCGCTTTGCCGAATGCTTCTGCAGCTAGAGCTTTCTTCCCTTGAGTCTTCTTTGCAATGTCGTCTACTCGGTTTGACATGAGCATCTCCGAGCATCCGCCGCCATAGACGATACGAGTCTCTTTGACAGTCTGGGATAGCACGGAAAGAGCATCGTGCAAGGATCGTTCGGCTTCGTCGACCATCTGAGTGGTCGCGCCGCGCAGCACGACAGTACACGCCTCGCCTGCTGCAACGCCCGAAAACTTGATGAGCTGTGGATCCAATTCCAAAATCAGCCTTGTCAGCTAGCACCAAAACCGTTCCTACCTTGTCTTCGCCGATCATGACCTCTTCTATCCTCGCGCAAGAGCCCAACTTGACCAGATCAGGTCGATCGAAAGTACTCGCAATCTCGCCGCCCGTCACGAGCGCTAACCGCTCGACGCCTTCGAAATCGGCATGCTCGATACACATGATGCCTTCGGCTGCAAAGAGTGATTCGGGGTAGTTGTAGACGAGCTGTCGGTTGACGAAGCAGGTGATGCCATGCGCTTTGATCTTTGCTACTTTGGCCTTCATCTTTTCCTGCGGCAACCGAGACCATCAGCAGATTGGTCGTGCGTAGAGATCATTCGACCCACTCTTTCTGCTCGTTCTAGTTCTGCAAGTTTGCCCGTACCATCCACGCGTACTCGCGCGCCGAAAATTTTGATCTTGTCGGTGTCCATGGCTGAATGCAGGGGCAGGATCATCAGCGACGGAGACCCCGATGGATGCGGCTCTACATACAGGTATTGGCGATCATAATCTTTGCGTTCTCTGCCATGCGAGGGCAGTTGACGCTGATCTTCTTGTCGAGGATGAAGCCATCGTCGAGGTAGGAGTCCACGAGCCTTCCGCCGACTTTCTTGATGATCTGGATGTGCTCTAGATCTGTCGAACCCTGGCAACGTGATGCGCTCAGGTACCACGTCTGCAGCTGAGTAGGGATCTCGGTACCTTTAAACGGAGCACGGCGTCGACTGCCAGGTTGGCAAAGTAGTCCTTGTCTGCCGACAGGACTTTTGACGAGAGTGTCGTTCGAGCGATGTTGAGCAAGTCTTGCTTGAATGCCTCCGGGTTGGCTCTGCGCGTCAGCCAAGGCATGCTCTCAGCGCGAAATACAGGGGGAGCAAAGGGCGAGCAAGACTGACGAGTTGTCGATCGCGGCGCCTTCGAGTGCCAGCAGAGCTTCGCGAGATGCTATCCGGAAGCCTTCGACGATGGTCTGAGGGTGTAGCTTGATAGCGATCAGCTTTTCCGCTTCTCTCAGCAATTCTGCCGCCAGTACGCAGACGGAGGTCGTGCCGTCGCCTACTTCATCATCTTGTACTTTGCTGATGTTCACGAGGATCTTTGCTGCGGGGTTGTCGAGCTGGATGGAGGATAGGATCGTCCGGCCGTCGTTGGTGACGATGATGTCGCCAGTAGAGGCAGAGTGTAGGATCTTGTTGGCTCCCGAAGGCCCTAGGGTCGACTTGACCAGGTCACCTAGTGCGAGTGCACCCACAAAGGAAGCCAGGCGAGCGTTCTCTGCCCTCTCCTGCGTGGCTTCGTCTGCAAAGACGTTCATCTTTGCAAGCTTGTCTCGACAGCGCGCGAGTGTTGCGCGAAATTTCAGAGAGAGAGAGAAATGTGCCCCGACCGAGAACGGAGCTGACGCGGGAAAGAACAGGATGGCCACCACCCCAGCTAAGGCATGCATTGACGTGATCAGCCACGATTATGACGATTGCCTTCGCCGCGTCTGTGGTCATCAGTGTAGAGATCCCACTCGCGTTGTTCGCGGACATGACGCTCATTCTCAGCATAGCCCGCAGCATTGTCGCCTTCCTCTATCCTCTGCGTCCTCTCGCTCGTCGTCTCTCGTTCTGCAGACGCTTGGCCTCCGCCGGAGATGATCCTGCCCTCTGCTTGCTCAATCTCGAGGAACTCGTCAATCGACATTGTCGGCAACCGGTGGTCAGGCTGAAAGACTTCGGCCTGCAGACGAAGACGCGTTTCAAGAGCTGACTGAGGACCGCCTTGCTTCGTCGATGGCAAGATAGTGAATGGCCGAAGCACCTGATTGCTGACATCAGTACATCGATGTCATGTACAGAGAAACATCGACTTGCCTTGCCACTTGAGGACAAGACGGGACCGGTCGTCCAGTCTGACCGGCGATGGCCGAGATCGTCCAGTCGCCAAGTCGAGGCATCATCACGCCTCGAATGCGATGCTCTCGCATCCTGTCGTCCGTCGCGGGTACTGGATGGCAGGTCGACCATGGCAGGCTGAGACGCGAGCAGTTCTGATTCTAGTGCGATGGAGGCCAGCTCGCCATGTACCTTGATGCAGTGTAGAGTCAACAAGTTGATCATGGTCGATCGCAGCACATCGTCGTCTTCTTGTGCGTCGTCGCCAGATGCTGAGAAACCGTACCGGTCTTCATCGTCATCTTGTGCATCAGCGAGGGTTTTGGAAGACGAAGCTACAGGTGCCTGACTGCCTCGAAGTGACAGGCGTGCTTTCGACCTGCGCTCGGCGAGCTCGGCCAGCACAGCTGCCACTTGTCGTTCCATCCTGTACTGCGCAAGCTTTGCATTCCGCTTTGCTGCGGGATCTGCACCGTGGCGGGCAGAAGGTCCAACGAGCACATCTCGCTTGTCCTCTGCAATGATCTGGTAGCGCTCTAAGCAGTCGAGAAATTCGAGCGCGTAAGCCTTTGCTTGGCTGAGATGTGTTTGTCGCTCGATGGAGGAAGGCGACTTGAGCAGAGGGGTCAGTCGAGCTTGGTAGGCAGGCAGGAGGAGCACTCTGAGCGTGGCAGTCGACAGATCCTCGAGCGTTTCGTTAGGCGACAGCACGCCCAGATGATCAACAAGAGAACGACACAGCCGCAGATCAGCCAGGACGCTCAGGAGCTTGGCCTGCCCATCCATCAGATCGCCCTCCAAGCGGACCTCAGGGCATGCGTACCTGTGCAGCTTGTCAAAACGAATCTGCGACCATGACGCGTTGTGCTGACCTGAACGGGCGGTGATGTTGGCGACGGTGCTTCGAGCACGGCATCGGAGCGTAGCAGTGTCCTACCAAGCAACTTTGCCAAACTGATCTCATCCTGCGCATCGTCCGACATTCTGCCTGCTTCACTGTTGAAATGCGCCAGTAGGGGAGATCGCATGTGGGGCCGAAGTCAAGAGCCCCGCTTGCTTGCTCGACCCTGCCGCGAAATTCGAACAACGCAGGCAGGCAGTGTGGGCCTGTTCGAGCAAGCAATGACACCAGCGCAGCAGAGCATCACAAATACCCACATGCTCGTCGAGCCAGCATCAACACGTCTCTTCCGCTTGTCGGTGCTACCCCGCGCGGAGTAGGCGTCGAGCTCGTGTCCGCCTACTTCTGCGCTGCAATCTGACAATACAATCACCGCAAAGGAATCACTCGAAATCATCATCATCACCATCGTCACGACGCTGCATGTCAGCATACCTCGCTATGCGCTTTGAGCACACAATGGCCGGGTCACGCGACCTCCAAGAGGCTCTCGATGCGGATAATGACCTTGCCCTGAAGCTCGACTCGAGCTGCTCTATTGACACTGCTCGTCACGCTCCGGCTGAGCCAAGCATGCACCGACCGTGCCGCAGATTCGCAGACCCGAGCCTGGCTCTGACGGCGGGGAAGATCTATCGCCCGCTATCACATACCGGCCCACTCACTCAGACGTCACGTGGCCCATTGCATGCAGGAGCAATGTGGAAGGGTACCCAACGTTCCGGCAGAGCATGTTATGACGTCCAGATCACATTTCTGGACACCGAGCTGGAGAGAGGCTACGCTGCGGGTCTGCTCAAGATCAAAGGTCTCACGCCTGCTCTGGCCGAACTGACGACATTCTTCGAGGCCGAGATCATTGGCACGACGCATGGCTTCATCACTGGCAAGTGGAGTGCATCGGAAGCTGAAGACCTGAAACACTGGTCTCGCTTTCCTGCTTTCCGCACTCATCTCGCAAGATCGAAGAACGCTGCCAAGCCAGAGCTCACCTACTCTTCCTTCGACCGTGCGCTGGCGCCTTGTCAGCTGTATGAGAATGTACTGACAAGAGTGCGATCGCAGGCCCGCAGCTGTTCATGCGTTTCAAGGAGCGCTTTCCCGTCAGCGAATGCGAGACAAAGTACGATGACCACGATCTCTCTGGCGCCTCTTTTGAGGGCTTCTACTACGTCTGCATGGACTTGAGCAGACCCATAGTGGCGCCAGCCTTATCTCGATCGATGAGCAATACCTCTGCGCCTCGATCGCCGCCTACAAGGCCGGGCCCTCTGGATGTGCGCGCACTCGACGTGCAGCCTCGTGCAGACGCTGAAACACTGGCTCGATCGGCGCCCGCTCATATCAGTCCCATCGCGCACACCATGGCGAGCTCGGTTCGAGCGAACAGTCAAACGAGACCGACCGTGCGGCGCAGGCGATCTTCGGTCACGACGGATTCATATGCTGCTGTTGTGCGGGGCTTGGTCTCGCCCAGTATCGCCAATGTCGAGCTCGAAGAAGAGGAGGTCGTACCGGAGTGCGAGCAAGATCGCAAAGCAGACGAGTCGTGTTCTTCGCCTGCTCAGTTGCGCACGCAAGCCAGTGAGCCACCAGCGACCGGTCTCGGCCTTACCGGTGTGTCTTCACCTCAAGAAATCCCACCTTCTCCTCGTAGCCGGCGAACCAGTCAGCCTCGTACGCTCAGCGCAGATAGAGCCCGTCCGCTTTCGTTCGGTCCGATCAGTCCTTCGCCTCTGACAGGTTACGAAGGCATATGGTCTCATGCCAGAATGACGGGTTTCTACCATCACTCGAGTAGCGAACCTTACCAGGAACTCGATCTTCGCTATTGCGGCGATCGAGCGATGCAAGAAGAGCAAGAGAAGCAGATGGTGCTCGCAACGCCCATGAGAGCGTGTAATCGAATGGGCAGCTCTGCTTTCCAAGTACTTTGATACCCCTGCTGTTGCACTATGTCACGATCAATCTAATGTGCTGTACTTCCGATGTCCGAATTTCGTTTGCATCGTGATCTACAGCTTTGCCGCGGGTGGCTCAGGCATGACGCCTTCAACTCGCTTTAGGCTCTTTCGGGTGATATCCCGCAGAGAAGGAAATCCACCGACGGTCATGAGAATGTCGAGGTCGGCCAGAAGGCATTTGGTGACGTGCATACAGCCTTCGTAACCTCCTGCGGACATGCCAAAGATCCACAGTCTGCCAAAGAGAACAGCTTTGGCGCCTAGAGCGATAGCCTTGAAGACGTCTGCGCCCGTTCGTACGCCGGAATCGTAGATGATGGTCAGCTTGTCGCCTACGATGGGCGCTATCTCTGCTAGGGCATCCAGACTGCCTAGCGCACCATCGACTTGGCGACCTGCGTGGTTGCTCACGACGATACCGTCACAGCCGTATTCGACTGCTTTGAGGGCATCCTCGGTGGACTGAATGCCTTTTAGCAAGAAAGGTTTGTCACCGCTGATCTTCTTCCATTCCTGCGGACGAAACTGAGGATGAGTGTCAGGTCGATGATAGCAGAAGCGGGCTTGCCTTGATGAGTGCAGGGAGCTCCTTCCAGGAATGTGCTTTCCCGTGCCATACTGCTTTGTCAATCCACCTCGAAGGATCTTTTTCTAGCTCTTTGCCATACTTTTTCATGAAGGCAGGGTCGGACGTTCCCATCTGATTGCCCGTCTTGCCGTAGTAGAAGCTGTAGTTGGAAACATCAATGTCCGTGGGTCGCCAGCCGAGCTGCCAAGTGTCAACTGTGAGTATACATGCATCGTAGCCGCTCTTGTGTGCTCGCGTGAGAAGCGAAGTCGTGATCTCGGGATCATGAGGCCAGTAGAGTTGGAAGAAGCGCGGTCCGTTGCCGTTCGCTTTTGCCACATCTTCAATCGAACGACTTGCTGCCGTCGATAAGCAGTAGCCCATGCCTAGCTCACCCGCCACACGTGCAGGGATGAGCTCGGCATCGGGATGATAGTTTGAGTTGATGCCAATGGGCGCAAAGAGCAGAGGGTTGGGCAGCTTGTGACCAAAGAGGTCAACGGACAGATCGCGCTCGTTCGTGTCGACGAGCATGCGGGGGATGATTTTCCAATTGAAGAAAGCCTGTCGGTTGGCTTGGTCTGTCCAGCCTTCGCCTGCGTTGGAGACAGCATAGAGGTAACCTTTGTCCGTCAACTTCTCCTTTGTTGCCGCTTGGAGTTTCGTGGGCTGCGCGCTGACGATACTCGTCTCGCCCCGGGTACCTTTGAGGAACTGCTCGCGCTGGTAGAGCGAGTAGTGCTTCTCGATCGACTTGCCATCTGGATCCATTGCTGATGATGTTGATGACGGCGTAGACGGATATAGGGACGAGTGACCCGCTCACGCGGAGATTCTCGTCGCATGTCAACGCGGGGCAGTTGCTCATCATCATAATCTGCGCCTCGGATTTTTAGCGACCAAGACAAATTCGGTTAAAACGCCTCTGCAGGCAAAGTCGAAGCAAGGCCAGAATCGAAGGACAGTGAAGGCGCAGGTATGGCAATCGCACCGCCCATCGTGAAGAAGCGAACGCACAAGTTCAAGAGGCATCAGTCCGACCGATATGCTGGCCTGAAGGAGAACTGGAGAAAGCCAAAGGGTATCGATAACAGGCAAGTTGTCGATGTGCCACCATGGAGAGCTCGACTCTCGCTCTCTCTCTGTGGCACTGTCAGATAGGCAGGCCTCTACTGACGTTATAGCATCATCGCAGAGTCCGAAGAAGATTCAAGGGACAGACCCCGATGCCCAAGATTGGCTATGGCAGCAACAAGGCGACAAAGCACATGATGCCCAATCGGCTCTACAAGATGGTCGTCTCCAACGTCTCCGAGCTCAACCTGCTCTTGATGCACAACAAGACCTACGCAGCAGAGATTGCGCACAACATCTCGTCTAAGAACCGCATCACTCTGCTAGAGAGGGCAAAGGCGCTCGGCATCAAGGTCACCAACGCTTCCGCTCGTCTGCGCAAGGAAGAAGCATAGGCTGGCTTGTCTGCCAGAGAGAGTCTTGTAGACGTCATGCATCTTTCTGTACTGCCACGTATCGTCACAACAACAACAACAGCAGCAGCAGCGAACTGCTAGACAACCCCTTGACGAGGAGTCACAGTTTGGGCTTGAGGGCTTGCTCGACTGAGAAAGCATCCTCATGCACGCTGGCACCTTCTGATAGACTGAAAGGAGCCTTGTCGTCCTCACTGGGCACGTATGACGGATCCAATTCTCCTTCTTCCTCGTACTCCTCGACATAGCTGAACTGCCAGTCTCTCTGCGACACCGTCAGCTTCGCTCTGCTCGTTCGCTGCGACGGTCTTGAGACGGACCTCCTCTCCAGAGGTCAGGAAGCTACAATCGCCGTTGCGTTCGCATGTCCATGTGCCCAAGACATCTTGCCGGCCCAAGCCAAAATACTCGGCATCCTCTCGCGTCCTGCGATCTTGGGGCTCAAGTGTGCGTCTGTACGCACTCAGTGAGCATGTGCCCACATGTATCCTCGCATCTCTCTCGCCAATCAATGCTCGACCGAGTGCGATGTTGACAGCAGCATGTGCGACGATCAGTATCGTCCTAGGCGCGTAAATATCTTCGTCGTACTGTCGAACGATGAGGCGCAGTATCTCCTTTGCACGCTCGTGAAGCGCTTCTTCGGACTCGCCTTTGCGTGACGGATACAAAAGTGACTGGTGCGCGTCGGGATTGATGTGCGTGAAGGAGTGTGACAGATGTGCAGCTGTACCTGGACGGGGATGGACGCCCTTTGAGGCAGCGCGGATGGGCAGATACCATTCTCTGCACGACGAGACATCAATCAGAGCGACCTCGACAGACCGTTTTGGCTCACGATAGACCGTGCTCGACGAGTATCTCTCCTCCCGTCACGCCAATGATATATTCTGCCGTTTGCAAGCACCTGCACTTCCACGTCTCACGCGGTGCAGGGAATCGTGCCGAAGAAGTACGAGCCTCGTATATGGCGAGCAAAGAAGACGGTCGACTTTGAGACCCGACACGCTCAAGTGTTGTCCCAGCTCAATAGCTTGATCACGTCCGTGTGAAGTCAAAGGAGGATCGTGCGGCGTGCCCGATGAGCTGAACGCATTGCCCCATGCGGAGCCTGCCATTCGGAAGCCATGACGGGCTATCAGGATTGTCTCGACGGGCATACACGGAAGCGCTTCCTGTCGGCAGTGACGCCCAATCGACCGTCGACGTGGAGCTTTTCGCGATGACGGCACTGCGCGAATTTCGAGGGCGGCCAGCGAAGTCGACTGCCTGAGAAGAATGAGGCAAGCCTTCCCTTCTGTGTGGCCGAACAAGGCTGACATCCGCTGGGCTACATAGTAGCTACGCAGCCGTAGCAGCACACGATGCGCCCGCGCCGGAGGATCAGCCCACACCGGCTCCAGAGCCACAAATTATCGTAGCCAATGATGCTGCAGTACACTCTCTGGCCGATGTCGAGAATCCGACGCCGGCAGAAGCGGCAGCCATGTCGAGCACCGAACACGACCCGTCGACCGAATCGCTGGCTGCATCTTCAGACCTAAAACCCACCGCTGCTCCCTTCAAACCGTCTTCATCGCCCAAGCCGACAGAATCTCGTCATCCCGCAGTCAATGAGACGAAGCAGAACGCTCAGCAGACTTCAAAGGACGTCAAGTCCGCTGCGAGCAAGGTGGAGAACAAGTCGAAGCAAGAGGGCGCAAAGGCCAAGGCGGCCGTTTCCGATTCTGCGGACAAGGCGAATAAGAAAGCCAGTGAGGTTCGCAAAGAGGCCAATGGCAAGGTGCAAGAGGTCAAGAAGGATGCCGAGCCCTATGTGAACAAGGCAAAGGAGGAGGCAGAGGCTGGAAAGCAGAAGGCCTCTCAACTCGCCGAGAACACTAAGCAAGGTGCCTCTGACCTCGCAAAGCAGGCAGAAAAGAAAGCCTCCCAGATGCAGAGAGATGGTTTGTGGAGCCCGTTTGGTGGATGTGGAGCACTGCTGATCAGATGTGACCAGCCGAGCCTTACATCGAAAAGGGCAAAGAGAACATCGAGGCGGGCAAACAGAAAGCAGCTGAATTGGCAAGCTCAGCACAGCAGAACGCGTCGGACTATGCCGCCTCGGCGCAGAAGACCGCATCTGATTATGCTGCTACTGCCCAGCAAAAATCATCGGAGCTGGCTAGCTCGGCACAGAAGAATGCGCAAGAATTGTCCGATGCTGCCAGTCAGAAAGCTCAGCAGCTCAAGAAAGATGCTCAGCCGTATATTGCTGATGCAGAGGAGAAGATCGAGGCTGGCAAACAAAAAGCAAGCGAGCTCGCTGCTTCGGCTCAGCAAAACGCTTCTGAGCTCGCTACATCCGCTTCTGCTCGTGCGCAAGAGATTGCGGACCAGATCCAGGCCGCAACGAGCAATGCTTCTGCTTCTGCTCAGCAAGGTCTCTCGGACGGCAAACGCAAGCTGTCTGAGCTTGGCTCTGAGATCAACGAATCGGTCGACTCTGCGAGGAAGCGCACGGCCAGAGATCTGAGAGACCCGGAGAAAGTGCGATCGTACCTTGGCTTCATCAATGTCGGCGTCATAGCTGCTGTTGCAGCGCTGGCTTTCCGACATTGGGAGCAACCAAGATGGGACAGAAGGATAGTCACCGCCATCTCTGCAAGTCTCATAGGCTTTTTTGGCCTGCAAACGTAAGTCGCCTCAGATTGTATCGCGCCCTCGACTGAGGGTGTCTGCAGGCCTTACGGGCAAGATCAGTTCCAACGAGCGAGACGTGATGTGGACGCCAAAAGACGACAATAAGTGCAGACATGAGCAAAGGCATACATACACGATCTGCAAGAACTGTACATCTGTATCAATGCAAGCATGCATAGTACCCATCTAGTTCTGCAACGGATCATCTGAGCCTTCCACCGTACCGCAAGCGCTGCCTGATCAAAAGGTAATATGCGATGCCCGTCAGGCTGCCGCCGATGTGAGCTGCGCCACCAATGCCCGATTGCGGCGACATGGCATGGTAGACATCCCAGCAGACGAGCAGTGGGATGGCGACTTTGATCGGCATGGGTATGACGAAGAAGAGACCGATCTGGAGATTAGGCGCAACGCAAGCACAGAACATCAGGCAGCCGCTCAATGAGCCCGAAGCGCCCAATGCCGGCGTATCCTGCCGGTAGTATGCATTGGAGGCGAGTTGTAAAACGCCCCCCGATAAGCCTGCAGCCATGTAGAGTGACAGAAAGCGCGTGTTGCCTACGACTTGCATGACCAATGGCGCGAAGGAAACGAGTGTGATGAGATTGGCAGCCAGGTGAGCGAGACTCATCTGGGAGAAGCAAGAGGTGATCAGGGTGTACCACCGCCCTTGCTGCAAGTTGTGCCAGGAGATCGTGAAAGTGCGCATCATGCGAGCTAGCATTCCTCTGGGAGCGCCTGGCTCTTTTGCATATTGCCAAGCGCCAAAGACGAGAATGTTGGCGCCTACGAGAGAGTAGAGCAGAGGTTTCGTCCACCTCGGTTCATCTAGTTTCTGGCGGAAAGATTGGCCTTGCGATCGTGACCGTGTGGAGCTGAGGCATCGTCGTTGCAGACTAGTGAAAGGGCTCCGCTGATGTCGAAATAATGGCTTCGTATTCAGACGAGGCGAGGAGCTACGCTGATGTGCACGCCACACTTGCAAGCTCACAGGGCTGGCCATCGCTAGGCCTAGGTTAGCAGCCTGTACTGTGACTCATGCGCGACAAGCATGTCATGCAATATCGCAATCCTGGTCGCGCCAAGCGGAAATCTTGACCCTTCCCCTGTCTCCTTCAGCTCTTTGCACTCGCATCTACGCAGCCAGCGTCATTCCTTTCCTGCTGAGATCCCTGGTCTCCTCTTGTGGCTGAAACGTCTACATTCATTCGACATCCGAGGCATGCACGCAAACTCGCGCAACGCCACTGCCAACTGAACGGGATCTCAACACCCTCGATCCCTACGACACCTACGAGCAATGCGTGCGTTGGTCGGGTCATGGACGCGCGTGACATGTATCGCTCGCCCGCATGCGTATGATCTAAATCATTGGCAATGACCTGCGACACTGAGCGAATCATGTAACGCGTCGATGCCCGCGCTACTGCTCGCGCGCTCTTTGCTCTTCAGGATCTCAACTCACGATGATGCGCAAGCTGGCCCTGATCGTTGCGCTCTCCTCGATGCTCACCGCAAGCGCCACATCGGCGCGGCTCGTCGAGCATGCAGTGTTTCCTTTGAACAACGACTCGATTCAGATGTATGCGCACCCCGATATAGAGCCCTCAAATACTTGGCCCACGATCATCTTTGCTTCTGTTATCGGTGCGTCCGATCAGCGGTCGTCGCCCGAGCTCATGAAGGCACAGTCGATGTGATGACAGAGTGTCCCCGTAAGCTGTAATCTGACTCGACAACAGTCTGCTCACAGGATCCCAGAGGGACGTACCCGGCTCGGATCCGGTGGTTTCAGCATCATCGTTCTCCGTAGCGGCGGTGAGGTCGAGCTCAAAGTGTTCAACAAGCGCAACGGCGTTCGCGCTGTTCGCATCCTCAACGTGCCCCCCTCTGGCAGCTCCATCACTTTCGCCATGGATCTACGTGGCTTCGGATCCGACCAAGTTGCTGCTGGTCACAAGGGATGGTCTTCACTCGATGATCGTATGTGCTGTCGTCCTTGGGCCACCCTCATCATCTCGATCGATCTCGAGCGCTTGCTTGTCGTGGTCGACCCAACTGCTGCTAAAAGCTGGGTTGTGTGTCCCATGATCGCGCAGACCATCGCCGGGCCAGATCGATGTGGAAAGCAATATCCTGTTGGTAGGCTCTATCTCAAGATGGTATAACAGTGCTCATCTACAAACAGGCCGCTACGAATGCACAGACAGCCTACAGTCTCTCCAACTCGTTCACGTTCCCATAGGAGAGCAGCCCGCAATCTCGGTCTACCCTATTTCCGTCGTAGCTCGTGCAGAATGCCCCGACGGACCAGCCTTTACCAATCCCGGCAGCTTCAAAGCGGCGGTCATCTCGCAAACTCAGCCCAGTTGGGTCGGTCTGATGACTTATGATCGTGTGTGGGTCAGCAACATCTTCCAAAAGGGCGTCCAGAACACCAACGGCGTGCGCGAGCTACAAATCGCCTTTTCTTCAGTGTCAGTCGCCGCTGGTCATTAAGTCTGATTGCAGCTGATGTGTTCCAGCAGTGGATCTGGCGCGGGACAGCCATGGCCGGACCAGCAGCGTAGAGCATGCTGTTATCCTTACTTCAGGACGGGCGCCTTTCTCGGCATTCGCACGCCCAGATTTCGCTACGCCATCAACGCCTTCGCCACTCTCTTCAAGATTTCTTGCTATCCCGGTCAGTCGGCACAGGTAGACTTCAGGTCGTGCTCATGCGAGGGACGTAGATGGTATGACGACTCGACCGTACGATTGCGAGCGGACTACACCGTTCGAGCTTCCGCCGATGTGCCATCAGATCCTCCCTCAGATTACGCTCATGGCAGGTGAGACTCCGATAGACCCTGTGCTGCTGCAGTAGAGCAATCCTTGCGTGTGCAATGAATCTAGCGCGAAGGCATCAATAGAGCAGGATCGACCGGTTCCTCACCCGATGCGAGCGTGACGTAGGGTTGAAGATTGCTACAGATAGGTGCACGGCCGACAAATTCCGTCTGCGTGCATCCCTCGGGTGCCACTGCCAATTGACCTGCATTCAATGTGAATGAATTTCGATACCATCTCCAGAGAGCCAAGCCCACCGGGGTAGCAAATATTGTCAAAGCGGCTGCTTTCGGCCGTGAGGCTGTAGCGAAACATGGGAGCATTCAGTCCGAGCCAGATCTGCGAGCGGAAAGCCGGTCGGCAGCATGCTTGTCTTGTTCGATCTGGCCAGCTCTGTCGTTCGCCTATGCCATCAACAGCGAAAGTGATGCCCATCTCGATGATGCCGTCGCGTGCGACGAGTCCCACTTTTGCCATGTCGCCCACGAACGCCCGGTCGTACTGCTCTCGGAATCAGCCTAGGTACTTGAGCGGCATGCCGAGAACGGACTGAAATGAAACCCTCAAACTTGCCGTGCTTGATGACGGCGAGCTTGAAGAAAGCCTGTTCTGTGAAGGAGGGGCCATCGACTGCAAAAGTCCTGAGTCCGGCTCAGGAGACACGCAGGATGAGCGCACTGGGACAGTCTGCTACTGCTCTGGCTGCGATCGGGTAGACGAGAATGGCAGGTTTGTCTGCAATCTGTGCAGTCTTGACGCTGATCTGCTGCCATTGCTGGTAACATTCGTAGCGAGGTTCCAGATGGTGAGTGTGACAGAAGCTGCTCGGATCCGGATCGAACTTGCATTCCACATGTACCGTCACATCGTTCTCGTTGAAAAACAGGACCGATGTTTGCATGTTCACGGAGAATTTGAGCCGAGCATAAGGTCGACAGCAGTACCTAGCCTGTTTATCCGTCCAGCCTGGTGATTGAGCAGGTCCGTAGCCACGAATGGTGAAGCTGAAGTAAGCCATTGGGCCGACGACGGCATCGAGAGCGACGATCCGCATGGCATTCAATCGATTGTAGACCTTGAATTGAACGTTGAGATCACTCGTCTGAACTGCAAGAAAATCGAATTCGGCAGTACTGAACCGTGTGTATCCCTGTGGACAGATGGCGTTGCTTTGCACTGCAATGCGTCGAGGGTAAGCGGCATGTTTGTCCTGCTTCGGACGACTTGCTCGTTAGGGAGGCTGACACCCAACGGTCGATGACATCTCGCGCTTGTAGGTTGTCTGTAGGAACGTAGGTCACTTGAGGAAGGTCAAGTGGCTGTGCTTGAGTGAGGCTTGGCAAGAGCAGGAGAAGAATTGAAGCAAGCATGTTTGCCAACGAAGCGAGGAAAAAAGAAATTAAAGACGCGTCGATATCGATATTGGTACCTGGATTGGCGGAAGTCTCTCCTCTGGGCCAGCGTGCCTCTCATGGCGCCTCAACTCGTGCCGGCGCATCTGCAGTCAGCGCAAGACCTGGCATTCATGGATCTCGCGCTCCAGCAGGTAGTTCGCGCGGCTGGCTAGGAATGCTCCAGCTCATGAGCCACAACAGGCAGAAGAGGCACTCGAGCATGTTGAGATACCCGTCGGCTGTGTTTTCGTCAGGAACAATAAGGTCGTAGCCAGCGGACGTAATCGCACGAACGAATTGCGCAATGTCAGCCCAAGGCGTGAAAATAGCGAGGATACTGATCCGGCTTGCAGGCGACAAAGCATGCTGAATTCGACGCACTGTCCCGACTTATGCCGCTCGAAGTCGATGGAGAGGGCCAGACGAGTATGAAAGACTATACGCTCTATGTGACGGTTGAGCCTTGCGTCATGTGCTCGTCATTGCTGCGTCAGGTCAAGATTGGCAAGGTGATCTATGGCTGTGCGAACGATCGCTTTGGCGGTTGCGGCGGCGTGCAGTCTATTCACTCCGAGTATGTCGATTGAGTATGAACGCACAAGCGCTCATGGATCCAATCCCCAGCGTCAACCTCAGGTACTCGCCCACTTATTCTGCGCTGGGCGGATATCGACGCGAAGAGGCCATCATGATCTTGCGCAGATTCTACATGCTCGAGAACAAGTCCGGTACGATACGGCCAATCTTTGTGCGCCGTTGTGCTGATTGCCAAGCAGCGCCCAAGCCAAAGGTCAAGGCAAATCGAGTACTCAAGCACGACTTTAAACCGGCCGAGGAATTCTTTGTCGAATGACGCGCGCACAGCAGATGTCCATATCGGAGTACAACACTCGGCGGCTACAGTCTGGCTTGTTGCCAAGCTTGCCAATCTTGTCCCGCTCCTTCGCGCCGGACAAGGATCTTGCTCGCATCGGATCCGCCAAAGAAGTTGGCGCTGATCCAGCTCTCCATTGAGGATTGTGGAAACGGGCCAAACGTCTTGTCGATTTGATCGGATGCCACGCCTGAGTCTGCCTTCCAGCGATACAAGTATTGCGGTTCTTGCTGCTTGACGGAGGCAGGCTCGGGCTGGCTCGGACGAGAAATAGCGGGTCGTTTGACCAGCCCGTCGGCTTTCCTCGTTGTCTTGTCTGCACGAGACTCTGGCTGGATTGCATCTCCCGAATTAGTCATGGGTGGCTTGGGCTCCCAACCTCTCGGCACTTCGCCCTCTATCCTTAGCGTACGAATGATGGATTCGTACGTGCTCTCGTAGATATCGGCCTCGCCGTACGTGTCGAGCAGCAATGAGGCCATTCGCGTAAGAAGCTCGATCTGTTCTAGTATGTCTCTGCCCTCGGGGGCAGCCTTTTTTGCATCGCCCAATCGTTTGAGAGCGGCCATGACGCTCTCGCCTGGCCTGATCGGCCCGCCATCGACCAGTATGCTGTAGCATTGAGCAGCGGAAGCAGGTAATCTCGCTCGATCTGCTTTCTCTTGCGCTTCCACTTCGGCATCACGTTTTTCTTTCGCCAGCCGAGCCGCTTTGATCTCCTTCTTCGACGAGACACCTTGCAGCCAAGCATCATGGACCGCAAGCGGGTCGCCGCCAGAATGTAAGTATGCTGCAGGAAAGCTTCAGTCTCGTGAGTCGGATCAGAGACGTGATGAGGACGTACTGCCATCTGCTGCTAGCCTGCCCTCTTTGAGTTCTTCGACCATGTTGAAGCCAGACATGGCGTATCCCATGCCCTTCTTGCTCCTCCTCGAGCGAGGAGCATCATCGGCATTGGCGTGCTCGTCACCTTGCTCAAATTCCTCTTCCTCACTCTCGCTCGTTTCCTCCTCGTTCGACTGAGCTTTCTTCCCTCTCTTGCCCCTCGGACCATCGTCTTCATCCTCGCTGTCCCGCATATCCTTTGCAGAGATCTCTTGACCCTCTATATCGTTGAGGTCGAGAAACTCTTTCTGACTTGCAGCTGAACCCTTGGGCTCCAATCCCGCATCTCTCACTCTGTCTGGATTGCTCCCAGACGCGGAAGGCGGGACAGCATTGGCAGATGAGGTACCCGTCGCCGCACCGAACATGTCATCGTCATCATCTTCCTGACCTGGCTTGGTAGCTGAATCGGCAGCGGCAGGTTTACCCTCGTCAGACGAGTCAGAGTCGTAGCCGTCAGTCTGGATGGTGCCCCGTCGGGCAGATCGGCTGTTGCGCTTCTTGCTCTGACCTGGGAAGTCGAGCCTGCGCTGATCTATCAGTGCGAGAGATGCTGACGGGCTGCAGACTCACTCGGCGTCGCCATCGTCTGTCAAGCTTACTGGATCAGCTTTGGAGAATTTGACTTTCTTCTTTGAGCTTGGGCCCGAGCCGATGGCTGTTCTATCCGACTGAGCAGCATAGGGATCTAGGCCACGCTTTCTGTTGCTCATAAGTCGAAGGTTAGTTCCGACGAGCAAAGGCGGCAAAGCTCAAAGCGCCAAAGACGCGACGTCAATGCATCCATCATGCATGCATGCATCACCAGGAGGCGCATCCAAGCAGACGGCATCATACAGAGCATGCATTGGCGGTCAGATAAACTTGTTGTCCTCTAGATACTTGACTAGCTGCTTCACCGCGTCTTCTACAGAGGTATCGTTCGTCTTGATGTGCACCTCTGGCTTGTCGGGCGCTTCGTAGGGCGCCGTGATGCCCGTAAACTCTGCAAGTCGACAGGAGAGTCATCAGCACGACGCGCTGCTGATGCAATCAGGCCGACTCGCCTTTGATCTCGCCTGCTCGCGCTTTCTTGTAGAGTCCCTTGGGATCGCGTCTCTCTACTTCTTCGAGCGTCGCATCGACAAAGACTTCGATGAACGCCAGCTTGGACTCTTCGTGAATCTTGCGCGCAGTCTCTCTGTCGGCCTTGTAGGGCGAGATGAAAGCTGTGATGGCGAGTGTAGACGAAGAAGCGAAAAGCTTGGACACCTGCGCAAGACGCGTGTGAGCCCTACGGGTGAGCGTGGAAGGCTGTGCTCGCCTCGCCAATACGTCGTATGTTCTCGTTTCGATCTTGTACGGAGAAGCCCAGGTCCTTGTTGAGGCCGAACCGGATGTTGTCGCCGTCTAACCGGAAAGCTCTCTTGCCAAGCTGAAGCAGAGCAGCCTCGAGGGCGACGCCAATGGTCGACTTGCCAGACGCTGACCAGAACCCGACGTGAGCCCATGTTAGCTCCTTTGACTGACAGGCGAGCGTACCTGACAGGCCCGTGAGCCATATCGTTGCACCTCTTTGGCCTGTCAATTTGATCCTGTCCTCTTCAGAGACCGTGGACGCGCTGTTTCGCAGCGATGAGTCAAGCCGGGTGGCGTGGCAGATGACGTGAGACTGACTGCCATGTCAGATTGGTGCCCTTGGTCAGCGATCCGCTAGCAGGAGCCGCCATGATGCTGCGAGTGAGCCAAGAACACAAATTGAAGGGAGACCGCGCGCGACGAAAGCCAAAGACGACACTCGACAGGAGAGGAATGGCCTACCATGGATCTCAGCCCTCGGCATTGTCCACACCGACCTCGCCAGAGCGGAACTCGCGCGGTGGCGGACTAGGATCCTACGGAGGCTATGCGGGCATCGTGGCACCCTCATCGGGTCATTCGCCCTTTGCTCGTCCAGAACAATTCGACCGTCCCTATGTCACCTCACCCGAGCAACGCTCGCGCACTCAGACCCTGGAAGAAATGGTCAGCTCATCTGCGAGGACGTGCATGCTACGTGTCTGATGGCGCGCCAATGTGGGCAGTACTCTGCACCGGAAAACTACCTCGAGATCGAAGTCAGAGATCCAAGGACGCATGGTCAGTTCGCTGCCGCTGGCTCCATCTCTCAGCTGAAGAGAGACTGCTCGCAACAGAGACAGGCCGAAAGATGTATACCGACTACGAAGTGACATGCCGCGTGCGTGCCTGAGCGCGTTTGACGTCTATCCTGCTCATCTCTCATCCCCAGACGAACATACCTGCATTCAGCCTCAAGTACTCCACCGTCCGACGGCGCTAGTAAGCTCATCTTGATCAAGGACGCCTTCACGGCCTGACAGCGTGAGCAGCTCGGATTTCGAGGCGTTTCGAGATATCCTTGAACGAGAATCGACGCGCGTCAACATCCCCCCTTTGCCTGGCAAGGTATTCACCAACCGGTCAGTCTTGCGTCATGCTCTCCCATTCGATCTCATAGCTGTGGCAGATTCACGGAAGAAGTCATAGAAACGCGGCGAGAGGGACTCGAGCGTTTCTTACAGATCGTCGCTGGTCACCCGCTGCTACAAGTGAGTATACCTCGATGGCCTCGCCAGTAAACTAAGCAGGCTCTGCAGACGGGCAGCAGAGTCTTGGGTGCATTCCTGCAAGATCCTTCGTGGACGCCATAGCGCAGTCGGGCGGTTGTAAGATGTCACATTATGTACAGGTTCCAGAATGCATCATCCATCACAAATGCAAAGACGACAAGATTCACAATACGTAGTTTGTCTATGGATTGGTCTCGGGCAGACCCATTCTGCCGATCTTACCTGAATCCTTCCCTTTCTGAGCCCGTCAGGCGCGCTTTGTGGTCGATAAGCTCTCGAGAGTCGACTCCATCGAAGCTTCCTCCAAGTCCAGCCAGCTCTGAATTTGCTTCGCGCGACCCGGGGTCGGCTTGTGCGACGGATTGAAACAGCGCAGCTTGCTAGAGCTAGTAGACCATACGCCGGTCGCAAAGTTAGAGCAGTGACGCTCGCAAGCGTGTGTGCTACAGTCCGGATCAGGGTCGGCCCGACAGCCGTCGCCGGCGCATTTGCCTGAAGCTATGACAGGGCCGAGCTCGGTATCCTTCTGCCGAAGCATAGCGATGTAATTGCCCAGATGACGATTCGCAACATCTTCGTAGAAAAAGGTATGCTTGAAGACCAATCCGAACATCTGTCTGGTGGATCGGGTAGCTGCGCAGATATCGTAGAGTGTGTTGTAGCGGTCGTGCGCGAATCTTCGGAAGAGGGTGGGGCCAGCCGGTACAACGAGCTCTCTGACCACGAGCGACCGGGGCTCCGCCTTTTCGTCCAACTGAAGAGCCGAATGACGCTCGATTTCCTGCCACACTAGATCTGACGGCTTATAGGCCCGCGCTTGCGAGTTGCCCCATTCAAAGGGCGCGTATCGATCGGCCCCGTTCTTCGCGTTATGAGCCGCGGCAGCGAGCGTCTGCATCCTCCTCGTACATTCTTGGACCGACTTTGCCTTATCCTCGAACTCCTTCAAGAGGTTCTGGGCGATCTCGTGGTTTTTCTCCGCATAAAATGCTTCCAAAGAGGGGACCATCGAACTGATGAGCCACGGAGGCCGCATGTCCGGACAGAACGGGATCTTGCTCATGTTGCATGTATCTTCGAACACCTCACAGAGAGGACTGCACGACTGGATTTGCGAAACCCGGTACGTGTGGCGTTGATAAACTCGTCTTCTCAGCTCAGAGCGCCGAGAGGTCTCTGCCAGCTGGACGTGCTTGTCACCAAGAGCTGCTATGCGCAGCGTTTTTTGGAGGTTTTGCCAACGCTCATCGAGCTGTTCCTCGCATTCGTCACAGGGCGTGTTAGCAGAGTGGTCATATTTGGCGAGCTCCTGTGGACTCAGGCTGAAGATATCGAGGGAACAGGTGTAACATTGACGATTGAGCAGTCGGACTGCTCTGAGTCGAGGTTGTCGGGCAAATGTTTTGGGGCGAGGTTGTCGGAAGAGAGTGCCGATGGATGCGTGACAGATTCTATCCCATTCATGAGCTCTGCTAGCAATCGCCGCCCACCAGGACTGCTCTGAGAAGAGCACAGCCCGCCAGAAGCGACAGACTGCTTCTATGTTCATGACTTCTCTGAACTCCTCGAAATCGAGCTGCCAGGCCACTTTGAGGATGAGCTCTGCAGGCAAAGACAGCGCATTCGTTTGCCTGGGCTGTAAGGCGCGATCGTCGTTGATGAGTCGCTGCAAGCGTTTGACAAGGGTAGCCTTGTTCTTGGGCAGCGCATCAGTCGTACGGATGCCAAGCTCGAATCGCAATTTGCCAAGTGGCCAATGTTTAACCTCGCCGGCGTGCCAGCAGGCCAGCAGTTCTGCTTCGGCATACAACTTATTCAGCTCTTTTGTCAGGTCGGCTTGTGACAGTGTCTTGAGTCGAGTCTCCTCGTCATCGCGTCCAGACGCATGAAGGGCTCGTATTGTGCGCGTTCTGATGGTCGCGATCAGCCAAATATCTAAGGAGGTCTGACGCGAATTGACTGACCGCAATTCGTCGAGGGTCATGAGACCGATCTCTGCCTTGCTTGGCAAGCGCGTTGACGTCGTCGCGGCAGTCTGGCCGTCGCTGGATTGTGAGTTTGATCCGGGCTCTGAACTCGTCGCATGCTGATCAGTGTTGTTCATGTTCGAACCAGAAGCACTGTTTTGCTCCTCTGAGAAGGCTTCCATTGAATTGATTTAAGGCAATGAACGCGTTCGAAGATGAGCCGATGAAGAGCGAGCTCGAAGCAAGCTGCAAGCAAGTCGCGGTTCGCGCGCGACGTGATTCCATAAAAAGCCTCGTCCACAAACTCTTGACGTGCGTTTGAGGTGCGTCTTAGCGAACACGGGGTCGCCGCAAGGGATGACGGAAGGTAGGCAAGCATGCTCAATCCGCCGACGCAGCATTGACTGTCATATCTCGCAGTGGACAAGGAACGCTGGTTCGTCTGCACGCATCGGCTGCCGAGTTCGACCGTGCTGCCGACCAATGATCATGTCGTATCGATCCTGCTGCAGGCAGCAGAGCTGCTGCCGCAGAAGAAGCTTCAATTCGAGCAGCAATTCGTGGATCGTCCTGAGCGTCAGCGTTCGTCTCATTCGGGCGCAACACGAGCTAATCTATCTTGCAGCGGGTACGCAATTGCTCATCTTTCTAAGAGATGGACATCTACCGCCCGACGGAATACGCTATGCGCCTTCCTATGTGGTCACACGGACGCCTCCGACCGGTATGGCATCAGAGAATTTGCCCATGGAGACGAGAGACGAGTTGCGGTTCGGCAATGCTGACCTCGAAGTCGTCACGACCCATTCTGGCTTTCTTCCGCCTATCACGCCTGACCGTCCCGTCGATCCATCGGAATGCGATCTATCACGCTATAGAGTGAGATACAGGCTCACTCGGGGCGGCATGCCTCAGCTCTGCGTGGTCTACTATGGTCGAGATCCATCGAGAATGGCCAATGCCTTGACGGGCCAGATCCCGCCTGAATGTCGCATCCCACCCAATCAAGGTTGGGAACGTCAGCCCATGAGACGGTATCCTCTTCCGGGAATGGACATGCCTCAGGGCAGTACCCACACTGCACCGCCGCCCATGGCCCACTCGCAAACGCAGCAGAGAGACCAACACGCACAACAAATGATGATGGCTGCCGCTGCCAAAGCCGCTCCTCAGAACGGTGCCTCAGCTCAACAGAGCCCTGCAGTACCTACATCGACAGTTTCACAGGGTCCAACATACTCACAGCCATCTGCACAAGCACTGGCTGCGCAGCAACAGGCACAACAGCAAGCTCAGCAGATGCGATATGCTCACCAGCAAGAATTGCAAAGGCGTGAGATGGCACAGAGACAACAACAAGAACAGCAGCAGCAGCAGAAAGAGATGGCGCAGCGACAGCAGCAAGAAGTGCTGCAGCAACGACAGATGCAGGAGCATTTGCTTGCACAGAGGAACGCGGCAATGCAACAGGCGCAGCAGATGTCGGGCATGCAGACCGGTCATGCCAATCCTATGCCTATGCAAGCCGCCATGACGCCACAGCAAGCTGCTCTGATGGCGGCGCAAGCTCGCAGCGGTCCTGCTATGAACCGTTCGACGCCGCAGCAGTCAGCCCGTGTGCCTCCCTCTGTCCAGCAAACGCAGCAGATAGCTGCCTATCGAGAGCAACAGCAACGACAGGCAGCTCAACGTGCTCCACTGCAACAGGCACAGGCTAGTCAAGCAGAGACACCGGACTTACAGGGCGATGCGAGAGATCTCTGGACTGAGCGACAGCTTGCTTTGCTACGCTTACAGCGTAACCAGGCGATGATCAATCCCATCTTTGATGCCCACTCGACACAGCAGCTCTTGCTGCATCAGGCTGCGCTCATGGGCGCCCTGCCACCCAATGCAGCTCATGCGCCTGCAGAAGAGCTGCTTGACGAGAAGCACAAGCTCAAGGCCGGGCCGATGCCCCTGGACGATTACAACACGCTTCGGACTCAGTCAAAGGCAAACCTGGCCGAAAAGCTCGAGAAGCTGCGATCAGAGTGTGACGTGCTGACGCAGACACATGCTGCACGCATGGCAAGCCTGCGTTCGCAGCCAGGTACGGTCTGAAAGGGGTTTTTCATGCAAATGTTGTTGTCATGCATACTTGTCTTACAAGATACGACGTTTGCGAGGTCTCACACCGCCAATTTTGATTGGCGTAGCGTCTATGACTCGGGTCACGAGCTCTCTCACTCTGTTGCCGGGCTCGGTGAGCATGGCCGCATGGACTGCATCCCGCCCTTGACCGAAGCCAGAATAGCTCACTTCGATCGATGTTGGCGGCGCTCGCTTTGTCCTGGCGTGACTCTCAGCAAACACGGCGTGATAGAGACCGTAGCGAGACATACTTCCACTGCCCTTTGGCGCCTTTGATGGCGTCCATGCCCTTGTTCTGAATGAGGCCATCGATGAGAGAGAACATTTTCTGCGAGGTCTGCGTGCCGGCCTCGTAGCCTCCCCGTTGACCTTTCTTGAAGCCGAGCTGACCGGCAGTGACAGTGAAGACCGGTTGACCCGGCAGAGAAGGTTTCTCCTGCTGGCTCTGCGTGCTGGACCCTGCAGATGCGATGACACCAGGCGGCGGTGGGGCGACTGCGTAGCTACTGAGAGCGCCCAGAGAGCTGTAAGAGCTTCCGTAGGAATCCTTTGACCATGATCGGCTGTGCTTGTCGCTGACTGAAAAGGTCAGGATGGTGTTGTTGCTCGTCGAGTGCACATGGAGCGTGTAAGGCGCTCTCGCTCTCGAGAGACCCCGTCCGCCAAAGCTGAACGGGTTCAATGAGGGTGTGTTCGGTTGACTGGACGGTTGTAGGTCTCGGCCGGGCTGTGAAGCTCGTCTGGCGGGTGCTGAGGCGGGTTGAGAGGCCAATCGCCTGAAGAGATCAAGATCTATGCCAATGGTTTCCTTTGTTGTCTCTGCAGGCGCTGCTGCTGGGTCTGTAGCAGATCCATCTGCTCTCCGCCGGGCTGTGCTTGCAAAGTGCCGCCGTCCGAGCTGTGTGGCTCGCTGCATAGTCTTCAGTGTGCCGTCGATGCTGTCGCGACACGAACAATCGAAATTGTTGAAGCCCAGAGAAACCATCGCTTCACCCCCCTTTCGCAGACAAGCTCCTCTTCTCAGAAGCTCTATCGCAAGAACAAGCATGCGCTCTCTTCTCGCTGTGTGCACCTTCCTCGCTCTCGGCCTCGTGCGATCAACTCCAACCATGATATCAGAAAGGGGCGACGTGACCGGCGAGCTATCCAAGCGATACGAGACTTACACCAACTATGCTTTGTCCATGATCAGCAGTGTATGATACATATGCAGCTTGGTATCCGATCTACTGACACTTTGAGCAGCGCGGAGTTCGCTTTCGCCTGGCGGATGGCTCATGGGGTCGGCCGAGCCCGCTATTCAGCAAGCTCATCCAAAAGTTCACTGTCATCAAGAAGAAAGACTTCTTCGACGTGTCTGCAAACTACGAGTACACTGTCGACTTTGCTATCCTCTCTGGCGTTTCTGCATCCTTCCAGTCCACGTCACTCGTTCACAAGAGCGAGCAAGTCTCTCACATCATTCTCGACTGGGCCACTCGCATTCAGTTCAGTGGAGCAGCTGGACAGGAGCGAGATGCGATGAGTCCGTTCGAACAGTGCTGTACGGTTGTGTACAATTACGAGCAAGTCTACGCCTCGCTTTGGGGGTTGTCATCGGTCAGCTGATTCTCGAACGCACAGCATTCCGGTTTCATTCGATGGCAAGCAGATGTGTCAGTCGCTTATTCGAGATATCGCTCACAGATGGCTGATGAGGAAGCCAGGGATCCTCTCCTCACCCTACAAGCCAAAGGTGTCAGTCGATTTGGTGTGCGGACGCGACCATGCTCTTGCCTTTCCCTTCACGGCGCAGTGCGAGGACTTCGTGAAAGGTCTAGCCAGCGTGGTCCCGAGCAGCTTGTTCACTGACGTACGGACCAGATTACGAGAGCAAATTCGCATACACAGACATCTTGATCGATCATCATGTCGATCTGCTCGATGGCAACCTCAAGCCTATACCGTCCAGAGGCTGATCACATTGCATTCTCCCTTGTCAGCGCCTACAGTCACGCTTGTGACTCGTCTGACGCGATGAATGTGTGAGATCGCGGCGATCCACAGAATATAAGCATGCAGAGATAGATAGCCAGACAGATGGATAGATTGATAGATAGATAGATAGACCCCCACATTACGAACAACGACCCGACAGGTCATCAAGAACGTGGAGAGTGCGAGCAAGGAATCCCTCATCGCCATGTCGATCACGGCGCCCATTACAGTCGTCTCTCAAGGCTCGGCCCGAATGGGTCTATCGACGCAGACGTTCAACGATAGAGTACCGTCGGCGCGCTTGGACAAGTCGCTCTCGTCGACATCGAGCTGTCCTTTCCAGCTCGAGGTCATCCTCGATCCAAGCCGACGAGGAGGCTATGTGTACTATGCGGGAGAGGATATCACCGGGGTGATCGAAATCTCGCGAAAGCCTGGAATGAGCAGCGGGGGAGGCAGCAACGAATTACCCCGCGCCAGGATTGATCTGCACCAGGCTTGGGAGAGCCGGTGCTTGTTCCATCAGTACGCACTCGCAGAAGGGAAGCAACGATTTGTTGGCACACGGAGTATCAACGTCGTGCCGCGTCACGAATGGCATCGATCCATTTCACGCTCTGTGCTACACGAAGGACCGATCACCTTGCTCGCTCAGAACGATCCTGACGATCAGAGGCAGCAAGTGCCTTTCCATGTAACGCTACCGCATCGGATAAGTAGCGATCAGTGTAATGCCAATAGCGCTTCCTTTCCAGTCGACCGCGTCAAACTACGCGCGACCAGACGGAGCCCGCCACCGACGATGATGAGCGATCAGGCCATCGTGGAAGCCTACCTAGAAGCCGTCTTGCTCCTCGACACGTCTCACACTGACATCGAGATCAGCTCAAAGGATGCCATGGACCTCGAGACGGGCTGGATCAAGCCAAGTCAAAACCGACTTGTCACTCGAAAGCTGTTCAAGACGATGACGAGCGACGACTATGTCGATGACTACGAGGTCGAGGGGATCCCGACGTTCGTGAGAGACGCTACGGCAGACAAGTACGTGCCCGACGGACTGCAGATCGTCGCTTCCAGGTCGGTGCGTGAGAGGCTACGGACGCAGGGCAACTGGCAAGTCTTCAAGCACCGCTCGGAAATCAAGAGCTCAAAGATCTACCGCGACATTGGTGCTCTCACCAGTACGGTCAGTTCAATTGCATCATCTGTCATCCTGGCTGATGGATTCGTACACGTTCTGATAGGTGGCTATTCCGAGTGGGCTCAAACTCGACCGAGGCACCCTGACGATCCCCATACATATTCTACTGGCATACCAAGGCCAAGCGCGCAAAGTCAAGCCGATGCAAGTGCAGAGCGCTGTCGTCAGGCTACTCTGTCGGACGAACAGTCGTGGGGGAGCAGATACAAAGCCGACACAGACGATCGATACCATCAAGGAGCAAGCTTTCCTGCTCAGCACATCCCTCATGCCAGGCGCAGCAACGCATCACGAGATCAGTATCGATCTAGGTGTCCCTCTCGAAGAGCGGCAGCCGGACACGACGCCGAGCTTACTCGCAAAACAGACGCCTACTTTTCGAATGCCGAACATCGAAAGAGATGTGAGTCTGGCGGTAATTCACCGGAGCTCTTGCTGACTTTGCGGACAGTATTTATTGACCGTCTCTGTGAGATGCGAGTATCACACTCATCAAGCGCTTCGGAGACCTATACAGCTCCTCGCAGGTGCGATCAACGATCCGCCAACTTTTGCAGATTCTGTCGACTATCAGCTCCCTTCATCCTCACGGCTGGAAGAGCTGCCCTCATACGAGGTGGTATCTTATGCCAACATTGAACGTTATGTCTTGTCACCCACATAACTTGTTTCTGTATTCACATCCAATGTTTTGACGGTTGACGTTCTTTTGCATTGTTTTAGTACGTTTCTAATTTCTTTGTGAGGCCCGCTTGGCTCTCGTCGAGGGATGTTGATACACGACTCACCACGAGCGGTAGAGGTCGAGTCGGGGGCGTTTTGTTCGAGCACAGAGGAATGATGCGAAGCAGGGTTGAGCCTGCCTGATTTGCCTTTCGAAGGGCTTTTCCGAACGAAAGTCTATTGCTTGAGCTGTCTTGGCTTCTCCCATGGGTATGCGGCTGCGCAGAGCGTCAAAACACACTCTTGTGAGCCGGTAAGAGTCACTCACGGTTGCCGAAATGACCGTAGCAGGCTGTTGGGCCATACTTGACAGTTTGCAGGCCGAGCTCTTTGACGATCACACCCGGTCGGAGATCAAAGTTGGCCTGGATGATCTTGACAATCTCGGCATCGCTCTTCTTGCCGGTACCGTATGTGTCGACAAAGATGGAGAGCGGCTCAGCGACGCCAATGGCGTAAGAGAGTTGGACGAGAACACGTTTGGCTAGACCGGCCGCGATGACTGACTTGGCGATCCAACGACCCGCGTATGCGCCTGATCGATCTACCTTTGACCAATCCTTTCCGGAGAATGCACCACCACCTGTTGCACGGTGCGTGAGTGATGTTCGCAATTTGTACAGAGAGCGCAGCTTACCGTGAGCACCCCAGCCGCCGTAGGAATCGACGATGATCTTACGGCCTGTAAGACCGGCATCACCTTGAGGACCGCCAATGACGAAACGGCCAGATGGCTGGATGTGGTAGACGGTCTTGCTGTCAAGCATGTTGGCAGGAATGACGGCCTGGATGACCTTCTTGTACACCTCGGATCGCAGGTCTTCGGTCGAAATCTCCTCTGCGTGTTGTGTGGAGATGACGATGGTGTCTACACGCTTTGGCGTCACGGAACCGTCCTTTTCCTTTTGATATTCGATTGTGACTTGGGTCTTTGTGTCTGGTCGAAGCCACTTGCAAGTGCCAGTTCGTCGCTCTTCTGCCAGCTTACGGTTGAGTGCGTGCGCGAAAGCGAGCGTCATGGGCATGAGATCAGGCGTCTCGTCGGTCGCGTAGCCGAACATGATACCCTGATCACCTGCACCGTGGTTCTCGAGGTCACCGTGGTCGAGACCTTGTGCAATGTCGGGCGACTGCTGCTCGATGGCGACGAGGACGTTGCAAGTCTTGTAGTCGAAGCCCTTTTCAGAGTCGTCATAGCCAATGTTCTTGATCGTATCGCGGATGATCTTTTGGTAGTCGAGCGGTGACTTTGTCGTCTGCTCGCTCCTTCATCAGCTCTGCGCCTCGTGCAGATTCGCAAGAGAGCGTACAATCTCGCCAAAGACCATGATCATGCCAGTCTTGCAGGCAGTCTCGCAAGCGACCTTTGACCAAGGATCATCTTTCAGGCAAGCATCCAGAATTGCATCCGACACTTGATCGCAAATTTTGTCAGGGTGTCCCTCGCCGACCTGCGCCATTCCAGAGGGTCAGCACATAGCTTGTCAGAGCTGGTCTCGAGTGAGCTTGCCGACTCGGAGGTGAAGAGGAATCTGTACAAGCAACCGTTAGCTCGGGCGCACGTGCGAGTGCATATGCTAAAAGACTTGCCTGCCTTCGCCGAGCGGCTCTGTTGAGCGTGTCTGGTTAAGTGACATCGTATGAGCTGAACCTGAGATGGACCGAGCTATATAGACGCTGGGCAAGTCGGTCAAGGTACGCAACTTTTTTTTGATGCGAAGAGCGCGCAAGGCGTGATTGTGGTGACGTGGCAAGACATGATCAGATGAGACGGCAGTCCCATCATCGTACCACATATTCCTCACTCATAGACACTGACTCAATCTCTGCAATGCACATATCTTATCATGCAGCAAGCTGGTACAATCGCAAGCAATTGCCTGTCAAATCGTACCAAATATGACCATATTGCCAGACCTCGCTGCCTTGCCAACGGTAGCTTCCTCCTCTCTTTAACTTTGTGTCGCTGCCTCGTCGCCTGATAGCAAGCCAAGCCAGTAAAGCTCCTGTGGCTTGCTAGATCCCTCGCCCTGACGTATGCCTGGCCTAAGCCAGAATAAATCCGAGAATTTGCGCAACACGAAACAGGCAGAAGCATACGAGGGATCTGTGTCGCATCTGGCTCAGGGAGGCGAGGTCGCCAAGGCCGCGGTGAGCCGAACGATCGAAGAAGGACAAGCGTCGGCACAGATCGTGCGCACGCCGCAAAACGCAATGGTCGTCAGTGCTCTGGTCTGGCGAGTGACGACTGTTGAACGCAATGTTTAGCGGTAGACGGTACCGGCCCCTCCTGGCGCGATGAATGTACAGGTTATCGACATGGAGGTGTTGCCTACGACGATAGTATGGCTGTTCGAGGCAGATGTTCTAGCCAGGGTATTGCCAAGTCAGTCTGCCTTTCGTCCGTCGAGAGATATTGACAACAAACCTAGACTATGCCGCGGATGATGAGGAGAAGCGGAAGCCGCTGCATTGCGGCTCTGCCATCCACTGGATCGAATTTCGGTACAAAGTTCTCAAAGGCGTCGACTTCATCTGGACGCGAAAATACGATGTGATCTGCGGTTCCGAAACTCCAGCGTGTGCTTTTGTCTGGCCTGAAAAGGGTGGCTCGTCTGACGGCGACGAGAGGCTGTGCTGAATCGAAGCAGCCAAATGGACGTGCCGAGTCTACGCTCGACGCAGGGTAAGCCGAGCAATGACGAACGTGCGCATTGGTGTTTCACAGACGTCTTGTTCTTGTATGCCGCGCTTCTGCTGTGCAACGATTGAGCGAACATGCTCACAGCTTTCTTGTGTGTGCTCGCCGTAGCACTGCGCGTCGTCATAGCTATTCCGCCCAGTGCTCTGCAAGTAGATACGCTCGATATACCACTGCAATATGACTTTGGCTGGCCGGCTCGACGACGGACTTGCGAAGGATCGGGATCGGTTTGGATTCACGACATTCCCACGATCGCAGTCATCAGCGCGGAATTGCTCGTCAGACCCGGTTTTGTCAACCTGACTATTGACCGATGGAACGTCCTGATTGTGAGTCATGACGTTTTCCGAGCAAGCGTCTATGTGAAGCATGGGCTTGTGCAGACTGGCCGATCAAGCCCGCTGGTCAATACACAAGTGCTTCGGCAAACATTCAAGCCGTACAGCGTCAATTACACGCTCGAAACAACGCTCGCGGTCAATGTCATGCCTCGTGGGTCGCTTTCGAGCTCCGTGCATGCGAGACAGCACTGATATACGGTGCCAGAACTGATCGACCTGAAGCAGATGGACTGCTGTCACGCCGAGGGATCGATCGTCTGGTCAATACTGAAGACGGCAGACAATGTTACGCCCTTCCATCGGCACAGTGTGCGTTACCTTGTCTACTGCGGACCGTACCATACGAACTGTGCGAGCGTCTACACGCAGCCGGGTGAGCGCTTCCAGCATCGGAGTATTGACCGATTCTGATGATCTGCCGGGCAGTATCGTGGCAATGTAATGCGTGAAACTTTGCTTGAGCAGATTGGCCAGGCAGCGGGCATTAGCGCTGATGCGAGACCCTCGCTTGTCAAACATTGCATCTTCTGCCTGACTCGGGGCAGTCGTCTGCGAGATGCTAGGTGAACTTGAGACCAGGCCAAGCAAATCAAGTCTGCTGGCCACGAGAGGTTGCCGTATGCTGAATTGTGAGCTTCAGATGAATGATCAGTCACGATGTGCTGAGTAGCGGATGTGTGCACTGTGCGCTGCCGAGAGGATTCAGGATGTCACGACAGGGAGAATCGAGGTTGTCCAAGCCAAGGAGGAAGAGACGCGCTGCTAGCACTGTCGACCCGCCCGTCCTCGCATCCTTGGGTCCGAGAGCATGCAGTCGCAGGCCAAAGGTAAGGCGTGAGCAGCTCTCACATCATCAGCCACACTCTTGCGCACATCCCCGGACCCCGGAAAAGCTAGGCAGAAGCGCAAAAGGGCAAGATAGCTGACTCACGAGCTTGTCCATCTTGTACAGTGCCGCGGTCGTTCGTACTGCTTGCAGAGTTGGAGAAGGGCGAGAAAGGGATTGGAGATGGCTCATGCTCGTACGGACTGGGCGATGGCGAGGGGATGGACATGAAGAAGTGGCAGGGTACGATCATTGGTCCATCACATGTCAGTCCCCTTGCCGCTATTCTGCCCCTCTGTCCAGCTCTGCTTCGAAACATGCCACTGCTTGCCGTGTCAGCTCTGCCTCCCAGTAGCGCAGCAGCGTTGGCTTGCCATCGCGCTTCAAGCCCGATGGCCAGGCTATCTGCTCAGGCCATCCGCATACCTTGCGTACAAGGCATCACACGACTTCACCGGAGAGGTCTAGAGAGGCCAGAGGCTGATCATACAAGCAGAGCGTACACGAGAACAGGATATACAATCTCCTGCTCATCTGTAACGATGACTATCCGGACGCTCCGCCAGAGGTGAGATTCACGACGCGCATCAACCTGCCTTGCGTCAGCCCGACAAACGGCAAGGTTAGCTCTATTGTGCTCGACTATCACAAGGATAACTAAAGCGGATCGTTCTTGACAGGTCGAGCCACGACTGCTCGCTTGTCTTGCGCAATGGCGACGAGGCTTTTCAATCGAGACTGTTCTCGTCGAATTGAGGAGGCAAGTTGGAAGCTCGTTCATCAGATGCAGTCTGGCTGAAAGCGGCGCTGCGGCAGAGAGATGGCATCACAGAATAACAGAAAGCTACCCCAGCCTCCAGAAGGCTCGTCGTTCTAGACAGCGCGCACTCGTCGCGCACCTGTCAGGAAAGAGCGAACATGATCGAGGCAAACGACCAGAGCTCTGCCCGTGCATTCTGTAGACTTGTAGGGTGACATCCTGCTGCCACAATTGAACTGTTTCTCTCGTTGTCTTGCGTGAGTCTGCTCGGCGGTCACGGGCTTACCATCATCCTTCGCCTTTGCTGCAACGCGCCGCGCAACGCAGACGATCGCGACGCCCGAGAATGATGACAATGGCTTGCGAGCGCTTTGGCTTTGTCAAGCGATAGCTGTACTCCCTTGCAGTCTGCTCACGCCAGCTTCAGCAGCACGAGGGCTGTAGAAGGACAGCACAAAGATGGCGTTGACCAATTGCTCCTGCTCGTGCGGCGTCGCTACAGGCGACCAATCACAGCTTGCAGACCTTCCAGGTCGACCAACACGGCGAGAGGACCGCACTCGAGCGCCCTCGCTGTCCAGCAGGAAGGCGATCAGCTGGCTGTGCCTGGGACTCTTGTCTATTTCCGGCTTAGGTGGTGCTCAAGCCAACAGCCTGCTGGCCCGCCCGAACGAGCACGGGCGCTCACTGCCGGCGTCTGAACACCTCGAGAGGTACAGTCATCATGGCCAAGTGAGACAGCCAGCCAGGCGAGAGTATGACACGCATCATTACTATGTCGTCGAACTCGATGCCGCTCACCAACTGGCGTGGCATCCCGATGGACCCGCTCAAATAGCTTCATCACTAGGGGCAGAGCTAGTCGAGCAGCTTGGCGAGCTGCAAGATCACTACCTTGTTCGAAGTGCGAAGCCGCTGTCCCGTCGCGATAATGACGAACACGATGCTGTGCTTGCTCGCTACGCTGCGCTAAAAGAACGCTCAGATCTGATCAAGCGCTCCGACGATCACGGGGCTGCTATACTGTCGCTAGACAAACAGGTCCTGCGTCACCGTGTGAAGCGCTTCATGGAACTCGGTGATCTGTCCAATGAAGTTTTGCCGCGCTCGCCACAATACCCCGGTGCAAAGCAAGACAACAAGCCTGTGCCCAAGTATCTACGCATGCTCGCGGATCGCTTCTCCATTCCAGATCCCTTATGGCCGAAGCAATGGCACCTCGCCAATGACGACATGCGCGAGAACAGCATCAATGTACCGCCAGTCTGGGAGCAAGGTATCAACGGGTCTAACATCGTCGTCGCTATCGTCGATGATGGCCTTGACAGCGAGTTCTTCCTTACGTCAGCAGTACCCACTTGGCTGATATGGTCTACCGCTCGCAGTGCATAGCATGGACTTGGAAGATGCCTTTGCAGCCAAAGGATCGTGGGACTACAATGACCACACCAATTTGCCGGAACCGCGTCTATCTGACGATCAGCATGGTACACGGTGCGCAGGAGAGATTGCTGCTTCCAAGAACGACGTCTGCGGTCTCGGGGTGGCATATGGAGCAAAAGTGGCGGGCATACGGATCCTGTCTGGCCCAATCTCGGATGCCGATGAAGCTGCTGCATTGAATCATGGCTATCAGGTCAACGATATCTACTCGTGCTCCTGGGGGCCGCCAGACGATGGAAGATCGATGGAAGCGCCCAGCAGGCTGATCTACAAAGCCATGCTCAATGGCATCCAGAAGGGTCGGGATGGCAAAGGAAGCGTCTTTGTTTTTGCAAGCGGTAACGGCGGTGCCCTGGACGATCAGTGCAATTTCGATGGTTACACCAATTCAATCTTCTCCATCACCGTTGGCGCAATCGATCGCAAGGGTCATCATCCCTTTTATTCGGAAGCTTGCGCTGCCAACATGGTCGTTACCTACTCGTCCGGCTCAGGCGATAATATACATACGACGGACGTCGGGCGTAACAAGTGCACTGATCACCATGGCGGAACCAGTGCTGCAGCTCCGATCGCCGCCGGCATCTTCGCTCTCGTCCTACAAGTCCGACCCGATCTGACCTGGCGTGATATGCAGTACCTCTGCGTACAGACCGCAGTGCCCGTCAATACGGACGAAGACGACTGGCAGACCACGCAAGCTGGTCGACCGTACAATCATCGGTACGGCTATGGCAAACTCGATGCATATGCCATCGTCGAAGCCGCAAAGAAGCACAAGCTCGTCAAGCCACAGGCATACTGGTCTTCGCCCGACCGGGAGAGCGCACTGTCACTGTCCAAAGCCGGCGTATCGACAGAGATCGATGTAACGCGGGAGATCCTCAAGAATGCCAACTTTGGCCAGCTCGAGCATGTCACTGTCATTGTCAATATCACCCATTCGAAGCGAGGTGACGTCGAAGTGATATTGGAGAGTCCACATGGCACGCAAAGCATTCTAGCCCGGACGAGACGCTACGACTCTGCTAGCACTGGCTTCCCGAGATGGAAGTTCATGAGCGTCAAGCATTGGTCAGTCGCTTGTCTCAAGGTGTATATACCCACTAAGCCTATGTGCGACAGGGGCGAGAGTCCGCTCGGCAAGTGGAAGCTGACCGTGAAGGATCAAGGCGACTCGCAGCAAAATGGCACATTCTATGCCTGGCAGCTGGATCTCTGGGGCGAGAGCGAAGATGCCTCACTCGCGAGGCCATTCAAGATGGCAGACGATGCTCAAGTCATACTACCCAAGCCTGGCTCGCTTGCAGATCTCAACATGACCGACCCAGACGCACAGGACAAATCCAATGATGACTTACTTGAGCTTCAGCCCGGGCAGACCGATGCTACCAAAACGATACCTAAACCGACGGAGCATCTTCCGTCGAATCACTCCCAAGCGAACCTCGATAAGCCTGCACAGACGGAGAAGCCAATCAGCGACATAGAGGAACCTCATGCTGACGACAAGCCGCCTAGCACTGAGTACCTGGACGATGACAGCGAAGACGATGGCTATCTCGGTAGCATGTCGTCCATGCTGGCCAACCAGCGCGGCTTCTTCGCAACAGTTGCAGGCGTCGTTCTCACTGCAGGCTGTGTCGGTGCTTTCCTCGTCATACGACGCAATCGATTACGAAGACGAGAAGCGATCAACCGACGTGGTTACTTCTTCGAATCTGTGCCTGCCGCAGACGACGAGATGGGTCTCAAGCGAGGCGCTGGCGATGCTTCTCTTGGCGGTAGAACGCGCGATCTCTACGACGCTTTCCAAGTGGGCGACTCGGACAGCGATGACGAAGAAGGGTTCCGTCAGTCAGAGTCATCCAGATTAGTTGGACGGAGTCTCGATCGGCAGCGACAATCGCTCGGTGAGCCACCTGCTCGACAGTCTGCACAGCTCGCAAGTGCAGATTCGAAAGCTGTATAGCCTCCATGCATTCGATGTTGTAGCTCTTCTTCAACCGTCACGCGAGTAATTGACGCGAAGCGCGTCACTCGACCGCCTCGTCGGTACTGATTTTGGTCGATGAGCAGATGAGCAGGGATGTCGCACATGGCTGCCTCTGGGCCGGCGAGTAAGTCCAGAGGTAAAAAGACTGCAAGCCAGCATATCGAAGGCCGCTCGCCTTACCAAAGTGCACGCAATTATGCTGCACGAGCAGGCGAGTGCGACTGCCTCCATCTTACCTGGGCACGAGCTCAAACCTACCGTCATATGACAGCAGAGGATCTTCGATTTAAGAAGCGTGCAAAAACGGCTCATGTCGTCGATTCAGCCCCACTGCGCACGTTTGAAGACGAGAATGAAGCGACCAAAGCATCCTTGCAATCGAAGCGTGGAGCCTCGAGTGCACAATACTGCTCCTCTGTAGTTGTTCCTTCTTCGAGTGCTCGCACACGCAACAACATATTCAGCAAGCGAAGCCTAAAAGATTCGTCAGACGAGGAGCTGCCAGACCTCCCAGCCCTTGGGGAAACGCGCGCAAAAGCAGAGCAAGCGGCGCTCGACGAGGAATTGGCAGATGAGCTTGCAGCGCTCCCTCCTTATCGAGGATCAAGTATATCGCCTCCGCCCGCTTTGCCTCCGCCTCTTTTACGACCACGTCCAACAGGCTCGCCTAAGGAGTCAAAGCGCCGGCGGATTTCGCCGCCGCTCGTTGCGCACACAATAAGCGAGGCTCCTCAACGGCCAGATGTGGCGCTTAAGAATCTCAGCGGCGCCAGATCAAGATCAGTGTCGTCTGTGCCTACGTCCAGCGGCTCCGCAGTCCAAAAGCGATCTCGCGGTCAACCGATCCCTGTGCCAGGAGGAGAATACTCACAGCCAAAGCGAAGGTCCCCGCCGGAAGTACGGAAGAAGAAGCCCCTAGCGCCCCGTATCGATTCGTCGAGCGGATCTGAGTCTGACAAGCGCTTTCGCAATGCACCAGCCTCTGCATCGCAGCCAATTACGACCAGGGGCAACCCCATTGCTGATACGACGTTAGGCCAGCCCGTCATGTCAATTGCTCGATCAGGCTATAAGATTCCAAAGAAGAATACAAATGGTACTTCTGCACAAAGCAGCGCCAGGCCGTTTCATCTTACCCCACGAACGCAAGCACCTCCCGCACCTCAAGTGACCTCGCCAGAGCCCGAGGACGATATGGATCTAGCACCACCTGAGGAGACTCAGCGCGACAGAAATTGGTTTGCAAAACGACTCGAACAGATCCAACGAGACGTCGAGACGCGGATTGAGGAAGCCGTACGGCTGAAAAGGAAGGAGACCTTGGCCGAAATCGAAGCAGAGGATCAGGCCGAGGCGGAGGAAAGAGCGGCAGACGTGGCTGCTGCTGCTGCTGCTGCGCGATCGCCGTCTCATACGGATATCTCGTTAGAGATTGACCCATATGGACTCGATCGTATCGAGCGAGAGGCTGCCCATAGAAAAGCAGGAATCGCCCGCAAGGCCTTAGAGCCTCTAGTTGACGATGCCGACGACTTTGGTAGGCACGACTGTCAGAACACTGAGCGTGGCACTGACTTAAGTGCTCGCAGAACCCGGCAAGCGGTATTGCCCCTTCTGCGACAAAGAGATAATGCAGACGATGAGTGAGGATGCAGAGAAGATGCTTGCGCGGATGCTACGGCGACGCGATGCTACGAAGCGCTTGGGAACAGCAAATCCGAATCCTGTCAACATACCGCCAAGAATCTCTGGCGAATTCTGCTACGTGCATTTCAAAGAGTCGATCACCATTCCAAAGGGCCAAGCAGCTGGCTATCCCAGTCCGGAGCATTTCGATTGGAACAACTTTGAGAAGTTCGTCTCAGAAATGCTCACTGCGCTGTCATCTGACGGACGAGTACAGGCGGGTCGCGAAAACGCACAAGAAGCTGATACTCGCTCTCATAGATGGTACGCAGCAATCCGACTTCAAGGACGCAGCAGTACATGAATATGTAACGAGGAAACGGCGGCTAGATCCGTTCGCTAGCTTTGAGACCGAGATACCTGGCTAGTGAGCTCTGCTTCGCTATCTCGATGCCAGCTACTGATGCCGTATAGCTATGGCACGCGTGGCTACGAAGGCATCTACAAGGCCATCCAGCTCAACTTTACAATGAAGGGCAGATTGAGAAGAGAGCAAGTCGAGCCGATCGACCCGACGACATTCATGCGACGTGTTCTCATCCCAGAGGTCGGCATGGCACTTATCAGGGAAGATCTTGCCTGCTCGCGGGAGGAGTCGCTCAGGATCTTAGAAGAATCGAGAGATTACGGCATGGCAATCAATGTCAATGTAGCTCCGCGCGAGGAGGGCGCACCGTCAGACTGGGACTACTCAGATGACGAACCATAGAGATCGTTACAATCGCACTGTGCTTATGTTTTACAACATGTACATGCCTTACAAAACATGTAATGAAGCCGCTCAGGCTGACTGGGAGCAAGATACGACTGGCAGATTAGCTTGTGTTATGCCTGTCACAGTATTCGAGAAAGGTGGCGTGAGACCGCTCATAGAATATGCATGCTTGACGAGCGTGATTAGGCGGGTTTGCATGTCTTTCGTTTGACCTGGAAATGTCAAAGTAAAGCCATCGTTATGTTCGACGTAATGACAGCAATCGTTGTCTCGACCGAATAGCGACCAGTACAGACCACCGGTGGCGTCAGACTGCTCGAGAGCATTGGTGAAGCTCGTCACAGAGTTAGGCCGAAAGGCGATGACGATGCCGACGCCAATGGGGATAGTAAGCAACCAGAGTAAAGCGAGATGCCAACGATGGACGAGCACTTCACGCTGACTTGTTTCGCTTTGTCGCGCTGCTAAGGTATCCATGAGCTCTATAGGCTGTGTATCGTCCAGCGAGAGATCAAGCTTGCTTTGCGATGGCGTGGAGAGGTTGAGGTACTCGCCCTGCACTGGCTTACTCGGATTGAGTAGACTCTTCCGCCTGGCGCGCTTCCCACAGGCAATGCGCTTTGGGAACCATCGTGCTGGTAATACAAGCGTGGTGGCTGCCAATACAACCGGCACCAAAATGAACAGATACGGTAGTGTGTCGTTCTTGCCATTCCATTCGTATTCGCCTGCGATGTAGGCTTTCTTTGCGCTTGTCGTAAGAGACAGATCGGAGTGCAATCGTTTGTTCATAGTGGGATAAAAGTGGTTGCTATGGATATCGACGGTAGGGATCCGGAGAGCGTCTTTCTGCACGCCGTAGCTGCCATCAATGACGAGCGTGCTAGGCGCAAGGAGCTTGATATGCTGCGAAATTTGAGACGTCCAGTCGGCATTGCCTCGCAGTTCGTTGCCTGTCTCGAACGCAAGCACAGTAGGATCGATGGCCATCGTGAGGTTGGTATAGGTGCTCTTGTGATTGAGCAGATAGGTTATATAGTCTTTAAAGTCGGTGAAGACGAGCGAGCTAGTATCGAAAAAAGCAGACGTCTTGCTGCTCGGGAGGTTGCGCCATCGCAAAAAGGTCGGTAGGCCACCATGATAGTAGTCATATTGGTCTATGAGTGGTATGATGACCTTGAGGCCATATTGTCGAGCGGCATAAAGAGCAAAATCGATGCTGTCCATTGCACTTGCAGAGAAATTGCCGAGGCTGGGCTCAACAGAGAGCGGGTTGCCCACGCTGACACCTAGCGTCGTTGATCTGATGGTCGTAGCTCCCATCGTCGCGGCTGTGGCGATGACTTCGAGTACACGCGCGTGCGTTGGGTATGACGGCGAGGGCTGCACATTCTCGTCGAGGCCGAGCTATCGCCTTGCTCAGCGTGACTTACTCTCGAGCGACTTGACCTTACCCAGTAGATGTTTGGACCTGCGACACGAAACCGATTGCCGTTGAGAAAGAGCTGGCTGTGATTGCGGACAATGAATGAATCGCGAGAGGAGACGAGATAAGGTCTTTGCAGGTCACTTGGCGAGCCGATCACTGATCTCCCTATGGCGGAGATCGCTGCGCAGCCGGCCGAGGGATTGAACACTGCCATGCTCGCCCCGGCCTTGCTGCCAAGTCGAAATGCGGAGCTGCGGGGGGGAGGGGCGGCAATATCGATGACGCGCCTGCTCGAGCGCTCGCTCGGTATGATGGCCACCTTGGCTCAGCTTCAGTCGAATGCTTGATCGGCATGGCAGCCAGTAGTAGCGGCAGGAGATCCACAGGGGACTCGGGCAAGCTTCATCGTCCTCACTGGGAAAGCATGATCTGATGGCAGTAAGGTGACTGCAGCTGCGCACGCTGGACTGTTCAGGCCATTGCTCGGTCCGGCAGACAGCAATCCTGCTCGGTCGGGCTCAGGAACCGCTCGCATGATCTCAACCGTTCTCCTTGGAGCACCTCCGTTCACTTCGTCGACAAAGTCTAGCAACAAACGTCGTAATCCCTCTCGTCAACGCGCGGCTTCAACTGACCGGACGCTCCCGAGCAAGCCCAACGGCCGAGAGATCAAGGACGATTTTGAAAGGCGCATCTTTGATGATGCAGCTGCTCGGCCTTCTCTCAGGCGGCAAAACGCAGTTCCGTCTCATCGTGTTGCGCGTGACAGTGATGACACTGAGCTGGAAGAGCCGCCGAGTCCATCGCTCTTGCCGGGCGGCTACACTTGGTCAGTAGGAAGATCACAGGAGCAGAATGGCAAGCAATCCGAGCAGTACCATGCAGCGCTCAGGCTGCCTCCGCCATTGCTCGACGATGCCAGCACACCGGAAAGCTTTGAGGGTATCTTCGTCTCAGGCCAATCAGGCGTATACTGAAACCTTCGCAGGGCTGCTGGGCATACGTCGTGATAGAGAGACACAACGTAGCCTGGCTAGACAGCAACGATTACAGGCTCGCGATCGGCCGCCGCCCAAGAACTTCTCAGAGTCACTCCTCGGCGCAGCTAGCAAGCTGTACTATACCCTCGCGCCCCCCACACTACCCCCTGCTCGTCCAGTCGCGAGACGTGCGCCAAGCTCGCATTTTGTGGCCTCGCCCACAGCTCTCGATGATGATATACCCCTATTAGACGAAGAGGAACAAGAAGCGAGCAATCGCAATTTGGTCAAAATGGACCGCCGTCGCGAACGATCAGAGCTTTCTCTGAAGGGCTATGAAGCGACAGGCAAACTTGCTACACGTGTAGCAACGCGACTGCGGCGTGAAGCCTCAAGCAGACGCTCAAAAGCTGTTGCAGAAAGCAAAGGCTTGCATTTGTCGCTTGACAGGGCGGACAGCCTTGTCGTCTCTGAATCAACGAGAACAGATCAGCGTACTCTTCCACCGCGAACGTTGACGCCAAGCGCTCTGTTTGCACCACATACTCGCAGTCAAAGCGAGACGAAACCCACAGATGTGGAAAGCGAAATGCCCCTGAGTGTACCACGGGCGCCCCGCTTAGTAGCATTAGAGTCTGACATCCTGCCATCGCCCTTTCCCTTCGAGCCAAGCATACCTGCGCCAAACAAGCTGCAGCGACCTGCACAAGAGAACGACTACTTTGCAACAAGCCACAAGCAAACGCACCAGTCTCATCTGTCTTTACTGCATGCTCTACGCAGCATGATAGAGTACATTCGATCCAAGTCGGACGCACTGACTTGGCTGTTGATTGGCGATTTCCAAGAAGGTGCCCAGGTTGAAGAAGTCGGCGGTCTCATCGGTGCAATCTACCTCCTAGCTGGCTTCGTCTATTTTGTGCTCGTCCACCTTGTTGCACTCCTTTATTCTACAGCACAAGTCTTACGAACGGCATCGCTATTTGTATACTGGATCTTTGTCAACCTGACGGGCAAGACGGATCTATCTCGCGTCGTTATGCGATACTATCGATCTTGCAGGGCCGAATGGGACTCGGTCGCATCGCAGGATCACGAGACACTCAGCTTGTGGGCCGTCATACTTGGCTTGGCGGAGATGGCGGCCGTGCATGCTGTCACACGCGACCGCTATCTTCTCGAGGGACCTGGTCAGCTCGAGCGATTGTCTCCTGCAAGCCTGTCGGGGCCGAGCAATGCTACAGCTCACTCTTCGCCCCGCATGTCGCGTCGCCAGAAGCGGAAATCCGTGTCAGCAGAAGGCGAGCAACTGATTGTGACCAAGGACGAAAACAACATTCTCGAAGGCACACTGTTCTCACCTCGAGCAGATACTACGCAAGAGGAACGATTTGCCTATCTGGGCGGCATCTTGCAGTCGCCCGCTCTGGAACCAATGAAGCCTCGCAAGAGCCTCGACGCGAAGCAAGATAGCGATGACTTTATGCGACGGCTCAAACGTCATTGTCGGTTTTCGACTGCATCATACGGCCTTCACAGCTACATCTTGCATCCGCCCACGCCATTATTCACCCCGTCTGGAGCAACCCTGCCGCATACGATCTTTTCGTCTCTTAGCAAGATAAGTGACAAGGCTTCTGTGTTGCATGTCGCAATCCAGAAAGAATACTCGGGCGCCTGGGGAGCCGATGAAGGCTCGGACACCGAATCGGAATGGGAGCCTAGTTTTTACCTCATCAGAGATCACGACAACCGCGAGATTATCGTCACATTTCGCGGCACTCAATCACTCCATGACATCGTCACAGATCTAACAGCGGATGACGAGACCCTGATGCTGGACAACCTAGAAGGCGATGGTCAGACAAGCTATCGCATCCATTCCGGTATTCTGAAAGCTGCGCGAAGGCTGATCGATGCTGACCGCTCGCCACTGTATGCCACGCTGAAAACTGCCCTGCAAGATAATCCGGACTATGCGCTCGCTCTGACGGGCCATAGTCTCGGCGGTGCCGTTGCATCCGCAGTCGCGATACTGTTGGCGCAATATGAGCCAAGCGCCCAAGATGCTGGCTCTGGGCGTTGGCGACTATCAGCCAAATGCGATCTGCCTGGACCTCGCGATGTGTATGCCTATTGCTACGCTCATCCTACGACATTAGATGCAGCTCTGTGCGACTATTGCGCCGCAGGCACACAGCCACTGGTCTACTCAGTATGTCTTGCAGCCGACATCATTCCACGCATCGGTCCCTCGCAGATGCGTGAAACGCGTCGCATACTCGGTCGACTTGCTCGCCTGCGTCGTGGCGTTATGCCAAAGACGAAGCACGCACTCTTCGAGACGGAGGAATCCCAGCAGCACGCTTCTTGGTCCATCTTGCGGCTCTGGTGGCGATGGCGTCGTCTCGGTGGCGGGGTCGTGCTTGCCGAGGGCCAAGAGCTGCCGGAAGAGGCTGCACAATTGGCAGAGCACGCCTGGTCAATCCGGAACGGACTGGATATGGCTTTGGACGATTCGACGACGCGTGACGAGCCTGCAATGATGCGTCCACCTGGCAAAGTCTACCATGTCGATAGACTGCCTGTTGCAGAAGAAGCACGAGCCCGTCTGGAAGCCAGATCTACGGCGTCACCAAACGATGAGGAAGAAGAGGAGCGATGGACGATCTATCGGGTGACAAAGCCGTCGTCCTTCTTTGCCTACCCTTGGCTCGAGTTGGACGCCGTTCGAGCTCACTTGCCGCAAGTCTATCTAGACAGCATAGAAGCGCTGTAATGTTCTACTCATCGCATGCATCGTACAACATCTTGGCACAGGAACTAGCTAAAGCCGATGAGATTCGGTCTTGCACGTCGATTGAGTTGTAGGACCTTTCGACTGACGAGGTGATAGATCTGACGATGACATTGATCATCGGCTACGCCTTTTGTGCGGCCATATTCGCATATGAGCGATTTCACAGCGGGCTCTTCGAACCAAGCGTGCTTCTTTGCAGTCGCGGGGTTCTCGATTAACTTGGCAGGGGGCGAGCTGCTCGAATCGCCAAGTGACGATAGCAGCAGTCGAAGTAATTCTGCTTGAATCATCACATTGGCAGGCGCTGTCGCTGTTGGCTCGCCGCCGGCGATGTGGGCGAGCAGCGGTCTGTCAACCTAATCAGCTGGCTTATTGGAGCTTTGAGCAGCGCCGCACAAAGTAGTTCGCAAGTTGCGCTTAGTGTCCGCATCTTCTAGGCTAGGCCCAGCTGCTGATCTCAGTACGTCGCCCAAAGCAGTCCATATCGTGTTCTGGTGCGCACGTCAGCAGACTGCGCGCGATAGATTGGCAGTGCGAACAAGGATAGCCTGTATGTCTGCATCGGGTATGAACGACTTTCTGCCAGGACTAGCGGGAATCTGTGCTCGCGCTGGGCTCTTGCGAACGGGCGAAGTAGGCAGAGAAGGCGCTTTGGCTGGACTGGCAGCAGTAGGCGTGGCTGGCTTTGCGGCGGTTGTAGCTGCCGCAGGTCTGACCGGCGAGTCTGGAGCAATTGGAGAGGCCTGCAGAGAATTGTCAGCGGTAGCCACTCTGCCTACGCGGTAGACGGACGAGCTCCTTGGCTGGTACGGGACGGATGGCACGCGGTGGGCGCGCCGGGCTCTTTGGAGGAACGACCGGCGACATTTGTTTCGCTCGCGCCTGCAGACCTCCCATGTGGATAAGATGCGAGCAGGCCTCTTGCACAGAGGACTGACCTGCCGCTGCTTGGTCGTGATGGCGTCTTTGAGCGTCATGATCTCAGTCTCTACCTTCAAGACGCTCGCTTCGAGTACGAGATGATCCGCGGGGATCTTGGATGTCGTAGCTCGAGGCTGAGCCAGCTCTGCTTCTAGCTTATTGATCGTGTTGGCCAGGGCATTATACTGCGTGCATAGCTCGTTCAATCGCAGCGTCGCGCTCGGCAAGGGATATAGGCTGAGCAGCGTCGCCGCGGCCTGCAAAAACACCTCAGGCTGGTCATCCCTTGCTTCTATTGGCGGTATCTTTGGTGCCGCTTTGATGCTCTGGGCTGTTCGAGCAAAGAGAGATCGCTCGTGCGGCAGAGCTTCGCGTAAGAGGACATGCTCGAACTCTGAGCTTGGTAATGCAAGGGCTTGATCGAAGGAGCCTGTCTGCCTGAAGTGGAGCTGTCCGATGCGCTGACTGCCACGCGCGAGCTCTGTCAGCGTCTCTATCATCCTCCGCGGCGAGTGTGACACCGACTGGGCGCTGGGCGACGCTCGACGCGACGGCTCTTTCCGACTGTCCTCCCCCCGTCGATCGATGACTTTGCGCGACTATCTCCATCATCACGGCCTCCTGAACTCGCAACACGATCTCATGAGTCCCTTGCGAGACTACGAACAAGCTGCGACTAGCCCGCCCACCGTCGGAGACACTTTTCTCTCGGCAGGTCAGGAGAGATGGGAGATGACCCGTACAGAGGCCATCAGCGCGACAAAGCAAGCCCAGCACACTCTTGCTGCACTGAACGAGTCAGTAGAGAATAGAAAATATGCTCTACCGCGTGCAGAAGGTTTCATCGAAGCGCCACTAGATCGCCTCTTCGTTTCCACGCCTACGACCGCATTCACCATCCCCGCCTTCGACGCAAGCCCAACTTCGAGCAGTCAAGGGATACATAAGCCCTTGCTAAGGGAGCCCGAGGAGATTCTGGGCATCAAGTGGCAAATAACGCAAGGTCAGCTCGAGCGGTTGCGACGCCTTGCCAGACCCATTCGTGCACAAACGCTCGAAGAAGCGAACGGGCAACCACTATCGGACGCTGATGAGTATGAGTTGGCTTCGCTTTTCGAGCGCCGAAGTGAACGGTCTTTGCTCACGCTGGAGAGCAAGGCGCGCATGAAGTTGACAGACATCAGCGGGTTATCATCCTCGCCCCTCGCAACTTCGCCGGCGACAGCAATGGGCAAGGAAGATATGGAAGATCTAGTGAGGACGCTACACGAGGATCTAGGTGTTGCAACATGAGCTCTCCAATGCAGTACAACAGCTCGCATACGCTGCAATACAACTCATTGAGCCTTCTCGTTGATCCGCTCGTTTTGCTTAAAGTCTGCTACGGCGAGTCTGACGCCTTCTTGTAGTGATACGATGGGCTCGTAGCCTAGCACACGGCGTGCCTTTTCGATGTTGTAGTACTTATCGTTGAGGCAGAGGGCGACCTTGAAGCGGCTGAACTTGGACACTCTGCCGGTGAGCCTGCCGAAAAGCTCTGCGCCCGCGCCCAGATACCACGCGAGCCACTGCGGTAGGGAGATGATGCTCGAAGGAACGTGACCATTATACTCGTGCCAGACGTAGCGACCGAGGTCCCAGAAGTAGGTTGGCTCGCCATTGGTGATGTTGAATGCCTCACCCGCGACACGATACGTCTCTTGGGCTTCCTCGACGCTGTCCGCCCCGAAGTACTGGTCGAATCGATTTCTGCGCGCGTCGAGGGGTGCATCGATCCCCTCGTCAGAGAGATCTGTGCTCTGCTCCAGAGCAGCAGCTTGTCGCCGCGTTAACCGTCTGGCATCGAGCTCGGCAGCGAGCGCGCGCTTCTTCGTGGTGGGTATATCTCTTCTCGGAATCGTCGATTCGACTGGTCCGAGACGATGAGTGAAGACATCTGCGGTCACGCCTGCCGATTTGGGATCGTCAAATTCTTGCAAGAGCTTCTCGGCCGCAAGGAAATGGGCGTGACAGACGTTGTCGACATACGTCCAATCGAACAGATTGACGTTGTTGCCGATCTGCAAGCGGGTCTGGCCAGCTTTGAGAACATCGATGAAGCCCGGTATCATCTGCCTATCGCCTGGCCTGTCACGAGGGCCACGCACGGTGAGCGACCCGCGTTGATGAGGAGTGGGCAGCGCACCCAAAGATGCCAGAGGGTCGGAGTGCGCACGTGAGGAAGTGGCCAGGTGTGTTGGCATCGAGGACGATGAGCTCGCCTCTTGCCTGCCAATGCAGTCTCGTGAGCGCGACTCGGCAGGCTGCGTACGCTCAGGTCTACCTTGGTCTCGCTATAAGGATCGAGCGTCTTGAGAGGCAGGGGCAGTCGTTCGTCGATGTTGGTAAGATGATGGCCGTCATAGACGACGCTCGAGCTGGAAGTGTAGATGAGGCACTTGACGCCCGTGGCCTTGCAGGCTGCCACGACCGTCTGGGTGCCCGTCACATTGATCTTTTCCGAGATCTCTCTTGGTGAGCCTGTACGAACAAGCGCACTCAGTCGTGTGCAGACTGGGACCAACCCTGTCCGCTGACCTATGTGGGGTGAAGCAGTGTGGATGACGACAGTGGCAGCACTTTGTCTGAAGGCGGCAGTGAGCGCTTCGAGATCCGTGAGATCAGCTCGATAGAACGTCCAGTGCGCTCTGCCTGCGTGGTTCTTGGGCGAGTGCCGGCGTTGGACAATGTCGAGTGAGCCAATGGCGGAGGAGGGGTACCGTGCGAGGAGCATCTCGACCATGCGGCCGCCCAGGAAGCCTGTCATGCCGTCAGCGGCAGTCCAGATGGTCAGCGTGGGGTCTGCTCACCTTCGCCGCCGATGACGAGGTAGGACTCTGATGCCATTCTGCTGGCCTCTGGCTTGTCAAAGTCGGCCGAGAGGGTCGGCAGGAGGAGGAGGGAGCGACGCGGCGGCAAGCAAGCCTGTCAGGCTGCAACGTCCTCCTCGACCTCGATCGTCAGCACTGTCTCTTCTTCGAGATGGCCGCAGCCGGCATCCTGTTTGATGATCTCTTCACCATCAGAGAGCTCGACAAGGGCGGTCCCAAGTTCGACAGAGGCGAGCACTCTCGTCATCTGTGGCAGCAAAGCTCACCCCAAAGCACGATGGAGCAGTCTCTCGCCTCGAAGCACACAGCGACAATCATGACATGAACGTCACTCTGGACGTGCGTCAGGCCTCTACTGATCCGCAAAGAGCACTCAGGCCGAGCCCGCGCTGGCACAGTTCCACAACGAGCTCTTTCCGATACAAGACAAAGAAAAGTTCTCACTTGCCCTTGCGAGCGATCTCAACGTCGACCCGACCGGCCAGAAAGACGCACTCGACTTGTCCAGGCTACCGTCAGGCACACTTGCGGATGAATGGGAATACGTCATGTACGGCAAAGTACGTCGCGCTCTGCTGGATCAGACACACCCCCCTCAAGACTGTTTGCTAGGTCTACAAGTTTGACGAGGGAACGCAAGAGAAAGTGTGAGCTTGCTTCCGAGCCATTGACCTGGTGTTCATGCTAAGAGACTCGTTGATGCGACAGAAAGGTCTACATCAGCTTTGGCGGACTGCTCATGTGTCTCGAGGGGAACTATCGACACATCTCCCAGATCACCGTAGGCTCAGAGATCTATTCTCTGATGCGCAAGTCTTGACAATGCCTCCTCGCGCATCGCCCGTCGGGACTTGTTGTACCATCAGCCCACAAAAAGAAGCTGCAAGCGCTGTCGGCTTCCTACGTACCCACTGTGACGCGCACGGGCCACCAAAACGCGTCGAAGGGGCTCGAGCCCTCCGTGCCTTGATCGCTTCCTATGAAATGGCTCGGCGAGAGCGTGCTGACTTTTTGCTGGCAGCTTAGCTTGATAACAGGTGCACAATGGATCCTCGACGGGTGCTGCTGGCACTAGCAGTCTTGATCTCTACTGTCACTGGTCAGTCTGATGGTAGAGCTCGCAAGGGTCAAGCTAAGGCCAGATGATCCGCAGGTCAGCTCACGCTTTCCAGTGACACACGAACGGTCTCGACGCCCACACCGACGAGCACGTCCGCCGGAGCCGTGACGACGAACGCGACGATCGCAACTCCGTCTATCTCGTCAAGTACGAATGCGACCATGACGATCATCAATGGTACGACAGTCGCTCTGCCCATCCCCTCGAGCAACGCGACTCGCTCAAACGTCACCTCGATCCAATCGACCGTGCCGGCGCCCACAGCCAGCCTTCCGAGCACGTCAGACTCGTCAACGAGCGTATACGCCCCCGCTGGTGATGGACACGGTAGCTCGTCTGGCGCAGGCCCCGGTGATGCGTATATAGCAGCCTCGGCCCGTTTGGCTCTGCCCGCGTCGTCGATCTCCATGCTCTGTCTCGGCGCTGGCTTGTACCTCATCGGACGATGATGCAGCAAAATATGTGACACGCGACGCTCGACTTTGGCCTGCTTGAGATCCGATCGACCGTTTGGCAGCTTCAGACCAGGCGTATCAATTGACCACTGATCAGACAGGAACTACTATCGTGACCATTGGCCCCTGGACGTCACCGCAACAGCCTACGGTTGCCTCGTCTGCTCAGATTTTCGCTCGGCATTCTGTGTCGAGATGTTTGCAGCCCTTTTCCTCTGCTTTGTGCTCCAAGCCACATGTGCGCCTACTCTGCCCTCGCTTGCTGACTCTCGACCTGCTTCTCGAGCCATGTCAACCTATGAGGAGAATGTCGCCTCGAGCACGAACAACGCAGCCGCCAGATCGCTCGAAAAGAGGCTTTGGGAGCGTCTGGAAGACTATGCGATCAGCGTGACCCTCGTCGTACAGGCTTCCATAATGTCTCTTGAATGGGATCAACTGATTCGATCACCGCAGAAAGGCGTACGATTCCAATCGTCTACCGGCGAATGGACAGCGCCTCATCCGCTCATGACCAAATTCGTCCAGCAATTCACCGTTCTCAAATGGTGGAACATCGAGGATCTGTACACTTCTATAGCGCCACAGTGTATCTTTGACTTTGCTACGATCGACGGTGCCTCCGCCAGTGCACAGCTTGAGCTCGTCTTCGTCGGCGTGCATTATTGGCGAATCCAGCTGGCCTGGCGCGGCTTCGTTGGCCTAGAAGGATCACCAGGCGCAGAGCGACAGACGGCTTTCCTGTTCCAGCAGTGTTGCGATGTCGAATACCAGACCACGTACGAGCCCGCTCACGCTCTGCACAAGGTCAGCTGAAGGCGTGCACAGGCTGTACATGAGCTTTGTGGACGATCCGGCCTCCATCAAATACCAGAACATCGGCACACAAGCAACGCTTGTCTGCGAGCCAGAACACGGCGTTGTCTCTCCGCCGACGCCAGAATGTGAAGAACTCTACCAAAGTGGGTGACTCGAAGTAAGGGACGACATGCGCTGAATGGAGCGCAACAGCGGGTCACTCACGATATAAGTATGAGACTGCGCAGAGTTTCCATGTCGAGCTTCTGGATGGCACTCTCCGCCCGATATCTCAGGCTCACTCGATTTGACGTCAGCCTCTCGATAAAGAAATGCATTAGTGGTTCAAGAGCCTTGCAGCGGATCACATAAAGTGCAAAGCACTCTGTCCATCGCTCGAGTCTCTTCAAATTCAATGCTCATCAAGGATCAGCAGTCATAAGTAGCGATCAAACAGGGAACATCTCACCGCTATCGTGACCATGCATATGCCATCGACCCCTGAAACCCTCAACGCCACCGCAAAGCAGTCTTGCCCAACTCGCTCGAGTTGATCGCACAGTATCGCTATGCGTCTAGCGCTCCACTTCCTCTTCGGGGTACTTGCCACTTTTGCTACAAGCGCGCCTACCGGATCCGCCTACTCACAGCTCGACTCTCAAGCCTTGTCAAATCCAGCGGAAACCTTGACTTCAAACATCGACGATGCGGCAACTGGATCGATGCACAAGAGATACTTTGATCGTGTAGAAGACTACGCTGTCAGTATAACGTTTGCTGTACGCTCTCTCCTGACGACCGCGTTTGCGATCGACTGATCTGTGCGCTGCAGAAAGGCGTAAAATTTCAATCAACTACTGGCGAATGGACATCACCCCATCCGCTCACGACCAAATTCGTCCAGCGATTCACTGTCCACAAAAGCTGGACTTTTCAGGCGATCTACTTCGAACAAGCGCCTACATGTACCTTTGACTTTGCTCCCAAGGACGGCGCGTCTGCAGAAGCACAATTCGGGCTCGCACCGCCCTACGGACTCCCATACTGGACGATTGAGCTGTCATGGCACGACTTCATCAGCCTGGATGGAACCTCTGGCCAAGAACGCGAGACGCTCTACCTGTTCCAACAGTGTTGCGATGTCAAGTATACCACTACGTGCGAGCACCTCTGGAAGCCATGCGAGTCCGGCTGACGAGACCCAGGCTGTTTTTCAACTTTATGATTGACGTGGCAACCATGTACAAGCACAGCATCAGAGAAGCAAAGCTCATCTGCGAGCCAGAGCACGGCGTCATCAATCCGCCAACGCCAGAGTGCGAAGAACTCTACAACAGTGAGTGACTCAGGTCAGAGAAGTTCTGCACTGAGCAAAAAACGACAGCGGCTCGTGCGCGATACGACTATGAACCATCGCAGAGCTTTCATGCCGAACTCCTTGATGGCGATCTCCGTCCAACTTCATGAGCCTGCTCACGAAAAGTCAAATGCAATCCTCCAATGAGAAATGCACTTCGGTGGATCAATAGCCTCAATCATGTCGGCTTATGATGCAGCAAAATCCATGGCATGCGACCTACATGTCCAAGCGCTCGAGTCTGCAGTCTGCTAGTTCGAGCCTCAGCAGGCCGAACGATCGATTGCTGGTCAGGCAGGGGTGTCCGCACTGCACGCGCACATGACTACCATCGTGACCGTACATCGGCCCCTGAACGACAGTGCTAAAAATTTTTGTTTGCTCTTTCGGCATACTTTGTGAAGATGCTTTCAGCGATTCTCCTCTGCTTTGCGCTTCAGGCTGCAGTCGCCACCTGTGCACCGACCGCAACCACTCACCCCCAGCTTACCGCTCGAGGCCTGTCAAACAATGTCGATGACCTCCCTTCAAGCAGCGACAACACAGCTATCAGCTCGATGCACAAGAGACAGTATACCCGTGTACAGGATTATGCTATCAGCATATTCTTTGTCGTACGCGCGTTGCCTGACATCATCCGAGTACGGCCAGCTGAAATGTTTGCCACAGCAAGGTGTAAAATTTCAGTTGTCTAATGGCAAATGGTCGTCGCCGCATCCGCTCATGTCCAAACTCGTTCAGCCCTTCACCGTGACCTGTAGATGGGTCCTAGGCCCTTTTTTCAGGGAGATTCCCAGGTGTGCCTTCGACTTTGCTGTGCTTGATGGCGCAAGTGCGGAAGCAAAGTTCTGGATCTCGACCGATTTCGGGGGATTTCCATGGTGGACGATCTATTTGACCTGGCACGGCACGATCCCCCTGGAGGGTACTCCCGACGAGGAGCGCGACACGGTCTATCTTTTTCAACAGTGCTGCAATGTCAAGTACCAGGCTACGTACGAGCCTAACGAGAGCAATGCAATGTCGGCTGACGGTATGCAGGCTGACTTACGACTTCAAGCCAGAGAAGGCATATTTGAGCAAGATTGAACACAAGGAAGCGAAGCTTATCTGCGAGCCGGGGCACGGCGTCATTGATCCGCCGACACGAGAATGCGAAGAATTCTACAAAAGTGGGTGACGTATGGTCCAAAAAATAATTACACTGAGCACGCATCAGCAGCGGCTCGCGCACGATACGTCTATGAACGTTCGCACAGCTTTCGTGCCGAGCTCTTGGACGGCGATCTTCATCCGGTTTCGTGAGCTTAGCTAGAATGAATGGAACGCAACAGAGGAAATGCACTTCGGTGGATCAATAGCCCCAATCATGTCGGCTTATGATGCAGCAAAACCCATGGCATGCGACCTACATGATCGAGCGCCGAAGTTTGCAAGCTCCAGCAGTGCCGACTATCAGCGGTCGAGCGATCGATTGCTGGTCAGGCAGGGGTGTCCGGACTGCACGCGCACATGACTACCATCGTGACCGTACATCGGCCCCTGAACGACAGTGCCAAAAATCTTGATTGCTCTTCCGGCATACTTTGTAAAGATGCTTTCAGCGATTCTCTTCTGCTTTGTGCTTCAGGCTGCAGTCGCCACCTGTGCACCGACCGCAACCACTCACCCCTTGCTTACCGCTCGAGGCCTGTCAGACAATGTCGATGACCTCCCTTCAAGCAGCGACAACACAGCTATCAGCTCGATGCACAAGAGACAGTATACCCGTGTACAGGACTATGCTATCAGCATATTCTTTGTCGTACGCGCATTTCCTGACATCATCCGAGTACGGCCAGCTGAAATGTTTGCCACAGCAAGGTGTAAAATTTCAGTCATCAAATGGCAAATGGTCGTCGCCGCACCCGCTCATGTCCAAATTCGTTCAGCGCCTCACCGTGACCTGTAGATGGATGACAGGTCCTTGGTTCAGAGAGGTTCCCAAGTGTACCTTCGACTTTGCTGTGGTTGATGGCGCAAGTGCGGAAGCAAAGTTTGTGGTCTGGGTCCTGAACTTCCCTTCTTGGACGGTCCACCTGTCCTGGCACGGTCTTATCAGCCTGGACGGTACCTCCGACGAGGAGCGCGAGACAATCTACCTTTTTCAACAGTGCTGCGATGTCAAGTACAACACTACGTACGAGCCTAACGAGAGCCATGCAATGTCGGCTGACGGTGTTCAGGCTGTCTGCCAATTTTGTGCCTGAAAAGGCATTCTTGAGCAAGACCGGCAAAAACGCGGAAGCGAAGCTTATCTGCGAGCCGGGGCACGGCGTCATTGATCCGCCGACACGAGAATGCGAAGAATTCTACAAAAGTGGGTGACGTATGGTCCAACAGTAAATTATTTACACTGAGCACGCATCAGCAGCGGCTCGCGCACGATACGACTATGCATCTTCGCACAGCTTTCGTGCCGAGCTCTTAGACGGCGATCTTCACCCGGTTTCGTGAGCTTAGCTAGAATGAATGGAACGCAACATAGGAAATGCACTTGGGTCGATCAATAGCCTCAATCATGTCGGCTTATGATGCAGCAAAAATCCATGGCATGCGACCTCTATGTCCAAGCGCTCGAGTCTGCATCCTCGTGTCCTGTAGCAGCGGGCGGAGCGGTCAGTTGTTGATCAGGCAGGGGGGCCTGGACTGCGAGCACACATGACTACCATTGTGACCGTAGGCCCCTGAATGATACTGCGGTAAAATGAACAGCGCGCGGTCAAAGATGCAAAGATCCTATGCAGAGGAGCGAATGGACCCTTACTGTGCTGCTGCAACCATCATGTCGCGATCCATCTGGCTCTCCAGATCGCTCTGTGGGCTAACCGAGAGACTATGAGATCGGTGACAGATCAGCGTCAAGCAGCTCTGTCTTCTGATCAACGGGCAAGGCAGTGTAAGCAAAGTTGGCACTAGAGACTGCAAAGAGCGTTCAGTGTGAGCCTCGGCCTGAGGCAATGACTTGCTTTTGTAGAATTGCAGACATTCCGGCGTTGGCGGTCTGACAGCTGCAAAATCTCTCCCGCAAGCCAGGCGGACTTCGGTGCCGAAATTCGCTGGTCCGAGTGCTACACAAGTTGCGTTAGTCTCATATCGATCGCCAGACGAAGCGCTGACACAGTACTCTGCCGAATGGCCAGACAAGCGCCCTGTGTCGCATGAATCAACGGATGCAGCAACAGCAGCGCCACACTCGATCACTCACGCTGTCTCAAAGTGGATCTGACAGCACTGATTGTACGGGTATGCAGCAGTACGTTCTGCTTCGTCCAGCCCGTCGAGATTGACGCGCTCCCACCAAGCGAGGGCGATCTGACTGTACTTGACTTGGTCTGCATATTTCCACGTCGCTGACACTGATGTTTCTTGCCGTTGATCGAGCACAAAGTCGTATACGACATGGGGATCATAGCCCATCGCGTAATCCATCGGAGACCAGCTCTTTGTGAGGGCAAACTTCTGCACTAGCTTGCTGAACAGGGGCATCGGCGAACTCCACTCTCCATTGGCGAGCTTGAAAATTGCACCGCGCTGTTGAGGCTCTTAGCAAGTATTGATAAGCTGGGACCGGTCGTACATTCAGGGTCACAGAGATGGCATACTCTGTTGTACTATCGAATAGCCTTTTGAAGTGTGGCGCCAAGGCAGCAGTAGATTCAATGTGGCTCGTTGGCGTAGCATGGACGGTGCGGGACGCAAAAAGTCCCAAGAGAGCAGGAGGGAGTCTGACCATGACTTTGGGAGCTCGACTGTGGGCTTTTACCACGCGCGCTACTCATAGCATGCGTGGCAACGCTTTGGAGATGTGAGACGCGCCCTCACGCGCCTCACGGATGTATGCCTCCTGAACAAAGGTCCAGGTAACGCAGTCCCTCCTCGGGCTAGAACGCAGGCGGGAACTGTCTGCTTCCGATAACACTGCCAGCGGAGAGGGCCACAATCGACAGTGCCGCAAACAGACACGCAGAAGTAGGTCTATCTGCCAAGTCGGACTCCACGCCTGCAGCCCGGCATCAGCACAGGACTGGCAGCTTCGTCAAGAGGTATCAGGCGCCAAAGACTTGGTTTCTGAGGCCTCGTCCCGCCAGACGCACGAGACGACTGACTAGCGGCAAACGCAGCATCGTCATTGCATCACTTTGTGCCCAGTGCGCTTCATCTTGTGTGAATGATCGCGGAGTCAGGTGCAAGGACTTACTGGTCATGATGAAGCAAAGTGATCTGCTAGCTCTTGCAGATCGTTGAAGACATAGTCGACTTCTCCGCCGTCCTGCTTCGTCTTGACGGCATTGCCGCCTTCTGGTACGCCCACATCCTCTGTTGCCCGCCTGATATAATAAGTGCGGAGGCCGTGCTTGCTTGCGAATTGTAGATCATAGATGTGCGCTGCCACCATGCCAACTTCGGAGGGCTGCAGTCCGAGCAGTTTGCAAGCACCCAAGTACATCTTAGGGTTGGGCTTGTACGTCTTGAGCATATCAGAAGCAAAGATGGCATCCCAGTGTAGATCCGCAAATCGCGCGAGATCAACGAGCAATCGTGTTGAGCCGTTACTGAGCGTGGCAAGGATGGCATGATCGTGCAGTTGCCGTATCGCTTGGGAGGAGTCTGGCCAGCCGTGCAGTCTGTGCCAGACCAAATTGATGTGGCTCTTGTCTGTCTCTGTCCAGACTCGGGCGATCGGGCCGTATTCATCTCGTTCGAGAAGCTCATCAAGAAGCTGTCTGTGCATGTCATCGATGTCCGAAGGACCGTCGCCGCCGTTCGCGACATGCCTGGTAAGGTGCATGTAGCCGCGCCGCCATTCTTCGGCAAAGTGCTGCCAGTCGATGTCGGTCAATTTCGTTTGCTGTGTATGTCGCTCGAGCTCGGCAATGACGGAAGCATGCCAGTTGACGACAGTACCAAAGACATCAAACAGGAGCGCTTTCGGACGGCTCATCTCTCCACAACGTCACGAGGTCGCGGCAAATCTGCGAGCCACGCGTTGCGCGGACTTCCTTCGTGTCTTGGCCCTCGGCAGCGTCTCAGTTCATCCGGTCTGTCCCGTCCGTCAGTCCTTCCGCTGCTGTGTATCTGTCCGCTTCCTCTATAAATCGGGATAACGCTGTTTAACTCACCGTCAAGTCATTCACTCTGAGCATCGAGGCATCACCGTACAAGTGAAGACATATCGACAATATGAAAGTGACGATGGTGGCTTTGGTCTTGCTTGCCGTCCTGGGCTCGATGGTGACCGCTGCAGTGAGCTCTCGCGATCAGTATCGGCTTCTGTTCTGACCAGCGAGCAGCCGACAGCACGTCAGCCTGCCGGGCCTGCGTGGTGCGCAGGGTTCACCTCAATGGGACCTTGCGATCATTATCAGGAATGCTCATGGGATGAAGACAAGCACCGATGCGAATGAAGCCCGTCAAGGAAGCTGTTATTCGGTGCATTGTATCTACAAAGGACACGTCCATGTCTGTGACAACGTCCTGCTCGTGTGCTCAGACTGCCCTGTGCTCTGCTGCGCAATCTGTTACAGCAAGATCACATCATACCGCATGGAAGTTGAGGAACGCAGTCACTTCGGAGCAGCCACTTTTATTGCGCTTGCGGCGTACCGCAGCAGGACTAAAGTCAAGATGGCTGCTGCTAGAGCGAGGGTGGCTGCTCTGACAGTGCAATTGCGCCCGCAATGCTCCTTAGCATGTGTTACGATGCTGCGACACAAGAGCTTTTGACATGGATGCGTGTCATCTCTGACATCATTGGCAGCAAACCGCCAGACTCGCCACGACCGAATGATGTGAGACAACGCCTGGCCACTCATGTCTTCAGACACTCACTCAATCTCTTCAACCACGCGGCACAATCGTCAGGACAACTCTGTCTCGCAACGGCAGGAGCTAAGACTGCGCCTCGGACGTCTCCGGTCCATCAGCCCGCAGATCCTCTTCTACCTGCTCCGTACATCCATAGGAAGCGATGCGACTTTACGCTCCGCTGCTCGTCATCGCTTTAACTTTGGTGTCTGCACAATCAGAGCTCACCACACTCGACGAGCGTGCTCCAACCGTTGAGCGCCGAAACTACTGCAACCGTTTGTCTGACTGTGTCGCCATATGCGACGAGGTCGACATTGGACGACCCTTCTTGCCTGTCAAGATGACAGGCATCCTGCCCAATATAATGGCGAGCATCTATCTCGACGTACGTCCGAAAATGTTCCCCAAAACCATCACAAGCTGCACCGATCAGGTCGCCCTGAGAAAAATAGAATGCGAGACCACCATCGCTCACGAAACCCCAGACGATCTGGCGTATTGCATCGTACAGACGGTCCCACTGGAAGCTCTCGATCAGCCTGGTAGCGCAGTACCGGTGCTCCGGCTATGTTGCAAGATCCATGTCACCATTGATGTCGAAATTGGCTTCACTCGGCGTGAGTTCCGTGGGACACTTTCCTATTGGCTCTTACTTATGCTGTTTCTTTCAGGTTATTGGAAGTTGAACGTCATGTCAAGCAAGATGAAGTGCGACTGGCAAAATGACCCCGATGCCGCAACGAGACAGGCGTGCAGTGAGATGATGCCACCGCGAGGCAAGTCTGAGCAAACATTGCGTTTACCCGACAAAGCTGATGCAATCATGCAACAGATGTAGAAGCCGGTTGTGCTCTTCCGACAGACAAGTGCAAAATCGTACAGTACATGACCACAGACGGGCACTGCACAGACAAGCCTTCCCCCATCGTTCAATGAATCGCAGCGTGCAGCCTCGAGCGCAACACGAGATGCTCTCATCCTGTAGCTAGCTAGCCATGATCATCGATCAGCTTCCCAATGCACGCTAATGTCAGGCAGCACAAATTCTGAAATAGATACGCAGACAAGGTCGGTCAAGCAAGTGTGTCGCGTTTTCGTGCCTTTAACGTCCCTACAGATCGATATCGCGGCTCGACGTACCACGCATATTACTGCTTTGCAGCTATTTGAGATCAAATGCTTGCGAAGCTTGCCTCCGACTCATTAGATACAGCTTTCTGCTGGCTCTATTTGTATGACCCGAGTTGGCGTGTCGACGCCCGAGAGGAGCGTAGAGGGGCTGGCAACACGTATCATACGTCCCTTATCGAAAAGGGGAAGTGGATGGTAGACGAGCTGGCGTTGCTGCCCGATCCTGTGCCAGAGATAACAACGATATGCTGCCAGACAGCGCTCGCCTGCACGTACTTGGCCTTTTGTGGCTGTTCGCGGGCAGTCACACAGCCTGGGCAACCGCTCTGCAAGAACGAAAGCCACTTGCACGTCGCAATTACTGCAATCGCTTGACAGAATGCGTCGTGATATGCGAGGAGATCGACATTGGCTGGTCATTGCCCCCGGGCAAGATGATTGGCATGTTGCCGTTCGATTTGGCTGAAATATTCATCGATGTGCGCCCGGAGAAGTTCAAGAACAACATCGTATATTGCACGGACCAGACCAGACTAAGCGGTGTCGACTGCACAGCTTTCGTCGCACAAGGCTTTCCCGATGAAGTGGCATTTCGAGTGATGCAAGATATCCCGCTTGAAGCTGTGAACGAACCCGTGGGTGCGGCGCAGATATTGTCGCACTGCTGCAAGATCTTTGCCACCATCGATGTCAACGTTGGCTTCACTCGACGTGATCTTTTCGCAATGACACTGTTTGACCTTTGCTGATGTTGATGCAGGCTTTTGGCGATTCCGGTCCATCTCGAGCTATGTCCTCTGCGACTGGCAGATCCTAGAGGATGCACAGCGTCGGACAGACTGTGCAGGCTGGATTCCGAATAGAAGTGAGCAGGACGGCTGTCTCGTCAAAGGATCGCTGATGATCGCGCACACAGGTACTCGAGCTATCTGCGCAATAGAAGCTGGCTCCTGCCAAGTTCAGCAATTCACGGTCAGCGGGTCCCGTTGCTCCAAAACGCGTATATACGACGATTGACGAGCTGTAGCCCTGTGAACCGCCCCTGCCGATTTGGCAATTTAATCTCTCGACATTGGCATGTCGGCCTTGTTCCCGATATCGGGAGCTGCTGACATGCAAGTATCTGACTGGGCACACGTGACGGCTGGTGAGGAAAGCCAGGCCTGATTGCTGAGGCATGTATGCAAAATCTCGTGGTCGGTCAACACGCTTAGATTGGACGCAAATCACCGTCGAGAACTTCTGTATATTCGTCGAAAACACTCGCTGATGAAGCTGAACTTGGTCTTGAAAAGTTTGAACGAACGTCAGCTGAACCCGATCAGACGCACCTTTGTGCAAAGCCGGCGAACCCTTGTAGAACTCTGCACATTGAGGCGTGATAGGAGTTACAGTAGCTTTCCCGGGAGTGCAGATCAAGTCGAGCTTCTTCAGAGGTGATGTGCGCTCTCGGACAATGACTACGAAGGCGAGTAAAGCGGGCTCTCGGTGCCAACTGGAAGAGACGACTTGCCTATAGTGTTGCTGACGATACGAACCGACAGACTGCTCGCGCGTAAGTCTTGGGTGACGAAATTGGCACGCAACTTGCCTATCTTCGTAGAGTACAGCGCAGCACTGTTGAAACTCGTACAGCGCTTTGCGCTCATTGCCCGTGTGACCGTCAAGGCTGAGGCGATCCTCACAATCGATCAAAATCTTGAAGGGATCGGCGGTCTGCAATTTGATGACAAAGGTCGAAAGGCCTTGCACGACAGCGAAGCTGAATGTGTATTCTGCCTCTCGATGAAAGATGCTGAGAACATCCCAGGTCTGAACGAGAGTACCGCGCTGGATGCGCTTGCTGAAGAGAGTGACTGGCTGCGACCACTGACCGTCGGCAAGGCATAATCTCACCGCTCGCTGCGCGACAGACCTGTAAGCCTCCAGTCAATCACTGCTGACAGGATCTACTGAGGCCAACACACGTCCATGGTCATGAATAGCGCAAACTCGGTGTAAGTATCGGCGATCCGATTGGCGAGAATCTCGTCGATAGCATGCGAGCTAATGACCGGAACATAGCATGTGAGAGATAGAATTAGCGAGATTGAGAGTACGAGCAAGGTAGATTGCATGTCTGCGTCAAAGAGAGGAGACAGCACGCAATGCGATGGGGCAAGCAGAGGATTCTCCGAACCGCGCGACACTCGCTGGCAGCTTGTAGTAGCAATGCGCACGGTCAGGTCTACTTGTTCGCCTTTGCATTGAGTCACAGGCTCTACTTCTGAGCTTTCTCTTCCTTAGCAGCTTCACGAGCTGAGATCTAGTTGTAGGCGAGGACCTTCCAGTCACCAGCATGATTGATCTCTTTGCCACCATAGGCAAGGTTGCAGTGAGGCTCGCCAATGACGACCTTGCCGACTGTTCCGAGCGATCAGCAAACGTGAAGATGCAGAGCGCAAGCTGCCCACCCTGAACGCTGCCTTCGTACTTAACTTGGGCGACAAAGATGGCACGGCCGTCGTGATCACGTCCACCCTCCACTTTGAGAGCCACTGAATCAGCCTATGCTGAGATTGACTGAGCCCGTCGAACTGACCTGGCTGGAAGCTGGGTTCGATGTTGAGGTCGCCCTCCTGATCGATCCAGCGGACTCTCGAGGCATCGCCACAGAGGATCTCGAATTTCTCGACATTGTGTTCCTGGCCGCCCCAGGGAATGGAGACACCGTTCTTGAGGTGCTTGCCAGCCTTGCCAATGTGGACGCCGTGCTTGAAGTAGGCGCGAGCAGCATAGAGGGGCTGTCCACCGCTGTCCGAGCCACATTGCTGTCTTGCATATCAGCAAACGTTACACTTCAGATAGAGTGATACGTACGATGGCATTGCCGGGAATCTGTTGATTCTGGACAAAGACCCAGTAGACAGGCAGCATGCCACTGTTGGACGTGTAGGTCTCTGAGCGGACTTGAGCGCCTTGGAAGTAGGTCTGCTCGGAGACTTGAGCATTGCGCCAAGCTGAAGCTTTCTTCTCTTCTTCCTCCTTGTTCTTGTGAGCCGAGTAGGCCCAGATTCCGCCACCGACGAGTGCAGTAGCGGCAACGATGCCGCCACCAATCTCGAGCTGATGCTTGCGCTCTTCGCTCAGCCAGGACTCGTCCTTGTTCTCGTTGTTGTTGTTGTCATTGTCAGACGAGAAACGACCAAAGATCTTGTCCTTGAACGAAGCCGACTGACCGCACTCGCCGCTCTGCGAGTAGGACTGTCCTTGGTAGCTGCCAGAGTTGCTCTGGTATGATTGTCCTTGGGAGTTGCTGCTGCTGTTGGACTGGTAGGACTGTCCCTGGCAGCTGCCGGAACTGCCTTGGTATGCCTGTCCTTGGCAGCTGCCCAAGTTGCCTTGGTACGATTCTTTCTGGCAGCTACCCGAGTTGCCCTGGTAGGACTGACCTTGACAGCTGCCCGAGTTGCCTTGATGTGAGTGGCCTTGGCAGCTGCCCGAGTTGCTTTGGGTCACTTGCCCCTGGCAGCCACCCGCGTTGCTCGCGTTGCCGGAGCCTTGCATGCGGCCCCACTACTGGTCATCAGCCAGCGGCAACAGACATGAGCATGCAGACTGACCAATGCAGGCGTGACAGGGGGTGTCCAGTCAGATTGCGAGGTGTGAGCTTGAATGATCTGCCAACGTCTGTGTGAGCGCTGCCGTGTCACGCAGATGGACTTCCTTACCTTGTACTGAGCTCCTTCATAGATCACGACTGCGACAAAGGTCAGGTCACAGTGTCGATCGTACAAGCAGACCCCCGCACCCGAGCCCAGAGGGTAGTATGTGCCGGGTTGCCACAAGTCTGCCATTGTTGATGAGGAAGATCTGTGTTCGATGAGATGTGTTCGAGTCTCGTGAAAGTTGGTGTCGACGTGGGTTGAGCGAGGAGAGAATGGTTGGGGAACGAGGCAGTGCCGCGGAGCGCATGTCGAGACAGGAGTGCTTTTGCGATGAAGTCAGGAGGGGACTTGGCATGACGTAGCATCGAGAACAAACGAGTTCGCAAGGGGACGTCGGCGCGGCGGACAGTGGCTGACGAAGAAGCGATGGTGGCGAACAAAGGGCGCGACAGGTTTTGACTTTGGCGCGAGAGAAGCGCGTCCGGTCTGTTTGTAGGGCGTCATCGCATACCAGAGGCATAGCTCGGGCTGCCCCCGGACGAGCGAGCAGATAGATAGCGCTGGTCGCACGAGTGTACATCACAAGCAGATACGACTTGTCAAGGCGACTTATACATCCATCACGCCTACGACCTACTTGCTCTGGTAGCACAAACACGTAGCTTCACTTGCAGATCAGCCATAGCATCAGTCGACAGGCAGGCTGCCAAAGGCCATCATCGCGCTCCATCTGGCCTGCTCTGTCGCCATCTCGATTGACACGCACAGACCTCGTTCCGACATTGCGCTCTGTCATTGTCCATCTGTGAGGTGCAGAACAAGTCAAGCAAGACAAAGGCATCATCACGAAGTGAATGGCGCTCTGTTGACCGGCATTTCGGTCTTCACTCACTGTCACCGCAAGCCTTGACCGAGCTTGATCAGCTGCAGATCTCGTTCAGCTTCGTGCTTCTCCTGAACACCATGTCAGACATTGAGCGGCCAGTGATCAGGCACCATCAAGATCTCTTCCAAGGCGAGTCTTCTCTCTCTCTCTCTTTCTTGCTCCCTCTTTGCCACTTTGCACTTGTTCCCCGCCCCAGCAGCACACGGAGCGCTGAGCCCCTGTCGAAAGCACGGCTCTGCTCCTGACCGTCTGCTTCCGGCACGCGATCCGTCTTCCTGTCTTGCGTACACACTTGCATGCTCGACTGTATGCCTCTCTGGCTGGCATTGACCTAGCGCGAGTGTCGCAACAACAGCTCCCCTCTGCTGGTCCCATCGCAACTGCTCTCCCTTTTCTCTCTGAATCGCGTTGTGAACAAGCGCTGACGCCCAAGAAACTTCGCTCTGACTCAATTCGCTTCATCTACGATGTCAACGTCTCCATCGTTGACATCACCTTTGTCGTTCGCATCGTCTGCATCGCACGAATCGACGCCCCAAACGTCTTCATCATGCTCGACGACGCCGCCGCCCGAATTCGATCTCTGGCTCACACACCAATGGTCCAACGCCATCTGGGCCGACTCTGACGCCCAATCATTGAACTCGGATACGACCGTACGACGTAACGGACCGGCCAATAATGATGACGATGCTCAATCATTCACCATTCTGTCCGCTGCCTGCGTTCACATCGGACCGGTCACCTGGGCTGGCAAAATTCGCAAGACGCGCTCGCTCGCTTCCCTCGATACGGCTCATCGTGTCTCTGGCGCGATCAAACGCCCCATCACGCGCTGGCTCAAGTCGCCTCGTTCCACTGACGCCTTTCCGCGCAATCTCGCTGCCAACATTGCGCCTTCGCCCGCTCTGCTCACGCCCGACCGTGCACTTACCAACCGCATCTCGCAATCGTCGTCGACCTACTCGGTCAAACGCTTAACCTTGGACGAACCGCTGCCGGACAATGTCGCTGCTACTGTGACACCTTCGACGGCTGCCCCTCTTGCTGCTCCCGTTACCCTGGACCGGTCGCCCGACCCTCCTGGCATCACGACGCCCTCAAAACTGCGTACACGACGTCTCTCGAACGCTTTACGGCGAACGCTTTCCGGATCGCTCACTTCGCGCAATGATGTTGACTCGTACTCGTCGGCACTGCGCCTCTCGCGCTCGCTTACGTACCTCAAATCGCCCGAAATTGTGCCGCCCGTGCCTATACCCCCCGCATCGCTTCTCGTCTCTGCGACTACCCCCGTACCGTCATCGCCTAAATCGGCGCGATTTGCATCCGCCGAACCGACATTGGCACCTGTCACCGAATCCAACTCACCGTCTGCCCCGCCCGGCGATATAACCATGTCTGTCATACTGGGTTGGTATCAAGCAGGCACGGAGCCCGTCAGCCCGACAAGACGCGCCAGGATCAGCTCGGTTGCTTCTCAGGCCGTTACGAGCGAGTCCTCAGCCGGCTACGAGTCTGTACGCAATAGCTACGAGCCAGAGGTTAGTCATTCGTTCATGCACTTCGCTCTCGCTGAGATTCAGAACAGCTCTACACTGCAGAAAGTCGTGCATCCTCGAGTGGTCATGCGAGTCCTGCCATAACGGGGAGCTTTGTGGCTGCCAGGCGGGCACCGCTTCCGCCCACGCCTGCAAATGCACCCGGCACTGCCATCTCAACCCCGGAAGCGGCAGCAGCAGAATGGGACATTGGCAGCGAAAACAATGCTACTGCGCTCGAGTCGCCACAAGTCGGGGTGCCCAAGCGATCGAGCATCTCTAGCGCTCAGAGGAGCAGCTACATTGCTGGTTCGAGACCGCCTTTCAGCCAGCCGATGACACATGCATCCTCTGGCTCATCGATGGGTCATCATTCGGGTTCTCAGACTGGCTCGGCCCGGCCTAGTATGTCCTCCCAAGGGAGCGGCTCAGTCCCAATGGCCGCCAATGGCAGTCGGAGACCGTCTAACCCTCCCATCGTTACACGCTTTCAGAGAGATTACTCGATGTCGAATCCAGCTTCGCCGGCTCTGGCCTCGGCCTACATCGGTGCCTCGCCGCTTGGCGCTCCATTCACTCAGGAGCCGCCCAGCAGCGCTGCGTCTTCGCGCAGTCCATCTGCTGGCATAGCGCCAGGCGCAAGCTTCATGGTCTCTGGCATCGCAGACTCGCTGCCGCCTATCTCGACCTCATTTGCTCCAGGCACAGCCGTATCAGTGGCATCGAACAGCAGTACGTCGACCCTAGTCAATAGTACGGGAAGTACTGCGTCAGTCACCCGGCCACCGCTCTTTCCTCATGCCACCAGCCCTCAATTTCCATCGACGGAGTCTGCCGAGCCCTCGCCGATTTCTCCTCGCCCAGACGCGAAGCGTAAGATGAGTAAGAGCGGCGGTGGTGGCACGATCAAGTCTGCCTTTGGCACGCTCTTCAGCAGCGTTGGCGACATGGTGGCAAACCAACGCAGAATGGAAATTTCCACGCCTTATGATCCTGTCCATCTCACTCATGTCGGCTTCAACTTTGACACTGGCGAGTTTATCGGGTTGCCAAAGGAATGGCAGAAGCTCCTACAAGATTCGGGCATCTCGCAGCAGGAGCAAGAAGCCAATCCACAGGCAATCGTGGATGTCGTGGCCTTTTACCAGGTGCGCCTCTATTCTTATTCGAAGCTGTCATGATCGGCTCATCTGTTGACGATATAGGATGCGACGAAGCACGAAGCTGAGCAGCCCGGCGGTGAGGATGATGAGGTCTGGCGCAAGTTCAGCAGCCCCGCCCATCAACGGCACTACGAAAACCCCAGATCAGCGCCCTCACCACCGCTGCGCAACGATCCGAAGCTCAAGTCACAATTTCCGACAGGTGCAGCACACAAATTGGACCGATCGATGTCTCAGCGAGCTGCGCCCAAAACACCGGTCTCGCAGCCTTTGGATCGGTCAAAGTCGACGCGGACTTCGCCAATACCCCCTGCTGTGCCACCACAACAGCAGGTCAGTACACCGCAGCGATCAGAAGAGCGTACACGACAGGACAGCGAAAGCGGTGGACTATCAGTTGCGCGGAAGCGCGAAGCAAAGCCGGGCAGCGTGAGAGAGACAGACATTGTCAAGCGGCTCCAAGCCATATGCACTGATGCGGACCCGACAAAGCTCTATCGTGGTCTCGTCAAGATCGGTCAAGGCGCTTCGGGCGGCGTCTATACTGCTTACCAAGTCGGCACAAATTTGTCCGTGGCAGTAAAGCAGATGAACCTGAAACAACAGCCGAAGAAAGATCTCATCATCAACGAGATTGTCGTCATGAAAGAGTCCAGTCATCCCAACATTGTCAACTTTATCGATTCATTCCTCGTCAAAGGCGAATTATGGGTCGTCATGGAATACATGGAAGGCGGCTCGCTGACCGATGTCGTCACTTGCAATATCTTGTCGGAAGGTCAAATTGCCGCAGTCTGCAAGGAAACTTTGGAAGGTCTGAAGCATCTACACGAACACGGTGTAATTCATCGCGATATCAAATCCGACAATGTCCTGCTCAGTCTGACGGGTCAAATCAAACTCAGTCGGTGACCTTCTCGTCATCCATGTGTTGTTGCTAACGAGTGCTTAGCCGACTTTGGCTTTTGCGCGCAAATCAACGAGTCGCAGATGAAGCGAACGACAATGGTCGGCACGCCCTACTGGTGCGTCGACTCTCACTTGTGTCCTACCATGACTGATATTGCGGTACAGGATGGCGCCGGAAGTCGTCACGCGCAAAGAGTATGGGCCAAAGGTCGATATATGGTCACTCGGCATTATGTGCATTGGTGTGGCTGCAGCTGCTTCCCAAAAAGACCAAGCTGATGGGCCTGACAGAAATGATTGAAGGCGAGCCGCCGTACCTCAATGAGAACCCGCTCCGAGCGCTTTACGTGAGTCTCTACCTGAGATGCATAGCACCTCGCTAATAGGAACGCAGCTGATTGCGACTAACGGCACGCCGAAAATCAACAACCCGGATCAGCTGTCAAACATCTTCAGATCATTTTTGCGGAGCTGCCTTAGCGTCGATGTCGAAAAGCGACCTGACGCAAGCCAGATGCTGATGCATCCATTCTTGCAGCGCTCGGTCAATCTCAAATCGCTTTCACCATTGATCAAAGCGGCGAGAGAGCAAGCAAAGGCAAAGAGGTAGCCTGCGCTATCAGTCTTGACCCTCTTCACATCTCGCATCTGCAGACAATGACCGCATCAGTGTGTTCTCTGTAGAACTTCATGTACCGAAAAAGTAGCATTGATAGTTGTCAACAACACATACGCGCAACAAATTGAGCTACTCAAAGTCATTATTGAATTCGCGGCCGATGAGCATGCGACGAATTTCCTGCGGGACTTGCAGATGAGCACGGCTAGCGACGATGGCGAAAGAGCTTGCCTGCGTGCCTGCACCCACTCGATACAGCTGAGCATCGCGCACGAAGCGACCAGTGGGATAGTCGTTCACGTATCCGTTGCCACCTAGCGATTGCATAGCCTCTGCGTGGGCCGTCAGCCAACGGCGATATGGATCAGATCTGAGACTTGCCAATCGCGACTTCGAGCGCACGATCGCTGGAGTACAGGATGGCTCCAGCGCAATCTCTACGACTGACGTGGCCTTGATCGCAAGCCCGGCCAACGGCATAGACGTACGTGCGGCTTGCACTGAGCTTCGTATACATATCTGCCAAAAGTGTGAGCCTTCGTCACTACAGGATCAGCAACCTGCCTGCAATCTTGGCTTGCATGAGCTGAAAGGTGCCGATCTTGCGATTGAATTGCTTCCGTTGGTGCATGTACTCCAGCGAATAGTCAAAAGCGGCTTGCATGAGACCGAGAGGGCCGCCCGACAGGACGAGACGTTCGAGATCGAGGCCAGACATAAGCACTTCGACGCCAGAGCCCACCTTGCCAAGGACGTTCTCCTTGGGTACTTTGCAATCCTCGAAAGTCAATTCGGCAGTGTTGCTGCCCCGCATGCCGAGCTTGTCAAGCTTCTGATTGACCGAAAACCCAGCCATACCACGCTCGATACTGTCGTACTATGATGAGCTGGGCGCAGTCAAAGATGGGCCCAGGTACTCGCATAAAGGTGGTGATGCCTCTCGACCCTTTTTCTGGGTCTGTCTTGGCGTACACGACTAGTGTGCTCGCGTCTGGCGAATTGGTGATCCAGAACTTGTTTCCGGTCAGTACGTAGTGATCGCCAGCATCGACGGCTGGCAAGCAGATCTGAGAATAAGTACGAGCGATGCTGGCAATGGCCTCACGAACCGCGTAATGCCATCGAGACGACATCTGAGCCGCTACCCGTCTCTGACATGGCGAGCGAGCCGACAGCCTTGCCAGAGATGAGATCGGGAAGGTACTTGTCCTTTTGCGCTTCTGTGCCGTGCCGATTGATCTGGTTGACGCAGAGATTCGAATGGGCGCCGTATGACAGCGCGACCGAGCCAGAAGCACGAGATAGCTCTGGATAGGACGCGGTCCATCAGCTTTACGAGAGCAGCAGGCATGTGCTTGGCCTGCCTTCCATGATGATGGTATGATCGAGGTAGCCTTTGCCGAGACCTTTGAACAGCACGTACATGAGCCCGAGCAGGCCCTATAAGGAATGGTGCCACCGACCGCCGCGTTCTTCTTCGACGGTCACGCCGAGCAAACCCATATTGCCCATCTTCTGCCACAGCTCGAGCGGAAATTCATTGTTCTTGTCGATGCTAGCTGCAAGGGGCGCAACCTCTGACTCTGCGAATGAGCGCACGGCTTCACGCAATTCGGCTTGCTCTGTCGTCAAGCCTGCGAGCGAAGGCGTGTAGTAGCTCGCGTGTCGTCGTACATCTGCGGTCAGAGGGATACATCGAGGCGACTGTCGGAGAATGTGCCTGCTGACCGGAAGCAGCATCATAGTCGATCAGATAGTAGCCGAAGCTTCACTGGCACTTTAGCTTTGCACGTGATCGCGTTGTATTCGATACGCGTGCGCCTAACAGGAACTAGCAGAGCGCTGGGCCTTCGTCAAGAGCCTAAGGGTCACCTTGATCTCGATCAATGGAAGGCGGCTCATCCCAGACGAGAGGTCTCAGCGGGCTCAGCGGCCTGAAACGATCGTTCACATCGGCAAGCCAAGTCGCTGTCACGTCGTACAATTCGCAGCCCAATCCTTCCAGATCCCAGCCGAGCCCGAACAAGCGTACAAGGATAGACCTGACGAGCCCGGATCCAGTGCCTGCGAAGAGGTTACAAGATCGAACGAATTCACAGACCGAAGTGAGCGCGCAACAGTCAAAGAATGGCAAGGCGAAAGCGCAAGAGCCTATCGATGTCTTCGACGATATCGACTTCGGGGATGACTTTGACGACTTTGACACGCCTCAAGCTACTGCTTATATGTCGAAACCTGCTGTCTCGCAGAGTGAGCCATCTCGGACATTGGCAGATGGCATACTCATCCGAACAGGAGCTGCAGCGCCCACGAGTCTCATCAAACCAAAGGCGGCTGCTATGCCCCCACCGCAGCCGGCTTCCCGCCTCCTCATACCGAGATCTGAAGTCATGCAAGACTCGCAAGCTGTCTTGAAGGCCTTCCGGGCGAAACAAGAAGCCCAGAAAGCTGCCTTGCCGAAGAAGCGAGAGATGCCGTGGGATCGCATAGGCGTCAAAACCAGGATGGAGCCCGGTCCATCGAAGTCTACAAATACTGATATCGAAGCCAAGCCTAGCAATCTTCGCCTTATCGGCGAAGAGGCTGGTCCTGCACCAACCAGTCCACTTGAGAACCTCACAAATCCTGCTCTCAATATCAAGCAAAAGATCTCACTCAGCCCAGAGCAGCAACGCGTCCTGCTATCTGTAGTAGAAGAGGTATGACCGTCGCTGAACGCTTCGTACACCAGCTCACGCATGAGCGCAGGGAAAGTCCGTCTTCTTTACGGGCTCAGCAGGTACGGGCAAGTCAGTATTGCTCAGAGAGATCATCACGTCGCTTCGGAAAAAGTACAGAAACCGACCAGACGTCATCGCTGTGACGGCCTCGACAGGTATGGCTGCATGCAACATTGGCGGTACGACTGTGCATTCGTTTGCCGGCTTCGGCCTCGGCAAGGGTGATCTCAAACTATGCCTGGGTCAGATCAGGAGGAATAAGAACGTCGTCGCAAAGTGGCTGAGGACGAAGGTGCTCATCATTGATGAGGTTTCGATGCTGGATGCGGCCCTCTTTGATCGACTGATCGAATGCGGCGAAATGATTCGCAAGACCAAAGCTTCCTCTCACTTGCCTTTTGGCGGCATCCAGCTCGTCATCACGGGTGACTTCTTTCAGTTGCCACCAGTATCGCAGGGAGGCTTGGCTTTCGAGGCCAAGAATTGGGGCCGCTGCATTGATGAGACCGTCAAGCTCACACAGGTCTTCAGGCAAAAAGACTCCGGTACGTCGCATGCTGCCTCGATTGTGGCGTTCCTGAAGAGCGAGTACAGACTTTATTGACATGCTGAATGAGTGCCGCATGGGCCTACTATCAGAGAGCAGCAAGGCCAAGTTCCGAATGCTCAGCCGTCCAGTCAGATACAAAGACGGCATCGAAGCCACTGAACTGTACGTCTACGCGCAAACTATGCTGCGGTTCTGACCATCAACGCAGTTTTCCGGTGAGAAGCCAAGTCGAACAGGCCAATCAGACAAAGCTGCGCAGTCTGCCAGGTGAGGAGCACATCTTCACAGCCGAGGATAGCGGTACAGCAGAGGTGGAAGCTCGTCGACGAATCCTCGAATCAATGATGGCACCTGAGAAGCTCGTGCTCAAGGTCGACGCTCAAGTCATGATGCTCAAGAACATGCCGGACTGCGGTCTTGTCAATGGCAGCGTTGGTACAGTGATCGAGTTTATGACCTTGCAGCAGTACCAAGCCAGCCTCACGAATCGTGATCGCTCGATGACGCCAGTAATCGGCCGCGAGCGGTCCATGACGCCTGCAAGAGAGGAGAGAGCCGAAAGCTCTGGCCCTAGCTCGGGCGAGAAACTGCCAGTCGTGCGATGGTCTCTCGGCAGCGGTAGCACGATGGACATGCTCGTCAGCCGCGAGGACTTCAAAGTCGAGGAGGGGGAGACGGTCAAAGCCCGTCGAAGACAGCTACCACTTCTGCTCTCGTGGGCAATGTCAATTCACAAAGCCCAGGGTCAGACCATCCAGCGACTCAAGTGCGATCTCGCAAAAGTGTTTGAGCGAGGGCAGGCCTACGTTGCGCTGTCTCGTGCGTGCTCTCTCGAATCCACTCAGATTCTCAACTTCAACCCATCAAAAGTCACGACGCACCCCAAAGTCGTCAAGTGGTATCAGCAGTTGCAGGACGCATAGCAGTAGACTGTACACTGGTTGCATGTGACAACATCGTCTCTTGTACTCGCAGATCAAGGATACGCTGGAGCGCCAGGTTGTGAATAGTATTGAGCCGGCGGGGCCTGAGGCGCGCTGGCCTGCGAAGCTACCGATGTCTGCCTCGTAGGAGCATGTTGACCCTGATGTGCACCTTGCTGCCATGGTTGCACCGCGTTTGGATCTGCATGCGGATCGTAAGGCTGCCCCTGGCTCTGTCTAGGCTGATGTCGCGCGAACGTCTGCTCGTACGAGGGGCCTCGAGCATGCATCACGGGCGGCATGCCATAGTCGGCAGCATAGCGCGTATCGGGTACATACTCGATTGCTTGTCGCTGTTCGGGCGCTTGCTGGTGTGGTCGCGAAGGAGCTTCATGCTGCTGTTCCGGCTGCTGCTGCGGGTAGGACGGCTGGGACTGATACGGCTCGGGCGCATACTCTGTGCCAGTGGGAGGACGATAGATCTGGCCAGGTTCGGCGTGGTACTGTTGCGATTGCTGGCCAGAGTAGATAGGTTGAGGCGCAGGCGGCTGAAGGCTCATACGTTGCATTTGCTCATGCGGCGCAAGTTGCTGCGGTGAATGATGCGGCGAAGCATAGCCAGGCTGCGAGGCATACGCAATATTACCAGGAGACGCCTGAGGCTGTGGCTGTGGTTGGGGCGGTTGTGAATAGCTAGGACCGGGCGCATAGGCCTGGGGAGGACCGTATGCTACATACAAACAAATTGGTTAGCTTTGTGCGAGCACGAAGCATGCGAAACTTACCTTCTGGGTGATATCGCTCCATGCTAGCCTTCATCATCTGATCGTAGGTGGCCGTAGCGGTACCAAAACGGTCATGGACGCTGAGGAGCTCCATCCTCTTCTGATTGTACTTTTCGATGAGCTTGATGATCTTTGGCCGCAAGGTGAGACAATCTCGATACAGGTCCGATAGCTCCTCGTTGTCGCCAAGATCTTCATCCGGTCCGAGGGTCTGCAGCATGTTGAGCAAGCGATCGATATTGCTCGACTGTGCAAAAAGAGCCGCTTCCTGCTCGGCTTCTCGATGAACTTCGTCTATGGTAGGCTCCGGCAGGGATTCCTGTCGTGCAATGCATGTCAGCCAGGCAATAGAGCTAGGAGGGAAGCATCACGAACGACGTAGCTGATGGGAAAGATGCCTATCCTTCCACGACATTCGCCTTTCCACCATTCTTCGTAATTCGAGTCGAGCACTCGCACAATATCGCCTTTCTTGAGCGCCATCTCGCCCTCTTGAGCGGGTTCAAAGTCGTATAAAGCTCTCACGCGCGTAGGTGCCGTCCTGATCTCAGTCGCCGGAGCGTTTGAATTAGTTTGATTGGCATACGGATCCTGAGCGCTACTCGAGGGCTGGGGCTGGTAGCCGGTTGAGTCGAATGTAGGCATATGGGAGGGACCCAGTACGTAGCCGCCGTTGCGCTGCGAATTTGGCGCGGGTTGGGCAGAGGGGGCACGCGCTTCTTGCTCTGAGAGAGCGATTGCTTTCCGCAGCTCCTCCTCCTCTCGCTTGAGATCATCATTCGAGGGCTCGCGCTCTGATTCTGGCGAGGGCGGTCGATACATCAAACCTACATCGCGCGTCGAGTCAGTCAGGGCGAGCTAGTTCAGATGGCTCCGTACCTTTGGCTCTCAGCGCGTCTTGCGTGTCTTCTACGATACCAAGCTGGGGATCGCTCTTGAACTCTTCTGTCCAAGAGGTGATGACCTGTGCAACCTTTGTCTTGACTTGCTGATGTGTCGTCTGCAAATGATAATGTCAACTGCGCTCGATATGTGACCGGCCAAATGCTGACCCGATCGAGAGCGAGCCGCTTGAGAGCATCACAGAAGCTTTTGCTTGCGACTTCTCTGTGCAACGGCTTGCCGCAATTTTTGACCAGACTCTCTGCAACCTGTCCGCTACAGTATGAGCTGATGATGATTGTCGCGATACATGAAGCATACTGTGAGGCAGGCGAGCTGGACGTTGGCGCTCCGATGAGTGAGTCGCTTCTGAAGCGCTGTGATGACTGCTCTGCTCCTGCGTGCCAGGGTATCCTTTGAGCAGGTCCGCTGCCCAACAGGTGAATGGCATACCCTTGTTCGCCATCGCCGTTGACTTTGTCCCACAGCGTGAGCAAGACATCCCAGTTGACCTGGGTGAGTGTCTCGTCTGTAGCACGTATGACGAGATCGTCGTATGTGCCTGCCGAGGAAGCAGCGCTGCCGCCTGCTGATGCTCGGCTGAACATGGTCGTCTGGCCTGCTGCGCGGGATGAAGCGTGTTGTTGCTGTTTGCTGCCGGCTGCGTCGAGATGATGGGAAATAGCAAGCTTCTGACGGTCCAAGCGAGGCAACAAGGTCTGCATGCGCTGCGCCTACGATCGAGCGAGTAAGCAATCTGGATGCGAACACCGCTTGTACGTGCTCCTGTCGGGACACGTCATCACGTCCCTGACGATCATCTCACGCGCAGAAAAACTGTGGTTGTTCTTCCAAACTTGGAACGTCGTCACTGATGACGCTCGGCAGGTCTGAACTGCCAGCAGAGGCTCAATGATCGTACGCAATGACATAGTAGCTACGCTGGCACTTCAGACCCTCGCCGGGCCATCAGGTACGAATTTTCCCCATGTTGACCCCTCTGGGAGCGAAAAAGTACCTTATGCCCTCTTGGTCGGCTCATAAAGAGCGTCGGATCAGGATGTGGTTCGGTCTTTTGTTCGACTGATTGGCCATCGTCCACACTCTGCCATGGACGCATGAACGCTTTACGGCATACTTAGCCTGTCGACGCTCCAACACTAAAGCGATCCTTGATCTCTTTCTCCTTTCTTGCTTCGGACACGGAACCTGGGTCGAACGCTCGAGACGCTGCTCCTCGTGACGGCTGACAGAACGTGACGCTCGCAAAGGGTGAAGGGAAAGAGCGGAATTGGGAGGGATCAGCTGCAGGAAGTCATTATATCCCATGGCGTGGCCGATGTCGTTTTTACGGCCGTGACGGTTTAGGGCAAAACCATAATGTCTATATCTCATTGATATTCGCGCTGCTCGACGATGCATTGGTGGATTACCTTGACTCCCCGCTGTCTGAGTGAATCTGCCTCGATCTTGTCTGTCTGTGTCTTGCCAGTCGCGTCCTTCGTCGACCGTCCTGCCAGCTTGCCGGTGAGCGTCGAGTACGCGAGTCGAGTGTTGATCAGCCGTCACTGAGAGCGAGTAGAGAGCGTACTGGAGAAAGATCACAGGCGCATGTCACAGCAGATCAGGCGAGCAGGAGCGTACTGATCATGGCTGCGAGTCTCATTACTGCGGACAGACACGAATTCTACCAACAAGACCAGCAGGTCGTCGTCTCCATCTTCATCCGCAATGTCAAGCCCGACGAGCTCACGGTTGACTTTGACTCTCGCTCCGTTCGTTCCACGCCTGCTTCAACATGGCTTGCACACTCACTCGGCGGAGACGTTGATAGGTCAAGGTGACTATCGACAGAGAGGAGCCCGTCCTCTTTGTACTCGACCCTCTTGCGCATGAGATCGTGCCCGACCAGTCGACTTTTCGTGCGATTGCGCCGAAGATTGAGCTCACCCTTTTCAAGAAGGAGCTTGGCTTGAAGTGGCTCAAGCTTCAAGGCGCACCAGATGAGGCTGCCATTGCTCGTGGGTCGCCTAGCACTGCTTCAGTGCGGCCATGCTGAATCTGTGATTGCGTTCGACAGCAACAGTGACCGCAGTCAAGCCAAACGCTTACCCTACGTCGGCTAAATCAAAGACCAACTGGGACAAAGTCGCTAAAGAGGCCGCAGCGGCAGAGGAATCTGAGCTCACAGATCAGTCGGATCCCAACGCGACGGGCGACAAGCAACTGAATGCGCTCTTTGCAAAGATCTACGAGGGTGCGACGGACGAGCAAAAGATGGCCATGAAGAAGTCCTTTACCGAATCCAATGGCACCTCCCTCTCGACCAACTGGGACGAAGTCAAGGCTGCGCCCATGAAGACGCTCCCACCTGATGTGCGATTCACACCTTCCTCGACTTCACTCGCTGTGACTGACTCCCTTGTACGGCGCAGGGCATGATTGCACGCAAGTGGGATGAATGAACGATCAAGCTTGCTCTGCTGCGCCTTGCCCTTCCTTGTTGGCTCGGGGCTCCGCAGTGCTATCTGGCATGGTAGTGATCTGCCTGTCTGTCTGTTGTACATCTTTGCAGTTCCGCCACGCCATGCGGCCCATGTCATGACGAAGCATCCTTCGCGTAAAGAAGGCACGTGGCACGCGTCTTGATCGATTTATCGGCGCTTCAGCGGGCAAAACGCTGGCGTACAATGTCATCACATGAGAGCCATCAGCTTGAGCGACTTTGCTCGCAAACTCAATGCTGCCCTCGGCTCGCATCAGCACGTGCGCGCTCTCGGTTGGTGCACGAGCTCCTGTCAGCTGATAGCGCTGAGGAAGTCTGTTCACGAGCAGGCGTTGCTCTGTCCGGGGGACCAGATTCGATGTGCCTACTCGACCTACTTCGTCGGCTTGATCGATACGATATCTATGCTCTCACCATCGATCATCGCCTGAGACCAGAAAGCACTCAGGAGGCTCAGACCGTCAGGCGGGTCGTTGACGCCTTGCGTCGACTGAGCAGCCAACGAAGACTCGAGCATGACATTGTCAGCATTCCCTGGGGATCACCGAGCTTCCCTCTACGACCGACAGCACGTCAGAAGAACGCCGAGACGCTGGCACGACAGGCACGGTTGACGCTGTTCAATGCTCATCTGGCAAGATTCAACCTCGATCATCTGCTCCTTGCTCACCATCTTGACGATCAGATAGAAGGTGCACTCATGCGCCAGGGTACTCACAGTGATCTGCATGCTGCCACGGCCGGCTGGGATCCAGCGGCACTCGGCAACGTGTTGATGAAGCCTTCGAGCTCGCTCCCTTGCGGCAGTCATACCGTCATTCGACCTCTGCTTGACTACCACAAATCTCAGATACTAGCGACTTGCACCGAAAATCGTGTGGCATACGTCGTCGATCCTTCGAATGCCATAGCAGCGTTCACTCGACGGAATGAGCTGCGTGAAAAGATCAAAGCGTTTGATCTGGCCGGCAGTATTTCGGGTCCCCGTGCTTCCCTCGCTGCATGGACGCAAAGGCTTTCATCAAGGTCAAGCATGATGTCGGAGAAGCGAGACATGCTGTATGCACAACTTGTATCCGTCTCGACGGAGGACGATCTGTTGTTGCGCTTGCCTCAGCGACCCATAGCGCCCTCTCGCCGCCGGCATCTACTTAGGCGCATCTTGGCGAGCTTCTCGGATCGATCGACTCGGGGCATACGTTACGCCGAGCTTGCAGCGCTGTCCGAAGTCGTCTTTGGTTGGTCCCTGGCATCCCGCAATCGCCTTCGGCGTAGTAGCGCTTTCGATACCATCTGGACGCGCACCAAAGCAGGTTGGACTGTTACGAAAGCCACACGTAAAGCACAGCAGACGAGCTGTAATTGACGATGGTGTTGCATGCATCGAGATACGTGGTACAACATGGAGCAACAACATGCAAGCCATGGTGCGAGATAGAGCCTACAGGACTCGTTTAGAAAGCGAGGTGTAGCCGCCCCGCTTCGCGTTCGTGATGCCCTGAATGAGCTCAATTTCACCGTCCTTCTCAACAGCATACTTTGCGCTGCCGAGCATGGTCGGCGCAGTATTGACGTAGATGGTTTCCCAGTTCTCAGCGGGAATCACCAGGGTCTCGTGCATGATCGACAGGTGCTTCATTGCTTCGTGATCGCGATTCCACCAGTCCCATGCTGCCTTGTGATGCCCGCTATGTGCAAATTTCTGCAAGGCTTCGAGGGATTTGAAGTACATGACAAAGAGCATCGTGCTATTCGTGTCTCGTTCGCTGCCCATGAAGCTCGAGCTGCTCAACACTAAGCAAAGACGTCAGGAAGATGCTGTCAGAGCTAAGAAGCTTGCTCACAGCCGTTCGTCGCGCGGTTTTTGGAGAGATCCTCCATCATGGCGGTCATGTAGCCGCCCATCTTGCCAAAGTACCGATCAGCAATGCCGAGAGGGCTATTGTTGCGCATGGCGAGGTGCAAGCAGACGATGTCTCCGCTGGCTTGACTCGTGCTCAGACCGCCTGTCTCGTCTGGCATGGCAGCCATCGTTCGGCCAGGTAAAGCTCCTGCTGCGTGCTCGTTCGGCAGAAAGCCTGCGGCGACCAGTATCGTCTTCGCAATGAGCACGGCAGTGATAAGTAGAGCAGGTATGCAGACGGTCCGAGCAGGCAAGCCGGTCATGACGACGCAAGACTGCAACGCGCTGCCCAGTAGTATCCATGTAGTGGTCTTGAAGTTATTTCGGACGATGGAGTTGTTCACAATCGCTACTGTAGGCATGAAGGCGTGGAAGCCAAGCTCGCTTGCTGTCATGACGGCCGCAAGGGACAGGAACACAGCTTTATATAGGCAGCAAGAAGGTGCGGAGCATGCAGAAGGGATACCCACTCGAGCGAGCTCGGTCGATTTCGGCGATGCGGCCACGGGACGCGGCACGTGCACGATACTCAACACGAGCCTAATTACGCGAGCTCGATGCGAGCCTTTGGGGCGTCATTGCGTAGTCAGGAAAGTATGTATCTATGCACAACAAGGCAGTCATTATGACAGAAAGGGTGACAGATCGAGATCGCGGCCAAAGTCGCGAACGATAATCTTCTTATCCGCTGATACGCTGATGATGCGGCCCAAATCGACATACAGTGAGAATACGAGGGAATTGTGCGCTTTGCTGAACGTGCTGACCCGCGTATCCTCATCAGCCGAAGCGTGAGGATTCCAGATGGTGATGCCGCCGTCGTAACCGGCAGAGACGAGAAAATTGCCGCCGGGTGCAAAGGCAAGTGCGCGGACGAGATCGACATGGCCGCCAGTTAAGACATTTAGACACTCGCCAGTCGAAGCGGACCATATCCTGACAGTCTCGTCGTTGCTGCCACTTGCGATGAGATCGCCGTGCCAAGAGACAGATGCGAGACCGCGTTCGTGACCCTTGAATTGACGAACCGTCTGGCCTGAAGCCAGATCCCAGAGGCGCAAGGAGCAGTCGCCGCTAGCCGAGACAGCCTGATTGCCTTGCAGCCCCAGCGCATTGACGGGCCCTGCGCGAGCTTCTGTCAGCGTAGATCTCGCGCATGCGCCACAATGTTACCTGAATGGCCATGTAGGGTTCGAACGTGAGAACCCGTAGCACGACACCATAGCTTCAGTGTGGCGTCTTTGCTGCAGCTGATGAGTTTCGAGTCGTCAAAGCGTAGATCGAGAACACCGAGGGCATGTCCCGACAAGACGCTCTTGACTTTGCCCGTGCTGAGGGACCATACGCGGATAAGACCATCCGACGATCCAGAGATGAGCTCGAGGTTGTCATACTGCAAGCAGAGGACTGATGCAGTGTGACCCTTGAGGATGCGCTTCGTAGCACCAGTACGTGCATCCCAAACTCTGATGGTTTGATCCCTTGAACCTGTGACGATGAGGTCATCGCTAGCTTGAATGGTGTAGATGCCATCTGCGTGGCCTCGAAGTGTCTGGGTGGTACAGTCACCGCTCTGCCACCGCTTTTGCAACAGATAGCGATCGTGAAAGAGCTTCTGCCAATCGAGTCTCGTAGAAGAAGCCGGCGACTTGGCTGCATCGAGCGCACTCAAGTCGAAAGAGGCTCGTGATGCACGTGATGCTCGCTTGAGCTCCATAGAAGAGCGCAGCGGCGTGAGCGAGAGGGAGGCCATACTTTGACGTCGGCTACGCGAAGATCCTTCACTTGCGAGCTCGACGACGCGGGATGAACGGTGGCTGACCATGGAGATTGGTCGGTTTGTCGAATGCAGGGAGATACTCGAGATGCTATCGACCAAGTCTGACAGCCTCCTTGAGAGGATCGAAGTGCGGTGTGAACGTATTGTTTCTGCTGCTGACGAAGGCGGATAAGCATAAGACATGCGGGAGCTCTCGATGAGTTCCGGACGGATCTTCCAGTGCGGTTGCTCGTCAAACTTGAGCTTCCATAGATATGGCGTCGATACGAGCTTTTCCCAGCTTTTGCAGACTAGCCTGGCAGTGCACAGTGTTTCAAGATCGAGCAGACTGAGCGTGTGAAGAGCGATTTCGAGTGGCATCGCATTGAGCAAATCTGCGATTAAGTCAGCCGGCTTTGGTTTGTACATCATCGACATACCAAGACGCACGGCAAGGTCGAAGAGGTCGACGGCTTCGTCGCGCGAAGTGAGGTCATCCGTCATATCGCGAGCCTCATCCTCGATATGAAGAGGATAGGAGTCTGCTACGGAAAGTGCCGAGGTTCTCTTTGACCAACGAGACAGGGGCATGAGGAAGCCAGAGATGCGGCGCATTCGCTTGGCATGAACGATGGAAGAACTAGCGAGGCTAGAGAAAGACGCGAGTGACTCTTGGCTACGCCCAGCGCGAAGCGTGGATGTCGACATGGATGAGCTCGAGCTCGTGGACAGCATGGAGATGGAAGAAGCCTGGCGTTGCAGGATGCGAATGCCGCGTGGACCAGCCGGCCGGACTGTGCCTTCGCTTGCATCATCTGCTACATCGTTGGGCGGCGATACAGAGAGTTGCAAGGAGGAGCGACTGGCGAATCCGGCCAGCGATAGGCGACCAAAGGTACGACTCTGTGACTTTCGACGGTTCAGTGTTGGCGCAGAGCTGCCTTCGGTCTGGATAGACGCTTGCGACCTGAAGGCCTGTGAAGCGCCGTACATTGCACAAAAGATTTGCTGAGGATTACAAGTGATGCGAAAGCGAGCGTAGGACCGAAATTGTCGTGGAAGACGAAGAAGGCAGAGAGGAGAGCGTCTTCGGCTGAGAAGCGTCTGTGCTTTCGAGATGCGGCAAAGCGCGGAAGAAGGTGGTCAAAGCGCAGCCTTTCGGCCACGCGAGGATTCATGCGAGTTGATGTATTAAATCACGGACATGGCAGATCACGCTGATTGTATGCCGTGACGGGCAGAGGCGCTGGTCTCTGACGAGACGTGGTAGGAAGAGCAATGACAGAAATGCAAAGCGTGCAAAAGGCGTTCCAAGCATTCGTCGATCGGCGCAAGCCGCTCAGAGTGACTGCACTTGCTGGTGCTGGCCTCTCTGCAGCCTCTGGCAAGTTGAGCGTACTCACGGAGACCATGCAGCTGAACAAAACCTGAAGGAATTCCGACGTTTCGAGGCGCAGGCGGCTTGTGGAGGACTTTTGATGCCATGTCGCTTGCTACGCCAGAAGCTTTTGAAGCAGATCCCAGCCGCGCTTGGCTTTTCTACGAATACAGGAGGCGCAAGGCTGCTGCTTCGTCGCCCAACGCGGCACACTTGGCTCTCGCCCAGTTGGCGGCCAGACAGCCCGAATTCACTCTGATCACGCAGAACGTTGATGGTCTCTCGGGGCGAGCGATGCAAGAAGAGGCCTCAGCACGCATCCTCGAGATGCACGGCTCGATATTTCGCGTCAAGTGCACCAGATGTCAAGACACGCATGTGAACACAAAGATGCCCATTTGCGATGCTCTAGCAGACGCAGAGTTTTACATAGATCCCAGCGTGCCCGAGCCAAAGATTCCAGCAGAAGAGCTGCCCCGCTGCGAGCGCGTCCGAAGAGGCAAGTCATGCGGTGGACTCTTGAGACCGGGAGTCGTTTGGTTTGGCGAAATGCCAGAACACCTCGATGAGATTGACGATGTGCTGCGTCGGACCGATCTTCTACTTGTCGTAGGCACCTCTTCTGTCGTGCGTCGGATACGATCCATCATTGCAGAGGCTGATGGTCTCGCAGGTCTACCCGGCCGCGTCATTTGCGGCCAGAGCGCAAGCTGGCGGTGCCAAGATTGCAGTGTTCAATCTTGAGGCAGCTCCCGGGGACGAGGAGGCAGATTTTCTCTTCCGAGGCCCATGTGAGGAATCGCTTCCGAAAGCTTTAGCGAGTGTCTGAGCTCAAACCGTTTTCTGCCTGTTGTAAGCGAGTCGTCTCGAAGTCTGCCAAGTATGCACAATCAGCAGCAAAGTCGCGAAGAAGATGACGATGGTCTGCGTTGAGCGAATGAACGCGAGGTCAGTCATATCGCCCAAGGGAACAGCAACGCTCATTTGGTCGCCGATGCACTGGATGTCGCGCACTTTGTGTGTGCTACTTCCTGCAAGCCCGGCATCTGCTCAGTCAGATCATTTGCAGACATAGACAGTCTTGACATACCTGTCATAGACGTATCAGGTTCCGCAAGCGGTCGAGTACACATCCACTGCACGCGCGGCAAAGGCACGGTGATCTCGTTGGCAATGCTGCCAGTACTGCTCGCGGGCAGGTAGCGCATGTGCAGTGGTATAGCGACTGTGGCAGAGCTCGCGCATTGCTTCTCAGTCGTAGCAACAGGGCCCAGTTTGATGTACACAGCCGAAGTTGGCTTGAGCCCTCCGCGTTTTGTCAAGCTACCGTTGCGAGTCTCGTACGACATCAGCGGCGCTTCTAGCTCTATCTCGCCCACGGTTTGCATGTGAAGTATTCCAGCTCCTCCGGCTCGACCGAGAGGCAGCTTCTGTCGCAATTCGTACGGGTCGAGGATGAGGCGAGCATGATCTTTTGGACGCAACTCGAGTGATATCTCGAAAGTGCAAGCCGTGTCTGCGGCTGCTGATCCGCACAAAGCGACCTCAAGCTCCGTATGAAAGCCGTGGACGTTGATCAGGCGGCCGGAACAGCTCATGAGCGCTGAGCGTACGGGTGGCCACGATGCGTCTGGGCCGGCTATCCGCGCATTGGTGGCAAGAAAGTAGTCACCACTGTCAACACGTCAATCGTCAGTACTCCTGTCCGGACCAGATTCCTCCGATCACATCCGGGATCCCTCGTGATGAGCCCATCTCGACACACTGCGCAATGTCTGCAATCACAGCTATGCTCTTTCATCGACGGCCACTTTGAGTCGCATCTGCACGAGATGATCCGAGAACACGGGTGGCTCCCACCGAGCGTTGCCTGACAAGACTGATCTAGCGCACGCAATTCATCTGTGCATATGCATCTGTACCGAGGACAGGCTTCTCTCGGCGCGTCAAGCAACGTAGACATGACCTTGCTTTCAACGTCAGCGTTCCCCCTGCAGACACACACTCATTAGACAGCAAGGCAAACAATGGGCCTACTCAAGAGACCGTCACTGACTTCTCTCGTCCTTCGCAAGTCCCAAGGGAGTACATCCGAGCTGTTCGGATTGTCCGTGCCTTCACAGCAGATTTCAACATCGTCACATGACATAGCAGTCAATTCTGCGACTCCTGCTCCACACACTCCGCCAAGCTACGTCGGTGGTCGTGCAGTCAATGAGGGCACAGCGTCAGCAGACTCCGGCCCGAACCTCGACGAGCACTTCGCGTCGCCGCCCACTTCGATCCTCCGCACCAGCACAAACTTTGCTAGTCCAGTCTTTGTTCCAAAGAGCTTCAGCCTACCGATCAATCTCAGCTCTCTCGCACAGCTGAACGACGATGGAGAGCCCTTTTCTGGGCCAGGTGAGTCGGATCAAGCCACGCCTCGGCTCGAGGCTGCTACGCCAAAGATCACACTTGAGCCCGACGCTCACGACGTTTCTCAATCAGGTGATGTCGCCACGTCTGGGTGCAATGCTGCCGAGCATCAGATCACGGATACGCTGCCGGTTGGCCAGCGGGTTGGATTGGGTTTGCTGCTGCCGCCCCATATTGCTCATCGTATCCAAGGCGGTTCTCTGTCGCCTGCACCGTCGATTCTCCCTGGTCGCATCTCGGCTTCTTCGGATGACGTCGAAGACCACGAAACTACTGTCACTGGCGATCCGACGAGCCACATCCGCTGGTTGGCCAATCTCGCTGCAACTCGAGCCTCACCGACAGGCGAAGTACATCTGTCCGGACAGCAGGCCCAGAACACGACCTCACTCCTTGACGATGGCGCGGGCGCATCTGTCACGCGCTCACTCTCTGTCGGCGGCTCACTCTCGACGCACCAGACGTCTGCGGATCTAGAGCAGCTCGTTGACTTTGAACCTGCCAAGGTATGTGTGAGCCGTGCATCAAGGTGGCAGCTCATGTTGTTATCCAGATTGCTATCCTTCATGCAAGACGTTCGCCGGAAATCCACTCTCTGCAGGCCAGTCATCACGGCAGCACCACTTCGCTCTCGAGTCACGGCACTTCTACGTCTTACGAGTTCTTCCGCACGCACCAGACGCAGGACAACGATCACGACGCACTCGTTCGCTACGAGGCCACACGCAGCGATGACCCCGGATGCACACTCATCGGTGGCCGTCTCATCAATATTGATGGCAAGCCGAAATGCCCACGATCACCTCCCGCCTCAACGTCACCGGGGCCTCACGCACCGGACGACGTTAACACTCAAGGTCACGTCGCTCGTGCCTCAGACAGCTCGTTTGCCGCCGGACAAGCCCGAGCCGTCTATCATCTGGATACCTCGTTGCTTGCTTCACCTTTCAATCCACCTCGCTTTGGTCGTGGCGAGGTCAGCCAGGCGGCCAAAGAGATGCCAGTGCGCGCATGGCGCGACGAGCGGCCAGTCACGAAGGAGGAATGGACTGCTGAGCGTACGTTCCAAGAGCGTCGTCTCGAGTCCGAACGCGTAGCCCGCGCTCAGCGCATCACGAGGCTCACTTCTCCACCTACGCATCGTCGCAACGCTACAGGTGGCTCTGACGCGCATCGACTGCTCGGCAGCTCAGGTGCAGGTCAATCACTCGATGCTCACAGAGGACCAGAACCTGCATTGGCCGTTCAGGACAATGCTACCTTGCATAGCGCCACCGTAGCCAATCCTCATCTCACTCGTTCGGCATCGATGTTCGCCAGATCAATCAACCTCACGCGCAAGGCTGCCAAGCGACTCAGCCTGACTGCATCGCCTGATCGAATCCTGTGATACGTCCGAATGATCTCGTTACCTCCATTTCTTGTCACGCGATGTACTTGTCACGCGATGTACTGAAATGTCCATGCATTATCAGCCGCGAGCAACAGCTAACGACGGCGAAGTGCGATAAGAAAGTCGACGAGTGAAGTCGGTGGGCTCAAGAAAGTGCGAACTCGTTGGTTTCCCCCATATTGGCCCTTTGCGTGCAGAGGTCGTAATCGATGCGCGTTGGCTAGCGCCAGTGTACAGTATGCTGATGATGTCATGAGTTTTTGCTTCGGTTTTAATACGTTCTGCTCGAGCAAAAGTTAGCATTGATTTGTGTTGCAGGCCACATCAGACTTACGGTGTGGCGAAGCCCACTCTCGAATTTGAGACATCAAAGACGGTATAAGCAGACCGCATGAAAGCTGCGCCCAGGATCCAGGTATCAAGCGATGCGCTGCCGACAATGGAGCCAACACATTTGCCGTTGATGGTGGCAAATTGCATGTCGCTCTCCGCGACTGTTATCGCGGCGCCGACCGCAAATTGGAAGCTTGCTGCTACCTTTGTAGAGCATGGGTACGAGTAGTAGCCGGCTGCGCCTGCTACCGGCGCCGATCCTGGTACGGCCGCCCAGAATGCGCGCGCTTGATCGGCGGGAGCAAGGATGAGCGTCGTACCCGAGTCGATGACTGCCAGTACACTGTAGCTACCTCCGACCTTCTTCGCGCTGGTCGTGGCTGTGATCTTGGGTAGTCGTACAGTCCAGAAACCAGAATTGCCGGCAACGTTGACGTAGCTGATCGATCCAGAGAATTTAGAAGGATCCACGCCGCCGACAGTCATTGATGACTGCGTGCCTGACTTTGTCCGCCCGAGCGCCATTGCAAAAATGTTGCTGGATAGCTGATGGGCAGCGATAACGTTCTGCATCCACGGCACCATGTTGCCGGTCGATAGGGCTTCGAAGCCAAGGCCGAGCAGACCAACGCCGGGTCCGGAGCTAAAGTCACCATCGAGCGAAGAGACTGCGCCGAAGGCTTGCGCGCTGTGCGATATGCCTGCAACTGCGACCGCGTCTGACATCCATGTGCCGGTCGTGGAGGTGCCGTCATTGTATGCGATCGAGAAGGTCTTCTTCAGGGATGCGCCAGTCGACGATTTGGCTGCAGCATATTTGCTGCCGGATGGACAGCCGCTGCCGCAGGCGCTCGACATGACCCACAGATCAGCCGATCCTCTGTCAGCATAGCTGCATCAGCACGGTGCATTCACGAGCCAACGAAGACCTACGTGTCGAATTGAACGGTAAATAGCTGAGGCGGCGTGCCGATCTGAACAATGCCATAGTAGGACATGTCATAATTTGCCGATCCACCGACGACGTCCTGTAGCTGCATCACCGTGTTACTGCGCGTCTTGCTTGCAGTCACCGCGTGCGATGCCGACGAGCCCGAGCTTGTCTTCTTGGTACTAGACGCGGACGACTTCTTCGTAGCCGTCGTATCGCCCTTCTTGGTCGCTGATGCGCCTGCCTTGTTCGCCGCGATCACGGTAGCCTTGTGCTTGCTCGACTTGGACTTTTTCTGCGAGGTCTTGCGCTGTGTCTTTCGGTGTTTTGCTGACACTTTCCTCGCGACCACAGGCGATCGGTTTGACTTGTGTGAATGCTTGTGCGCGTGCGCCCTTGCTGCATGCTTTTTGTGTCGTCTGGCGGCGCGTTTATAGATAGACTGTTCGCTTTCATCGTCGTCGTCATCGGAGTCCTCGTCCGGATCATACGAGTCAGCATCACCATCATCCTCCTCGTCCTGCCGCTTCGACAAGCCGACAGACTTGAGTGCGCCCGAAATGCTATTTGCAGCATCGTGAATGAGCTTGCCAGCAGGTCCAGGAATCGAGCTATTGACATCGGGCAGATCGGATGCTTTGACTGCTCCGGACGGGCCTGCATTCGCTGCTTGCGAAAGGTTGGCCTTGTGAAGCGATCTGCTGACGGTCTCATTAGCCAGCGTGGTCACATTGCCCGCAGTGGGACTGGATGTGTTGTGAATACTGGTCGTGTTGATCGCGACCGTGTGATTGGCGTGATGGGTCGTGTTACTTGCGCTGGTCACATTGATCGCCGTGGTGTGATTGTTGGCAGCGCTCGACGTCGACGTAGTGTTGCTCGTTGTGCTCGAATTGCTCGGCATGGTAGAATTGGTGGGCAACGACGTATTGCTCGCAATGGTCGCATTGTTATTGGATTTGATCTGCGCCGTTGGAGGGGTCCAGGTGACGTTGAGGTGTTGCGTGCCGTTAGACCACGTCACAGTCTGATTGTATTTGCCAACACTTTCGCCGGAGGAGCTGATCAGCGTCCGGTTAGGGCCGACAGAGACCAATTCTTTGACTGCGTTGACGACGAGGCCAGACTGACTGAGCTCGGCCTTGCTGACTGATATGCTTTGCGCGGTCGCGTTGGTAACTTCTGGCGCACTGATGTTGCGGCCGTGCCACTTGCTTGCCATGACACCGCTCAGATTTGAGAGGGAAGCAGCATCGACGGCTGGCAAAATAACATCGCCATTGTTGTCCGTAAACGGATTGACAAAAGCATCTGAGCTTTGCCGAGCCAGGTTTTGGTGCAGCGGGATGACGAAAGGGCCACTGCCGGCCTGAGCAACGCCGACTAGAGCAGTGCAGATCAACAAAGCAACCCGGTTGCGGTTGACTTGCTTGCGCGAGGGCATATTGCGATGAGTGCTCGAGTGTGTCTGGATGCGGATGCAGAGGGTATAGGCGTATAGCAAAGGTCCAGCCTCGCTGTCGCTGTTGTGTCAAGACGGTTTGAAAAGAGTGTGGGTTGGTTCTCTGCCCTGTTCGAGGCGCATGCCAACGCAGGATCCAGGGGGTTGAGCAGATCAACAATGTGGATGGATTGTTGACAATGTGCAATAGGCAGATCGCAGAGCAGAAGCAAATGATGACATAGTCAGTGACGGTTGCTTGAGAAGTCGAGACATGCATACCTAAGCCTATGACCCTGCCAGAGTTCCTGCTGCGCCGACGCGATGGTACTGGTCGTGCAGTGTGATGTCAATGATGCGTGGCAGTACGAGACGAGCGGACAAAGGCGACTGCCCTAGTACCGTGTTTTGTTCGCCAAGCGGTGCGTGCGATGTCGAAAGCGAAGCAGCGCCTGGGGACCTTCGCGCCTCTACGTATGCAGTCTATTCAAAGCGGCGCACCGTGCCTTTTCGAGCGAAGAAGAGTGACGCGACGCGATCGAGCGACGCGATTTTGACTTCTCTTCCGATCATGTCGTCAAAAGAAAAAAAAGAAGGGACGCCGCACGCACGCACGCCCGCCCCCGCTATAAGATGCCGGTACTTCGCTTGCGAACGCCCCGAGGTGTTCACACGCTCGCCTTGGACGATGCTGCAACGCTCAAGGACTTGCTCGATGCGATACTGGAAAAGGCTGGTCTAGCACTTCCAGGCCTATCTGTCAGGTTCGGCTATCCTCCTCGAGCTCTAGCACTCGACGACGCTTCACGGCCCCTCAGCAGTCTGGGCATCGTGAATGGGGAGGCCCTGATTGTGTCGGGCGAATCTACGTCCGAGACAGCAGGAGCGCAAGTGCCGAGCTTGGCAGGCCCGGGACGAAGATCGCCAACTAGAGCGACATCTGCTGCGCTGCCTACCGTTCCGCCTGCTCGAGGTCGACCAGAAGCGCTGCCAGCGGGGAAATCTGACGAGAGGCGAGCGAAGCGCGTGCGGAAAGACATCGCAGCTTCCGTATATGTACCCGCACAGAGCGGCTGGCTTGTCTTACGCGTCGCACCGGATGATAATGCCTGCTTCTTCCATGCTCTGAACATGACTTTACGTCCCACTCAGCCGGGAGCAGCAAGCGAGCTGCGAGCGCTTGTAGCCAATACGATCATGGCAGATCCTGCCAAGTTTGACGAGGCCACTTTGGGATGTACCCGAGAAGAGTACGCGCGCAAGATAAGCCTGCCCAAAAGCTGGGGCGGCGCGATCGATGCCCTCGCCATCAGCGATGCTGTCAAAGTCGAGGTCGTGGCTGTCGATATCCAGACCGGACAAGTCAGTTTCCGCTGCTCTCGTGTGTGGCCTGGCTGATCCCAGGTAGATGCATCGATTCGGGGAAGATCGAGGGTACGAGCAAAGAATCATCCTCATCTATGGCGGCCTGCACTTTGACGCAGTGACATTCACACCCATCGAGCCGTCAACGGAGATTTCACGCTTCCCTTACGATCTCAGCTTTGACACGACAATGTTTGACTTGCGAGACGAATGGGTCTTGGCCGCTGCCGCCGAGCTGGCCAAGGACTTGCGCGACAAGAAGTACTTTACAGATGTAGCAAATTTCACTCTTCGATGCGGTCAATGCTTCACGGGTCTGGTAGGCGAGAAGGAGGCTCGTCAGCATGCTTCACAGACTGGACATAGTAGCTTTGAAGAGTATGATAAGTGATGCGTGTCTAGATGCATACATAGATACAACACGGTCCATGCTGGGTTACGACGGACGCCGCGGCTCGTCCTCGCCGTCTAGGCCATCCAGCGAGTCTCGTTCGGCACTCTCGTTGAGCAGCTGATCTTGATGGACGAAGGAGCCAAATTCTTCTTCACCCGGCTTGACATCGTCGTACGTCCGGCGCAGTGCGTTTTTAGAAGGCTGCCATGCTTTGTCGCCACCAGAGTGCTCATCGTCCGAGTCTGATAAGTCCCGAGAATCCCAGACAGTCTCTTCTGGCTCTGGTGTCTGTATGTATCCGTTGCTTTTGCCTGGCAGGAGCTGTCGATCTCTGACGTTTGCAGTCGTATTGCGCGCCGTCTCGCCGAGATAAGACATTGTCGACTTGACGCTGGTGAAAGCTTTGCGTGTGAGGGGTATCGCATCTTTGGGTATCCCGTCGGTTCTCAGCATTTCTTCCTCGTCGTCTTCGACTGTCGGCTTTAGCGTTGTTTCCGGCTTTTTGCTTGATAAGATGCCGACGCCGATGACGAGGACGAGCATGGAAAGCCAGATACACGTGAAGACCCAGACTTTGTAGACGCCCGTCTCGTTGAGGTAGATGAGACTGTTGATGAAGCCCGAGGCAGTATAGACGGCAAAGAAGATGGGCACCACGAGTGTACTGTCATATGCTTTCAGTCCTGCAAGCACACGCCCATCAGAAAGGTTCATCGTGCGTCGCTGATGGAGCAGCTTACCCTTATTGAGACAGTAGACTTGGACGACGGCAGTGACGAGTAATAAGACAGCGATGATGATGGTCAGGAAGCTGAACTGGCTGCCGTTGGTCGAGTTCATTGCATTGGTCACCAACTTGACACTTTCGGATGGGTGGCTCTGATCAGCGAGGTCCATTGAGCAGGGAGGAAAGACGTACGTGGATTTGGCAAAGACGAGAGACTGACCGGCGAGCAGTCCTCCGGAGACTGCCCACATGCTCCCTGCGAGCTTCTTGACGATGACATCTGAGCGCGACTGGCTCCATCTGATTCCTTTGCGAGTGAGCGTACTGCGCAAATGTGTCTGTCGTTGATGGAGTGTAGCTACTAGACTGGTATCCGGTACCGAAGCTCTCGCTCTCGCCGCTGCTTGCATGGCGGCTATCGCACGGTCATCCCCATCTGTCTCGAGCTCATGCTTATCACCAATCTCTTCCCTCTCGTGGAGCACGTCGTCTGTGATGCCTGCTGCCCAGAAGAGCACGATCGTGATCGCTTCGAGGCAGACAAGATAGACAAGCCAGGACGGTCTCGCCCAGAGCGCCTTGAGACTATCGAGATCGAGGTTCGCCTCTGGGTCCTCGCTCGTCTTGCGTATGTTGCCAAAGGCGACGACGCCGACGACACCGACGACGATGGTGACCGTGCCGATGATGTCGAGTTTGGTGATTTTGGTGCCTACGAGGATGGAAGCAAAGATGAAGTTGAAGATGAGCGAGGCAGAACCCAGAGGGGCGACATATTCCGCTCGGAGGTAGGCGAGAGCGAGCGTACTCCCCACGAGCTGCGAGAGGATGTAGGCTATCAGTCCACACCACCAGAGCGGCCTTTGCCAGTCCGGCCTCCGTTTGTCTCTCGGTAGCATGTCATTGCGGACGTGGTCGAGCTTGGTGAGGTTCAGGCCTGCGGCGTTGAGCACAGAGGCGCCGAGTGTGATAGCGAGTCCGATGAAGAAGTCGGCTGCAGAGTATTGGTTGAGGACGCTGTCGTTGCCCAAGCCAAGCAGGCCGCCCAGACTAGGATCCCCGTCTGGGGTGGTGGTGTCATTGAGCGATGCAGCAGGCTGATCCGGGTCTATGATCGAAGTGGCATTGCTTCCGGGTAAGGTGCTATTGGAGGCAGTGCTGTTGACGGGCATACTCGCATTGAAGGGATCTGCCGAGCCCCAGATATCGAATGTTGACATGGTGGGCCAATTTGTTGTCTCTCTTGAGCTCTTCCTCCGTCGTCGGCCTCACTTAGGCACCCTCCTCGTGTGCCGGACCAACGGCCAATGCCCCGACGCTCTGCAGTGCTATCAATGGAAGGACCAAGACCGTCTCACCGCCGGGCAGATGCCATGCCGAATCACCTCGTCGCCGGCGTGTCAAGTCAGTTTGTGCATGTCAATAGGCGCGTCCACTGCCGGCATTTATTGCTGACACGTGTCGATTGCCATATAGACTGACACGTCATCGTTGTCAGGTAAAATAGCAAAGCGCGATTGCTAGTCAAACTAGCGGCCAGCGACCCCCTTTGCCAATCTTTTTCTGATCAGTACAATGCAGATGCAGGCAGATGACTTCGCATGACTTTCCATAGCTTGGCCCTTACCCTTGCTGCGACTGACAATAACGGATATGCGCAGCAGCTTCTTCATACTTACGACGAAGGGAATTCTGATGCGAGCGCCTCGCCGACTGCTGTGTCACATTCCGCTGACTCTGACTGATCAACTGAAAACGTCTGATCTCAAAACAATCGTCTGAAGCAGATATCCTGCCCGTCCGTGTCTGGCTCTGTCAGCCGCAAAACGCGTATCTGCCTCAGATCGCGAGCTGACTGCTGCTGGAAGAGCCTGCCGGCAAGCCAAATCAGACTCGTGNAGATCGTGACTTGTGTCTCGTGACGAGGCTGTTGCGAGCAACGATCCCAGCAGGCTGCATGACCGTCGAAGAATCCGACGAAGAGCTTCTGGTCGTAGCATCGCCGAGTGAGCAGCTTTCGATGAGTCTGGCAGCAGGACAAGCTGAACCATGCAGAATGCAGAGAACTAGAAAGCACCATCTCAGCATGCCTGGAGCTATGCGCCGAGAACAGTGACGGCGCCAGCAGCTCATCACACTGATATTGCCTTGCCGCGGACAGCCCAGAGCCGGTCTTCAAAGCTTGCACGGGCGCTCGCAGCCGAGCGGAAGCCTCGTAACCTCACGGAGCGACGTGACAAGCGTGCGTCGCTTGCCCTNCTCTTCCTCCTGCAGTGTGCTCAACGCGATACAATCCAGCCGCATCCTCGTTCTTGGCTGCATCTATAAAGGCGCATGCTCATTNACAGCATCAGGAAATCNGANGCANTGCACCTCGTCCGACGTCTTCTGGCAAATCGGCNGCGAGGAGGCTTCCGCGTATACCTCAGGCAGACGAGCAGCCTCATGCGAGCACGTGGCGTGTCACGCACACAGACCGTCTGCCGTCTTAGTCATGCTCGCCTGTATCAGCACGTCTGCGCGATGACGGATCAACAGTTTTCACAGATCTCGAGCCGTGTCCTATACCTCATACGCAGCGTCCAGACGATTCCAGACGGTTAAGACTACCAGCAGATTGAGCCCGAATCTGGAACCAGACTGCGGGACCGCATACTCGCCCATGCAGAGCTCGAGGAGCGTCTCCAAGACCGGTTCTACTCCTCCTACGGCGGATCTACTCGATGGCGCGTGAAGCGCCCGGCCGTGCCGGCTATCTCGATCNGCCCATCGAAGGCGATTGGATTGTCATCGGCATGCTGTGAGAAAAGAATCCAGTTAGATTGACGGGTCAGATCGGCGATACAAAACAGCCAGCACAGAA